GGAAGGGAGCTGTGAGGGACGCAGGAGCAAGCAGCAAAGCTTCTTCATTCGATTTTGGAAAACTGGCTCTTCTTACACAACAAAAGGAGATCGACTTGCGAACCTCGCAAGTCGAGTTGTTGGTGTCAACTCTCTCGCGCCAAATTCGGCGTCATCGCCTCCTTGAGAACACGCTCCGCATCATCAACAACGAGGAGGTTCCTTCCTGTCCAAAATGCGACCAAACCAACGATGTAAGCATTTCAGCAAGCTGTGGTCACGTCATTGGTTGCAAATCTTGCACTCCAGCGCCCGAGACAAGCGCGCAATCTCCGTGCCCTCACGATGATTGTGAAGCATACATCGGCGAGGTGTGGTCCTCCTCCTTTTTCTCTGGCAAGGACAGTTCAAAAACTGCCCAAGATGCCCCTTATGGAGGCCGGATGCGCGAGGCTCTCGCCATCCTTGATACAATCCTCAACGCCAAGTCTCGAGTGAATGAAGACGAGGACCTGGTTCTCGTTTTTGTCCAGTTCGATGACATGAGAGATCAATTTCTCTTGGCTTGCGCCGCCGCCGGGCTAGAGGTTGTTGACGGGACGGCGAAGAGAAGCGCCAAGGTGATCGAGGCGTTCAAGGATCACGGAAAGAAGGAGGGAGCGACCGTGGCTAGCCGCTCTCCTCGCGGTCGAGGGACCCGAGGCAAACGAGCTGGTGGAGGCGCCCGGGGAGGCGCGAGGAGTGTTGACGTTGGTGCAGTTCTGCCGCGCATCCTCCTCCTAAAGATTGATTCTCCCGACGCTGCTGGCTGGAATCTGCACTGTGCGAACCACGTCATTTTCCTGGCGCCGTACGTCGGTCCCTCTCGCGAGGTTGAGCTGGCGGCCATGGCGCAAGCGGTTGGGCGTGCCCACCGTTTTCAGCAGAAGAAGGAGGTTCACGTCTACCACCTCTCCGCCGATGGCACGGTCGAGAACAAGCTGGTGGAGGAGATCGTGGGGAAATTGGAGGCCTGGGAGCATTGATTTCGTTGGCTGGCTGGTTGGTTGGTTGTTTTCGTTTCGTTTCTTGTTGCTTTTCGTTTCCTGTTGGATCAAGAAAGGAGTAAGAGCCTTTCCTGGAAGCGGGTTGGAGAGCAACCCACGGTGAACGACAGAAAGCCGTATGCAAGAGTCGTCGACAAGGCGGCATCGTGTAGTGTTGTCCTTGGAAAACAGAGTTGCATTGTGATATCGATCCTTGTCAGTAACATCTTTGGCGTCCTCGGTGTGCATCGTGCATCGTAGTTGTAGGATCATCGTGCACCGATAGCTGTGGGATCATTGTGCATCGAATGCTATAGTATCATCGTGCACCGATAGCTCTAATATCATCGTGCACCGATAGCTATAGTATTATCGTGCACCGATAGCTATAGTATTATCGTGCACCGATGGCTATAAGATCATTGTGCATCGATAGCTATAGTATCATCGTGCATTATTAGTTATTAGATTATTGTATATCGATAGTTATAGTGCCATCATGTAGATATAGACTCATCGTGCAACGATAGCTATAGGATCATCATGTATCGTAGGGGTGTAGTGTTATCATAGTGTCATTGTGCATCAATGGCTGTAGTTTTATTGTGCGTCGCAATCTCGATCCTTATTAGTATGTAGTTACTCACCGTGGGGTTATAGTCATCGTGCACATCGGTAGATATCTTTTGACGTCCTTAGTGTACATTGTCCATCGTGCATCGTAGGCATAGTATTATCTGTATCGTAATATTGATCCTCATTAGTGATGTCTTTGGCGTACTCCACACACATCGAGCATCGATAGTTATAGTGTCATCGTGCACCGAGTACGCCAAAGATATCACTAATAGGGACCAATACTAAGAGACACGATAATACTATATTGTGCATCGTTGTCATAAGACCATCGTGCACCGATAGTTACAGAGTCACCTAGATGATAATTATCGTTGACGTGTAAACGGTCTTCCAGTGCCTAGATTGCCCTCTGCGCGTTGTCTTGGGTGTCTCTTGCGGCAGGCTGCCCAGTCGCTGCTCTGCAAGTCGACTGCTCTCTTCTCAGCCTTGGAGAGTGATCGAATTCTCGGTGATGGTGATGTCTCTATATCATTATCGTACACCGGTCGTCACAATACCATCGTGCAGTAATCGGTCCTCATTACCTAGGTAGTCATATATTGGTGTACTCGGGGTAAATCGTGCATTATTAATTACAGTGTCATCATGTACCAATAGTTAATGCTATAATTATTGGTACATGATGACACTACCCCTATTCGAACGCGCTCTTGGTACCAGTCTGTCCCTCCACACCAGCACCCTTGGTATTGTTCTTGAGATCGCTCATGCCGAAGACGGCAGTCTTGCCCTTCTGTCGGATCTGTCGTTTGAGATGTGAAGCCATAGGCGCACCTTTCTCTGGTTGCGTTTGGCAGGAGACTGTTAGGAAGTGTTGTCTATCTAGCTATCTTCAAGAGAGGAGGGAAACGAACTCGGCGTATGGAGTAGGCAGGCAGGCCCAGCTGGCTCCTGCCCAGTCTGGCTCCTGCCAAATTGTACTTGTTGATGTACTTGATGGCAGGAACGTCCTGGCAGCGACTACTAGAGATCTCCCACCAGGGGAATTCTCTCTTCTCTCTCAAAAACTCCTAGCAACCTCATATCTAGCAGTCCTTACATGCCTATTACTAGCGTCAGAGCCTACTACGCGATAGAAAGTCAAAGATCCTTTCCTCTTCCTCTTCCACCTACTTGGCTTGCACCTACTCTTCTTCCTAGACCTTCCTTTAATCTCTCTCCAGCCTTCGAGCTACAAGATCGCAGCTCCAAACTCAAACTCAATTTGTCTTCTTTACCTTTGTTAGGCCGTGAGCCATTCGGTTGCACTTCAGGTAAAGCGCTCTTATCATAAGCGGCAGCAATCTAGCAATATCGTGGATGTTCTGAAAAAGAGCCAGCGAGCATACAACAGCTAGTCGGACCTATAGGAACCATCAACCCATGTTCTTACACACCCGAACAAACCAATTGAACTCCCGCAAAAGTTCAAACTTGTTTCTACTGAACGTCCAAACAGCGACGATCACGATATTCTTGACCGGAGAAGCCATGGGCTGGGGTGAGGACGATGACGAAGCGATGGGGATCTTGGATAACCACTCTGAGCAACCCATCGAAGCTATAGCTTCTGACTGCACAGGGATCCGATGTGCCAGAGACATTCAATGCCTCCATGAAGAAGCCACATAGCCAAGAATGGCAGAAAGCCATTGAAACTGAGCTGTCGTATCATACCGGGCTCATGACCTGAAGTGGGAGCTACTAGACAGTATGACAATGACAGTAGTTGATCCATTCCAGAGCCTCCACTTCATCGACGATTACATCAAATGCCTTGAATTCCTTGAAGACCTTTTCCGATTTCCTACATTAATGTTATATCGTTATCGTTCACCGATAGTCATATCGTTCACCGATAGTCATATCGTTATCGTGCACCGCTAGTCATAACATCATAAAGCAGTATAGGTATATGATGATCGTAGTGCTGTGCCGGTGAAAATGGCGTCCGCCCTGTTCACATTCACTACGGAGGTTGTATATTCTTGCTGGATATGAAGGCCGCCACTTTGTGTAATACTAGGTATTGATAGAAACGGTTCACTGTCTCGATATGAATGAATGTCGCATCCGTATGTACTATGAACCAAGGTGTGATGTATGAGTATAAAGGCCTTGCGGTGCATAACGAGCTTGGGGAAACTGATTATCTGGTGCTTTTCGTGATGACCGACACCAAACCTATAACCAGACCTCTACTCTTTACCTTTTACACCCGCTGTCGTTGATTGTGATGCCTTTCTACAAGTAGGTACGTTCACATCAGCTTCGGGTGAAGATTCAGCCCAATACACTTTCTCTCTACACCGAACAGGAACAGAACAAACGATGGGAAGGCCCAATCTGTTGAGTGGGAGCACGACCAGGAGTGAGTACAGGAGTTGCCTAGGTTTAGCCAGGACGGGATCTTCCTCTCCACTGAGGTATCTCCCATATCTCTCTCCTCTTTCTCTGTTCTGACTTAGACCTATACTCGGCACATTGACATACAAGTCTTTACTACCTAGGTAGGCTCATCCCCCCTCATCTTCTCGTCATTCTGCTTTCTAATTTACAAATTTTAGAGGGATATGGCGACGAGGACTGAGACTTCTGAAAAGACATGGCGGTAGACCTGCAAAAGGAGCAGCTGTCCCTATTTAACCACAACCACTGTCCATCATGGGACAACCGTGTTAAAAAGTTCAAGTACCACCGATGTTGCGCTCTTGGTCCTTGACACCTACCCACTATCCATCTACACTCTCTCGGCCATTGGGTTCGCCTGATGACGCGATAAAGCTAATGTCACTGAAAATGCGGGGAATCTTGGTTGTGAGACAAAGGTACCCGTTTGCTCCATTCATGTGGCAAAAGTACCGAATCATGTCTGAGCGCATGTGAAAATACCGGCGACCTGGTGCTCGCCCCGGGCTGACTTTCGACGTCTGCACCAAATTTCAGAACGAGATCAACTGAATCTATGTGCATCCCAAATATGGTGATACATGGTGATTAATGATTAATACTATATACGAACCCTGCTGCTATGCCGTACAGCCACGACGCAAACAAGCTCGATGAGTTGTCAAAATAGACAACATCTCCTACACTTTGATCAAGGGAAAGATGAAATTAGCCACATGGCAAAGCCCACAGTCGGACTTTCCCAAAACAATGAGGCATGCCCAATATCAAGTCAATCTTCTGAACCAAGTACGTGGGGTAAGGTATGACCTAGTGATGGTGATACGTCTGGGACAGTAGACGACATCTCTGTACGTCTCCTGTCAAGACGGTATATGTATCCTCAAGGAGTGAAGGTGACATTGTGTTGTCACGTCGAGGGGGTTCAGATCAGTCATGATCAGGACAGTAGTGGTTGGATGAAAGTATTTACAAAAGAACCACGACACCGGCGATACCGGCAGCGAGGGCAAGACCACCAGAGAGGCCATCGTGATGGGCGGCGCCGGTGAATGTGGCTGGAGATGCTCCGCTGCCAGTTGGTGCCTGCGGCTGGCCATCACTGATTTGTGTCACGGCGGCGCCAGTAGGAGCTTGTGGCTGTCCATCGCTGATCTGAGTCACGGGTGCTCCGGTAGGCGCTTGAGGTTGGCCATCGCTAATCTGAGTGACAGGTGCGCCTGTGGGTGCCTGGGGCTGTCCGTCGCTGATCTGGGTCACTGGGGCTCCAGTTGGTGCTTGAGGTTGCCCGTCACTGATCTGAGTTACGGGTGCGCCGGTAGGAGCCTGAGGTTGGCCATCAGAGATCTGAGTGACGGGCTTGCCAGTGGGTGCTTGCGGTTGTCCATCGGAGATCTGGGTCACTGGGGCCCCAGTAGGTGCTTGTGGCTGACCATCAGATATTTGAGTGACTGGCGCACCAGTAGGAGCCTGAGGCTGTCCATCAGAGATCTGAGTAACGGGGGCACCGGTAGGTGCTTGTGGCTGGCCGTCAGAAATCTGGGTGACAGGCTTGCCAGTGGGGGCTTGTGGTTGGCCGTCAGAGATCTGAGTTACGGGAGCACCAGTGGGTGCTTGTGGCTGGCCGTCAGATATTTGAGTGACTGGGGCACCAGTAGGAGCCTGAGGCTGTCCATCAGAGATCTGAGTAACGGGAGCGGCACCGGTGCTAGCCTGAGGTTGTCCACTATTCAAATATCAGTCAAGGAGCTCTAGAAGACATGAGAGCTACTTTTGCAAACTTACTCGGAGATCTGAGAAACGGGGGCGTTTGAAGTAGCTACAGGCTGGCCATCGCTCGCTTGAGAGGCGGCTGGTGCCGAGGAGCTACCACTATAACCCAAGAAGTAGACAGCATTGCAGTGCTCTGCCCAGTCTCGGTCGTAAAGATTGTAGAAGTTGCCAGAGAGACATTGGTAGAATATTGCCGAGCCTCCGAGAGCGAAGCTGCCGTTTGCACAATATGAGAAGCCGGAGGTATAGATGGCACCGGCCTGTGGTGGGTCATCGAACTGGAACTGGTAATTGGCAGCAATGTACCCTGTTCGACCGGCTTGATCCTTCAGAACTGAATCTGTGAGAGTCAATTTGAGGGGGCCATCGAGTTGTCGCTGTTCTTAATTAGTAAGCCGGCAACATGGGACATAATTGGACCACAAACCGATGACAAGCTACGCTTGGTTGACGTTGTCACATTTGTCACGTAGAGCTCGAGCGTCTCTGACACAGTTGTCTTGCAGCCTTCTGGCGGTGGGGAATCAGGAGGAATGGCCTCGGTGACACCTTGGGGGAAGGGTGTAGCACAGACCCCAAGAACCAGGGCCAACAGAGCGAAAGACTGCATCGTCAAGGTTTAGTGATGGAATTGGCGGTGGTTGGAGGGACCTTGCTCAAAACAGGGAAAGCGAATGCTATAGACGGCGAAAGTAGAAAAGACCACAGATGAAGCGAGTGCTCAGGGTCTGGATCAACGATGAAAGAGGCTCGTCTGAAAAATAAAAAAGAAATGTGAGCTTCGATGGAACTTCGACAAGTTTTGTAGCTGTCAACTTGTTGAGAACGAATGGGATAAACAAGATGGACTAATTCGCCGAGCCATCGTATCGCGGGGCAATAGTCAGATATCCTGGTCATCATGACTCCATGAAGAGTGGCGTCATGACGACGACTGCAAGTGATTGACCTGAGTGATCAGTCTGGTTGGTTTCGAGTACCATTGCATGAGCAGACGGGGACTAACGCATGTCTCACAAAGAATGGAGGCGTTGGAGGTCAAAGACCAACTGCCTCGGAGACATGTGGAGAAGTATATGACTTTGCAGAAGCAGGCTCTTAGATTCGGCTCAATCCGCCTGTCAATCCTAAGCTAGGAAGCTGAAATGGAATCTGTTCAGTGGAGGTAAGCCCTTGAGGTTGACCAGTGAGCACTGCAGATCATTGATTCTGCAGTCAATGGAAGGGAGAATAGATGGTAGCAACAAGGACAGAGGCTGACGGAGATCGGAACGTGTGGGTGGCAAGTTCCTAGGAGGTTCAACAATTTCGGGTTTAGACTTTGAGAATGCCTGACATGTCGATGAGAGAGGAGGGTTGGAAAGACATTCCAATGGACGGAATCGTTGCATTTGGTGCAGAGAGTTGCGGGATACATTGACATGGCCTGTCGATGAATCGCAGTGTCACGTCGTTTGATTTTATGGGGAATTCATCCCGGTTGGTGGCATCACTGCGGGGTGTTAGCGATAGATGGCTCCCGGAAGTCCATGCACATTAAACCACATTTTGTGTCTTATGACACATCGCCAATATTGTTATTCGGGTGGGATTGAGTGACGATCTTTTGTCTCAAATCCCCAAATCGAACATTAGTGATGGTCTTTGCAGATACCCATTGCATGGCGTCTCAGTGAATTGTCGAGGGGATCCGATGGCGAGGGGTGTAACTCTTTTGAATTCTTCCAATGAAGCTGCATTAGCCTTCGCTAAGCAAGTCATCATCCCCACATTGGCGTAAGATGCGGTCTTCGCATGATGCTTCGCACGCTTATTGATGGATCTCCGTCACGTGATGCACTCTGGTTCGACGCCACCACATCAAGAGCCGTCTCTTCCGGAAATATTCATCATGATGAGCCCTTCATCTGAAGCAAGACTGAATTACTTCGAAATGTCCGTGAGTGTAATATTTCCAGAAACCTGGCCATATGAGTTTCGGATTCCATCTTTTAATAGCACATGATCCAGATATTGACACGGGCCCTCGGGATTTTGGCGATCACTCGGGTACATGAGAAAGCGTATCCCAGTAGAAGAGCCGATTAAACATTGAGACGGTGCAGGGGTGCAGGTACCCTGTTGAATCTCGAGATGAGCGGGTGGTCTGAGAAGGGTCAGGCTCTGTGGGTGTTGGAGACACTGTGGCATTCAGGCTACACGTCGGTTGGGGCTAGATCTGCAACGAATTAGTCAAAAAGTCAGCTGTCAATGATGTCCTCAACTGCAATGTCACTCGACTGGCCGTATCAGGTTACGGGCTCCCTGGCAATGATGCATCTGTGGTTAGAAGTCCGTGGTTGATCGAAAAGAATCAAGGATTGGGTTTGAACCACTCAGCTGCCACCTGTAAGGACGGCATTCCGGCGAGTATAAGGTTTTCACCCGTGCATCTGGGCTCAACCTCAGCACGAGCCGTGATAGTGCTTCCAGTAGGTAAGAGAAACAATCTTTCATGGATTACGAGCTGAGGCGCAGGATTGAACGATCAATCCTGACCGTGTCTCATCGTGCTTGCTCTCTCTTGCTTTCCTGGAACGGAAAATCGTGGAGCCGGTCTTCGACTTTCTATCATGGAAGGAATACAATTCACGTGATCTCAGTCACGTGCTAAGGATCAATAGTTCTTCCGCTCCCGTCATATCAACGGAACAACTCCCAAGCCACCAAAAAGTCTGGGGTTCGAGAGACGATATCAAACGAGTCGAACGGTAAGCTGCAAGACACGACAACGAGATATTTACGAAAACCCCAGCTTGTCTACATTAGTGTCTCTCAGTGTAAACCTGCTCGCAGATAGCTTGATTGACGACGATTTGCACGGCAGCATCGTTGCACAATCAACAATCCCCGCACACAGCATCATTCTGGTGTGCAACAAACGTCCTTGGTGGATGGCGGGATCTTAGGAAACATTATCCTCCTAGTTGTGTGCCGCCATTATGACCTGAACATCACTGAACTAGCGGAGTAGCCTCATGGTTCCAACGGAAGCGGCTTCGCTTTGAGCTTTATACCTACGAGTTGTCAGACTACCTGGCCACACCGCCCAGCAACCAATCATTGCAGGGGAATAATTTAACTTGGGCCAAACGACTGGTCAGGGGGAACCCTTTCTGTGACAGGGTCATAGACAACCACAGGAAGAACTCGACACATTCTGACCCCCAGAACCTAGACGACATGCGTCTATACGCCATTGCGGACCTGCACATCAGCTACAAGCAGAACCTCGAAGCTCTGCATGAAATCACGGCACACCCGGAAGACAGTCTGATTCTATGTGGCGATGTCGGAGAACGATTGGAGCATCTTGTCGAGGCATTTAAAGTAACAACCTCGCTTTTCAAGCAGGTGTTTTGGGTTCCCGGAAACCATGAACTGTACACATTACCTGGCAACCAGAAACACGAGGACGATTCTGACAAGGAACTGGACAAGGACCTACGCGGCGACTTCAAGTATCAGGAATGTATCCGCATTGCCAATGAATGGGGCGTCATCACGCCTGAGGACGAGTTCGTCAAGTGGGAAGGCGAAGGTGGACCTGCGCTCATCTGTCCGATCTTCACATTATATGACTATTCGTTCCGGCCGGCGCACGTGTCTCGCGCGGGTGCCCTAGAATGGGCTATGGAGGAGAACGTCTACGCCACTGATGAGGCTCTACTACATCCGGACCCATACGAGACGCGTGATGCTTGGTGCGAGGCTCTAGTGGCGAAGGCGGAAGAACGCTTGGAGGCTGCTGTCAGTAGAGGCATTCCCCTCATTATCGTCAACCACTGGCCCTTGCGTGAAGACCTGGTCACCATCCCAAGCGTGCCGCGCTTCAGTTTATGGTGTGGTACCACCTTGACTGAAGATTGGCATACACGATTCAATGCCAAAGTCGTCGTTACTGGTCACTTGCACGTCCGTCGTACCGACTGGATCGACGGCGTTAGGTTCGAGGAGGTTAGCTTGGGCTACCCGCGCCAGTGGCAGGCCGCCAAAGATAAAGGTTTGGGGGTCAATCAGCTCTTAAGAGAGATCCTGCCTGGTATTGAAACCCCTGAGGACGGGAAGACTATCTGGCGTCATTTTGGCATTCCCTCGGATCACAAATCAGGTTGAACCGCTACTTGGGGGAGAATTGGTCGACTGAGCGAAGCATTGAAATGAGTCATGTCTATGACAGACTACTAGAGGCATATACATATGTTGGCGTCGGAAAAATCAGAAGGACATGTCGTAGACAATCCCTCGCTGAACATATTGCTTTCAAGAAAGAGTCTCACAGACAACACACGGAGGAATTCCTAGAAATGGGTATAATCTACTTTTATTCATGCGCACGTCAATTGAATGCTAAATATCAAAACCAAATATAAAAACTCTGCAAAACCCAACCGTACTCACGCACGACCATGTGCGCATCCAACAGACACAAAAAGCCACGCTATCATGATTCTTTGGTACATTGTCTCAAGCTCAAACTTGTCTGCCCCTCGACCACCTCAAGCGCCGGTCAGATACTTGACCAACGAGTCCCTCTCACTCGTTGGCACAAGGCTCAGCACCTCGCGTACTCCTTTCAAACCACCTTCCTTGTTGCTCATCAACAGCTCAGCGACCTTCTTGCTGATGGCGTCACTCTTGAGGGCATCGATCTTGGCATACACCTCTTTGCGGTGACTTTCATACCACTCCGCAACCTTCCGATCGTCCTTGTCAAACTCGGCATCAAGGAGACCAGACCAGTTCTTGAGAATTGCAATGTTGGTCTCCTTTTGTGCCAAACTAGTTGCGGGAACTGTTGTAGCACCGGCAGCTTGGCTAGCGTTGAGCTTCTTGAGCAAGACTTCCTCGGACAATCTTCTTCGCAGACGCCAGTAGAAGAAGCGACGCGCATTCTGCCATTTCAGTGCAGACCGAATGGTTCCCTTGGCTTGCATGCGGCCGGCACGATCGTGGAGATCAGCAAATTGAATAGCAATCTGCTGGTAGATAGGTCCTAGGAGCTGTTCGCGTTCTGTCATCTTGAGCTTGATGCTGTTGAGCTGCTCAGGTGTAAGTCCCTTTGTGAGGGATTGAGCCTTCAATTCACCATATGTTGGGTCCAGTCTGGCCATGGTCTCGAGTTGCTTCTCGCGACGATACTTGATGCCAACAATACCTTCCGGCTCGAGCACACCACCGCGAGCTTCCTCATCAGCATACATTTCCATTTGCTCAGGGTTGATGGTAGGATCGACGACAACCTAAAACAATTAGCTTCGAATGACTGGTGAGAGAAAGGAAATAAACATACCCAGGAACCACCACGGAGTTCACCAAAAGGTGGAATGTACACAAATACGGGCTGCTCGTACTTGACGAGTCCATCGACAATGTACGAGCCATACTTGAGAACCTCGTTGAACATGTCTCTTTGACCACCAGAGAAGCCACGCCAGTTGGCAAGGATCATGACAGGGAGTTGTTCACCGTAGTTGAAGTCCTTCAATGCCTGTGCAGTCTTGAAGGCCGAGTTGGGGAACCAGACACCACCCGCTTCCTGAACAACCTGTTCGATGGAATCGGCGTTGGCTGGATCGGCCGGGCTAACGTTCTCCACTGTGCGAGTCTCGACGGCGATGACACCCATAGGGATACCGCCGAGACGAGCGCGGCCAACAACCACAGTCTTGGCCCAGCCGCCAAGAGACTCCTGGAAAGAGTCCTTGTCGAAAAGGCCGGACAAGAAGCCATCCTCATCTTGCTTGCCGGCGATCAGATGACGGACATCATAAGGCGCTCGGGGAGGAGGATAAAACGTAATGTCACGATCCCAAGGATCGATGCACGGGCTCACTGGAACAGGTTGTCCCTTCTTGTCTGGGATGAAAGACAGCCAGTCCACAATCTTCTCGACACCCTGGAAATCATCATTGGCAGTCATGTGAGAAACACCGTTCTTGTACATGATTTGGGTGCCACCAAGTTGGAGGTTGGAAGTGTAGACTTCCTTGCCCAACACCTTGTTGAGTGCAGGGGCACCGGTGAGAATGATTGGCTGACCTTCAATCTGGATGGCACGTTGTCCAAGGCGGACTAGGTATGCACCGATACCAACGGAACGGCAAGTCACCAAGGTAATGGTGAAGATATCCTCATACGCCTTGGAGGTGGCACCAGCAATCAATCCTGAGCCTCTCAAGCATTCGACACCCAAACCATCTTTGGCACCGACGATTGTTGTGATCTTGTGGCGCTCTTCGCCATCCTCGACGATCTTTTCGGTAATGACTTCTTTATCCTTGAGTTGTTTCCTCTTTTCAGGAGTAAGATAAAGATACTTGAAACCAGAGGTGGGGTTTCCCTCATCATTCCAGGCAACAGAGAAATGAGGAATCAACTCATCAGCCATACCAATACGAGCACCTGAGTTGGCAGACAGGTAAATGCGAGGAATGCCCAGCTTGCGAGCAAGCTCGGTGACTTTGTTGAACAGATTATCTTCTTGAGGACCAAAAGAGCCAATTTGGTATGTAATGTCGTTGGCCACAATGATGAATCGTCGACCTCTTGGATACTCGGGTGTTTTCGCTGTCAACAACCATGCAACCATGCCACAGTTGTTGGTGCCGGGCTCACGGGAGACTTCGGCAAGGTTGTCGGAATCGTCGAGCACCAGTTCATTGTACTCGACGCAAGTTCCAATTTCTGGCCTTGATTCAATGAGCGAGGGGTGCTTGGCGACGGCATTGGCCCAACTGTTTTGAATCGCCTGTCGGAAAAGCTCCGGGAAATCATACACGTATTGAGTTCCCATCAAATGAGCCTTGTAACGCTTAGGCTGCAACCATTCCTTGGTGGCGTACGGCGTGGAAACAGGACGCAAGTGCATGGATCCAATCTTGGTTGTGCCGCCAATGCTTTCAAAGACCCATTCGCCGTTGCGAGATTTCTTCTCGACATAGCTTTCGACTTGAACAACGTACCCAGAGGTATTTGTGATGATCACACGTAGAGGATATGGCAAACCAGTCTCAGGGTCCGTGCACAGAATTCTGATCTCGGCGCCAGTGACTCGAAGACGCAAGAAGCGTCTGGAGAAGCGCTCCAAGAACCCAGCAATCTGCTCCTCAACATCACGAGGCTGTAGATTGAACACTGGTGTAAAGTTGATGAAGATGTGATTCAAGTCAGAGTTGTTGTTGCCAATAATTTCAAGAGCATCGCAGATGTCGTTGACAAGACGGTCGGTTTCCGAGATGAGATACTCAGCAGTGGGGATTTCATCCTTAAGACGCCCTGGTCGAACAACGGCTCTTGTGAAGTAACGCTTATCAACAACCTTATCACTGTCGATGCCTTTGCCGGTAGCTTCATAGACATGAATGTTTCTGTTTTCGGTGAACACGGGCTTGATTTTGAATCTGGAAAGTCTTCCGAGTTCAAGCTGGAAGGCGAGGGCAGGCTCATTATGACGAATGCTCTGGTCTTCCTCAAAGGATGGTCCACGGAAAGTAAAGTAGCCAGGGTAGGTTCCTTCCTTGTGGCCACAAATGAATGTGACACGACGAACCTTTCTTGCCAAAAGCTCTGTCTTGTAGTCTGCGATGATACCTACGAGGCGCGAGGAGATTTCATCATCGGTCAGGTCTTCGATGTCGCGAATAGCGATATTGCAGACGTTTGTCAGATCATCCTCAGGAGGGGTCTCAGCTTTCTGAGGTCTTCGTTGGCTTTCGAGGGTAGGCATAAGGTAAGGCTGGCTGGGTCGTTTTTCCTTGACACCCTTGGGGAAGGCCTCCAGAGCCCGCGAGAGGGTGTCATCTGCTTCGTCGAGATAATGGCAAGGAGCAATAACACCTTTACGAGAAGGTTCGTCATCACCTTGAATCTTGTTCAGATATGACAAGTCGCTCACAGAAGAAATCCTCTTGAACGGGTTACCCTGCTGGGATGGAGTGGCCTGTCCGGAGGGGAATGACGAGGCCAAAGGCAGGCCAAACTCTGATTGACCAACTTTGCGCAAGACAAAGTCCCAAGAGAGATAGAATGGTGGATCGACGTCATTGTGATATCCAACCTCTTTCACCGTGTAAGCACGGTAGGCGCGGCGGATGTAGACCTCGAGAGCGGCCAGACCAACCCAAGGATCGCTGTGGGCAAAGAAGAGGGGCAACACATCGAAGACAGTGTAACGCGAGTCGACAACTTCTTTGAGGATGTCCAGATCCGGCTCACGATGCTCCCAACCAGTCTCGCCATACTTGGAGTCAACCACGGATGACTTGAGAATGTGTTCCATTTGCGAAGCTCGCTCTTCAAGTGATGGCAAAGCGCACAGGATCAGCAGCTCACGGGCTTTGAGAGCGACCTTGGCAGTGGGTCGCGACTCGAGCTCGGTGAGACGGCGGAGGGCAGGGCGGAAGTATTTGGCGACGTTCCCAACATTGGGCTGATTGGGACGATAAAGGTCGAGAATGGCAATGACTAGGTTGTTCTTGGATGCAACACGTGTATGTGACAAAACGGTGTAAGCGACGGAGAGGATGTCATCCTTGTTCTTGTCTCGAAGTTGCAAGATAACATCCTCGTCTCTGTGGCTACCAGAAGCGAATAATCTCTCAACTTCGGTGTATTTATCGAGCAAACCGACGAAAACGGAAAACTCGTGGACCTTCAATCCATCGGCGAATTCGGCGTTGACGTCCTCCAGGGGCGCGAGAGTCGCATGGAGAGCAGTAGCCTCAGCTGAGGACAGATTCTCTTCCGCGAATCGGTTGATGGCCTTCTGGAGCTGTTTAGCGGGGAATTCTGCGTGACGCGAATGGGCTCTGTCGACGATCTGCTCCAGTTGAGCATCAAGCTTGGGTGGAGTTCTCGAGTGGAGGGCAGATGATCTGACTTGCCAAAGACCGTATGGCAATTCTGGATCTCTGAGTACGGTAATCAACTCCTTGAGGGTGGAGTTCATGATGACTTGATTGTCAAAGCCCATGAGGATATTTTGCAAGGTACTGAGAGCCAGGCCAAACTTCTGATGTGGCTTGTCTCCGACGATTTGCGGTGGGCCCAAATCAGGGAGATGGCCCGTGAATGTCTCGGCAGTCTTGACTCTGGATGGGTCGTCCAGAGCCAGGATACCGAGAATATCACCAGCCTCGAGGGTGGCTCCTGGCTGTTTGATGAACTGGACGACACCATCTTCCTGTGCAATAAGAGGCATGTACATTTTCATGACCTCGACCTCGGCAAATGCCTGACCAGCATTGACATGGGCTCCATTGTCCACAGTAAACTTGACCAATTTGCCGGGAGATGGAGTTCTGAGCTGAGTAGGGTCATTTTCCTGCTCGAGCAAGCAAGTCTTGCTATCAACGCTGACACGGATGGCAGTAGCTTCCTCCTTCCAGTAGATACTGTGGGATCGACCTGCCAAGAGCATGAGAAGGCCTCCATCAGCCAAGGCTCGAACGCCGACCAGGCATTTTGAGCCGTTGATAAAGATGTGGTAACTGTCGAGACTGGCCCTGGTAGCTGTGAATTTGTATCGCTGGCCTTCGTAGATGAAGTCGATAGGAAAGACGGTCTTGAGGACGTCCTTGGAGGGCACTTGACCCTTCTCGAGACCTTTGCGATATTCATCAATGCTCGCTTCACTGGCAATATGAGCCTTGGTCAAGGCACCAGCAATAATGGCCAGCATTCGATCCGGTCGCTCAGCAGTCAACTTATTGGTAATCAATTGATCCAACCAGCCAGTGGTGATGGTGTTGTCCTCGAAGGCGGGGGTTTCCAGCAACTTGATGAGGTATTCGATGGTGGTTCTGAAGTCACCCCGAATGGACAGCTCCTTCAAGGCGACAACCATGTGTTTTCGAGACGCCGAGCGATTCTCTCCGTAGGCAAAGATGTGTCCGAATTGACTGTCGGAGAAGCTATGAATGCTAGATGCGGAACTGACGGAGAAATAACCCCAAACGTTTGAGCTAGACCTGAAGTTGAGGTCGTGCATGGTACCGCTGGAAGGCTTGAAGCCCTCGCCGGGATCTTCGGAGGTAATACGGCAGGCAGTTGTGTGGCCCTTGGGCTGAGGCCGTCTCTGGGTCTTCAAGCTGGCTTCGTTCTTGAAATGGAAATCAATCTCGGTGGAGCGATGAGGATCCACGCCGTATAACAAACGAATGTCACGGATTCTGTGCAATGGGATACCCATGGCGACCTGAAGCTGAGCGGCGGGTAGATTGACGCCACTCACCATTTCGGTGGTGGGATGTTCGACCTGAAGACGGGGGTTGAGCTCGAGGAAATAGAATTTGTCATCGGAGTGGGAATAGAGATATTCGACGGTACCGGCGGAGACGTATCCGACCAACTCTCCCAGCCTGACGGCAGCTTCCTCCATCCTGTGGAAGGTCTCGGGATTGGCAATGGTAACGGGAGCCTCTTCGATGATCTTTTGATGTCTGCGCTGGACGGAGCAATCTCTGCCAAAGAGGGAGATGTTGTTTCCATACTGATCGGCCAAAAGCTGGACTTCCAAATGTCGAGCATTTCCAGCCAGCTTCATGATGAAGATGGGAGAGCCGGGAATTTCACTCGCAGCGGCATTGTACAGGGAGACAAACTCTTGTTCGTTCTCGACTTTTCGAATTCCTTTGCCACCACCACCCTCTGAGGCCTTCACCATGACGGGAAAACCGATCTTCTTGGCAGCTTCGAGACCTTCTTGAGGAGAATGGACACAGCCTTTGTCATATATATCGTCTCTTACGGTCACGATCCCATTGTCGTCAATTTCGACCGAGTCCACGCCTTCACCTGACCAGGGAATACATGGGACTTTGGCGTGCTGTGCAACGATTGTGGAAGAGATCTTGTCACCGAGGGAACGCATGGCTGAGCCAGGAGGACCGATAAAGATGATTTTCTTGGGCGAGGCGGCAAGAGATTCTGGGAGCTTGGGATTCTCTGAGGCATGACCCCAGCCAGCCCATACGGCGTGGACGTTCATGCGTTCGGCAATATCGACGATCAGCTCAACGTTGGCATAGTTATTGTTGTTTGTGCCACCAGGAACCTAAAAAAACGCGGTCAATTGCATTGTATTTGGGTCTGGAAGGGACCACTGCCTGCATACCTCAACGTATTGATCTGCCATTCTGATATAATCTGCGTTGGCCTGCAAATCTTCTGGAGTGGCCATGACGGTGAACTGAATGGCACGTTCGTCGCCAAAGGTCTCGTAGGCCCATTTCCGCACTGAACGGATTTCTTTGACCGCAGCAATGCCGTTGTTGGCAATCAGTACCTGAAAAAGTCGTGTGAGCACTGATTCGAGAGAAATAGTGGTCTGCGTTCAACTTACGGATGTAATGGCAGAGTGACCATCATGCTCCTGAACAAAGTCCTTGACCTTGCTCGGAGGAGCTGTTTCTAATCTGCTACCCCCAATAAAATGAGAAGCAATGGGATGTTTGGCCTGCCAGGAACTCGGCGAGCCGTTGACGAGTGTGGATTTCCGGGAGCCATTAACCCCGTTGACGTTGGAAGCCATGATGACGGGACTGGTAAGACTGTATCATGCAACCGAGAGTAAGGGAAAAGGACGCAGACGAAGAGGACGGGTGGTCAAGTCGAACTCGTCGGTGCGTTGGAGGAAAAAGGAGTCGGGGGAATATAGTACGTCAGTATGTGCGGCTCGGTCGAGAGTGACACAGAGAGGTAAGGAACGAAAAGGTCGGGGGCAATGTGAGAAGAGTTGGAACAAGAAGAGATGTAAGAAGCAGTCAACGACTATTAAGAAGGAGAGGAAGAGAGGAGTTGGAGGGGACAATGTATGTAAGATGGTCAAACGTGGGCAGCGAGGAAGGTGCAGCTATAAGACGGTCTGGGGCTAAGCGGGTGCAGAAAAGTAAATAATATGGCAGAGGACCCAGTACAACAATATGATTTCCCACCACACGGCGAACTACGAACTACTTACAGCGAAGATGAGATCAGAGCTACAGTAGCTAAGTGACCAGGGGTGTCATTCTCAAGGACATTTTTAATTGTTGGATCCAAGTCCCTTCTGCACCAGGTGGTGCCCAGCGACCAATCTAAAGTTAGGGTTTCCGTGGGACTGCTTGGATGAAGAAACACCGTGTCTTTCGCACCGTGTCTGGGTGTCGGTCTATCTGTGTGAACGAGTGTCGAGGTGTCGCTGCACCTGTTTGCACGACCAAGACGAGACCCGTGCAAAGGGAGGCCCCCGGTTGGTGGCAGTTGGCGGTTGGCGGGCGCAGGGCCCAAGGGTACCACCCGTACATTTAGCTAGGCATACGGAGTACGCATATGTTGAGTTGGGGGGATCCTTACTGCGTACTACTGGGGTGAATTGGGCGCAGGGCCAACCGTCACACCCCGCACAGTCATTGGTCCTGTTACCCTTGGGTTGCCCATAAGTGTCGATCTTGCCCACGGCCATTCGCTATTCGGGACTTTGACGATCCACTACAGCTCCCCTAAGATTCCCATCAAAGAAAGACCCTCACCACCCGCTCGAAACTTCCTCAACCCCAACTCCAACAAATTTTCCCTGCGACCTGCCACTCCATCTCCCGGCTTGTTGAGGCCGAGGATGATGCTGAGGAGAGGTCGTGGCGATCGCTGGAGAAAACCACAAACTCACCACTATGATCTCATTGCCACACCCGTCATTCCCCAAGCTCTCCACGGGCAAATGGAAATCCAACAGAAAACCACCCGGCACCAAACACTACACCCCGTGTTGCTCTGCGTGTGCCTTGGAGGCAAGGGCCGGCATGCACAAAATGTAATGATATGGCGATACGACCCTGCACGACTTTGACTCGTCACTCTCTTCCCATCCTTGCGGCGACGATAATCATCTCCTTGTCATCTCCCTTATCTATTTCAGCCTCAAATACCAGCTGGGGCTCGAAAGGGGCGGTTCCGATCGAGCTACTTCGATGTGGCGCACTCGAGCGGAGTCCGTCCCCAGTTGACACACAATTTCGGACTCCGGGTCGTGTTTGAGTTTTTGGTGCAAGCAAGATGGAAAAAGTGACGGGTACCATTGGATAATATGTCTCTTAGAAGAATGTATCTTTGTTCAAGTATTTCTTCATTAATTCTCCGGTATATAGATCTCGATGCCACGCCTGAGACAATGTCATTCTTTATTGCCATGCATTTGAGCCATGACCCTGGCCCCTCAAGGGGTAAACAAATCAGGCTGCCCCTCGGGATCTAGGATCTCGTCAAGTCACTAAATTTGGGTGTTGAGGCCCCCAGCTGATTCGATCCGGTTAGCGCCGTCACCAACCTGACGCGCTAGTGTTCAGCCAAACACACGTGCCACCAGATGCAGATTTATTCCACGTGATGATAGGACCAATCATTATCTCAGGCTGGTGCTTTTAAAAGCTGACGGGCTGTCACCAAATATAACAATCTCTCACACGGACAAACAGGGCGCCCTGAGAACTTATATCGATATCGGCTGTGTATAAAGGACGCTGATGAACAGTCATGGCTATCATGCGGCATGGACACCAAGTGGTCGAAGAGAAACCCCTTTAAGTTAGCGGAAATGGAGGTGGGCTCCTGCCATGACTCCATCGTCGCTGTCGATGTCAGGTCAGACACAAACCATTCAAATTTGCTTGAAGTAGCGTATCAGATCACAACGCGGACCATAGTCTCTATCATTAATCCCCTGTTACTCACCTGAATCGAGCAAACGGCACGTTTGTTTCACAATTAATGATAAGATTCCCCCGTAGTTCTGGCAATAGCTTGGTTGCATCATCGATCCAATGGCTGTAGAGTGTAAATGAATGGTAGATATATAGGGTTCTGCTTCCTTTCCATGGTCTCGAATACACCAAGACACAATTGGAAGATCAACAAGGCTCAAATAATGAACACAGGCATGACTTCTGGTAAGACTTCAGTCCACCTTCTCTCGCCCTGAATCTTCCACAATTCCTGCAACGCTGCGAGAGCCGTAGGAATATTATGAAACCTTGTCCACGAATAAACTTCCTGAAGTCGCAAGGTGAAGAAATTGCGATGTTCAAACGTCGAACTCTCGGCAGCGGCAATGAAATATGCCCATACCAATGCATGATGACCTGGCTGGCCAGGCTGGATGTTGAGACAGAGATCCTTGAGTTCCTCGAGAATGGGGACGGTTTCGGAATGAGGAGGTGCTTTGGTGACGCGCGTCAAGTAAATCCTACACGCACTGCGGATGGCTGTTTTGTACAGGGCGATCTGTGGTGCGAGGCCGGGGAAGAAGACTGCGGCGTTGGAGATGAAGTCGAAGTACTTGTCGTGAGCGGATAATGTGGATGTGCCCGAAACCTCGCCGAGGAGAGGCTGGGCAAAAAGTGTCATCATTCGTGTTTGCTCCTTCAAGAACGCGTGCATGGCGGAATCTTGTCCGTCGCGTGTGTTGGCAGCGGCTAGATGCTGTAATAGCCGGAAGAGGATGGGGAGGTTATTCCCTCCGGTGACGGTCTCGCCAGTTAATAAAACAATAATGGTCGTCCATGCAGACAGGTCGAGAAGGTTCGCGTTGGAGGATGACGGATCCGCTCGATGTCGGAGGTTTCGAATAATGCTCTGTAGTCCTGCATCGGCTCGGTGCTGCAGTTCTGGCCTTTGAGCGGCGAGGTGGTACATGGACACCACCGACACGGCGGACTTGACGAGATCGTCTTCGTATGCCATGGGGAGAATCAAGTCTCGATAGCCGTTGAACTTGCCGTCCAGCACCACCATTACAGGGGCGACAGCGCTAGAGAAATGAGAGAAGAATTCTCGATGTTGTGATGATAGGGCTTCCAGATAGCGCGGGATGGTCTCTCTTGGAGGCGAGATGATGAACGAGTTATCAATGTAGCCCTGGGGTAGATATTGCGGTGAAAAGTCACCAGACTTCAGTAGCATTAGAGACGATTGTCCATCGTCTGATTCCTCAAGACAACCTTCCTGGCCATCCGGAACGAGCAGACTGGGATCGTCAACTATCAAATCACTAGGACTCAGCGTCAGGGCGTCAGAAAGAGGATTGAAGACTGATGGACTAGGTGCATCCTGCGGCATTGGTGATTGTAGAGGCGAGATAAAGGTATCTGCCCAAACGAGATCCGGGAGGGGTTGCTGCCGCTGTTCAGAGACACCAGAGTGATTGGATTCATCATCGAAGGATCGGACCCGACCTTTCAACTTGCCTCGCGCGGCTAGGCCATCGTTGAACCTATATCGGATGCCATAGCCTGAGCATTCTAGCCCCTTTGCTGTACATTTGTTGCAGGCTGGTCGGGTCCCATCACATTTGACACGCCTCTGCGAACAGATATGGCAGCCTGAGACACACTTAGTCATCGCATCTTGACTTTGAATGTCACAACACGTACCGGATTTGAGTTTGGGCATGGAGTCCAAGTGTCAGTCTACACAAGTGGGCGACCTGGGCCCTCATCATTTGAGCGTCTTCAGCACGAGTCAGGAACCTGTGGTGTTAGGAATGTTGGATACTGACTCAGGATTGTCCATGTTGGGAAGAACAGAACTTGAAGTTGGTTCGGCGTTCCTCGGCAGCCTCCCCCCACTCCACCCCCTCTGCGTCACGTGATGTGTATTTGCACTGGCCAAGAGAGGAGGCGAGATATCAGACTCTTGATATGTAGACGCAGAGCAGGCCAGAGAATTGTCTACATTATCTGTATATATGTCTCGTTCAAATTCCAATATTCTCTATGTCAGCCTTGTAGGTTTCAACAGTCACGACTTGACCTCATGGATCGAGCTACCAGAATGTATCATGTGAATAAAGTCCTATCTTTCGCTAAGTGAAGATTCCCAATGTACGACACGCCTACGATATAACGGTATACAGTATCTCGCTCCTAAAGAGACTTCCAACATCAAAGGCGAGATGTAGGCGATCGGCTCAGCAGCTCCTCCTTGACCGTCAATGCTGCTTCTGTCCCTGATTGAATAGCTCCATCAATGAAACTACGCCATCCTCCTGCAGCCCAATCCGAGTTGGCAAAGAGGATGGCACCTTGCCTTTCACGAAGACCTTCAAGGTATTTGACTTCCATTCCTGGCCGATACCAGACCCTGTTTTACATGTCAGTTGTTTCTCAATGACCCTAGCTTGTTTACTTACCATGCTCCCTCGGCGAATTCATCCTTGGACCAGTTATGGAAGACCTATGTCGTTGAGTTAATTGCAATTCCTTGATCCTGAGGCTATTTCACTTACCAATCTTTCGACATCCATAGGCGCGAAGGACTTGACAGCTTTCAACGTTTCCTGGATGTTTTCGTCGGCATGTATATGGTTGGCATCACATCCAAAAAAGACACAGTGTGTGTTTCCTGCTGGAGTGGTCCCATCGGCGAGACCAATCACCAGTTTGTTGTTCGGATATGTGACACCACTCCATGATCGCATTTCTGGATCCTTGATTTCTGCATGAACCTTGACGCACTGATTGACATGCTTCAAAGCGGAAGCTTCTCGCTTGGCCTGGTTTAACGGTGGGTTGAAGTCCACTTTGTTAAGCACGTTTAGAGGAACCGTGCAGATAACTCGTTTGGCCTGGAATTCGTCCCCTTCCTTGGTAAGAACACGAACGACATCACCCGTTCCGTCAACACGAGACACTGCCGTGTTGAAAGCATATGCCAAGTTCTGCGTTTCTAGGGCCTCTTTGAAGAAACGGATTGCAAATCCAGACTGACCACACTTGAGCTTGAAGATGATAATAGTGTCAAGCAAGGTTTTATAATCATAATTACCAGCCGCCCACCAACGCAGGAAGTCAAGGAAGGCAGAGTTGTCTCGAGTGCCTCCGCTGCACAGTAAGGCGAAACTCTCAATTGCGTGCTGCTCATCTTCGGACAGATCGTGTTGAATCTGAGCGATCCGGTCGGCGAAAGACATGTTCGCATACTGCAAGACATCCTTGTTCCAGTGTGCATTGAAAGGGAATGGCATAACCGTCTTGCCATAATTGCCGTCAACATTCACAAACTTTTGCACCGCACGCGCAAATAGCTCATCCTTCATCTGGTCAGTATTGCCAAACGTCCGGGTTGCATTCGAATTGGCTTACTTCTTCTTCGTGGCTCATCTCCCTTCGACCCGACCTCGTTGCGAAGCTAAAGAAATTGTGCTTCTTGCTATAGTCGGTGGAATGTACAAGTTGATCGATCATGCCATATCTCGACAATTCGCGATACACATGTGGTTGGAACCAGTGCACCCAAGTGCCACCCATTTCAAACGGATAGCCATCAATGTTTGATGACCAGGTTCGCCCTCCAATGCGATCTCTTCCCTCTAGAAGGAGAGTCTTCAAGCCTAAGCCATACGTAAGCAAGCCACGTTGATGACTTTGTATGCAAAACTCACCTGAGGTCGTTGCATCTCTTGCAGCAGTCAGACCAGTATAACCGGAGCCAATGACAATGACGTCGAATACTTCACTCGTTTTGCCCACATTGCGAGGCGGCTGGATGACCCCTATTGAAGGAAGTCCTTGCTGAAGAGTACCATTTGGAGACCATTGCCAGCCCTCGCGAGATCTGGCCATTTTGCAGAAGTGAACAGTACGGGAACTAAAAGACAATTGATATGCTGCTGATGAGGACTTGGGTGAAATTCCAGATGCACTAAATGCTGGCAAGTCGTCCAAAGTTATATGCTTCAGACTTGCTGGCCAAGCTCGAACTTTTCAAAGACTCTCCTTCCTTTTTGCGAACAGGCAGATAAGTCAAAGACCAAAGATTCGCTAAGTACTTGGGTAACGATGTCTGGACTCATGGATCCAACAACCTGGAGCGGACCCCTCCGCTCCTCATCATCTCAGGCTGGCGAAGAGTGCCTATTCGAGTTAGTCAACATGCTTCCTTCACAACCTAAATTGGTCGTGTCTTGTACGCCGCTCACTTAAACTTCCTAATTGGGATGACCATATCCCCGTCTGATTGGTTCACCCTGGATGCTCCACCGATCGACCTGGGGTCATATGCCCTGGAATACGATGCGTTCACTCCAATACCGCGTTGGACTGGCGAGGTGAACACAGCATATTAGAGCTGGAACTGCCCTTTCTCTGCTTGAAATGATGTGTTTCCCTTCCATCTCTATCGAATGTTTGACGGCCATTAGCTGTCACTTGTACACAGAATGGGATTCGAGGAATCGAGCAAGAGCAATGCAGGACTCCATGATGTCTCTAACGATATGAAGCTTGGTAGGTGATCCCTGCAACACTTCCAAAGGCGTGTGGTTCCACTGAGTTGGATCATCTAACATATCACTTGCATTCTAGAGCCATCGCACCAAGAAGGCGTCTTTCGTACCGCCGACCTCGCTACCCTCGGGCTTTCTCAAGAAACCGAGCGAGACATTGGACCACTGGATATCATATGTGTGGGATGGAACATCTGCAACAGCTGGGCTGGAGTAGCAGCCACGATGGCTCTTACTATTGCTCAAGGAGGTGCCGTCACTCTGATCTACGGCGTCATCGTCGTCTTCATCATGGTTGGGTGTAGTGGATTGACCATGGCTGAGTTGGCCTCGGTATATCCGACTGCTGGAGGACAGTGAGTGATGTTACCACCATTTGAAATATGAGTCCCTCTTATACTAAACCTCTACCTCCCAGGTATCATTGGACTTCGATCTTGACTCCTGCTAGACCTGCCCGTATCTTAGTACGCCAACCTTCCACGCGTCTCTCCTATACCATTCTTTACTAACACTTCAGCAGAGCTACGCCTGTGGAGTCACCAATGTATATGCCTGGATATCCACGACCGCAGGTATTGCCATCATCATCGCTCAGGTCATCCTCGGGATGGTCATCTTCTACCAACCCGACTATGTTCCAGAGACATGGCATTACTTTCTCGTATACCAGGTCTTCAACCTCCTTGTCTGCATCCACAACATTTTCACCCTCAAGAAGACCATGTGGGTCAATGATGTATCATGTAAGTCAAACAAGAAGTCCAACTCCACCGGTAAATCTCACGGTCTAAACCATATCAATAGTCGTCGTCACCCTCACTGGCTTCTTCACCATCATTGTGACATGCCTGGTACGCAGCTCACCAAAACAAGATGCCGCATTCGTCTGGAGTACATTCGTCAACGAAAGCGGCTGGAGCGACGGCGTCAGCTTTCTCACTGGATTGGTATCGCCGAATTACATGTATGCCGGAATCGATGGGGCAATCCATCTTGCTGAAGAATGCAAAAACCCAGCGAGAGTGGTTCCCAGAGCCATCATCAGTACCTTGGTCATTGGCTTCATCACTAGTTTCACCTTTGCAGTCACCATGACATACGGCATTGCCGACTTTGACGCCGTTCTCAGTACACCTACAGCGTAAGCTCTTTTTCTACCGAACTATCGATCAGTGTCTAGGATTCTAACCCATGACTAGGGTTCCCGCCTACGAGATCTGGTATCAAGCATCCAAATCCAAGGCCGCAGCAACCACCTTCATGGCAATCCTGCTGACTGCTGCAACGGTGGCGCTGATTGCCGTTCAGCAGACAGCTTCCCGACTGACATGGTCCTTTGCAAGAGACAATGCCCTACTTGGATCCAAATTCATGGGTACCATCCATCCTTCCTTGGGTGTCCCTGTGTGGGCACTCCTAGCAAATGCCTTGGTCGTCTTCATCATCGGCTGTATCTTCCTCGGCTCGTCTACGGCATTCAACGCATTCATCGGCACTAGTTTGATCCTCCAACAAGTCACCTACGCCATTCCTGCCGCTTTACTCATGTACCGCAAACGGTCTCATTCTTTCCTGCCAATTGACAGACCTTTCAAGCTGTATAATCCGATCGGTTGGTTAGTCAATATCGTAACTGTGATCTTTGCCATCATTGTGGTGATTTTCTACAATTTCCCTGTTATATTGCCGGTGGCGGGATCTAATATGAGTGAGTGAACTCCCGCCTTGGTAGAAGATTTTCTTTTCGTTCGAAACCACATGATGAAAATTACTAACCGCGACTGTCTCCAACCAGATTACACGTCGGCTGTGATTGGAATTATGGCCATCTTTGCCGCGATCAATTGGTTCATCCATGCTCGAAAGAAGTATCATGGCCCAAGATTAGCAGGAGCGGAGTGATGGAAGTATGAGGATTTTGGGCATCGGGGCCTTTTGTCACTGTAAAGATACTACCTAGGTAACTGCTTAGACTTTGGCGGAAAGTCTTGAGGTATCAACCAACATTGACCAATTTTCTAAGTGAAGGCATGGCCTCTATTTGGTACCATGCCTATGTATTAATGCTATATGTTGGTTGTATGTAGATGTAATTAAAGCTGCGCTGTCCTCTAGCCACGAGCAGAGCACAGAACCCTGACCATTGCGAACAGCCCTTCTCTCCCTAACTCAATCAGATGTCCAAGTCTCATTCCATTGAGTATAATTCAAATTTGGTTCGAGAAGCGGAACCAGATCGAAAACCTCTGGCGAGACCTCGTCATCATCCTCACTTCCATCCCAACAATAGCGCTCGAAACATTGACCGCAGACATCGGGCAAGTCGAATCCTTCACGAATGAGACTCTTCTTGACGACAGCGCATGCCAAACACGCAGGCCAATCCTCATCGATGGTGCCGTTGCCAAATGTGATAATCTGGAATGAATTGTTCATCATGAGATCGAGTTGGTTGTCGGAAAAGGTCGATTGGAGGTATGAATAGTTCGAGTAGGTAGACCAGGGCGCATTGGGGACATAGAGTACTAGTGGGACGGTGGAATTCTCCTCGTCTGTCTCGCTGCATCCAAAGAAGGTGGGGAAGCGAGTGAAGTTCAAGTTGACCATTGTGCGTGAAGACGGGATGGTTGGGAAGGGGATGTTGCCTTCGGCGGCGGAAAGATTGGTATCTAATATAGTGGTCAGGATGACTTCTTCTCTCACGAGTGGAGAAGGGGATCTTTGAGACTTACTGACTAAGTTTGTGCCATTGACCCAGGAGTTCGGGGCGTCGGAGCTGGCATCATATGCGATGATGAAGTCGACCTTTCGCTCTGGGATGATCAATGGTCGCAATGGAATCGTTTCTCCAGTCTCGCTTCCATCAACCTGTAACTCGATCAGTAACTTGCCCAGGGGATGGATAATTAGGGACATACCAGTAAGAGGTCTGTCACGTTAACCATCTCTTCAGTATAGCCTTCAAATGGGTTGGGATAAGTAGCCCACAGAGACTCATTGAAAGTAAGGTCAAATTCCTCGGCTGTGCCGTTGACCAACTGCACAAGTGGATTCTCCTCCTCATCCTCGGGGACGACGATGGTAGCTGAAGGGCTTTGTCTCTTGCGAAGACCAAGAGCCTCCAAGGATCGCTTGGCGAATAATGGAATGTTGTACCAGTCATCAATGAACCAGAAATTGAAAGCATTCGCGGTTGAACCTTGGACGAAAGTGACCTTGTCGAAGCCTTGGACGCACGAGTCATTGGCCTGGGGGAGGCCGTCACTCATTGAGGTTCCAAGATACTTGGTGGGCATGAATGCTTGAATTCGGCCTCCCAGCCAGCTACCAAATTCAAATGGGTTGAGTTCGAAGCTGGTCAGATTGAAACCATTGGTGGCATTGTTTCCAGGATACATGATACCACCAATATTGGGTGACTGTCCTGGTACAACTTCTGCCATGGCAACGATTGGCATGGGGCCTACCCCAAGGGCAAAGGAGTGGTTAGTGCTGTTGATGTCGGACCATGATCGATAGCCCCAAGCCTCTGGAAGATATTGCCGGAACTGCTGTCCGAAAACATCGACGACGGTGACGGTGAAGTTGGCCTCTGCCTTGGCTCCAGCGTTTTCAAAGAGACTGGCGAAATACTCGGTCTGGTTGCCAGTAGGGCCTACCTCGTAGTTGATCGTAAAATTAATGGCCTCTCGAAGGCGCTCGATGGAGGTGAAATTGTTTGTTGCGCTATTACATTTGCATCAGTATATGATCAAAGACTTGGTTGGTAAATCAACTCACAGTGAGCTAACGGTCAGGTAGCCTCCTCCAGAAAGACCAGTCAGATAGGTCAAGCATTGGGTGAGACCTCCAGTGCCGGCGGCGACAGCAGCCGGGTAGCGATCGTCGAGGGCTTGCCACAAGCCCAGACCACCAACGCCAGATTGGCTACCTCCTCCAGAAATGGCGAGTCCAACCACAGGAGCGTTTGTTCCATTCAGTCTAGAGAGATAGTCGGTGACGTTTAGTCCAGTAATGTTTGCGCGAGGGAGATATGTTCCCAGAGACTCCACCACGTTTTTGAGACGGGTTTCTCTCCATGCTTCCTCAGCACGAGACAGGCCCTGGAAATATCAGAATCATGGTCTTTCATCGTGGTAAACAAATAGGTGGTAGGGCGATGACTTGATGCCACCTATGTTAGCACCGGAATGGACTTACAGAAGTCGCATTGCGCACCCTGACAGAGGAGGTGCAATTGACCTGAACGGGTACGTAAGGATCTTGTCCTTCCTGGGCCAGTGTAGGTTGGAAGACTGATACTGCCAGAAAGGCGACTGCTGCTATAGAGAGCTGCATTTTTGTGGAGCAGAAGATAGCGCCAGGAGATTTCAACGACGATGGGTCTCACAAGAAAAGAAGTTCCCACAGTGTAGAGCCACGAGGACCGACTTATTAAACCTACTCGTCCTTGTGGAGGGATATAGGGTGCCAATGATTACCATCTCTGCGACGGTCCGCAATACGACGTAGGAAGATGGAAGCATAGCTCTGTATCGGGTATAGCAGGTCGTCACTTGATGCATAGGGTTTAACAGTTAGTTGTGGCAATTCGTCATCAGGTACAAGATAGGAATCTGTAATGGAATGTGAGGTTTGCTACTCCCAAAAAAGTTTGGCGCTGTGACCCCCGCTGAACGAAAAGAGTTCAATATAGGAAGCTCGAGCCACATGACGTGGAAGCCGCCTTGGGTGGACACTCGAGGGCATTGCAAACGGCACAAACTAATGGAATCAACCAAACCTCGCTTAACTCATGAATCAATGATAGAAGATCTCCTTGGCATTAGTGAGAGCTGAAAATACCGAGACAATGGCTTGCAGCTCCAGGTGTACGGAGTATGGGGGAGAGGAACGACAGTTCACATTGTCTCACCTCGCGAAGCTAACCTGATATAGATATCGATCGATTCTCAAAGCTTGTTGGAGTCGGGGAACCAGAAGCCACCTTGCGGGGAGCCGCTCAATAGTCACGGATCCATGAAAAGAATAGCATGCTTTCGTAGTCCTTCTCTGGACCAGCTGAAAGCAACCAATGTCTCGCGAACTAGCTGCCAAGGACCAAGCGTGTGACTGACTATGGTGGGGCCGACCAGAAGACGGCAGAGAACCTTCGTGGTGGCTTTTCCATGCTAGATCTTTACTGCATACTGGTTCCTGAAAACCGCGTGGCTGGGATTCAGGTACGAGGAAGTGTGAAAGTCGATAGCACGGCGCGCAGTTGAAATCATCGACCATGAGTGGCAGTGCCTCTGATCCTTTGGAAAATCAATCATCATGAATATTCATATTTCGTGCTGTCTAGGTGCTCGGACCACTAGTCAACGAGCTCTGATCTTGGCCATCCGGGAAAAAGTAGGCGCCGACGCTAGAGAGGTCAGCCTTGTCACGATCGTCGCATGTCATATGTCAGGTTCAACTTACGCGATGACAATGTAGCATGCACAAAGCAGTGCTCCTTCGAGATAATTGCTTCGTCCATCCAGCACGAGAAAATTAACGATGAAAGTTGAAACGAATAGAGCGCCCGTCTCAAAGAGACTGAAATACAGCGACATGTCTTTGTTGAGAATCCAACCCAGGATGACGACAAAAGGGGTGACAAACAACGCGATTTGAATCGAACTGCCCAGGGCCACTCCTAGGGCTAGATCAAGTTTATTTTTAGCGGCGACCGTGATTGCGGTAACGTGCTCGGCCGCATTTCCGACGATTGGCAGAATGATTAAACCAACAAAAGCTTCGGAAAGAGGCGAGTTCTCTACCAAGTGTTGTATGCTACCGACCAGGAATTCGGCACAGAGTGCGACCAAACCGGTCGATATTAACAAAAGCATGATCGATGCCGTTTGGCTCATTGGGGGCTCACTCTCCACTTTGACTGGGCCTTTGGGAGAATCCTGACGACGAATGTGGTGAGCTGGAGTAGATCTCGCTGGATTCCGGTTCTCTGGGTCAGATCGAGATTGTAGAAGGGGAGATGCCCGGTCTCGGAGGCCATCTGATGGAGTGGTCGCGCTCCTAAAGACTGGTGGAGGACGGAAAGATATTCCTCGTTGAGTCAATGGTTTCTGTTGGGTGTCTGAGTTAGATTGCGCCGCTGAAGGGTCTTTTGATGTATGTTGAGGACGTGGATGCTCATCAGGGGCGTCTGAGGGTTTCTCAGTAATGATGTCCCCAGAGTCAGGGTTGTTTGGGGTGGCGATCTTCCCAGTGGCAGGGCCAGGGACAACTTCTGTCTTGACATGTCGTTTCCTGCCTAACTTGGACTTGAGTCTCTTTCGAACGCGACGATTCGAGCCTGAATTAGTCGCAGATCCGCTAGTCGAAGCATGAGATGACGCGGCAGAGGACGAACTGGTCGAGTCGAAGCGAGCCAGAAAACCTGGAACAGTGGTCTCGTCAATGCGATGCTGAGGCGTGCCAACATAAAGATAGGCGTGAGATTTGAGCTGAAAGAGTAAGTATAGAACATAAATCAGCAAAAGAATGACGGAAGTGCCTCGACTGAGCTTCAGGACTTGTGCATCCGCGAGAGCCAGATCGCTGAAAGAGGCGTGGAATACGGTCTGGTGGAGAGTCAGGCAGATTCCGGAAGCGTGGGAGGAGGAGGCGCACCGGGATGAGCAGACTAAGAACCGAGAGGGCAAGAAGACAAGCAGACATCTGAGTTACGGTTGAGTCATAAATCTGCTCTTGGAACTCTAGGCCGCCAATCAAGAAAGCCATGCCGAGGATCAAAAGTAGGTTGGCCAGCAGAGAGCCTATCAAGGAGGCTTGGACGATACGTATCTCATTTTTGACGAGAGCAATACTGAGACATTGGTGAGCTTGATCTTAGAGTGATACTTGGGCGACTGACATGAAGATAATAAGTTCAACAGCATTCCCAAAGCTAACATTGAGCAAGGCCCCCAGGGTCGGCCCCAATCGGTGGGCAACTGATTCGGTGGCGAAGGTGAGGAGCCCGGCGAGGGGGATAATGGCGACTGCGTTCAGGGCAAAGACGATATTGGAGTTCACTTCAGCGAAATGAACGATAATTCCGGCGGGAACAAAGACCAGCAAGAGGTTTACCCAGCTGTGGAAGAGAGCAGTCTTGGAATTTTTCAAGATTCGACTGAGCAATGAGATGTTGGAGTTTGCCTGGGAGGACTGACTGGCCTCTTCTGACGCGTGTCCAGGGGTCCCGGGAGAACTTTCAAGATCCTGAGCCCAAGGATTGAAGTGGTTCTTGTGGGCTGAGGAGTGAGCCCACGCTCGGACTCGATCTAAGCACGGTTAGAGGGAGATCAACAAGGAAGAAGAGAACAAACGCATGATTATTGAGGAGATCGCAGACGCAGTGGCATGTCGATTGGCTGGGGGAAAGAATGCAGGAAATGAGTGTGGAAGAAAGTGTCAAGATGTCGGCAAGAGCAACGATGACGAGGATATTGTTGATGAACAGTTTGGCATTTTAAGAAGTGTGACAAGGAGCGTCGTGGAAAGCATTGAGAGGATGGAAAACAAGAAAGCGAAGCCTCGCCAACCAAGAAACAAGCAATCTGGGGTTGCGCTCTGGTATGACGCAGGTCGCTTCAGTCTTGGCTGATTATGCGCCTGCCTGTGAATAACTCAAGCCAAGGCGCTAATATCGACACTAACATGCTAACACTTTCCTTAAGCTCCGAGTACAATTGAATTGCCCAATGAATATGACATTGTAAATCTGCTCAAAAGTATCTGAGTGGTTCTGATTAGGATCTAGCTCTAACTCGTCTAGCCTCTCACTCCTAACAAGACGAGCATGCTTTCTCATAGACTTGGGAAAGTGCCGGTATGGATGTAAGCCGTAAGCAATAGCAGTAGCAGTAGCAATTGGGACAAGGAGTTCTGACTGATCTGCCAATGCTGGACCCCCTCCATCATCAATATGAGTTGATGACTCCCATCTAATTCAGTCTCGATATGATAGACCCCAGCGAGAATCATGCAAGGCGGGAATGGTTCCTAAGCAAAAGCCCGAACACTCGAGCAGACGTTCTCGTCGATAACCTCAATGAGCTGATCGGCTGGGCCATACACATCTCATCTGATGCGTCGAAATCTCCATGACTGGGCCCGCTTGACCTGGATTGCGGTGTATGAATCGTGATAGAGTCGTAGAATCGACATCGCGGCGTCATTGTCCCATGGTCATTGCATCATGACAGTGGTGGGACGCTGTAGAAAAGCTCCGGATACAGAGCTTTGTTCAAGGACGGTTTGAGACCTAAACCTTGGAGATGCTGTGAGCCGCAGCACATTACAGCGAGAGGCAAAAAAGCTTGCTGCAACAGCTACCGCTAGAGCCAGCCGGACAAGCCAGCCTCACACCATGACTTTGCAACACAGTTACAGTGTCGCTTGATGTGAATATTCTTCCACAGAAGATCTGGCCCTTGCCCTGTGTGATTTAGGCCTTGTCTTTGTGCTGAGCCAGCGTGCCATTGACACTTAAACAACAATCACACTTCATCCCAGGCTCGGCCGTCTTTTGACAAACTCTTCCAGATCCCCTCTGGTCACCACACCCAAGACGAACTTTCGGCCACCATCCGTAACCACAGCAAAGTCTTGCTCTGTTCCGGTAGCATAAGGTCCAACGTTTTCAAAGAAGCCTTCCAGCTCCCACAGTTCGGTCTCCATCGTGATGACTTGATATTTCTTGTTGCCCCGACGTTGGAACTTGACCATAGCCTTGGACACGGGGTCGGAGGGATCCAATTGTTTTGTCTCGAAAAGGTGTTTGAGGCTAGAAATGGCCAGATAGCCGAGGAGAGAACGTGTTGTTTCTGACAGGACAGTCAAATGGGAGTAATCGTGGGACGATGCGGACAGGAGGGCAGTGGCGAGTGATGTGCTTGGTGATGTAGACAGGGCAGGGGGGAGATCGAGGTCGGCAACCGTAGCTCCTCGATACTTATTAGCCCATTGATTTAGTCTGAGTGAGTGGTCGTCGTCCAAGGGTGGCATTCCATCACTCTGGGGAACGATGGTGCTTCCCAATGGAACTCCATGCTCAAGGGTTGAATGCATGCTTGCAGTCATGGTCGCGGTTCGATGCGGGTGATGTTGTCAGAGGTCGAAGGATAAGAGAAGGTCGAGGTGCAGCTATAAAAAAGACGAGTCAAAATAAACACAGTGCTAGAGTTAACCTTAAGGCAGACACCTTAGAGGATGTTGTAACTGCGTACTTTTTTTCGCAGGCAGACCAGACCCCGAGGTTCAAGGCTGCGCGACATCAGGAGATAGATTCTTTGGGTTAGCCTTTTAGGCCTTCTAGGCGGTCCGTGGTGGTCCTCGAGAGGATCAATGCCCAGAATTTCAAGTGGACAACCCCAAGAGCAGCCTATGGGCCTTTTCGAAATAGCTTTAACGCCATATGATTGAACTAAAAAGTTGATTGGCTGATAACGAGTCTCGGCGCATTTCTCTTGGCAAAACCATTGGATATCCGCGAGTTGCGATCCCGTGACTGAGCATTCAGAGCAACACGCAAGTGCCCTAGAGAGAAGGGCTATGTGGAGGGTGCCCTGGAGAGAGTGCCCTTGGGGAGTGTATAGTAGTGATCTCTAGAGCTCTATAGGCGACTTAGCATTAGTCGCAGCCGCTACTCGCTACGTATATTTTAGTGGTGGCGGTGGTGTTTGTTTTCGTTGATGAAATAGAAACTGCGTTGGCGATCGAAGGGCAGCTCCATGAGCGGCGGTACCTTCCGCCAAATTTGGCGGAAGATTTCCCTGCAACCCCTGTTGCAATAGTAGTGCGTATGCGCTTCATCTGCCTCGTGTTTGAATGTGGGGAACTGATTAGATGGTGGCTTCGTCGTCGTGTACAGATCTTGCTCCAGGTGATAAACAACGGTCAGCAACAAGCAATGGGAACGACACTTATTATATCTGTGACAAAAATCATGGTGATGGTTCTCCAGGACAGCTTCTGGGGGAGTTGATCATCGACGTCAGAACTGAAGGCACCCTGGCCCTTTCCCCCTCACTTCGTATCCGGGAATCCGACGAACAATCCGCCTTATCGCCGGACTACCTACGGAGTACGTCCTCACGTACTGTTGGTTGGTACCCTTGCACCTGTACGGAGTACGGAGGATCAGAAGCTTTGTGATGAGAGAAGAGACGAGCTGTCACTCGCATGCGATTTCCCTTGACTGGAGGTCTGCTCTCTACCCCCGGTCGACACTACCTTCCAAGGCCATAATTCTTGTGCCAGGTAGGAAGTGATGACATTGTAGCTCCTCATCAGCTTTTATCGCTTCGCTCACCATCAAGCGTTAATAACTTAAGTACTTATCATCTCCAACAGACCATCATCCTTGCAGTTGAAGGAATCAAGGTATGCTACGCTCATGATCCCCAGTCCATGCTACATGGTATCCCCGTTCCTCACTTTCAAGCTTCCATTTTCTGAAGATAAGCTCACTCGTCATAGCACCATGGTTGGACTCTTTCCTTCCTCCCACGCCATGTACCAGGCGATGATGCCTACCTCGCCCTACTATAAGCCGGCGCCTCCACCTGTCGAGAATCCTCAGAAGAGACACTACTTCAGCAACTGGAGCGCCGCCGAGTCGGCCAAAGGCAAGGCCATCGAGCTAAGCGAGGCGGCACAGCAAGAGTATGAAAAGGCCAGCCAGAAGGCCCAGGCCAAAGCTGGCAAGATTGAGCTCTATTCAGCCAAATACTATGCTGCCTGCACTGTGGGCGGTATTCTTGCCTGCGGTGCAACCCACACTGCCGTCACCCCTCTCGATCTTGTCAAGTGCCGTCGTCAAGTCGATCCCAACCTCTACAAGGGCAATATGGAAGCATGGAAGAAGATTGGCAAGGCTGAAGGCATTCGTGGCATCTTCACTGGCTGGGGCCCGACCTTTGTGGGATACTCGGTTCAAGGCGCCGGCAAATATGGCTTCTACGAATACTTCAAGCACCTCTACTCTGAACTGGCTGGCGAAGAAAATGCCGCTAAATACAAGACAGTTCTTTACCTGACAGCCTCGGCCTCGGCCGAGTTCATTGCTGACATCGGTCTCTGTCCATTTGAAGCTGTCAAGGTCCGCATGCAAACCACCATACCCCCGACCTTCACCGGTACCATGCAGGGTATTAGCTCCATCACAGCCAAGGAAGGAACCGCCGGGTAAGTCATTAGTTGGCAGCGAGATGTTGCACGAGACTCATTGACGTGTCTAGATTATACAAGGGCTTGTATCCACTGTGGGGTAGACAGATTCCGTACACCATGATGAAGTTTGCGTCTTTCGAAAATATTGTCGCAGCCATCTACAACTATCTCCCCGGCCAGAAATCGGACTACAACAAAGGAGCCCAAACCGGTGTGGCCTTCGTTGGTGGATACCTGGCTGGTATTCTCTGCGCCATCGTGTCACATCCCGCCGATGTCATGGTGAGCAAGTTGAATGCGGATCGTGGTGCAGGAGAAGGCTTCGGTGCTGCGGTGAGCCGCATCTACGGCAAGATTGGATTCGGTGGTCTCTGGAACGGCTTGCCGGTCAGAATTGTAAGTGGTTCTCGTCCAGCGATTGTGAGGCCCGCGGTGTGCTAATCAACCTTCTTTTAGGTCATGATTGGAACTTTGACCGGTCTCCAATGGATGATTTACGATTCTTTCAAAATCTTCATGGGTCTACCAACGACCGGAGGTGGAGATGAAAAGAAGACTGCCAAAGCTTGAACCTGGTATTGATAACCAAGAGCTAACACGCTAGCTCAATCAAGTTGTCCGATGCAATGGAACGAGGATGGGACAGCAAATGTGTGGACTGGCTCACGAAGAGGGACAATTATGTACATGAATCTGGGCTACTGCAGAGCTAGGTAGTCTTTCGTATAGCGTTGTTTGGATGTGTTGAGAGAAACAGGCGTCCTGTTTGACATTACGAATATGACGTGTGGATGGGTGATTGATGGGGAACAGATCCGTAGACACTCGTCTCCTGCCTCCAATGCGTGAAATCATAAAGCCTGATATGGCTAGACGGAGGGATCTGTTGAGCAGGTGATGGTGCTCCTTATTGTGCAATTGATTCGATTATTGGCAGACTCCAGAGACAAGCATCAAGCGACAAGAGACAAGAGTCAGCAGCAGAGATTCCCACATGACGTATGGATGCACCATAATGGATCAGTTGAGGGGCGCAGGTTAACACAACTTGGCTCGCAAAACAAGAGGACCGGTCGATGTACTAGTAGCAGCCTTGAACTGGGAGAGGAGATAAGGCCCAAAGCTTGTCGAATAAGATCGACGGATCACACCACTCTGTGATAAATGGCATGCCCCGACTTTCTTTTGTCAACAAGGCATGTAATAGTTATGATTTCCACGGCCTAAAAGAAGGTGGCTTGAGCGTTGAGAGATATTGAGGTGTCACGGTGTCTGGTGGATGCCGTTTGCTTTTGTTAAGAAAAGAAGCCCGCCGATCGATTGATTCTCTCTTGTCCTTTTCCTCTTATCTTACACTGATCCAGCCATCCACAAACCATCCAACTACCTTTTCACTTCCTTGCAGCAAGGATCTCTCTACGTATCAAATCTTAAACATCAACGCACTAGTTCTCCGAATCTCTCGACTCTCGGTAAGGCAACACTCTCTTCGCCGTTCGTTTGTCAACCCTGGGTGCCTGGGGTACCGCTCCACGTGGTCAGGGTCCCACCTCACATGAAGTCTCCATCCTGTTTCTGTTCTCATCTACCCGATAAATGTCCTCGTCTTTGGCCGTTTGAGAACATCCTCTTGATCTTTGACAACTGACTTCTATAGACTCCAAATACCAATATGGCTACCAACGTCTCCCATGGTCGCGGTGGTAAGTCTCTGAACCTCCACCTCTGTCCCACTGTTGGACCCAAGTGAATTTATCTAATGCCAAACAGGCGCCGGCAACCTTGGACCCGACGACACCCCCTACACAGATGGCGAGATTGTGCGTGAAGGACCAACCGGCGACCAGGGCGATGGGCCTTACTCTGCAGGCCGTGGAGGTGCTGGAAACATTGAGCATTCCTCCAAAGCCATTGGCAGCACACCGCACGACCATGAAGTCGTCCCCGAGGTCGCAACACGCCCGAGCGTCGAAGAACCACATCACGTCGGTCGGGGAGGCGCAGGCAACGAGGCTCGCCTCACCGAGAAGAAACACTCCTTCGTCGACAAACTCAAGAGCATATTCAAGTGAGAGTCAGCACACGAATGACGGCAAGGGCTTGTTGGTCAAGAGAACAGAACAATAACATGGACACCACCCTATTGATACCCAGCCCGAGGTTTTGTTCTTTTTCTCTAGACAGACAACGGCCAGGAGCCAGTGGGTAACGGCGAATGGAGGACATGTCAGACAGCATAATAGTACCACGACGAGAGAAATCGAATTACTTTTTCTGCTTGTGGATTCCTTTTTTGCCAATGCCCGCGAATTGCCGCACATGTCATAATCAGTGGATCCTGTATGTGGAGTTTATGGTGGAATCTGGTATGCCAACGTCTACAAAAATGCACTTGTGACTCTTGAGATGCGGGTATGATCACGTGAGTAGAAAGTAAAAAGTCACTTTGTGCCGCGGGTCGGACCAGGAAGCTCTTATTCTACCCACAAACGTACCCACAGTAGGTACCCTTAGCATGATGGGTGGGTTGAAGTACTGTTGGTACCTTTTCACGTGGTCTCTACCAGGATACATAGTATAGTGTGTACATGATGCTCATGAATAGCTCTTTATGCATCCACATTTCAGTGAGGAGGAGAACGCAGGTGGTGGAGAAGAAGCGTTACAGTGCTGGGACCAACCCTTGACATCAGCGTGGGAAGACAGGAGGCTGGGGATGTGCCTCGTGAGCAAGGGACTTCACAAGCAGGGAGGTTAGGTACCTACCGTAGGTAGGGAAGTACCTCCAGAGAAACTTCTTGTGCCTCGCCTATGGTGCTCACCCACAAAGCAGGTAGACTGACATTGGCATGCATGCAAATATGGTTGGGTTAGGCCCATCCGCCTACTGCGTGGGTGCCCGCAGACAAAGAATAATGGAACGTTTCTGGCCCACCCAAGCGTGCCAGGGTCACCCTCATGCACCATTACTTTACGATGTCTGGAAATAAAAAATTCCACTCGCCTTGTATAAGGTTACAAGGCTCTCGTAGCAAGGTACTGGGGTATGTAGACAAATTGCTGGTACCAATTGGGCGTGTTTGGAACATGGCTTCATCCCTTGGGTAGGTAGCTAGTCCAGTGACAGTGCATACGGAGTAGTGATCTCATTCTCCTTGGGCATCCTTCAGCCCCCAGAACCTACAGCCAAGCCCAGAGGCGACCCGGTGGGAACGGGCCCCTCGGGCCTTGAGGAGGTTAGTTTTAGGGGGTGTGAATGTGATTGCGTTGCTTTCAAGCCCCCAGTCGAGTTGTCGCGTCCAGCCACTTCCACTAGAAGCTCTGCCCACGGCGAAAAGCCCAGATCCAACACAACACAACATCACCTGCGTGCTACTGACCGACCTCCATGACACTTCTTACCGTTGTCTAAATCTGCTGCCTTCTGCTCGAAACATCCTTTGCGCATCATTTCTCTTGGGTGCGGTGCCTTCCTTGATTTTTCTACGTGTCCATCTCTTCTTCCTCCGTCACATAACATTAACTAGAAAGGATTATTTGCCTGTCGCGCCTTCGAAGTCAGCTGGGACTTCACCTCCTCCTCGGCGCGTCGTCCTTTTCGCCTCTGGCTATCACTGTCCTGGCCACCCACCAGGACAGCGCACGTTCGTTTTAAGACGTTTGACTACGTTCCTTTATCTATCTACGATTCCTCAATAAAACCCATGGCGTCGGCCGAAACGGCATCCGAATCCTATCATTCTACCTTGCCATTGACCCCTTGCGATTCCGAGAACGAACGAAGCAGCGAAGCCGCGCCCATGGCTGGTCGAAAGCGAAGCGCCAGTGAAATGGAAGAGCCCAAGCGAGCGCCCAAGTCAACACGCAATGGGCCAGAGACAATCGAACCCGAAGCAACGCCCGACTTTACCCTCGAGTGCCCTGCGCGTCCAAGGACGGCTAAGCAGTTGGCCAACGATGATTTGTATATTGAAACTGACGCCCCGAGCCTGGCGCCACACCTGACCATTGATTTTGCGGTGCGACCGGGGAAGAAATGGTCCGAGTTGTCTCGATTCAAGAACGCAAAATGTAAGTAGCACACCCGCGGCAACTTGTCGATGGATGGATATTTATTGTGTCCCAGTCAACAATCCGGTAGTGGTCATATATACCTCTGGCCAAGTCGTCTACGTCAACAGGCGATTTCCCATTCCTGAGTCTCCACCGTCCGACGCAACCGAAGATGAAAGATTACAATATGATCAAGAAAACTTTTGGGTTGGACTGATTTCCGAGTTTCGAGCGGAAAGCCCGGACAAGGTATACGTCAAGGTGTACTGGCTATACTGGCCTGACGAGCTCCCAGAAGGACGACAACCATACCACGGAAAACGGGAGTTGGTTCTGAGCAACCATGTGGACATCATCGACGCATCGACAATCGCGACTCACGCGGAGATCAGTTTCTGGGATGAGAATGACGACTCCAACAAGAATGTTCTTCAAGAACGATATTGGAGACAGACATACGATTTGAAAAAGGCAGCACGTGATCCCAGAAATGCGCTCAGCAAGCTCCGAAAGTTCTGCACCTGTGGTAAATACGATAACCCTAACGTGGAAATGTATCAATGCCACAAGCCACAAGTAGGGTGTGGGCTCTGGAACCACCAGGAGTGCTTGATCAAGGCGCTGGAAGAGCGAGCGTGGAACCAGTTTCTTACCGGAACTTTAACGCATGAGCGAGAAGAAGATCAGACACTGAGCCAAAAAGTCGGAGGTCTCATCAAGCCTTTGGTAGAATTAGCGGGAGGTTCCAAAGACGACAAGGCGCAACCAGCTGCTGAGGCGCGGAAAGGTGGCAAGCGAGCGAAACAGTCGGCCAAGGGACAAAAACCGTGGTTTGGAAAATTAAAGGCCAATATCGAGACGGTGGATGGAAACGTGTTCAATGCCACAGTCACTCAGTTGGTCCCGACACCAGCGAGTGCCATTGCCAATGGCAAAGGCGGAAACCGATTCGAACCCAAGGAGTGGAGAATGAAGTTGAATTGCTTGAGATGCGGCGAGTCATTGAACTGAACCTTGGAGCTGTTGGCCAACCCGACTCTTGTAATTTACCATAGTATATTGTTGCGGCGAGCAGAGAATTTATCATCCATGGCCAGAGTAGCTACCACGGAGCAGATGACAGTTATGTAACAAGATGAAATAAGGTGGATATTTTGCTGCGCGTCGTAGCGCCCGGTAAACGTGAGCCCCCGGGTGGTAGATGCTTGATAGGAATGAGTCCTGAATTTGGAATGATACAAAGGACTTCTTCAATGTTCACGCGGCTGTGCTGACTGATAACCTTGATCAGTCTGTTATTGATACTGATATCTGACCATCTCTGGTGTTGAATACTGATAGTTTGATATCTTATATTTGATACTGATATCTGAGTGGATGTACGAGTCTTGATATACTGATAGATAAGATAAGCCGCCACGTGTACGCATCCTGTAGTCTGTACATGATTGTTTACATTCGGTGTCCGACTACCACGTTAATGAGCGACATCGCTATTTATATCGTACAATGCCACGCGTGCCAAACTGACATGAAAGCAGTTGCGGTTACACAAACACTTTAACGCAGTAGCACTTTCCCTTGTACATCCTCGTCTTTTGGGCGGGTTCTAACCGAGGCAGGAAAGAACTACTCCGTAAGTACCTACTTTACTTACAGTCCATATACTCCGTATGCACGCGCCTACCTGCCAAGTGCATAAACCCCAAAAGAGGTCCGCATCTTCCAGGGAAAGAACGATTGAATTGTACGGCGCACTTGCAATTTGTTTCGCCTTCTTTTTTATTATCAATTCAACTTTTTTTACTCCCCGAGACTCTCTTGGAACCTACGGCACTTGTGGTACTGTGTTCATTGTTCATTGTTCAGTGTTCGTTGACTCACTCAATCCAAACCTTCGTCTAGACTGTGTGTCGTATACGTATTCAGTTCTTCTCAATCCGACTTGCTACAGGTACGCCTCCTTGTCCAGTGCCCGCAAACGTTACCCCGCCACCGTTGTTTGCTGCTGCACGACCTCCGCCTTGATGAGGTCGCCTGTCCCCAGGCAGCCCTCCAAACTTTGTTCGCCCAAGTCCAAGCTTCTCGACCATCCGATTTGCCTCGAGCAGTTCTTCCACCCGGCACCAAAATCGACTTTTGTGCCGATTCGGAATCAAACCTAGCCAAGTCTCCGAGAACCCCCCTCAGCCTGCGCTTGTGCACCTATCACTGCTCCAGACCTCCTCTCCCCTAGCGACTCCCCTAGCGACTTCTCCAGATCGATGATGCATGCGGCGCGCGCTAGGTCCACAGATGACTTGTGCAATAGTGCAAGCCTGTCGACTCATCGACTAGCTTAGCATCACTTAGACTTCTAAACATCTCGTACACGTTTGGGGCCCAGGCTTCGGCATTAAGAGACTGTCAGAACCTCGACCAGGTTGTCTTCATTCAAATAACACTCCCTCTTCTCGTCGAATGGCACCATCATTGAGGGATCTTACTCCTTATTGTGTTTGGATTTGATGACTGATGACAACAACCAGCCTTTGCAACATTTTTCGACATTAGGAAATCAAGTGGAGCATCCTTCATCCCCAAACGCCACACGTCCACCAGATCGCTCTCCGAGATATATTTTCATCTCGTTCTCTCTTTAGTCCCGTCGTTGGACCCTGTCGCCGCTTTCATTCTCCATTGTAGCCTGCCAGGCACAGTCTTTTGTTGGTAGGGACATTGCTATTGCCAACTCTCGACACTCTGCCCGGACTATTTGTAAGGCAGAATTTTCCTGATTACTTTCCGCCGCCGAGATCATACACGAAGGGCCACTATAGCCCATCACTCCTGTGATATATCACCTGGCTGTAGGCTGCAGCTTCTCTGTGATCGTTTCATCCACAATTCGCAACACATCTCACGCCGCTCAACCTCAGCCCTTGGTACCATCCCGTCTTCAACATGGCGTCGGACGCCGAAAAACAAGAAATCGCCGCCGCCAACCTCCCCGACAATGTGACTCAAGATCAGCAGAGAATCGCCAGCCCTTCGAGCTCAGATAACGATACAAACACTCCACGAGATTCGACTTTGTCCACAATATCCACCAAGGAGCAGCTCCCCGTGGCTACAAGCCCCCCTCAAGATGCCGCACCACCTTCGGACTCTGATCCAACCACCAGCATCCCGCCGTCTGATGGCGCCCAACTACAAAAAACCACGTCTCGTGCCGACGGCTTTTCCAAAGGAAGAATCATCATTATCATGTTTTCCTTGATGATGGCCTTGTTTTTGGCTGCCCTCGACGTCACTATCATCGCTACAGCTTTACCAACAATCGCCACCGAGTTCAACGCCAGCAATGCCAATTATTTGTGGGTTGGGAGTTCCTATTTGCTGGCCAATGCAGCGAGTGTGCCCTTGTGGGGGAAGCTCTCTGACATTTGGGTATGTATGATCCCTCCAGATCCACCATCTGTACTAACTTCGATATTAGGGAAGGAAGCCTATGATCGTACTCGCAAATATCATATTCATGGCAGGCAGCCTGATGGCTGCTCTCGCCAAACAAATTGGCGTCTTAATCGGAGGCAGAGTTATCCAGGGCATAGGAGGAGGTGGCCTGGTCATCCTGGTCAATATCTGTGTCGCCGATTTGTTTAGCATGCGAGATCGGCCCAAGTATTACGGCTTCCTCGGCATGGTCTGGGCAATCGCCAGTGGTGTCGGTAAGTCCACGAACTCATCCTGCACTTCCTTGTCATAATACTCATCAATTCCAGGCCCGGTCATTGGAGGCGCCTTCACACAGAAAGTCAGCTGGCGCTGGTGCTTCTACATCAACCTGCCCCTCGATGGCCTCTCTTTGATCCTGCTAATCTTCTTCCTTAAGCTCGAAACCCCCAAAACACCTTTGATTGCTGGACTGAAAGCCATCGATTGGGTTGGCGTGATTTTCATCGTCGGCGGCATCACCATGTTCCTCTTCGGCATGGAATCTGGCGGCACCCAGCATTCCTGGGACAGCGCATACACACTCTGTCTGATAATCTTCGGCGTCGTCTCCATGGTTCTCTTCTTCATCAACGAGTGGCGTTTCGCCAAATATCCCATCATCCCCATCCGAATATTCCGCGACTATTCCAACCTCGCCTCCCTCGGAGTTTGCTTCGTTCACGGCTTTGTCTTCATCTCTAGCACCTACTATCTACCTATTTACTTTCAAATCGTCCTCGGCGCTGGGCCCATCCTGAGCGGTGTCTACCTCTTCGCCTTGGTCCTCAGTCTGTCCTTTGCTTCCGCAGCCGTCGGCATCTTCATCAAAAAAACTGGCAGATACCGCGAACCCATCTGGTTTGGCGTCTGCATGATGACCCTTGGATATGGTCTCTTCATTGCTTTAGGGCCAACTGCCAATTGGGCTATGATTATTCTCTTCCAGATCATCGCTGGGTTGGGTGTCGGTCCCAACTTTCAATCTCCACTGATCGCCTTACAAAGCCACGTCAAGGGCCATGACATTGCTGTCGCAACAGCCACTTTTGGCTTCATCCGTAACATTTCGACTGCACTCTCAATTGTTCTTGGCGGAGTTGTCTTCAACAACGAGCTCGCAACCAAGGAATCTTCCCTCGCCTCCACCCTGGGGCCAGTGGATGCTGAACAAGTCGCTCACGCAAGTTTTGCGCGCACTCTGGAGCTACTTTGGGGGTACGCGCAGCCCGAGAAGTACGCCGTCAACGTCGCTTACACCGAAAGCCTGCGGACCATGTGGATTTTCTATACTGCCATCTCTGCATTTGGCATCTTGGTCAGTGCTTTCATCACACGGAAAGAGCTGAGTCGGTTGCATGAAAAGGCACGCACTGGCGTCGAAGAACAAGAACGCGTTCGGCTCGAGGAGCAGGCTGAAAGAAGAGCAAGGAGAGGCACACTTGATGCGGAAAAGAATGCTCCGAAGTAAGCATGGATGAACTCATGGCATGATTGGAATTTATTGGAAGGGCATATCGCGTGGCCATAAAATCTTGGCGTTCTGGCGATGAGCATCTACTGTCGCTACCTTTTGGTATGTTTGAGACTAAAAACGGGATTGCATGACGTGGCATATTTGGCATAGCGCGGTATTGCATTGATGGACCTTGCATTGCAGATGGAGGCATGACAATTGAAAAGCATACAAGTCATATGAGCATGACTCTCTCTACTCCAATAGAGTAGGATGAAAGAAAATTCCCCTTTGACATTTGACAGGAGTCTTTGCAGTCACCCTGATTTCTTGACATGATGTAAATATATGCTCTTCTGTCTACAAATTCTATGCCTTGCATCGTAATGATCCACCTCTGGAGATCACTACCGTGGATGTGCCAGTATTCCGTTTGACGGCCCCAGGCATGCGACAAGTTCTTCTCAATTATAAAACCCCTGCTGCTGAGCACCAGGGAATGCACCACTGTTGCCAGCTCCCGTGAGATACTCAAAATAAGACGATATCTCCCTCGCATTATCATTCGCAACCCCCAGATCCCACCCATCAAAAAGTCCATCAAAAGCCTGTTGAGATAATGGAAGATCCGGAAGTAGGGTATCGAACATGGTCATATCCGGCTGCGATAGAGACTGTATGGCTGGATTCACTAGTGCTGTGGTATGGTTGAGCTGTGGATTATTCGTCGTCGTCGATGACGTCGAGGTTGTCGATGTGACTAACGGCTCCTGCTGGAATCGCTGTTGAACGGCTGTCTCGGTCTTATCGAGATATATTCGAGCAATCTCAGTAAATGTCTTGCATGCCTTTTGGAGTTTATCCACGCCGACACTTCTAATCGAGGCTCCTTGTAATGTGGCGACAACCTTTTCCAATAATTCCAAATCGTCGCGGCTGCGTTCGGCAATGGCGTTGCTGAAGACCACTAGGAATGGAACAAATGGGCACCATACGAGGGTATAGTGAATGAATAACCGCCATTGGTCGGCGGGCCGATGTTTGAGAATCTCAAATGCCGCGTTATTAGCGGTCAGTGCATCGCGTGCAGCATCGAGCGCTTCTTGGGATGGTTTGAGTGGATGGGGCGGTTTGTTCCCGGGTAAAGGCTCTGGAGGTACACATCGATATACGAGAGTGAGGGTGCTTAACAGGATGATATCGACTGATCTGATGCCGTCCTGCAATGACTGTGGATTCGGGGCGTCGGTCGCGTCAATCAGAAAATCCGTCCGGGATTGTATCAGCCGTGCAGCTAGCTCTTTGGCCACCTTGGCTCTCGTTTGGACGGGTTGCATCTGAGCTCGAGCACAATACAACTCATCGTACACGTCGCCTTGGACTTGGGCCAAGTCGATCCAACGAAGGTAGAACAACCCCCAAACTCCGGGCATCTCTTCTGGCCAGCGGGGCTTATCAACTGTAATGTCAGATGAGTGAAGGCTAGAAGCCCGCCCAAAGTTCAAAGATAGTGCACGGTCGCACGTCCACAAATACCAAAAAACGGCGCGTTTGCGCGAGGTTTCGCGGCTTGGGTCGACTGAGTAAGGACGAAGCCGGTGATACCCAGCTGATTGACACATTCGACAAGCTGCAGATACAAAACTCCACGCCGCGGACGATCGTGAAACCTCGGTGGCTTGTAACGACTAGAGGGGTTGTTGTTAATATGGGGCGAAATAGCGAGGGGTGTGGTCAGACTTACCGCCATAGTTAATGCTTGGATGTTATCATATGTTGGGTCCATCAGTATCCGGAGACTTCGAGCAGCTGTTTCGACATTGAGGTTGCAGGTATCAATTATGTCTCGCGCTTCTGCAGCACTCAGATGTAGCTGCTCAAGAGCGGTCTCATCGAGGTCTCGACACAAATAGTACAAAATAACATGGACCGTGATGAAAGTCGCTATTGTGTAGGATTCTGCCGGAAAGTAAAGGCTTTGGCATAATGTGGTCACCTCCTTCAGATTCAGAAAGGTGCATTCGTAAAAGAAGCTATACTCGTAAGCTATGAAAGGGTTAATATCGATAACAACTGTCTGAAGGGGGGTGACTGACTTTTGGCATGTCTCAGCAGTCGCAGTACAAAGTCCATTGGCGGCAAGCTGAGTTGAGACAGTTGAGGGTAGAGCACGGCCTCTTGAAGTGGCTTGTCCTCAGGGGAGGAGTCTTTGACGGCCTCGATATTGTCGTTGAAAAAGCCTCGCAAAGTCGCAACAGCAGAAGAAACATCTCGGATGGTGCTGGAGTATGGGCTATTGCTGAGGCTAGTCTCAAAGGCTTGAGTGATGTATTTGGAATGGGCTGTAAAAGACGAGTCTCCTTCGAAATGCTGACCTTCGTCTTGTTGAGTGTCGCGAGGTGTTCCCAATGGGCCCGCCAAAGATGATGGCGAAGGATTCTGCCCTTGTTGAGGGTGTTCCTGTACAAACCTTTGCAAGATCCTCTCCAGACTAGCTAGCCTGTCATTGACATGCTCGATCTCGCGTTCACTGCCGATCAAGAGGTCAGTAACCAATATCAGTAGAAACAAAGTTCATTCCAACGACGACAGTCTGCCTTACAATCGAGAAGACACGAGGACACGCTGCCGCTTTTCAGGGCGCTTCTTGGTTGTCCGACAAACGACATGAGATGTCTTGCAGCTGGAACAAGGAACCTTTCTATCACAACGGATCTGATGCCAGTCATGCCAGTCAGTCGTTCAGTCGTTCACAGAGTCGCTCTTGCTAGTTTTAGTGCAGAGTTGGTCGTACCTTCCTAGAACGGCAACTGTCGCACTATAAAAAGAATATGTTATTTCAACCTCATCCTTGCAATTTGCAGGGAACAGAACAACGTACTGCCGGCACTCTCAACGATGTTGTCTCTGAGTCGGATTGACCCTGTTCAGACATGACCTTTCTGTTTCCCGAGCACCAGTCGTTGCTGGACCTCTACAACCTCGCTTGGTCGGAGATTGGTCCGAAGCCAAGCAAAGTTCAATTCGTCAATCAGGGTCTTCACCACAGCCAGCAAGGGGGCATTCAACTCGAACTGTGCGGAATACGAATACTCCGCGGCGTAATAGCAATGATGAAAATCAATGTCTAGCTGCTTTCTGCCAGAACACCACCAAATGATGTTCAGAGAATCTGCTTGGACCAGTATCGGAGAGGCATTGTTCGAGCCCGGGTTCCGCGGCCGCCGAACGAAAAGCGCTCTCGTGCCAAGCGAGAATCGTTGACGTCGAGATCATTGAGTTTCCCACTCTCCACACGGTCAATGGTCAGCGGTACCTCGCATGCTTCTCCACCCACAGTTGGCCCAGACATCTGTCTTCCTTCTGTCCAGGGTCTGGAAAAGCCATCTCTGGTGATTGCCTGGAAGCCGAGTGGCCGAGCGCCCTGCTGCCTGGCGTACTTCGCCTTGTTCTCATGTTGCGCATGTCCAAACACCAATAGCAAGCCCTCCTACTTGCAATATTTATTTCTCATACTCGTCAAACCATCGTTGGAGCCTATATGTGAACTTCCATTATCCTAACGAAAACATTGTGCCAGTCAGCCAGCTACGTGACGTGTAGCATGTTCTTCTTGGCCAGCTCGACGAGGATCCATCAATGAATACAGCCGTACTCGTATATGGTCGAATCCAACACCAGGACCCTGGACACAGTGTATATTAAAACCTCGGAGAACTCGGGTTACCAACATCCCGGCAACACGTCTCCTCTCATTATCAATGATGCCTGCCACAAGCATTACTGATTGATCGACACATTACACTCACAGGCATTCATATAACAATTGCCCATCATTGACTTTTTGCGACATTCTTCTTCCCTCAAGGTCATACTTCCGCTCTTGATTTCTGCAAGATACTGCCAAACATGAGCGAGAAGGTGGAACAAGACAACTCAAGTCAAGATGATCAAAAGGAAGCTTCCGATACTATTCCTGCAAAGGAGCAGGAGGGAGGCTTTAAAGATTATATTCGTGTCTTCCATTTCTGCGACAAATACGACTGGGCATTAAATTTTGTCGCCCTTGTTTGCTCCATCATCTCAGGTGCTACACTACCTTTGATGACAATCATCTTCGGTTCTTTCACTACCAAATTCAACAATTTTGCCGAAGGAATTACGACTGCCGATGATTTTAGGAATGATGTCGATTCCTTCGTCTTATGGTTCATCTACCTGTTCATTGCCAGGTTTGTCGTTACCTATGTTGCCACTGCAACGATCACCATCTCGGCCATTCGAACCACAAGAGCTCTTCGACAAAAGTTCCTCGAATGTACCCTTCGACAAGAGGTCTGGCATTTTGACAAGGCAAATCAAGGCGCCATTGCTTCTCAGGTGACAATGAACGGCAATCGAATCCAGTCAGGCATTGCAGAACGTCTTGCATTTGTCGCCCAAGCCCTTTCACTGTTCTTCAGCGCCTTCATAGTCGCCCTGGCCACGCAGTGGAAGCTTGCTCTTATCACCATGTCGGTCATTCCCGTCATCTTTGGCGTCACTGCTGTCTGTATCGCCATTGACGCCGTGCAAGAAGCAAGGATCGTCAAGATATACTCTCGAGCTGCCGTACTCGCCGAAGAAGTTCTGTCTTCGATTCGCACGGTCAACGCATTTCATGCCAAAGAAAAGATGCTGCGCAAGTACGATGTCTTTCTCGAACAAGCCCACAAGGAAGGCAAGAAAAAGTCTCCCAACTATGGTATCCTCTTTTCTACCGAGTACTTTTGTGTCTACAGCGCCATTGCCCTCTCCTTCTGGCAAGGCTACAGGATGTACCAAAGTGGAGAGATCCAGGATGTGGGAAAAGTCTTCACAGTGGTTTTGTCTGTCACCATTGCTGCAACTGCAATCTCCACTCTCACTCCTCAATTCACGTCTCTCACCAATGCTGCATCTGCCGCTGCTGAGCTCTTCACCGTCATTGATAAGGCGACCTTACTAGATCCTCTTGACCCAGCTGGACAGAAACCTGACACCTGCGAAGGAAACATCGAGATTAAGAACTTGAATTTTGCTTATCCTTCACGTCCCTCTGCCCAGGTGCTTTATGATTTTGGCATCAAAATTCCAGCTGGTAAGACGACTGCACTGGTAGGTGCCTCCGGATCTGGCAAGAGCACCCTCGTTGGCCTGCTGGAGCGTTGGTATCTTCCGAAATCGGGCCAGATTCTCCTTGATGGCATCGACCTCCAGGATTATAACACCAGGTGGCTAAGAAGCAGGATCAGACTTGTGCAACAGGAACCTACTCTATTTAGAGGGACCATTTTTGCAAATGTTGCTCGTGGTTTTGTCGAGGAGCAACGTCAATATTCCCACGAGACGCAGTTGGAGCTTATTCGGGCTGCATGCAAAGCCAGCAATGCAGACGACTTCATCAAGGATCTTCCAAACGGATATGACACTGAAGTCGGCGAGAGAGCTGGCACATTAAGCGGTGGCCAGAGACAGCGCATCGCCATTGCCAGAAGTATCATCTCAGATCCCAAGATACTTCTTCTCGACGAGGCAACCAGTGCTCTCGATCCAAAGGCAGAAAAGATTGTGCAAGATGCATTGAACCGTGTCTCCAAGAACCGTACGACACTTATCATCGCCCACAAGTTGGCCACCGTCAAGAACGCCGACAATATCGCCGTCATCTCGTACGGCAAAATCGTCGAGCAGGGAACTCACCAAGAGCTCATTGACCGAGATGGTCACTACGCTGCCTTAGTACGCGCACAAGACCTTAATTCCACTGACGAAGATGACAACAAGGGTCTGAGTTCAGAAAAGGCGGCCTTGGACTCGTCAGGGGAGCGAATGACCCTCAAGCGCACGGAAACCGCCGCAACTTCCATGCATGAGGACGCTGCAAAGCAAAAAGTAGCGTCTGGCACAATGGGGTATTCGCTGCTTCGATGTATCATCATCATGTTTCGTGAGCAAAAAAATCTCTACTGGTGTTTTGCGGGTTCAACCCTGGCATGCCTCATTGGAGGAGGGACTTTCCCAGCCCAGGCCCTCCTTTTCTCCCGACTTTTGACCATTTTCCAGGTCACGGGGCAAGAAGCTCAAGACCGAGCAAACTTCTACTCGCTCATGTTCTTTGTCGTGGCGCTTGCAAACCTGGCTGCCTACTTTGTCATCGGTTGGCTCTGCAATATCATCGGCCAAGTGGTGACGCACCGATATCGAGCAGAGGTGTTCGAACGTGTGTTGCATCAGGATGTGGAATTCTTTGACAAGCCAGAGAACACTTCTGGCGCGCTGACTTCGAAGTTGACTGATCTACCCACTCAATTGCAAGAGTTGATAAGTGCCAACATCCTCTTGATTTTTATTGTCTTGGTCAATGTGGTCTCCAGCAGTATCTTGGCATTGGCATATGGATGGAAGCTGTCCCTGGTGGTAATCTTCGGCGCCCTACTCCCGTTACTAATCGCTGGCTATCTACGCATCCGTTTGGAAGTGAAGCTGGAGGCCAAGAATTCGGCGAACTTTGCAGAAAGCGCCGCTCTCGCAAGCGAGGCTGTGTCGGCGATACGCACGGTGGCATCTCTCACCCTGGAATCCCAGATCCTTGAGGAATACTCAGCACTGCTCAGCCACGTTGTTCTAAGATCTACCAAGGCACTTATGTGGACCATGCTCTGGTTCTCACTCTCCCAGTCCATAGAGTTCCTTGCTATGGCCCTTGGTTTCTGGTACGGCAGTCGCCTGCTTGCATCGGGAGAGTATTCCACAGAGCAATTCTACATCATCTTCGTGGGCGTCTTGTTCGCCGGCCAAGCAGCAGGACAATTCTTCGGCTATTCGACGAGTTTGACCAAAGCACGGGGAGCAGCCAATTACATACTCTGGCTGCGAAGTCTCAAGCCGACTATTCGAGAGACGGATGAAAATCGAGATAACGGCCCTGATGGAGATGGCCCTGTCGACCTTGAAGAGCTGGAGTTTCGATATCGGCAAAGAGACGCCGCCAGAGTCCTCCGGGGAGTCTCCATGTCGATTGCGCCCGGCTCATTCGTCGCCTATGTTGGGGCATCTGGATGTGGCAAGTCGACGCTCATATCGCTACTTGAGCGATTCTACGACCCAACCAGCGGCCGGATCTGTCTCGCACATAAAGACATTGCAACCATGTCACCAAAACTGTATCGTGGACACATGAGTCTTGTACAGCAAGAACCGACTCTATACCAAGGGTCTGTGAAGGAGAATGTGTCGCTGGGGTTGGAATATGAGCCGTCGGACGAGGAGCTGAAGGAGGCATGTCGCAAAGCGAATGCGTTGGATTTTGTGGTCTCGCTGCCTCAGGGATTCGACACACCCTGTGGATCGCGAGGGATGCAGTTCTCCGGAGGGCAGAGACAGCGCATTGCCATTGCCAGGGCCTTGATCCGCAATCCACGGTTGCTGTTGCTTGACGAGGCGACTTCGGCTTTGGATACGCAGTCGGAGCGACTGGTCCAACGTGCCTTGGACGAGGCCGCCCTAAGTCGGACCACCATTGCGGTTGCCCATCGCCTTTCGACAATTCGACATGCGGACGTAATCTTTGTCTTTGCAAATGGCAAGATCGCTGAGATGGGCACTCACGCGGAGCTGCAAAGGCTCAAAGGTCGTTACTATGAGATGTGCCTGGCACAGTCTTTGGATCAGGCCTAATTTCCTTGGATCCTTGATTGAAAACCGGCCATTGTCTGTTGGGATTGGTTTGTAGAGAACTCTGGTCATAGAATCTAGTTCAATGTATTTTTATATTCTGTTATTGCGTTGAGCAGCATCTTGGTAACCAAGACCCATATCAAGACTTGGATTCGGTTGCAGGCTTCTTGTTGGTATATTTTCTCTTCTCTTTCCTTGACATCAGACTTTTGTCTCGCGTGCCTTTGCCACCCTCCCAAAACCCGCCTGTTCCGGCGGTCCGTCTCTTTCTGACAACAGACCGGCCACAAAAGCCACAATCCTCGGGTCGAAATCGCTGCTCTCGGCTGCACCAGCCACACAGCATTCGTTCGGCTCGATCATTAACATGTGGCTCCGCTGCATCGTGACACCGGTCACAGGGGTATACCCGGCCACAACACGAGAAACGGAACCATCGGTAAGAATGGGAATAGTGGGAGCATGTTCCATTGAGAGCCAGAGGGGTACCAGATGTTACACCAAGATTTTCGCGTTTGAGTTTGCGGGTGGGAAGATCTGAGGTGACTCCAGGTGCGAGTCGAAGAAACTTGACTTCGGGCAAGGTAAAAGTCATCTTCGAATGGCATGATCGACAGATCTGGGTCAAAGTATCACCTCGGACGCAGATCATACCTGGTGGGGCGGGAAATGTGGTGGAGCAGTTGGAACAGGTGGGCTGAAAAGTCGAAGGCAGGAAATCGACGACAGTGCACCCCGTGAGATCGAGTGTGGCGGCGCGGACCGAGTGAGCGTGGACAGGTAGCGGATGGTAGCTAAGGGTGAAAGGTGTGGAACATTTGGGACAAGTTTCACTGCGAGTGCTAGTAGTTGATATTGGGCCCGGTATAGTCGATGATGAGGCGTGGCTAGGTTTAATGTGAGATATGTCCAGCTGTGACTTACAACGTAAGCATCTCACAGAGAGAGAAACAGTTGCCAGCATCAGTAGCTCAATCCCGTGAAGTTCGAGGTTGGGGAAGGAGAGGGAGATGCCGCGTTCTGAGTTGGACGGAACAGCAGGAATGTTCGCGCCGCCATCTTTTTCACTTGCATCCAGCTCATCCTCATCCGAGTCGACGTATCCATCCGAATCATCGCTCCCATATTCACTGCTAGAACCTGAGTCGTGACGATCCCATTCCGATGGCCGAGGTATTATCCTAACATGAGGACGATCGGGGTCTATATCCTCTTCAGAAGATTCGTCCTGCGACGAAGCCAAATTTGCCAGGCCAGATTGTGCTTGCGGTGCAGGTTGGGTGGTATCGTCAGAGGTTGGCTCATTATGTTGTTGTTTAGTTTCACTTGCCCATACATGGATATTTTGCGCGAGAAAATTGATATGACCCATGATGGTCATTGCAGGGTTAGTCCGTACATGGCGCTCAAAGGCAAATTGTACGCGATCGGCGTCGGAGCCATAGACTCCTTTGAGATCGATAGTGCATGGTTCGAGGTTGTACAGCTTTGGCACATACAACTGTACTTCCCTGAGCAACGACAAGGTCACGGGCAACTTTCCTGAGTGGCGAATCTGAACAGGCACTGCAAATGAAAGCCCGTCAGAGCTCTTGACAAAGCCTGGTAAACGTCCCATACGGGCCTCGAGCTGTCTGATATCAGCTTGGCGTTTTGCTTGAGCCTCAGATCTTTGTTGACTTGTCCATGAAGGAAGGGGTGGGGCCAGATTGACGGGCTGTGGCTCTGGTTTAGGAACTTGGCGGGTCGGGACGACGGGGGCCAAGGGTTCTCTTCTCTTGTCAGCATTGGAAATAAGCTTGACTGTTTGAGCCTTCTCTGCCTTGAGAAATTCCTCCAGATGTCTATCAAACTCATTGAATAGTTTCAAGAGGGGTTTGCCAATGTGCTCGGCCGCGAGGACATCGAACCCCTTTTCCACGTTGATCTGATGACCGCGGGGAATTTCGGGATTGGTGACTCTAAGAGTCGGGAGGCCATGTTGAGGATAGGTGCTGGGAAGGGTAAGGGTGCACTGGAGGGCGTTCAATTCAAAGGGGAAGTCTGGGTCGGATGGTCTCAAGGTGAAGACTAGAATTGTGTGATTGTCATGGTCTTGTCGAGAGGCGGAGAATCTTGTGATTAGCTGACGAATCTGATATTCACGAGGGTCGGACCGTTGCAGATTGGAAACGGGCTTCCGCACGACACCGGCACTGGCTGGTTTTTGACGCCGACTGTCCTGGTCAGCAGGGGCGAGTGTTTGACACTGAGGGAGCTTGGAAATCTCATGATTGGTGGGATGGGGGATTGTCGGTTGAGGAACATGTTGATAGGGGCACTCGGAGCCCGCACGACAGCCTATGAGGCATGTCAGCCATGATGCTGGTGTGTTGTGAGGCGGGAGAAACAGAAACAGACATCACAGTGATGGTGATGGTAATGGGAGAGGCAAGCAGGTGACAAGGCTGTGGGGTTTGGGAACGTGGGTTGAGCGCGTGGGTGGAATGTGTTCTAAATGGAGCCAATGACAGAAAAGAAATGCAAATGACAGGAAAATGCGTACCTCTGGATGTACCCCAAAAGCGGCAAACGCGCGAGCGCGAGGTGGAGGATTGATTAGGCCTGGGCCCAGGAGTAGTGGCCTGTTGATCGCCGACGGTGCCCGTGTTTGTCGCGACAACTATTGAGGCTACGAATTAGCCAGTGATAAGTGTCGTGGAGTGATGGGATGCAAGCATGTTGGGGTCTGTGTGTCAGCTGGCGACGTGCATCTTACTAGCCGCCGAGAGACGAGGTATGGAGGATAGGGAGGGTTGAATGGAACAGGGCGATTAGGCAACAACAACAGCCTTGGTGGCGTTGCTCAGCTGGTACAAGTTGGGGGCGAGTGAATGTCGTTGGAAGTATCATCGCTGTAGTCTATCCCTGGGCTGGGCGCGCAGTCACGCGTTGGTGCTCGCAGGGAGGCACTGGAGGCCATTGGGGTTGGGGGTTGGGGGGGTGGTCATGAGCAAGGGGGCCGCTGGGGGCTAACTCGACACAAGCATAAAGTCTGCTTACCAGGACTGTCTCGTGACATGGTTTGATGAGTTGTCGATGCCAATAATGACGAAAATGGCTGAGTCCCGCGGCGGTAGTAACTTAGAAGAAAGGACGAGGCTTGCGAAGGCTAGGACCCTGGATGTGGTATTCCGGCAGTTGGTCGGTTGATGGTCGGTTCGGTTGCGGGAGAAGGATCAGGACGAGGATGGACAGACCGTAGACGAGGGTAGTTCGTACTGGGGTAATGCGGGTTATGATGGAATGGGTGAATGACCAGCTTGTATCCTGACAAAGTTAACTGCTCCCCTGGTTCGCCAGAGCTGGCACACTCAAGATATGTTTCACTTTGAATGAGGTCAGGAATGTGACAGAGCAAGGCAGAGATTCAGGGATCGTCGGCACAAGACTGCAGAACTCGGGACTGGGACAATGTGACAGGTCAAGAAGTTGAGAAGCGTAGGTTCGCGTGGTGTGGAATGGAGGAATTGAATTTTTTGATTTCGGTGTAGACTGCGTGTGCGTCTGCAGTCGTATCCGGACCCAAGGAAGGAGCGATGCGAGATGGAGATGGATGTGGCAGGTGGCAGGTGGCAGGAGCACAAACGGAGGAAGGGGGGATGGGGGGAGGAAACGAGAGGAAGGAACCAGAAACCTATGTTCTTTGAAGGAAGGCACAACTCAAGCCAGACACTACATCTGAATCAATCATCCAGCATCTATTATTGCAATATGTATACACATGGATTCTCTATACAAAATTCTTGTAAAACACGTCTTCCCACTACATCTACAAGAAAATGTGCAAGGCTGTCCATAGTGAGCAAGACTGATGACTCCCAAACAGTCATGGTGAGTCGTGGAAGAGCATCCACCATTACCAACATCCACCATCCACCATCCACCGCCTATTGTGCGACATCCGCCAGATGACGCCCTTGGCGCTCGGGAAAAGGTTCCCCGCCATGCGTGGCGCCGAAATCATCTATTTTGACTTTGACCGTTGAGTCTCGAAAAGCTGGCAGTGACATCACACCTCCTCAAATTGTTCTGGTTCTGGTCAATGCAAGAAACCTTGTTGACGACTCGTAATGTCAACGATAACTCTTGGATATCACTGCCGACCACCTGCAATAAACGGTCAAGTCTTTGGTCCAAGCCTGAGGCGGTCTTAGCAATCACACGAATACGAATCATAGCTACCTGGACCAAGCCTTTGTGTTTTGCCATTACAGATTAATTTCATGCTCAACTCGGGGTTGATACACAACCTGGCTTGTCTCGTTGGGCAATACTTGAGAAATATCATAGAAGCAAGTCATGGCCATTATTTTGTATCATACTAAGTAGCAAGTAGACCAAGAGGTAAATTGACAGCGATGAACACTGCAACACGCCCTCTGCATATAGACAATGGGTTTGCTGGTTGTTGGTAGCAATAGCCTAGCAATGTCAGATACTCTGATGTTCAATGTGACAACAGATCACAGAGACATCGAAAACGACAGTGAATTACGTCTACTCCTTTCTCACTCGTGCCCTCCCCTTGGTATGCTGTACTCTGGACGACTGCAAAGCAGGATTCCGACCCAGCACCAGACTACTTCCTTGCCCACCTAAGACACTCGAGACCTAATGTACACATCTCGAAAACTCTCCGCCATTATACCTGGGCCCTAAGACGCCAACGATTCAAAGCTCTGGGTAATCTGGGAACGGCCAACGTCCAACATATAGATCACAATTTGTCTCCCTTTGCAAGCTTGGACTCCCCGGATAGGACACCCGGGTCCACATGCAATCCAGCATTATCATTTCCACCTCTGTTGTATTCTCGTTCTCTTTTCCAACATTGCGTTTAGAGCATTTGAGGGAGGAAGGAGGATTGAGAGTAGTGACAACTGGCATTTGTCGACTCAAAATTTTGTTCTGTAGGTATACCAGGAACTGGACATGAACAACGATCAACGAGCTGCCCCACCCCTATGAGAGAGCTATAACGCCCTCATTGCCCACTGACCACCGCGCATTGTGTGGAGAAGGCAAGGCTGGCCAGATTGGCCTATGGGGCCATATTCAAAGATGGGTGCCTTGAATCAGTGCTTTGTCCTTTCGTTCAAGTCAAAGGGGACTCAAAAGTCCCATTCTTTCATGTTCGAGAACTGAGTAGCTTGTCCAAACCGCCGTGGGGTGTCCCTTTGGACCTAGAAATTCATCATTGTATCGTTATCGAAATGACCACGTCCCGTTTTCTGTTCATGAACGCATCACATGTATCTATCCCATGCCATCACATCGGTCCATCCACCTACGGCCCCTCGTTTCAACAAATGGTGCTCCACATGAGATTTCCACTAATTTGGTCCAGACCAGACACAGGCGGCACACCTGGGGTAACCATTGCCAACGGTGGGCCGGGGACATCAGATGATCTCAATACATTCGATACTGACTTGTGGAAATGGCATTCACACTGTAATGTACAATCACAAAACACGGTCATCTTTACCATACCCTATTATTAACGAGATCCTTCGAGTCCCCAACCTCCTAACCGGGGGATTCGTGCAAGCATGTGGCGCATCGGTTGTGCAAAATGGCCCATCGTCAAACACATGTTGCTGAGATGATACGAGAGGTGGTACTCGCCAATGTCTTGACTCTCGAAGAGTGAACAACTAAGGTCATTCATTACCAATCAAATCTCATCTCATCTCGACACGAATATGGTAAGTCATGGCCGACATCCTTTTCTGTACAGCATGGAAGTCTCTCTCTGTGTGCGTGTGCTCGTGTCTGTGTCTGTATGTAGTCCGCAACAGGGAAATGAACTCGGTTGACATGAAGTCTTGGTTTCAGGACCTGCTAGGTAGTGTACTCGTACTGTTACGCGTGAATGCGCCCACGGGAGCTAAGAAAAATGGATGAAGCCCTTGTTGAACTAAACCGCACAAAGCATGCGTAAAGATCAACATAGGCACCAGTGATAGGCAATGCTTGTGTCAATGCAAAGGACAGTACTGGAATCAAGATGCAGGGTCAATGTCGCGTCTCGCGTGTGAGGATTGCCGTGCTTTGTCTGCCGTGCCTTTGTACCTTTTACTCCTAGAAGTCGAGATACCGGGTGCTACATCACTATCGAACCTTGGTGAATGATACGAAGGGATGGCCGCAAAAGGAAGGTGACTCAATGGGCATGTCTGTCTGTATGTGGCAGAACTCCCCTTTTGGCTAATTCCAGGAGACATTCAACATATGCTATCTTGAACGCCCCAGGTATCGACATGGACATGGACATGGACTCTACGGTCTCCAGTCCAAATAATACTCCGTGGATAATCAATATCAAACCTTCCTCCGTCGGATGGTCGGATGGTCGGAGCATCCGAAGTTACTTTCACGAAGAGCATCAGCAATCTTCTCTGATACACCTACCGAGTGCTACCTCGAGAGTCGATATCTAGTCACAGGAGTGAGAGAGGACCACGGTAAGTACTGTCGTCGATCATCCACCTCTCTCTGGCTAGCCAGGCATGCACACCCTGCCACCCTGCCCCTTCACTAGCCACGAAAGTGGCCCCCAAAGCCTCGTAGGCTTTGTACAACCCCGGCACCACACGGTGCATTCGTGCGAGTATGCGGTGTCGTAGTGTACCTCCATTTCTTCCCCTGTCGCCGACTTAATATGCCGAGAAAGTAGTGACCCACGACTGGAAAAGCATATGATGGTAACCGGATCTGAAACCGACGAGCGAATATGTTGAGATAGGCAGAGTGGCAGGTCTGGTCGGGGTACCCCACCATTCATTCTGTTGTATCGCCATGCCGCTCCACAACCAGATGGATGATCATCAAGACACCGGCTGGTCTCAAGATCCCGATCCGCACCCGCCTTTAGCTATCTCGCTCTTCGATACTCAATCTGGACTTTGTAGAACTTGGGTCCGGAAATTCGCATAGTAGGCACTCGCCAGGTTAGGCATGTCCAATATTTGGAAACTGGGCCCCTGGTAGGTGTCCAGTGCGCTGGTGATTTCCTGGAATGATGCCTTTTTCGATCCTAGAGGATCAAAACCATTCATCAGCTTTCATCATTCAGTGAGGTTTTATTTCTAGAACCAATTGTAACGGCTGCGAGTATCATGACTCAGCGGCCAAAAAGGCACCAAAATTTCTTTTCCACAAATCCCGGGACGAATAATTCTGACCTGACTAGTAGTAGTGGGTGATCAAGGAAGTTTCTAGGCATTGAGATATTTTCCTCTCCGGAGCTTCAAAGGCAGAGTCATCAATACGTCGATTGGCCATTGTGTCGCCGTGACACGGTGTGAAATGTATGTCGTAGCATGCGGCGCCCGAATCCTGTTTTGATTCACTGTCAGATAGCTAGTCGACTCCGGGCACGGAGACGTTTGAACATTTGGACATCAGGACAGCTGATCATGTCGAGTGGAGGTGGGTAGCTGCTCAAAATAAGCTCCAGCACTTGGCTGCGTAACAAGTTCGACAGAAGATCTCCTGTACTGTATGTACTGTCCATGGGTTGAACAGCATGACAGTAGGACAACATGACCAGGCACTGGCGAAAGCAGGGCACACGAAGGGAAGGATTTGCCTGACCACTTGCGGGGGTGACTATGCCTACAACTGGCCATGAGCGACACCAGAACGTGTTTACGCAGGTTTTTGATCAACACGTTGAAGGTCACATGGACACACATGAATGCAAATGCACGGAAATCCAGGCACGGGATGCCAATATTGAAAGTACTAAGTACTTAAGCACTTTCTTGCCACCCATGTACCTTTCTATTGTATATACGGTATCGCGGTACCAACGGAGAGGTGCTGGATGCCACGAGACTTTGCCCCGCGAGAACCCACTAATCTCAACCCGTCTCCCGGGGGCGGTAGCACCGTGGGTCACTCATGGGCATGGTCACTAACTTACGGAGTAGACCAACGACCCAAACAAGTCGTTGCCCTATCATGCCCATTTAAAGTCCAGATCAACATTGGGACAATAATGCCCTGTCGTGCCTGTGAGCCCCTCCCTTGTGGCCGAGGGGCCCCTCGGCCCCTTTAGCAGGCAAGGGTCGTCCCCGGCCTGCGGGCCCTTGGTTGATCGACATTCAATAATCAGAGATGAATGAATGAAAGATGGATGGAGTGTTGCCCCAAAAGGGCCCCTTGCCGGTGGTGATTGATCCTCACTAAGGTCATGGGTACATGGCTGCTGCAAAGCCTAAGACCCGGAGCTCGGAGCACGGAGAGAATATCCCCCCCAGCCCCGTACGATCAATGCCCATCACTAACGAGTCAGACGACCGGTTGCATCACTGATGAAGCACACCTATAAACTGGTCATATTCGGGGCGATGTTATTTAGGTGCTGTTGATAGGGGGCATCTGGCCCTGTGGTCGCTGGGATGGGCCTGTCAGACCACCGAGAGGTCCCCTGAAGTACCTAGCCTGGCTTACCTGCCAGGCACCCAGAACATGAACTCAGCCTCACAGCCTCACCTGGAACGTCTGGACTGTACCTTGGGCACCATTTTCGTGCCATCCAAAAGTCCGGTCCTTTTAGGCAGAGAACACGCCTTGCACAAGTATACCAATCAACTCTCGACTAATTGGTACTGTAGCATCACTACTACTTTTGACTTTTCTACGGACATACATGATGCTACCACCGGACCGATCATCTCTACTCGTGCCGTGCCATTCAGGGAGAAAGTTGATGCCATTACGATGCGGGAGGCGAATATTCTCTTATGTTTGCTAGTCTTTCCTTATTCACTTGTTAAGACGCAAGTGATGCCTTGATGAGCACCAGTAAGAATTGGTTTATTTAGGATTTGAACCTCATATCCACCCGTCGCCCCAGGATCTCGGGGAAGGAACGGAGGCGTGGGTAGCCACTGCCAGCGCAGGAACGGCAACAACGGGTTTTTTTTCCATGTCATGTGAACCCGGACCGAAGGCGCCAAGCCAATGACTTGCTCCGATTTCATCAGAGTGCCACAATGATGCCACTCACGGCCGCCTCGGCCACCACTGCAAACGCACCCCTCGACTCGACTCGAGTAGGCTTGACTCGTCTCGAGACGAACAATCACATCTTCCCTTTCGTCACCATTCCCAACCTCATGCCTCCGACTCAACGCGGGCCGAAGTCTTGGTCGACACACACACAGTCTTGGGTCTGCCTTCGCCCGCTATGAGATGGAACATGACACACATCAGAAACCCAGTGTACACGAAAATCCATAGTTTACAGCCATGTAAATTCGGCAGACGAGGTCTGGACTAACTAGACAGCTGGAGCTTTGCCGCACTATAGTACATATCGTTGAATCGCTTCATCATCCTCACACTCAAGTTCCATCAACTCAAGTCACGTCCTGTTCTTGAGAGCATGGAACAAGATTGAGACATGGGCGTCCATTGCGCCCTATCCAAATGATCAAACGTGTCACTTTTCCTCTCCAAAACTCTGATCTGGGCCGTGATGCAATTATTCCGAAAGATACGCCCCGTTCTCCTTGGTCAAGATGGGGTCAGGGCCTCACCATCTCACCCCCAAAGTCCTCCGACCTGTATAGGTACCATAGATGAGTCAAAATTCATACAATGCATGCAAGATGATAGTTTCCCGCTCCGAACGCAGACAATAACAATAATTCAAATCCAGTCATCCTGTGATGCACACTTGACGTCGGTGGTAAAAACCACGTCTCTCTACCATCCTTTGGCGTTGTATTCCCAAGGATTGTCAAAGTAATGATTCCACGAGTTGTTCTTGGAAGTGTCGGCCGTCGCGGCTGGCGGCGGCTGATATGGGCCTACAGCTGGGGCCGTGTGTGCTTGGAGGTTCGCCATGCTTTGGGCATTGCGACTTCTCTTGAGGAAGGCGTTGGCAGCTTGTGATTTTTGTTGTCGCTCCCAAAGCAGGTTTTTGCGTAACGACTCTGTTAGCTCCGTCGACAACATGTTTCGTCGAGTCGTTCTCGGCGAATGTGCCAATGATTTTCCATTAATCTTGGGAGGGGGAATGGCTATGGGTGGCCGCCTGGAAGCGGGCATCATCATCGCATCCTCGTCCTCTGGCGACTCGGCCAGATCTCTGTTTTGTGTAGGAGACAACGCCCGTGGTCGATGGAGTGCAGGCTGGGAGTAGGCGTGTCCGAGGTTGCTGGGTCCGTTGTTGAGCGCCAGAGTCAGCATTGATCGTCGAGAAACGAGGTCAGGCCGACTTTCGACACGTCGGAAAATGGGCTCGCCAACGCCCGCCTTGCCGTCATCCGAGTTGGAATCTTCCCAGTCCCCTTCATCCTCATCATCCTCTTCAATAGCAGACTCGATGATATCATCCGTGTCATCCTCCTCGTCGCTACTCTCAATCGCCCCTTCATCATTCTCCGCGTCTTCTTGAATCCGCCTTTCAGCGACAACGTCCCGGAACGATGTTCGCTTGGGTGCAATGGTAGTGCTCGCCTGGCTGGCCAGATTTCCCTTGCTTAAACTTTGGGAGAGAGAGCTCTTTTGGGGTACGGGCCTGAGAGTTAGTAGTCGTTGTTCGAACGACGAGTCGTCGTCTTCGGATGAGCCTCCGAGGGTAAACATGGCTGTCTTGAGGCTCTTCTTCTTAGGAATCAATTTGGTGGGGTTGTCAGGTTGTAGACCGCTACTAGTTGTTCGAGACCGGAAGGAGGACGTGACAGGAGAGAAACCATGGACAACGGATCCACTTCTGATCAACCCATCGGACGACACCGATGTATCAGAGTCTCTGTGTTCGCTCTGACGTGTGGTCGTGTTGGTGGCGGCGGTGGTTTCCGAAATACACGATTCCATCGAGTCTTGCAAGTGTTCCGAGGGTGGGGGGTAAGAGCTCTCGTCAAGCATGGGTTGTTTCGAGCATAATAGCGATGGTGCAGGAAGACTTGCACCTATTGAAGGCGATAAAGGGCAAAGGTCGGCCTTCTCTTGTATGGTGACGACAATCTTTTCCAGAGTGTGAGATGTCAGGTGTCGAGATCTCGAGAGTGAACTGGCGCAGTCATCCTGGCCAAAGGATCGCGACCTCGAATTAATGGTACATGAGCCTTTGTCGCTCAGGCGGTCGCTTTCCTCGGAAGAGTATGAGTTGGAAAGAGAGGGCACGCCACTGGATCGGGGTGGGAGCGAGTCGACGGGGGTGACACAAAGTGACTCCCGAGACCACACTCGCCAACTCATGTTTTCCAGTCGGTGACCGTCTTTGAGGGTTTCTGAACATTTTGAAAACATGGACCACATTGCCATCAAGCTACAGGCATTGGATGGGTCGATGTGGTGCATCTTGCCAGCGTCCAAGGACAGGACGGGAGGAACTAAGCGCGAGGGCATGGCTGCTGGTTTTCTCAGCGGGGAGAGAAAGGAGAGGAGAGGAGAGGAGAGGAGGGAGGTGATGGTGGTCGAGTTTACACTCGGAACGTGCTGAGGACGAGACTCTGTGTCGTTGTTGGCGGCCAGTGAATGCGATCGATCAAGTCGGCAGATGATCGGCTGTGACGCAATCTATGGCCTCGGTCCGATCGAGGAGTTGCAGCGACCTGTGAAATCTGTTGTAGAGAGACATTCACATACTAACAGTGTACCGACGAGGACAGTTTGAGAGGCCAGGGGAGAAGCAAGTCGACCAGAGGGTGGAAGCGTGAGTTTTTGATGCTGGGTTGGCGAGGAGGAAAGACAGGATGGTGGGTGTGGAGGAGTTGAGAGGGCGGAAGGAGCGATCGATGGGGAGGACGGGTATAACAAACAGGGCCTCGGGGTGGAAGGAGGGCTGATGGCTGAAGGCAGGTGCAGCAGGTGCAGGTGCAAATGCCAAATGCCAACTGCCAGATGCAAACCAAACGAGTGACCGCGCTAGGACTGGATGGCTTCGAGTGCCACCGGGGCATGAGTCGTGACTAACAAAGCACAGGCGGTGGGCAAGCCAACCGACTAGTGAGGCACGGGGCTTAGAACAAAGTCGAGGGCAAAAGATGGTGGATAGGCCCAGAATGGCTCCCGTGGTCCATAGCCCCGTGGTCCATGGAAGGATGGGTGGTACCCCTAGACGGTCGTAACGGTGTAATCGTTGCAATCGGCAAGATGACTTGCTTAGTTCGGTGGGCGGCAACTTGAAAACCGCTGACCAGGGCCAGCAGGGCCTGGTACAACAGCCGGACAGGGGGTGGGGCCGTGGATCACCAAAGCACGCATTGCCGGGACCGAAGAAGGCCAGGTCAGGTTAGGGTAGCACGCACCCACGCATCACGATAGGTACGAAGAGGTACCTAAGCGTGCTAAGGGACGTAGCGTTGGGCAAAGGTCCCGATTCTAGAGGATGGTCGAGGGAGCTCACTGGGGGGTGACTAAACTCCGGCAGACAATTCGAGACCAGGCTAGCGGATCGAGAACCTTGGGAACAGTCAACTGTTGAGCCAGTACGGAGTAGTGCTGGAGGTGTCCGCTTGCGGTGGTACTAGCTGTTACATCGAGTGACCGAATGACCTCCCGGCTACCAACCACGGCCAGGTTCAAGCAATAATAGGCCGAAGTGCCACCTAACAAGTGCTAACTTAGGCGGCCCAAGGCCTTGATTTCGACTAGTTGCGGCGCACAAGCGCCCGTGCGAATTATCCCTAAGCAAGTCCCACCGAAAGTGACTTGCAAGCCCATGAAATTCAAATGAAATGACCACATCTTGAGAAACGCCTCGCTTCACACCCTAATTCTCAGATGAACCACTGATGCGAAGGACTGGTGCTCTCGAGAGGTACATAATGCCATGCTGTCTACGCATACACATGTTTGGCTGGCACGTAGTTGAACGAACAGTATTAGACCCACGTCTGAGTTGCTTGATCACGCCGCACGTGCGATATGAGGTTCTAGCTCATTATATTTCTCTTCAAGTCACCTGCACTTGCCATGGGTTTCGAGTGACCAATACAGGAAGGGGTAAACCGCAAAATCCTAATTCAGGATTCCCGGTCGGCAAAATGCGAGGCCCAACGTAAATTCTCGCCGTCTTTCTTTTGTTCGGGGTTGATGAGTTTTGTTTCTCCGCAGCCAGGCATCTGGACATGAGGAATTTCAGGCACCTTAAATCTAATAATCAGACTCGTGACCTCCCATGGTTTTAGTTCGGAAGATGATTTCGGCACCTCGCTCATTACTTTTGAATCCAAGCTTGACTGAACGCAGCTCCCCACTCACAAGGCACAGACTCTGAAATCCTTTCGCCCCAGATTCTATTGATACTCATTAAGTACCTAGTGCTAAACGGGTCATTTCTGGCTTCAGCATAAACGTACTGCCACTGAGAATATCGATCACTCTGACAAACAGACTGATGATTCAGCATTAATCTGGACCATAGTGCGTCATTAGTAGAGAACAATGAAACAAAACAAGTACACGTTGTCTATCACAGGCGCGGGTACAAGTGAAAATAAAAGCATCACCAGACCAGATGACTAGATCCTATTTGGCAATTAAGCCCGCTCGTGACCCAACGAGAACAAATCTAATGAGGGCTCTGGCAGTGGAGGCAAGCAACGACGGCTGGGGCTTGTAAGCATGTTGGCATGTCACCCGGGAGTCGGGAATGTTCTGGCTTCTAATTAGCCTGTTGGCGTACGGAGTACTTGACTCAAAACTCCAAAGGGAGATGGGTGGGTGAATGGGTGAATGGGTGAAAGGGTACCTTAAGTGGGTGAGTGTGGGTGGGGAGGATGTCACCTACGGGCGGGATCCCCCTTCCCCGTTATAACTAAACCCTACTCCGTACAGTGAGATCTCGAACTTGGACCACGTGCGACAGACCCAAAGGTGACACATTATCGACCATAGCCCTTTATGCGTACCTGTGTTGGTGTGCATGTGCATGTGCCAAGGGGCACTGGAGTCCCGTCCTTTCACTACCTACCTACGGAGTACAGACAGAGAAAGTCCTCCCCTAGGCGACCCTCCTAGTAAGGCCTGGGGGGTCCCCCCTCGCCCCGAGATGCCCGAGAAACCAATTTGACCTCAACAAATACCAGTGCGGTCGAAACTCGCACACGTCCAAAGGATACTGATTCAAGTTTTCTGCTGCTCACACCTATTGACAGCCTCGCCAGTGAATTATCATGCTGGTATCGATTTACACTTACAAGGTCTGTCGCGTATTATTGCAGACCTCTTAAGCACATACGGTGCTGTAGGTAGACGCGTAAATGTTTGGCAAAGATGCACCAATTTACCCAGTGCCCCTCCATCTTCAAAGTAATGACAGGTACGACCAACAAGTCTACCCACGCTTTCCATTTCTAATAATGCAATCTCGAGTTGGGAGTTTCGCACTCACGCACTCCTTGTCCTGACACTCACCCTCCCACTCATGCGTCCTGTTTCTGTTATTCATACTATCATATCCAGCACAGCCCATGCATATCTAGTCGACCCAAGATCTCCCACTCTTGGAGGTCAACTGCATCGGCCCCCGGGTATCACGACTTGACTGCGCCTGCCCCAACAATCTGGAACCAGTGGATCCTACGGAGTACTTAGTCACATGCCGTGCTTTGACAGCACTCTTCATCGAATAGCGTACCTGAGAGCACCACATCTCAGGCTCGATGCCCTGTTCCTTTGCTGGGATGGGTTTCAACATCACATGTGGTTCCACCGACAAACATAGTGCAAGTAACCAAGTCTCCCAGGCACATCAATCATGTCTGAGATTCGTCATCTTCTCCATCCCACGCCTCAGTACTACTCTTCAGTAACTCATGACCATATTTGCTAAGAAAAAGAAATGGGATCTAGGTGCCTCCCACTTGGTCGCCTGACCTCCACGCCTCCCCACGAACTCGACTCGCCTACACACAATAACATGATACACATGTTTCTCCTTCAAGCCACAACAAGGGCTCCCTTGGGGGTCTGAATCAAACGACCCTATGTGATTTGGCCAACTTGCTTTGGAGCGAGAGTTTGTCACCTTGCCTTTGTGGCTTGTCGATCTGCAATCATGACTTTGACACATCACATCGAAGCCAGCCCTGCCCCTGTGAATCGAACATGCATGCGGATTCAAAGCCAACTCCGCGTCTTGACTTGCTTATCAGGAGATGGATTAGCCCACGAGCTTCAGACAACCATCATACTTGGCCCAATAATGTCCACCCTACATTCAGACATGATATCCATACACCCCTCCTCCGACTTACCCACCACGTGGCTTGGCTCCGCTCTTCCCCGTCCTCTGGTTCTCTGATTCTCCCGGTTGTTGTCTAGCCGTGCCCGCAGCAATCAACATGTGACATGTGACGCTGCACCAGCACGCAAAGTCGGTCAAAACCCCCAACTCGATAGCCAACCCCTCTCGAAAATGAAAGATGCAACACCTGGTCCGTCAACTCTTGACCCTACACTACACTGATAAGTCCTCTTCTTTTCTTCTGGTCGCCTACTTGCCACGAAATGTGTACCATCACTCTTCGAGCTCCCCACCTCGCTTCGAGAGCCTTGTATATTCGAGTCCGCATGTCCTTCTTGGTGGGGGGGTCACAGGGGTTCCCAAGATTTGGGGTGGCTGGACCGCTAGATGATCCTGCAATAAGCTTTTGAGGCTGCGGGCGGATTCTTTCTCCCTTATGCCGCCAATACGGTTGAGCCAGGGTCCGGGGATCAACGTGGTCGACCGAGGTGCAGAGGGGTCGCGTCGGGCCACCCCTGCCCTAACTTTTCGAGGGCCCGAGGGGCCCTTGGGCTCTTGTAGGCGCGCCTATCAGCGTAGCGAAGCTGGCGAATACCTACTCTTGACTGTTAACATTCATCCAGTGTCCCATGCGCTGACTACCTAAAGCTTCAGTACATACTTATGTACATATCTCGCGACCGTATTTACATACCATTTTGGTCATAGGCCAGGACCAGGTCTTCTGCTTTTCACTGATAACGTCGAGGTTGAAGCACCAAGCTACTACTCCAGAAGGTAAGGTCACGAGCGATTTGAGACGCGATTAGCCAGTGTTCATTATTGTCTTCCTCCACGCCCTCGTACATACGGAGTAGTGGCACGAATATCCGTCACAGTATGTGCAGAGCGCACCAAAGGACGAAGCATACCGCATCCGAGCCTATGAAAGAACGACCAATTAGCTAGGTAGGCTAGGCAAGCAGACTGATCAGCATGTCAAGCCCGATCTTTTAGATTCTCCAGGATAATCCAACTCCTTTTCATGCCGCAATGCGTGGGACTTTGCGCTTGTTCCAAGCCCCCAGTGTATGAGATTCCATGGATGTGGCTTGCCTCCTGAGTCCTGGATCAGATCAACCAGACTGTTGTCACAGTCACCTGGACAATAGGCGCACAAGGTGACAAGGGATGCGTAGCCCAGGACGATAACGAGGCCGTTGCACCGCAATGCTCGCCAGCAAGCGTACCAGCCCTCACTGTTCTATTCTGTCAGCGGCCAACTCCTCGTTGTCCACCGATAGCTGGTCTGATCCATGGCTCCATGTATGTACATACTGTATAGGGGTGTCAAACGTCCGAGTGATCTCGAGGAGCCTTCTCCTTCGCCCCGCTATCGAACTGACAGCTGTCACGATAGGGTCATTCCATCCCTTTAGGGATGCTTTACTCCCACTCGTCATCACTTGACTGCGATCCGAACTTCTCGCCAACGTTTCCGAACCTGAGTCATTACGGGTTACAGGAATGATGACTGTCAAAGTCGGTTGTGGCAGCGCCTAACCACGCATTTCTCGAGACCATGGATGCTTGGTTATACCATCCTGCACATACGTACATACGGAGTAGGTACAGTAGATTGCCACAGCTCTCACGCCCTCCCGCCCTTGATGCTGTCAAGGTCACTTCCAGCATATCCGTCCAATGGCGCAACAGTTTCCATACATTTCTTAGTTGGTCTCACGGATCTACAGGAGCACCTGGGCCCAATAATTCATCTCGCATCTCGCATCTTGAGGGACAGACGGGATCCGAGATCCTAGTCTTGGGATCTTCAAACACACCTGATACCCCCGTCAAAGGGTGGTAGAGATACTCGCGGATACCTCACTGGCCAAGGGGCATCGATCCGAATTACGAGTTCACGACCATCATTCAGGGTCCACTGTCTGTCGTTTCATCGACCTCACCGACCTCGACAGATGACTGAGGCCACAGATAGGGAGATAAGTGGGTGCTCATGCGCTCCATTCTGATTCAACTGTCATTACAGAACATGGAAATTCATACATACTGCCATGGGATGCGACTCACATCTCCAGGAGGGTTGTGTCAACAAACGCCAACCATTGGCGAACCATGTCATTCTACAACGCCCTCTAGTGCTGCCCGAACCTGACCTCTCTTTTGTCATGACCCATATTGGCGTTCTCGGAAAACAGCCTTCCTATGTATACCGGTGAGCTAGGAAACTCATCTCATCTGCGAGCATTGACTCTCTCTCGAATGGTCTCCTATATCTCGGAACCGGAACCGATGAGGCTCGCTAATCTCGAAGACGTCTTTGCGACGATGGTGACATAGGCGATTGGCTCGCTTCGACGAGCTGTCATGTCGATTCAGCCAAGTCTTTGGGACCAAGATTACTGCTGTACCGTCTGGTGAGAAGCAGTTAGGGATTCAACTCGATTCAATGGATTGTGGATGATGTGTCTAGCTTTGCATTATTTGCCCCTTACCTGGTAGTACACCTCAAGAGAGTTGGGCTCCTTGCATTGGCAGGTCTTGATAGGAGACAAGCAACATCCGACTGTCGAATACCTCTAATATCGGTTCTGACTTGCTATGTGATGCCCTTGGCCTTCCGAGAGCGGCTCAAAGGGAGTCGCTGAACCAAAATTGAGAGACTACTGTGAGAGAATTTGGATCTTGAATGCATATTCGAGGCAACGAGGCACACCGTGCTTTTCTCAATGATCGCTAAGCTTTTGGCCTATTCTATCCCTTCTTTGGCGGGTATCGGTTTTATACAAATGGTCTCGTTATATCATGCAAGGCTCTCTTCCATGGCCCATGAAAACGCCATCTTCTGCAACAAGTTTGTATCATTACTCCCAACCGGCAAGCGGTCTAGAAATCGTTTTCGTCGTTTCCGGATACAATCACATTGTTGATTTTCAACACCTGAGCGATAAGGGTTAGTCCATGTTTTCATCATGTCTCCCACAGGATGTCAACTCACCATTCGGCATAACTGGGTGGCAAGGAGGAGCTGTTGTCGCTTGCCAATCAGAGGATCGATGACAAAGTTGGCTCTCATATCTGAGACGAGTTAGCTAGAGACTACCGAACTAGGTTGGGAGGACATACCGTTTGTGCCAGTTCCCATACAATCGACACCTAAGCGCGAGTTCTTCTCCTTGATGTGTCTTGATTTGATTTCGGCCAAGGTCTCAATGGGGCTTAACCCAGAGTTCTCTGCCAGTGTCATAGGAATTGCGTCGAGGGCGTCGGCAAAGGCTCGCATGGCGTACTGTTCAAGACCTGGAGATTTGGCAGCAGCATCTTCAACGGCAATAGAGCAAGAGATTTCTGCAGCTCCACCTCCGTAGACGACACGGTTGTCCCTGACCAGGTTGCGTACGACGCAGAGGGCATCGTGTAAGGAGCGTTTTGCTTCGTCGATAATCATCTTGTTGCTCCCTCTAACGAAGACAGTGACAGCCCGCGTGTTGGCGCATTCTTCGATTACCAACATCTTCTCACGTGTAGTTCCGAAAGTCATTTCTCTAACCACTCCAGCCCGTCCCAATTTGTCAGCGGTGAGGTCTTCAAAACGAGGTACGATGCGTCCATTCGTGGCAATGGCGATCAGCTCGATTTCAGGACCGCCTACCCAGCGCACAGCAGGAAGTTTGTTCTGTAGAAGAAGATGGTTGGCTTCATCGTCGAAACCCCACTGACAGATGACAACATTGGCGCCCGTGTCTTTGATGAGATCAATCATTTCAATAAACTTGGTCTTCTCGTACTGTTGGAGTTTTTTGAATTCTTCGACCGAGGAGATGTCGAGCTTGTGTTTAGTCTTTGGCTTGGGCGGCTCAAATGCACAAGTCAAAATAGCAAGCTTCGCGTCGCGAACCTCGCTCGGCATCTGTGGATGAGAGAAGTCTTTATCGACGATAACACCTTTAACTAGCAGAGAGTCGTCGATTGAGCCACCAGCCTTTCCATCGACCTTGATCAACTCAAAATCGACGTCCTTTCGCTCGAGATCAGCGACCGACATGACGGCATCGACGGCGATTCGGGCAAAATGATCATGTGCTTTGCTCACAATCTTACTGCCGAGACTGGTCTTTGCAACCTTGATGAGATTTTCGTGCTCGTCACGGCTAAAGGGGATGTCGTCACTGATCGAGTTCAGATGTTTTACGGCGATTTCGCAAGCCTGATCATAGCCATCAGCAATTCGAATGGGATGGATGCCTTTGTCGATGAGATCAGCCGCTTGGTCCAGCAAGGCGGCAGCTAAGACGACGACTCCGGTTGTACCATCACCAATTTCATCATCTTGAGACTTGGATAGTTCAACCATGAGCTTCGCGATGGGATTGGACAATTCCATTTCCGACATGATTGTGCGGCCATCGTTGGAGATCTGGATATCTCCGTCAGGGGAAATGAGGATCTTGTCGAGACCGCGGGGGCCTAATGAGGTTCGGACAATATTTGCGACAGTGCGAGCCGATACAATGTGTTGTTTGACAGCCTCCGTACCATGGGTCCTCTTTTTGTTGGCTTGATCCCGCACAACGATGAAAGGTCGACCCGATTCATCCTTAACAAATTGGGCCTGCGACAAATCCAGTTGCATAGCCATGTTGAACGAAGAACGGAGGAGTCAGGCTTTGGCTTCTAATCGCCGTGGCTTGACAGGAATTCGTGGTCTTGAGGTCGGGGGGAAGGGGTCGTCGCAGGCAGTCCGCAGGAAAGTGGGGTGAGGGAGTGTGCCAACAAAAGGACGGCGTACCACTGATGGCGATGTATATTGGTAGATGGGAGGATAGGAGGTCGAAGTATCAGACAGAGCGAAGGATGAGGTACCCTGTCAGTGGGTTAGAGCGCAGGTGTGTATGTGGATGGCGGATGTCGTGGTCGAAGCATCAATTTGTCAACAGTCTCGCTGATGAATCTCGAAATTTTTGGCGTCTCCAAAACTGGGGAATTGAAATGGAAGATGTGGCTTGTGCCTGACATGCTCTGTTGCCTGGATGGAGGCTTGTAAGGGCAGCCCAGTGGCGGTGAATGATAGAGCGGAGTACAAGGTTGATGAGCCGCAATCTTTCAACCCAGAACCAGCTTCAATCATGGGGCATGGGGGTTGGTTCCTCAGGCCCCAGGCCCCTCGGGGCACATTCAGTGCTTGGGTGTTTAACCAACCATGCCAGCCTTTACTTAGAGCTCCAGCCCCCAGAAGCCCGAGGGCTCTTCGACAAGCTAACCCTTGCCTTATGTTCAGAACCTATCACCATGTCTACGAGCCAGCAAAAGCTCCAGAGTCTCCACAGCCATCTGTGCCTCTCTCCTCTTTTGTAGTTGCAAAGACTGTGATTGTCAGTAGTAAACTGCGATCGACATTCATCCAGCATCTGGTATGCTCATGGTGAAGCCCAACACCACCATCCTCATCGCAGTGCGCAGAGCCATCGCTACCAATTGAATTACACCTGACGCGTCGCAAACCCGTGTCAAAACCTCTTTCCTATTCTATTGCCCACCTTCCCACCCAGCGCGTGCCTCTGCGCCTTCCATCTTTCAATATGCCCAAACTCGCTGGTATGTCTGCCGCGACACTTTACATACGCATTCTCCAGTACTCGGACTAGTTCTGACGCAATGCTATAGATGACTCTTCCTCTGACGTCGGCAGTGACGCAGAGATGCAGAATGTTCCTGTGACTTCTGACGTCGGTGCTACTGCTCATCTCAACGGCGACTTGAATGACGATCTTGACGAGGCTGCGCCTGCGCGTACAACAAAGCCGGAGGACAATGAAGACGAGGACAATGATGACGGCGACAACGATGATGATGACAGCGAGCAAGAAGATGAATACGTCGTCGAAGCCATCCGAGGCCATTCATATATCAAGAATAAGCTCTTGTACGAAATCAAATGGGTGGGTTATTCCGAGTCAGAGAACACGATGGAACCCGAATCAAATCTACTACCGTAGGATCTCTCCCACCTACGAACCTCCACCGCGGGCAGTACAGTTGACTTCCGAACCAGACACGCTCGCGACATACTAGCCAAGTACAAGGAAACCCTAGACGAAATCCCTCCCCTAGTCCTCAAAAAGACAAAATCAAAACAGTCCCTTCGCCGCGAGCCATCGACAGAAGATTCTCCAGCTCCGCCATCAAAGCGCCAGAGGAAGAATGGTGCTGATCGGTCTACGGGTGAGCGAGAGGAGACCTGGACACCAAGCAAGGAAGACTGGGAGCCCTTTGTCGTTCGGGTCGATGCCGTGGAGAGAGGTGATGATGGCCAACTGTTGGCATACATCCTTTTCAAGAACAACAAGAAAACAAAAGTAAGTATGGATAAGGTCTACCGACACTGTCCTCGTCCCATGTTAAGATTCTACGAAGCCCATCTCAAGTTCAAGTAAGTATGTTTCGAGATGAAATGCATTTCAATTGTTTTTATTCATTGTACTCATCTTCCTCAGTTGATTTGACCCTGAAGCAACTCCCTCTTTCTCTGTAAAAGTACAACCAGTTCGGTGTTCCGACACTCAAAAGTCCAAATCACCGTTCACTAGCCCGGAAGTTCCCCGTTGCACGTCGATGTTAAGCAAATCCAAAGCTTTTTGTTTCTGCACGTCGAGAAGTTGTTGTGCCTAAAAGGGTTGAGACCGCTACGCACTGAACTTGAGGATGCACCTGGAAAGGAGGGGAGCGTGTGAAAGCTGGCGATAGGCCCTAACGCGTTGCATCGCGACGAAGGCCGGTGGTGCCTTGATCATCAACACGCGGCGGCAGGTCATCTCTTGAGATGAACAGCTTTGAATTGAAGGGTACTTTGCGATTCTAGCATGGCGCTTGAGCGGGCAACGACTTTGAACAGCTTAGCACTGTGGGATGTGTCGACTGCCTTTGGCTGCTGGTTCTTTTTCTGGAAGTCAGCAACATTCCAACCGCCAGATGGGAATCAAAGACTCGAACACGGAACATATAATGGGTGGAAATAATCATTTCGGCTACTTCAGAGACTTCATGACCTTGCTCGAGTTTAAAAATGGTCAACATTGAGCTTGGTCTCGGGAAAATGTACAGCAGCACAGGCTCCGACGACTAGGCAGTTCGTCGACTCTGGACAGCAGGATCGGCTTTTCTGTATGAATAACTAATGCTACACTCCAACCAGCGCACTACAAATTGATTGCCCAAGGCATTGCATTCATGCCTTTCCATGGCCATACGTTAAAAGCTTTCTCACTCGTGGATCCTCTCACCCTCCTGTTGTTATCCTTTGACAGAGACGTGGCTTTTCCTCCTCTCGATTCATCTACAATCCAACAGCGTATCTCCCTCACGTGTCCTCCGACAACTCATTCAAGAACTCAAACCTCAGGTTACAATTCTGTCTTCCATGCTTCGCCATAACGAGAGCCGTGTCACGCGTCTGAGTGCTCATCAACATATCATCGTCCTCGGGGGTCCACACACCCGCGAGATTCTTGGGTAATGGAATGTCGACATCGACAGCCAAGGTGGCGCGTTTGGAGCGATGGATTGTGCTGAGCATATCTGCGACGACAGTGGTGGCTAGCGAGAAGTCGAAGGATGTAGATTCAATGGCTTTGAAGAGAATGGGTGAAAGGGAAAGGGATGGTATGTCGGCATACAGGGCTTTTTGCTCAGCCAGCCACGTCGATAACTGGGGTTTTGGTGGGGGGGAAGTGGTTTTGGGGAGGAGCTGGTCGTCGGTATCGGAATAAATCTCGATGATTGACTCTGGTAGTGGGAGGTGATTTGACACAGTTGAATCGGCCCTGTTGTTGTCGTGTCCAAGGGCATCGTCAGCCATGAGATGGTCGTCGCCCCGATCGTTGACAACCTCCTTCCGTTTCCCTCTATGCTTGATCCGTTTACGCGGAGGCTTATTCTCCTTCTCCGTGTCCATATCCGTCGCTTGGTCTTCTTCCAAAGCGAAACCATCGCCGAGGATGGATGCCCAACCACCTTCCGGCTCAGGGATGTCTAGTCCCAGGAGGACATCCTCGTCGCTACTAATAGGGGGATCAAACAGCGCTTGAGTCGACAACCTCCGATGTCCGCGTTGGCGAGTTTGTTGTACCTCCTCCGCTTCTCCCTCTGTTGCCGTTTCATACTCATTTGCCGTCTCGGGTCCTGTCTCGAACAGTTCTGACTTTCGATGAGAGGTTGACTTAGAGGATGACGATGACGATGACGACAACGAGGCTTCATTGTGATGGAGGCTGGAATCATTGCCTTTCGGGGTACTTGTTGTCTTTGTAGGCCCAGATCCAGAGTATGGTAAAACTTGAGAGTTTTCATCAGACTCGTCGACACTTGCACGCGATTGACTCTTGACTGGCCTAATTGAAGATCGAGGGACTGTTTTCCTTGCCGCTCGGGAGGGGAAATTTGATGAGAAGAGTGGTTCAGGGCTGCGACGGGCACCGGCACCATCAACGGATGCAGGGAAGGAAAAAGCCTGATTGGGCTTCTCTGGGGGACTGATGGATGGTTGCTGCCCAGGCTCGTCGCGCGGTCTGCGCGCAGGCCCTTTACCCTTGGATGATGCTGAAGAGGCTGTGTCTTGCGTGGGAGCCTGGGCAGATTCGCTAGGTTTCTCCAGGGGTTTCTTCAATGACATCCATTTGTCCAAATGGTCTAGCTTCTGTTCAAGAGCATTTTCAGGCTCAAGACCCTCGCCAGCATTGCTGGATTCTTGAGAAGGCAACTGGGATTGAGAAAGGCGACCAACACTTCTCTTTCTTCCCTCGTTAGTTTGGGGTCGTCGATCGGAGGTTGGGGATTCTGGTCGAAAGGAGGGAGACCTTTGCTCAATATGACCTCTTTGGGAGGGACTAGAAATTGAGGTGGCATTTGGGGTAGATGAAACGATTGGATGCTCAACACTTTGACGTGCAGGAGAGGCAGCAACATCGAGCTTTGAGGAATCAGCAGGGTGGTTAGATTTCGCTACTTGAACGTCGGCCGCTTCTTGAAAGAAGGCAGCAGTCGAAGGTCGAGGAACTTTATGAATGCGCAAGAAGACTGCGCAGTCATGACACAATAGCTCGCCCCGCTTGTTCATCTGCCATTTGTCTGAATCTTTGGTATAGCAGTTGCTACATGCTACGGTGTCAAGACCAGGCGAGGAACGTTGGCTTGCGTCTTGGGTAGGGGTTGGAGGGCTCAAGACTTTGGCTGTCGCTCGATAGAGATCTTTGTCATGGCCATGTGTCTCGTGAACTTGGGTGGCAAGTTGTGCAAGCGGTCTACTTGATGATGGCGCTTGGGAGGCTGCTGTCTGGAAGGGATTATTGTGAGAAATGGGCACATGATATGGCCTCTTCGATGGAATGGATTGAGATGGAACTGCGGCTCGAGTGGGAGGTTTGGGCAATGATGGTATATCAGGCACCGCGGCTGAAATCTGTCTGGTTTGAAATTGGGTTGTCTTGATCCAACGATCTCGCCAACTCTGGTAGGTGTGGTGAGGGTAATGAGACTCGAGCGTTCTGTAGATCTCGTTGCCCTTCCATGCGCCACCCCTGTCTTGAAATGGTTTGATCCAGTCCCATAACAGCTGGTCATCTTCATTAGTGAAGGGTTTCCTGCTGGATTTCGCAGGAATTATTGTGCTGCCGACTGGTCTAGAAGTTTTGGTGCTCATGCCAATGGCATGGTCTTCAAGGGATTCTAATTTGCCGTTTTGAATGGAGCGTTCGACGTAGCGATAGGAATATGTACCAGAGGGGTTACCCTTCCTGACATGGTCAACCAGCCTGATATCTGCTTGTTTGTCGAGGTCGACGACGGTGGCGCCATTGAGTTTGGCATTATGAATGAGATAGCTCCGTTGGGGGACGGTGTGGGCAAACCAGAGTGTCTGGCCGGAGAAAAGAAGACTGGATGTCGATTGGTCTGCGTGAACTGCATCATCAGGGACGGTATTGGAGGCCATCAGAGACCTGAAAGCCGGGTATACGAGATCTGCTTCACATGGATTCTTGGTCACATTTTGGTGTGTTTGCGTGGTAGAGTATTGGACTGACGTTCAGTGGTGGGAGTTGCAGTCAGCAGGAAAGAAGAGTATCTGGTCTAACCATCGTCCCATTGCTGTGCATATCGTCTGGGTGATGGTTAAAATTACAGACCTCTTGCAGGGGATATGCAGTCATCAGCCTTTCGCATGTTGAGGGCATGACGATTTTGGGGATGATCTGAGGTGCGGTGACTACGCATCTGCATGTTGGAAATATCAGACTAAGCCAGATTTGGGGCACGTGTCGAAACGCAATATCACGTGACTAAGATGATAGCATCTTCCATCTCTGCATCTTCTCGGTCCCGTCGGCCACACGAAGTCCCTGACACTCACTCTGACCACCGTAATCACCCCCAACCCACCATGAACTCCGGCTTCTGCGTACATATTCATTGTGCTTCTCCGTGGAGGTTTAAGTCCAGGGTCCGGCTCCATAGAGGAAGGTGCGGTGGGGCATTATCGCTATTGGTCCCTGCCATGATCTCCTTACTAACTCGTACGCACAAATTCGACTCAGGAATATCGTGAAGGAACAACCACCGGAATGTCCCTACGTGGGTATTCCGAACCACCCACAACTGCGACGGTAAACGGAAGGGATGGATAACGGGATGCTATCTTATAAATATCATGGCCGTCAAACATGTTGATTAGGTATCTTGGGTTCCTGATAGATTGGGTGATAGGGTCTGTTTGTCTTGTAGCTAGGCACCTAGGTAAGAAGGTGGAAAAGGGGTATGTACCTAGGTATTTCCTGGTGTACATGGATTTTTCTTACCACACTTCAACATGCTGAACAAAGTACAAACACGGGGAAGTGAGAGTGCGGGACGAGGTGAGGCTATCAGCTCCCGGAGGATCCAGGGTAAATCGGTAAGAATTTGGTCAAGATTCCCGCACAGATGGTCCTTTGAATTACAACTGCTCCGATTCGTGGTGCCGAAGACGCCCGTGAAGACCGACTTGATGAACCCCGCCAGACCGGACATGATTGTGGTGCGGAATCTCCCCGGGCATCAGGTTGGGCCAATAATCGGGAGGACATGACCGAACCCACGGCTGGTGTCCCCCCAATTGTGGTCCTCTAGGCGGCACCCCAAGACCCGCCATGGCACCATGTCTCGTTCGCCAACTGCCACCCAGTAGAGTAAAGCCTGGCAGTGAGTGGCAGTTGCACCTCGACGCACCTCCAGGCTGCACACTGCACACTGCAAAACCACAGACTAAACCCAGTCCACCACCGCCTGCCACTCAACCATCAAGCCATAGAAACAATAATCTTTGACATTTGGTTCCTGACTTTTGCACAATTCCGAAAGGTTCAAGTTGTGGTGTCGGAATTTATCTTTTTCATCTCTCGTCTCTCATCTCCCAGCGCAGGCCTCGTCTCTATCTCTTCCCTGATCCTGCCTTCTTCTCCCCAGGTTTTCCACTACTACACCCTATTGGCCTCCCTGCGCTCTCAGTCCCAACCTGCTAGACACTCTTCAGACGACATCCATCACCATGTCGCAGGAACTCACATATGCCGAGGTGTCTGCTCACTCCACCAAGAAGGACCTTTATCTAGTTATTCACGATAAGGTTTACAACACAACGTCTTTTGTTGACGAACACCCGTAAGTCTTGTCGTGTTTGTGACTGCTTCTCTCCTGGCATAAACAAACCCATTCAGAATCACCCCACCCTTGCTGCTCACGCCCCTCTCAAATCTTGCTGGCCTTTTCTTTTGATCTAACCCCTTTCTTCCTTCATAGTGGCGGTGAAGAAGTCCTGCTCGATGTCGGCGGTCAAGATGCAACAGAAGCTTTTGAAGATGTTGGCCATTCAGACGAGGCCCGCGAAGTGTTGGAGGGACTTCTCATTGGAAACCTGAAGAGAGTTGAAGGCGACCCAGCTCCTAAGGTTGGCGCCACCGACAAGATTGCCGCCGGTCCAGGTGGCAAGAGCGATGCTGGTACCGGCTCGGGTGTCCTCATCTACGCCATCCTCGTCCTCGGTGCCTTCGCAGCTTATATGGCATATGGATATATGCAAAATCAAGAGTCAAAATAGACAAGAGAAAGAGATCGAGATGGCTAGGCCTGTTTCTCAACGCTGGGCTGTCTAGTCTCGGAAACAACCCACAACACCAGTCAAGACGGATATTAAGGGGACGTGGTCATACTCTCCCGCTGGACCACAGTTGGCCGCCACACCAATTCACCCGATCCAGCTTTCCCCACCATCTACACATACTGAGATCTTGAACAATAATGGCCAATCACCGTCGAATTTGGGTTGCAGCGCTTCTCTGTTTTATTTTGTTCTTTGACACCGCACCTTGACACAAGTCAAGATGGTCGTTATAATGTACATTCCATGTGACGCCCTGAGTCAACAGCAAGCATCTTCTGCCGACGAAAGATAAATGCGGAGGACCGGCTGCATCAGGATGGAATACTTAGAATTTCATAGACCCAAGGTGCTTTTAGAACTGTGCAAGCCGCCATTGATGATTTCCCTGTCAAGGCATTAGTTGTGGAAGTCTGGTGCCTAACCGCAGTCGCCCTCGTGATCGTCATCCTCGCTGTGGTTCGATGTAGCATACAGCCATCAGCATCAGTATAGTGAGACCATGACCGTAAAAAGTATTGGATCATCGCCCAGACGGTGGAAGGAGAGTGCACGAATCACGTGGGAATGAATGGCGTGTCGTGCATTGCATTCTTACATAAGCCCATCCGCATTGGTCATGACTTTTGCCAACGATGATCAACGACACCTCCACGGACATCAAGCTCTGACTTCTCTGTCTCTATCAACTCGTCACATTACGTCTGAACTTGATGCAGCCAACAGACGACGATAAATGTGTGTTCGATGAGGAAGACGTTGGTACATATGACTTGACAACTCCCCTCTAAACCCATTCATTACAGGAAGACCTTCCCCAGTATCTCAAATGAAATACTATGATGCAAAACGCAGGTGATCCTTCAAGCCTGACAGGTCACTGACAAGTCCATCGCCCCCAAGACCTAGAATCCAAGACCATGTCGTATCAAGCTCGGCCATACGCTCTCTCGGGGAATTGATCCCACTGCCATCTCAACTCACCTGCATCCGGCCCTCTCTCATCGACCATTGACCCCTCAAAGACGGCATCGTCACCGTCCAACAGACCGATGAATCTTCCCTCGACATGGCCTCTGCCATAAAACCTGACGTCGCCGAAACAACCCCGTCCAAATCTCAAGTCGCCCGTCTGATCGTCCGTGGCACGCCAGCCAAAAGACACTACCTCGCCATCGGCCAAACCGGTAAGATCGTCGATGCGCAGAATGCCGTCTTTAGCTCCAATGCCAAACCGTCCCCACAGCTTTCCTGAGCCATGGTCGATCCGCAGAGACAGATCGCAAAGGGTACGGATGTCTTGCACGCTGATCTCGTACGAGCCTGAGATTTGCACGGAATTGGAATTTAGGTCGTAGCGGTCATCACCATAACGGTCAGATGCATCGTCACTTGCGACACTGCTTCGGTGGCTCGTGAAGTCAATCGAGTCATATGGAGGAGGTTCATCACTATCGTTGTCCGAGTAGTAGCTGGGGTTGTGGTCATGGTAGTCGTGGCTGTGGCTGTGGTGTGTATAGGACTGACTTGGCTGTTTCTTCTCACTTTGACCTTGGGTCTTTGGCAATTTCTCCTTCTTTTGCTGACTTGAGGTAGATTTGATACCAGAGCCAGTGCTACGTGCCTGGCTCGGCGTCGCTTTGCTGCCTGATTGCGGAGTTCTGCCAGTGGAAGTGGACTTTGTGGTCTTGCTGTTTGGCTTTGGACTGGCCTTTACTTTGGGCTTGGGATCCGACTTTTTGGTGGTGGTGGCGGCGGTGGTGGTGGTCTTGGTTGTCTTCGGAGACTTCTCTTTGTTGGCTTTGGTTGATGATGCCGCGCTCTTCCCACCCGCAACAGCGACTTTAGCCTTCTTGGAGGATTGGGTATGTTGGTTGATTTCCACGACTGCATCACCAACCTTGACAGAGATGGTTGTTGATTTTGTTTCGAGGCTATCGCCAACACCGGCCTTTCTCTTCTTGCTGCTACCGCTGCCACCTTTCGCTACCGAACCCATCCCTCCTCCCGCAGAACGGGGATGAACTCCCGCCTTCTTGACCGCGGCCGCATACTCCTTTTTTAAATCCTTCTCCAACTGGTCCAACTCCTTGGGCACCTTCAGACCTCCTGGTTTGGCCGTAATCGCCTGCATCAGCCGGACCTTGGCGGTGTTCTTGTCTCGTGAACGTGGCAGGCCGTAATGGACTAGTTGCGCTTCATACCAATGGGCAACCTGGTCCCGATCGGCGGCTGAACTCTTCTTGGGCATCACCAGATCCTTGATATCGTGAGCCGAGGCGCGAGGATGACGGCGGTTCTGACCCAGATCCACAAGCAAGACATCTCGATAAAGGAATTCGCCTCTGCGAATCTCGGTTGGATCCGACATGGCTTCTTTTGTGTAGACCGATCTAATGTTTGGAAAGGGTTGAATGAGGCAGCGTTGAACTAGCCCTGCCCTGGCTCTGGAGCTGGAGCTGGGCTGTTGAACGTCGTCAGTGCAAAGTGTAGATAAGTCTGTGTGGTGGAACAGCCAGAAATGGTGGGGGAAAAAACAATGTGGTGTTCACTCTGGCGACTCGATCTTTGTTTCTGGTTTTCAGATGTTTGATTCGCTGATAACTTCACTTCACTTCACTTCACGCACCGAACCACAAGGTGAAATGAAGACTCGCCAGTTCTTCAGCAATGCCAGTAGGCTTAGTCAGAAGCTTACGAGGGGGGGCAGCCGTCGTGATCAAGTGCTTGAGTGAGCGATAGAGTTAGAGGACCAGAGTTGGGACTCTCTCTGCTACTATAATCCGCCTCTTAGTACCAAGTAAGACGTGATACAAAAGAGAGGAGATTTAATCCAGAAAAAAAGAGGGGAGTTTCGGTTGGAGGTGACCAAGGACTATAAGATGGCCGGGGATAGTAAGTTACTACCTTAGTGTTTCAGCCACCTTCTCCGGACAAATGCTTGCGTGGTCGATCAAGCCCTATTATCATGGTAATTAGTGCGTGCATAACCTCCATAACCTCGAGAGTTCTTTTATCATTTCCGGATATGCGGACCAAAGCATGATCAAAGTAGGTGGCTATTCCGTAGGTACATACGGAGTATATACAAGCTTAATTTACCGCAACCACGGACATCGACTCCGTTGTAATGAACAAACAAATACATATTGTGGAGTGATCTCCGTAGTCGACAGAGCAACTCCATAACTGAAAGACTGCATCGATAGCATCCCATGCCATGTGTATCACATGTTATCGAACCAGAGATGTTGGTCTGGAGTTTTAGATACTAGGTATCAATGTGTGCAAGCGAGAACGTCCATATGTTACACCGCCTCAGGATTCTACTATCAGCTTTGGCCGTGCCTGGTTCCGACTCAGTCCAGTCCAGTCCAGTCAATCACTACGAGAGGTGCCTCCTTTAGGGTCAATGATATGAGTATGGGTATGTCATTCCAATCGTATAGAATTCCACCAAATGTTCAAAGCCTGAGTAGACCCATAGCCCAATAATGTCTGTTCAAGGTGGAATCGTCCCAGGCCCGCCGTGTACTAGTATTATACCAGCATCACTCAAATCGTCAGCTGCTTCAAATCGCAGTGCTGGCTCAATGTCAAAAGATGTCACGTCGCTAGTCCCCATCCTCAGTATCGCCTCATCTCGCCCTCGTCACCTGTAGTATCCCGCACCGGGTCCTCCGCCTGTCACACTTGCAGCATGTGCGTTGTATGCCTGGTACTGTGGGCTAGTCTGTGGAGGTAGGAAACCTGGGTAAGCAGAGCTCGGTACATTTGATGCCAGGGGTCTTTCAGGAGGGGAGAAAAAAGGTCTGCTTGCTGTGTTTGCATTCGAAAGAGGATGGGTGCCATGGAAATGTGTATGCTGGTGCTCGGGGGATTGACTTACCGGTCCACCGGGAACAGATGGTGGAGGATATTGAGGAATGGCTTGTTGAGAAGACGGAGGTGGCGGCGGATATCCCTGGGGAGCCTGGGGCGGCGGTTGTGAGAGTTGTGAGCTGTGAAGATCGTCTGTTGAGTAGTTTGACGGTGAATAGTCCTTGTTGTCGTCGTCGTGTTGAAGTTGTTGGATGGGCGGAGGGAAGACGTGTTGAGGTGGTCGCGTGTTGTCTGCTGTGTTTACTGGTGGAGGTCCATAGCCACTGTTCACATCTGGAGGCGGGTAAGGGGCATATGATTCAGGCCGAGAATGTCGACGAGTGTCCTGTTGAGGGGGGTATTGAGGATATCCACCGTCTTGTGGAGGTGGGGAAGCCAATCGGTTCGAGGGGGTTTGGCTTTGGGGTGGAGGAGATCCAACAGGATAAGGTGGTTGGAACGACTGAGGAGGCTGTCCGTATGGAACGGCATTGTTTGGAGGTTGGCCGTCTATTCCTGAAGCTGTCAGACCAGATACGATGATGACAAGAGACACTTCTGCTTACCAGGAGTATAATATCTTTGAGGGGGGTAGCCTTGGGGAGGGCCGGCTCCGTAGCCATATGCAGCAGGACCAGGACGAGCATATGCATGGGCTGATTGCGCCATAGAAGACTCCAGTAATGCTTCATAATCCCTCCGTGCTTTGATGAACTTTTCGTTGAGTTGTTGGAAGTCATCTGTTGTCATCAGTCAGACTGGACCAATGCGTATTGTCCGCAGATCTAGCTCTTACCTTTCTTCTGAGTGTACTTCCCGATCAGCTCGATCAACTTCGGCCGGATTGACAAGGTGCTGTGATATAGTTCGGTGATTTCATCGTTGTCACGGACGTTCGTGTCCCCAGTACTGGTACTCAACAAGGCCAACAACTTCTCGACGTTCTTGATCTGGCCAAATACCTCGGCTTCGGTCTGTGCCTCCCTCTGCAACTCGTCCGCCGTGGGGTCCTGTAGCTTTTCCACGTAATTGAGGGGGAAAATGCCCGTCTGCCCTCGAAGCGAACCCTTCCACCAATCTTTGTAGACGGACTCAAGGACAGCAATGACATCACCCTTGCGAAATTGCAGTTCGCCGGGCTCCGAGGGTTGGAAATCAAAGAGGGCGCGTACTCGGGAGACGGTGGCAGCTGTTGTGCCGGAAGATATAGGTTGTGAGGCGGGGGCTGAGGTCTGCGCAGTCGATTGACCTGACAGTTCGGCGGCTGGGGCGGTGGTTTGGGCTGCAGGAGGGCTCTTATCCTGGATCGACAGACGGAGGGCCATCTGCAACTCTTCCTCCTCCTTTTGTCTGTCATAGTCTGTGATCTGTCTCTTGACCGGAGCCTGTGGTGGTTGAAGGTTGGGATCTGTGGCAAGTCAGCGATTGAGGCTCGATGAATATGGTCGGAGTCTAACTCACTTTGAGCCTTCAACTTCTGGTACGCCTGGTCCATGATGCCCAGTTCGGAATTACTCGAAAAGTCCTTGGTCCACTGTTCCATCCGCTCCAAGATCTTGGACTTGACCTGCTGATGTGTAGTCTGCGCGGGGAATTAGTAGACTGAGATACTGGGTTGGCCCAAGACCTACTCTGTCATTTGCCAGTCTGAGCAGGGCATCGGTGAAACTTCTCGAGGCAAGCTCCCGATGAGCGTTGATACCACAATTCTGAGACAGAGCGTTGGCGAGCTCGAGAGTGTAGAGCTGGACATTTGCATTCCTATGTGCCAACCTCTTGATCATGGCCGCTACCACATCTTTACTTCCCGAGTCACTGGAAGTGACTTTGTCGCATACATCGAGGATGAGTTCCCAGTTCTCCGAGGTTAGATTCTCGTCAGTCGCCTTGGCTAGAAAGAGAGGTCAAGTCAGTTTGATGGAAGGCTATGATGGGGATTGATCTGGGCCTCAGTCGTACCGACAGCATCGTCAAAGGAATTCTGCTGTGCCCGAAACATGGCACAGGATCGAAATCTGAGGTCTAATGGAGAAGGCGCTGTGTTGATTACTGGAACAATTCAGGAAAGTGTCGAAAAGATGAAAACCACGTGGAACATGGCAAGAAAGTGGAACAGATGTTGAAGTGATGATGATAGAGACGCAAGTTAGAGAGTGTTGTCACCGTGCAGCCTGGCAGCCACGCAGCCTAGTTTTGATGGCAAGGCATTCTGGACTCCGGTAAGCAACTGATGCCTTGGGCATTCAAAAGTTGGAGATTAGCGTGGCCGGGGGCATGAGTCAGGCTGAGGGGGGCATATGTGTAGCCCGAGGCGCCTAAACATACGTAGGTAGTTTGTTGGTTCTAGGGGGGGGATAGGCACTGGCATAGGCTTCATTGGCCCATGTCACTGGTTGAGATGCTCTTGGGCTTCTGCGCCTCTTGAATGTCGCCGCAAGTGACGCAAGGCAGCCACAGTTTCGCCCCACTTTCTAGGCGATTCGACACAGCCACACAGCCACATATCAGTTGCGTTAGCACGTGAGCCCAACATCCAGACAGGCTGGGTTACGAGAGATATCATGTCAACTCTCCCTTTGGATTTCTCTTACTTGTTGATATCATTGGGCTAGAGCTGTTCCCAAGTTGGACTCCTGGATTCTAGCTAGACCCCCCTTCGCCAAACCCACATCCTTTGGTCTTTTACATCGAATGGTCCCTTACGCTCAAGGGATAACTGCGACCTGAAGGAGACACACTCCGCTACGCCCGCTAGATTCATCTTGCTATCGTATCAATGTCGTGGTGTCGTGGTGTCGTGGTTGATGCTTGCTTCTGACGCACACATCTCCGTGTCTCATGTACAAAGCTCCTTATGAGTAACTAGTCAGTCTTTTTCTACCGTTGGACCATTCTTGGTCTGAGTAACGGTTGACCCATCCATCCTCATCTTTAGATGATATGCTACCCGGAATAGCTCTTGTACAGGTTGCACAAGATCGTCGAGACGACAAGAAATCGATCCAGTCGACAATCCTGTCACCCTAGCCTTGACTTCCCAAGGCGGCAATGATTGTACATGCAACTTTGACCTTGGCCCATGGGCACACCTCAGTTGCCTTTGTTGGCCTTTTCTGCGGCTCGACTCTCCCGAGCAGATTGCACAAGTGGTGCAAGGCTGGGTAGAGGTGCACAATATCCCATAAAAGGATGCTTCAATTTGTTAGCCACGATATTGAGTGTAGAGACGTGTTCACTTACGTGGAGTAGGTCATGCGCGCTTGCCCGTTTCTCTGGTTCCACTTTCAACGCAAAGTAGAGGAAATCCCGGAATACAGGGGACAGCGAAGCTTCGTCCTTGATCCGCGGTGTTCCGTATTTGGCGATCAGGTACAAGGCTCGCAGAGGTGACTCGGTCAAATAGGGCGGCTCTCCCTCGATCATTTCAATTGCCATGATGCCCAAACTCCAGATGTCGACTTTGCGACCATACTCTTTCCTTGTCACTACTTCGGGCGCCATCCAGTACGGCGTGCCCACCATGGTGGTGCGTTTATTGTGTGTATCGTTGATCTGTGCACAGAACCCAAAGTCGGTCAGCTTGATGTCGCCTCTCTCCGACAAGAGAATGTTATCTGATTTGATGTCTCGATGAATCACGTTTTTCGAGTGTAGGTGTTGCAATCCATAGAGGGTCTAGCACTATTTGTCAGTACGGTGGAGGTGTAACAAGAATGCCACTCACCTCTCTGCAAACAGCAGCGATCTGGCCTTCGCTCATGACGTTAAAGGTCACAACGTCTGTGAGACTCCCGCCTTGCATGTATTCCATCACCACCCAAAGGTCTCCGTCATGGAGGTAGCTGTCGATAAAGTTGACAATATTCTTGTGCTTACTGTCTTTCATCACAATGATCTCGTTGATGATCAGATCTTTCTTGGGCTGTTGTTCTAGATTCATCTGCTTAATTGCAACGCATCGTTTGGAACCACTCTCAAACGCCGTGAAGACGCCTCCTGATGCTCCCTGGCCAATTTTGCTGAGATTGGAATATTTCATGGTCGGGTCGCCTGGAGTGCAGATCGCTCTCAGACGAGCCGTAACGTCTATGATGTTGCTTTGTTGTCGCTTCGCACGTGGTCGTGGTCCTGGTGCTGGTCCTACCTTGGCAGCCTGCTTGGCAGCCTGCTGCTGCACATACTGAGGCGAGGGATCAGCAACAGCTGCAAACTGTGCCTGAGGGATGTTCGGTGTAATTTGGACCATCTCCGGAAGCACCTTGGGGGGCACTTCAGGTGCGCCGGGGGTGATCTGGCGTTGGCTCCGACTGCGGTCGAGTTGCTTGCTTTGGATGGCCTGTTGAGCCATCGCCATGGCGTGCTCTTGTTGCTGTTGGTACTGGGCAGGGGACTGAATCCCTGGCTGTGGGTCAGGCGCTGAGTTTCCGGAAGCCTGGCCCTTGATGTCCAGACGATTATTGGATTCATCACGGGGAAAGTTGGACGATATCGAAGAGGGCGGTGAGGCGATCTGAGGGGGAGCAACGTCTGGACTTGGCCTGAGTGGTAGGTCCCGGGAGATGGGTGGAGGGGGAGCAGGTCTGGCTGGAGCCATGTCGCGTAGTGACTGGGTAGGGGGTTTAGGGGCAGGCCTCTGAGGCATCATGATGGGAGGTACACCAGCCTTGTTCATGGAATTGGCCGATGGTTTATTTGGGATTGGCGGAGGTGCTCGAGGGTTTTCAAAACTTCCTTCATGGTTTTGTGGAAATCGAGGGCTTGCGGGTGGTGAGACGACTCCGTTCATAGGAGAATATGCCGATGGGCTTGGTCCAATGTTTGGTGTAGTTGGGCTCTGGAAGGTGGAGTTGTTGCTCTGAGGAGAATTCGTCACCTTTGCGTGGTCGAACTTTTGCCAGATGCCGTCGTCTTCTCCACCAAAATTGCTCTTGTACGTCTCGACAATGTTGACCATCATTTGTGGGTTTTGTTCTTGTTCGTTCTTGGAGATGCCGCTGTCGGCCAGAATCCTCTGCCAATCCGCCGGGAGTCCCTAGAAAAATGAATCAGAGTCGAGTTGATAGAAGGTGCGAGATGGGGAGTGTGAGCACTTACCGTAAACTGGCCGGTCTGATTATCGTAGCCGACATGGATCATATGCATGGGGTTCTCAGGAGCGGATATTTTGATTGTTCTAGGCGAGCCGAGCATGTTGTTGACGAAGCTAGAAAATCCGCTCTTCTTTCGAAGTGGACCAGAAGGCTTTGAAACTTGTCCATCACCAGACATTCGCTTTGGACTGAGGACACCATTTTCCGGCTTTGGCGGAGTGACCTCTGTCATGGCAAGGCCACCAGTCGCAATCGTTTGAGAATTTCGCAGAGGATGATATCGGTTGTCTGACTCGGGGTGGGGTTGAGTCGATGGCGAAATCAGCGGGTCTTCATTCGCATGCTGAGCGCTGCCACTGGAGCCCGAGTTCTGGAAGGTGAGTAGTAGGCCTGAAGCGTCGAAAGGCGCACCGATCAACGCTTTCGGATCATCTGAGGCCTGGGGCGTGGTGGGCAATGTCTGCGGGGTGCGGTAAGGAGATGAGTAGTCGGCGAAAGGTATGACAGGCGAAGGGCCACCGCTGATGTTTTCCAAGGACGAGGTCGATGATGGAAACGCGCCGGATTGAGTACGATGGTGGGAGTCGCGGCTGGGTTGAGAGATGGGCGAGCCGCGAGGATAGGTGGGAGCTGAAGGGGCACGTTGGAGGGTGGTTTGAGATTGAGGTTTGCGCAAGACGTTGATGAGGTTTGCGGGATAGGCGGTGGGAGGAGGATTCTTGGTCAAGGTGGCTCGTCGACGTTTACTACCAGAAGGTTGGACGTCGTTGTCCATACTCTAATCGAGCTGGCAGGTGTTAAGGTGTGTTTCGCGGGTCAGGTGAATGTGTCGACAGCGGATGGACGGACGTGGTTGCAGGCGAGGCAGGTGGTGGAGAGAGTTGGCACGCCCGTCGTTTCTGGGAGGGGGGGCCGAGGGCTCAGAAGACAGGCACAGGCACAGGTACAGGGCACAGGGCACAGGGCACAGTTGCGCCTTCCAGTCTGTGGTGAGTCTTTGGTGAGTCTTTGGTGTGGCGCCCACTCAAAGGTGCGCTTGCAAGGTGCCTGCCAATAATTGGAAGTGGGCGTGCAAGGGAAGTGGGTCAGCCTGGGTACTTTCCCAGCTGGCAGGTGGCAGTTGTGGCAGCTGCACGCACTGCACTTGCACTGCACTGCGTCCGTTGGCTGCAGCTGCAGTCTGCACCTGCACCTGCAACTGCACTTGCTTCACACCCGCAAAACCCAAACGCGGGCACTGACAATAAATAATAATGATAATAATAATAATAGAGGCGATGATGATGGAAGATAGTCGCCGCTTCCAGATGCGAGTCCAATTGTATCGTGGTCTTTTGGGTGTCGCCTTTCGTGGCTGCCCACTGAATGGTCAGAACTGATGACCACGATAGTGACTGGTTGCTTGACTGCCTGACTGTCCACTGGCCGCCCACCGAATACAAGAAGGGGCCAAAAGCGGACTTGACAGAGTCCCAAGCCTGGAGTTGCGGCGCTTAGAGTGAGAAATGGCAGCCGCCGCGTCTTTCTATTATTGACATTCCTTGATGAGAAGCGAGGCGCGAAGGGCAAAGAGGGTGGATGGTTGACCTTGCATGCGATAGGCAATGAATTTACAATGTATCTTGTGATGTGGAAGGGAGAGAAGGATGATGACAACAGTCGCATTCAAGTACTTAGTATGAATTGAAAGAAGAATATTACATTTAAGCCTAATTATGTCCCGTACGCAGTCCGCTGCAAGTTCTTATCCCCAGGCCGCTTGTATCCAGTCAGTTGCGAAATTCAAGTTTCGCGTTGTTGTCTTGGGTCACTGATCGACATCGACAACGTGTTCTGTCCACGGAGGGTACAGTACCGTGAGTACGCCGATGTCCATTCCATCTAGAAGAGCCGGGGTAGCGCGACTTGCGGGTGCCAAAGTGGACAAAACGTGGGGACCTGACTTTGAATATTATTGCACCTACGGAGCGCCAGTGGCGCCTAACCAGGTATCTATAAATTTGGCCTTCTAGGCCATGTCCTCTGCCCATGGAAACTCAAACACAAAAGCCTATTGTAATATGGTTTGGGCAATATTATTTGACAGGGAATAATGAGTTTGAGCACCTATGATACTACATACGAATTTGCGGCCAGCAAGGAGACGTGGATGAATGTCCAGTTGGGCGAGTACTCCGTATGCGTACTATGGATTGTGGAATCCTCAACTGGCACCTTCTGGAGCCCCCGTGGCCCCTTGGTACCAATCCCTGAAGGTCGATAAGTGATGGCCCGTTACCAGGTGATGATGAGACTTGGCCGGTTCTGTTCGATAGATGGAACATCTGTGAGTGCATCATCCACTGGTCGAGCAGCCCATCACAAACATGCGATGACTCGTCACCTCGTTAGAAGGCACCTGAGTGGTGGACGAAGGCTGAGGCACACCTGAGAAGTTTGGCCTTGGTTTTAACCTGGCTGGACGCTGTGGTCCCTGCCTCAGTGGCCCAGATCTGCCCTATCAGGCTCAAGCAAGTGGTAATCGATAACAACCCCAGGCACAGCCTTGAAGTTTTCACTTACTCCGTATGATAGTGTCAATTCAAGCCTCGGAGCCCCAGTCGCCCCGTGCAGCAGGACGATTAACAGTCGATCACTTTGATGACGCGCAAAACACTACAACACTGCAACAAGCAACCTGCACATGCACATCCACGTGTCTGGTACTTACAAACCTGCTGCCGCTGTTATGTGCATAAAATGGCACGAATGGAAAGTCAAGTACACAATTTCGGACCAAGACAGGCATCTCCTGGCGAAAAGATCCAACTATCAAACTGAGTACTTGGTTGAAATTATAGGACAAGTCCACAGCGGAATCCTAACCCTGTCCAGATGGGTCTCCATGGTCCTCCAGTAAAGTCCAGTCGAATGACTTTTGGAGAATTTGAAACGACCAACTCGAATCCAATCAACAAGGATCAGAGTGCAGGTGAGATGATCCAAGGCGCCGTACGGAGTACGTCCTTTGAAGTACCGTAGGTAGCCCTGACTATGAGTATAACTCACCTGTCTCCTTGACTTGACTACGGAGTAGGTCAGGTCATGCGGCGAAGCAAGGCATGAAGGCAGACATGGCAGGTCATCCCTTTCCCTTGTTGATGGAGATTTGTACCAATGATAAACGAATGAAGAAGAAAGTGATCATCATCATGCACGACGCACGTACGCACCGCTTACTGGCAGGCAAGAAGGGCTTTAAGCTGCGCCTGCCGTGCCGCGTGCCTACCGAGGGGCGCGTGTCACATGGAAGCATCACCTGCTGTGCCTGCAACCAAAGATCTTTCCCATTGGTTCTCTTGGTTTAGCAATCACGGCCCGTTCCAGAGGTTGTAAAGCTGTCTACCTAGGTACGGAGAGCTGGCTTTCTGGGGCCACGGTGCTCCAGGGCCGGGGCCGAGGGACCTATAGGCGCCTTGCTGCTCTCAGGCATCACTGGGCCTGCATTAAAAAGCACTGGGGACGCGATATTCTTGCCACTCATGCATACGGAGTACATATATGCAATACATACATGCGTACAAAGAGACGCGTATGTGTACTACATATCGTCCACTGCGATCATTCTTTATTGCCCTGAGCCTTGGTCCAGAATACAAGATGCGTACGTGGGTGGTCATGGTGGTCCAGGTTTTGGCTGTAGGATGCCAACGTTTTCCCTCCTGGTTAATCCTCGTCTTCCACTGTAGGACTTGACATGGAATAAGAGATGGCCAATTCCTCCGTACATACTTCCAGTACTGTATATTCAAATTGGAATTATAGGTATTTGTGGTCTTTCCTCGTGTTTCACACCGTTGCCACTGCAGACCAGAACAATGTTGTGATTGTCTTACGCTTGATTTGACATCTTTGTGCCATGCCATTGCTGCCAATGAAACCAGACGCATGGTTATACTATTGTAACTACTATCCGAACCTGTCCTGACACGCATCTTGGTTCTTGGACTATGATTCTTTTGGAAAGGACTTGTCTACGGTATGTCCATACTGTATGTATGATGAAAGGGACCGAGAGAATTCTTAATGAAGGCGAACAATCACAGTTCCTAAATTGTAGAATGTCATCACGCCCATGTCATGTTTCAGATCGATCCCAGATCAAAACTTGAAACTGCGGCCTCGTCTGTCCCAAGGCATCGGTACCTTGACTTCGGATCACATTATCGCCTAACTTCCGGCTAGCTTGTCACAATTTTCATACTACAATTAACTCAGCAGGCGTACTGTCCTCTTGTTGGTGGTAGTACAATTGCCGACCGACCCTCTCGTCGAGGCGGATCAAATCTGCGTACATATCCAGTCTAGAGGCTCCCTCTATTTAACGGAAGCCTCACCATGCCGTAGGGCGGTCGTCCTACCAAATCCGCTTGGCAACCATTTCATAGCGCCTCACGTTGTCAAAGCTGTCTGGGGCAACCCCCCTTTCCTTTTCCCGTTGTTGCTTCTGCTTCTCACGCTCCTCCTTTTCGCGCAATGCTCGAAGGCCGGCAGGGTCATCATCATAGATCCACCGTCGCTTGTCATCGTCAACTTCCACCATGCCCCACCCCCCGACCCGCCGCCCGCCTTCTATCTGATACACTGATTCTTTTTCACGTTGCTTCATCGACCTGTACCGTGCCCGTGAGAATGTCAACAATACCATTCCCAACACAAGCTTGCAGGCTAACAGGAGGAGAAAGATGAGCAAAAAGGTCAAGATCTTAGGCAATTGACCGACGACGCGGGATTGGGTTATCACGGCAGGAATCGCCTTGATGATGTCGTCAACAGTCCGTGAGATGGCCGCTCCGGTTGTCATTGGCATCGTTGAGCGTGAGGTAGAAAATTGTTGATGGATGCTCTCGAGGCTGGTCGACGAAGCCGGTGGCGTTGATGGAACCCAAGACGCCACAAACATCTGATATGTTTGCACACTTGCTCGAATCAGGAGACAACTGAGCGGGATGACAGGCAGACCCAATCGCTTCGTCAAGTTTTGATCTCCAAACGCATTCGTGTAGTAGTCCTTGGCCAGAACGTCAAGGAAACGATTATAGATGGCTGGGCGAGTGTTGTTGAACTTGTTGATGTAGGCGTGCTTCAACCAGTCCACCAGCATCTCCGAGCCCAAGACAATGAGGAAAGGTCCGAGAACTTGGTTGATCGTTGGCGCATACGATGTTATCGACGACACAAGTGTGGGTACCAACGTGAACGACCTTGGAATAATTGACGATGCCGAGACTGGTGGAACGGCATTCGACACCGGGCTGCTGCTATTAGTGGGCAGGGCTGATGAAGTGCTTGGCGAGGCAATGGAGAAGGCATCGATCCAAGAGGTCAATCCACCCGTCTCAACAATGTTGCGTGACGCTATGATGACTAGCATATGCCAGAGTTGGAACCGTTCCACCACGTCGGCACATGTAAGCTGGAACAAGTTCTCCTTTTCAAATTTTTTGAAAACTGTCGACTTGATTTCCACAAATTGGTTCGACATCAAAAGCGTGATAAGTGCATTCGAATAGGAATTGACTGCAACGTTCAATGTGATAACTTGATAGAATAGGGCCGTCGAATGAATCACCGTGTAGATGAGAGCCACAAAAAACAACCACAGGGGTCGCAATATCTTGCTATGGCCATCGGGCTTGCGTTCAAGTGTTTCTCGGGAAAAGAGACATTCCAACACATCCTGTCCAATGGCAGAAAACAGGCGGTCACAAACTTCGAGGAGATTATAGATGACATAGAGCTTGATGGCGGCTTGGCCACGGATCCAATGATACATGCGGCTGGCATCGAATCTGAGAAGGATGAGACAAGTGCATATAATCAAGAAGCCCTTGAGCATATCTGCCTTGTCATCAGGCAGGAGAGTGGAAGGAACAGACTTTGTCCTGTGATGATGACGAGGATATCGGCGGTTGTGAGGTGTGAGAGGGGGAGGGGCTTGATGCTCATCAGCACCCGTGGATGTCTTCTTTGAAACCCGAGGGGCAACGCTGCTTCGCCTTCTATTCCACATGCGCCCGGCACCACTATACACGAATCCTGAGATGTAAGATGATTCCTTCATCAAGTTGGTCGCCCAAGATTTGGCGAGGATGTAAAAGGATTTGAACAATCTCAGCGGAAGGATCGTAAAGGTGTAGAGCCAGGCGTCGAGACATGCCAGAGTGCCGAACCACAACACACTCTCCAAGTGTGGGGGGAGTAGTAAGAAGTTGAGTAGACGCTCGATCTTTGCGCTCGAAGATTCATATGGGAATTCCGTCGCAGTGGATTGGTGGAGATACAACTGCGAAGGTCGTTGCGAGGAGAGTTCCAGTTGTAAGTATGTAGGTATTGACAAGGGCGGGAGAGGTAGTGAAGTGGGCATAGGAGAAGGTAAGGGACGGGTAGTGGATGAATTTCTTCTGCTCTGTCTTGCATCGACATGTGCTGATGAGATAGGGGGCTTCAGGCTTGGGCGAGGGCGCTCATGTCTTGGGGGTGATTTGGGACTTTTGATCTGGCCTGGAGTGGATGCAGACCGCGGCGGTGGCGGAGGCCTCAAGGCGGAAGCTTGATTTGGCTGAGGGATGTGTCCGGTGGTCTCGACTGTAAGACGACGATGGTTCTTCGTGCCGCCTTGTTGCGACTGAACCAGCAACATGGTATCAATCTGCTTGAGAGGCGAGAAAACATCATCGTCAGTGGCGAAGCTAACAGGGTGGGCTGAAGTTGCCGTCGGGGGAAGGGATGTCTGATCGGGCTCAAGTACGGCATATGCTTGGGATTGACGGCGAGGAACTGGGTGGAGTGGCAAAGACTCTGGCGTGGAAGTCAGCTCCTCTAACTGATCTGACGACAGCTTTAGAATTCGATCATCATGCACATCTGATGGCGATGTCTTGGCCTCTGGTGGGATATTCCTCGGGGTATTGTCGTCGGCGCAGGGATCATTCTTGACTGGCAGGTCATTCTCCGGGAAGGTATGATAGACAGGAATTTGTCTCTTTGTGCCTACAAGCCCAACACCCGGTGCCTCTCTGTTGTATCGAGGATCTGCTTGTCTAGTGTTCAATCCATTGCGGGCTTGCCACGACTCCTCCGCCCAGGCGCGATCTTGAGGATTGGATTCCGCATCCTCTAAATCTGTATGAGGGTCGGTCTTCGTATGGAGTTCGTGAGGGTCGGCGGTGCGTTTCAGAGGCAAGGCTAGTGACATTGAGCCATTCAGACCATCGAGGACGGTCAAGGGCTCGCGATCGAAGGAGGCGTTATTAACAACTGGGGGTTCTGTCGCGACTGCTCCGTCCATGATGGAAGGGTATGTCTGGAACCAGTCGCCATTGTTCAGGACATGGTGACAAAGGGGGGGACCTGACTTTGTGACAAACAGGATCAACGACGAGAGGCTAGAACATGACAGTAAGGACTGCAGATGGCTCCCGTGGTTGTGCGATACTGTAGTTGAGAGGCCAACTTGTCATGGAGGACAAGATGGAATGTCGATGGATGATGGAGTCCAATTATCTCCATCATATGTCCGTCATCACGCCTGGATGATTAATGGTCGACAGTATATCTGTACGTTGAAGCAGAATTACTTGAGCGGTATATTTATATTCACGTGACCTTGCATCGAAACTAAGCACGTGCTGAGGTCCTCCAGTGGATCCCCCCCAAAACCTGTATTTCAGGCCAGCCTCTCGTGACACCACCAACCTACACTCTACAGCCTTTCTACACTTGTTAAACTACCCGGTGACTCTCTAACCTAAGGAACTCTCATATTATCGATAGTTATACAGCCTTTACCATCACAAATATCTCTTACAACTTCCACTGCTGAAAAGTGACTGCATGAGTGGCGGTGTGTACGACAATACAATACGCGGGGGTTTCCCAACCTTCGCGTCACCACATCTGATATGATCGGACTTGTTTATGGTGCAAGAATGGCCTGTTAAGCGAGTTATGACATGTCAATGTTCTAAGGGCCTTTAGGATTACTCCATGAGCCTGGTATCTCAATAACCATCTCCTCTCACGCACGTGAGAGCCATGTCGAACGATGACATAGAAGGCCTTCTTGCTGGGCTGGCCTCCCAGTCATCACCACCAGAACGAACATCCACACCTTGGAGCGACCAGCTACACCCAGCCTCATCCGACCCCGTACCTCCAGTTCTGACCGATTCCTCGTCCACGAATTTGTTCAGGTCACCTGCTCAGCAAAACTCTACTAGCACACTCCCCACTCGCCCTCTTCCTCAGCGGCGGGTTGCTTCCACTGGTCAGGTCGCTTCATCACTCTATGGAGATACGCCACAGTCTCCAACAAGCTCGTTTGAGTCTCCCCTAAGATCAATCTTCGTGTCAGGACCGCCGACCGCGTCCGTCTCCGCCAACACCGCCCAAGCCTCTTTGAGCACTGCGAACCCCTCGAGCAGCTCCGGGCCTCTCGCTGCCTTGACTTCCGCCGGAGGGTCTCGGCGTCCCCATCGACTTGGAGAACTGTCTCCATCGATCACTTCCATGTCATCTGGACTGCGTCACCCACTACTGGCAATGGAGAAGGACGTAGATGATCCCAACACCAGTGTGGTTGGTAATCCCTACGATAATCCTTCTACAAACACTCCCGCCACTCTCGCTCGACTCTTTGCCACGAGCGAAGTGACAAGTCCTGGACCAGAGTCTCGAGGCCCCTCACACATCCTCTCTTCTGGTTTTGCTCGGGGGCTTGAGGACACATCGACTCTGAGTGGCCACCTTCTGCATCACGGGTTTCAAGAAGGAAGACATTCTGACATCACAGTCAAAGCCTTTGGACAAAGCTATAGGCTGCACAAGATACTGCTTGATCGAGTGCCGTATTTTGCGTCTGCATTTTCAGGCCATTGGGCAGAGAGCAGAGCAACAGAAATGACAATTGCGACCGAAGAACTCGATCCCAACATCACCAAGACTGCATTTGAGTTGGCCCTGAAACGGGTCTATGGCACACAGTTTCCAACACAGGAAGAGGAGGAAGCCACAGGCTTGTTCGCCACCGCTTGTTGGCTGGACATGCCCGAGTTGGTAGATTCTTGTGTCGATAATATCCTGCGTCAAATGCAGCCAGCCACTTTGCACAGTCTGATCAAACTAGTCACTCACTATTTCTACGGCAAGTCAGGCGACCGGATACTGTCATCAGCAAAGGCCATGCTCTGCAAAGAGGGCTGGGAGATGCCTTATGAGTACTGGGATGAGATCCCTGCTGAGATCGTCCGTGAAATTGTTGGGGGCGACGCTTTTTTCGTGCCTGGCGAATGGGACCGCTGGTATCTGGCTCTGAAGCTCTTGAATAGACGACTTCGAGCAAAGGCTGTGGAACATGGTCTCGTATCACCAGGAGGACATTTCTTACATACGAAGCCCTCCGGCCTCCGGTTCTTCGCCGTGAGATCTGATGTTGCTTATCGCCTGGCAGAGAAGAACCGCTATGTTGCACCACATGACGAGCCATGGATTGCTCTCTACACTTCTCCTGAGATTGCCCCCCTCCTTGTCTTGTTAGACGAGGGCATCCACTACGTTCATCTCCGTTTTGAGCAACTGCAGCAAATCAGAGCTCAAAAGGATATTCTCGGAATTCCAGTGTTACCCGATAAGGTGATATCGGATGCTCTCTGGATGTCGATGGAGATTCGCCAGAAGGTTTTCAATGCTCACGAAGATGACATTGAGCTTGGTTTGAGTGAAGCGGCCGATACCTATGAGACCGACGATCAAGAGGTGGTGGACAGGCCGACTTCGTACAAAGGAAAGGCGCGTGAAGGTTCTCATGCTTCCCGAGACATTGGGCTGGAGAGTTCAAAGCCCACGGCGTGGCATAATAATACTAAACCACGGAAGTTCTGGATTCCTGGACATGATGTGTCATGTATCATGGGTGGGACCCGTGAGGCCAGTTTGGCAGCGAACTCAACCAGTATCGCTGAGTGGAGCACCCACGCAGCAAGATTATCCGCAAGCCTAGAGCCAACGGATGTTGCATGGGCTCTCGACTTCCAGACGGCCACTGTGATTGACGGCGCTAGACCTCCGTCGCGATCACATTCACCGCCGCTCACTCCACGGTACAGTATCTATCCTCCTTTCCGCTTCTCTGCAGAATTCCCCCATCCTAGAACGCTAAAGGAGAAGAAACGGGTTTACTCGCATACAGTGTGGTACGCTGGTAGTATGTGGAACCTCTATATCCAGCGTGTCATCACGGCCAAAGTGCCACAGCTAGGAGTGTATCTGCATCGGGCAAAAGACAAGGAGCCTTGTGATGACCCCTTGGCACAATTTGTCCCGGCTTCGGTCGACGACCGTATCGGACAATTGGAGCGTGAAATGCTTCTCCGAAAAAATGAACGCAGAACCCAAGGCTGGAGAGTGGAAGACACGGCTCGAGCAAGCGATGCTGATCGTGAGGATGACTCAGCGGGGTCTCCACAAGACTTTTCGTTCACGTTCAAACCAGAAAGTGAAGGTTTCTCTAGATCCCGGCGTGGATTGGAAAAGTCGCAAAAAACATGGCAAACCCCTGGTCATGCTAGCTATGTGTCAGAGGATATAGAAAGTCCAATGGCTCAAATGCTTGAATACGATGAAGAAGACGATGAGCTGGTCCGGGTGAACAGGAAGTTCAACAACTCGGCGATCCCACCGTATATGGACTCCCGCCCAACCATCAAGACATACTTCAAGATCTATTCGCCGAGCAAGGCGGGTCGACTACTCAGCATTTATGAAAGCGCGCCGGACAAATTCGATGTCAGCAAGAGCTGGGGCTGGAAGAGTAGCCAAATGGTCCTGGACGATGGCATTGGAGGATGTGACTCGATCAAGCCGACCAAGGAGGGCAAATTGAGGTATATGGTGGTTATTGGGAATATTTGAACTTGGGCAATGCATGGTTTGAGGCTGAGGCTGGTGCTGCTTTCTTCATCCGCACACTCATATCTTTACAGCCAGAACAAATTTGATGGGATTGTTGATACCTGTTTGTGTTGGGCGGACGATTGTTGATATCATTACTTACTGAGCGATGCCTGTGTATTGTCTAGCGTACTGGAGTCAGATTGATTGGCAGTACAATCGTCTGGAACGCAGAGCACACCATCTTGTTCTCACGAGTACTATCACCCTCATCTCTCAAACATTGATTAGCCGATACAACCTATGAGCTGCCTAAGGCCTCTTGTATTGCCTGTTTACCACCACCAAAGTCCTATGAAATATCATCAGTGTCTGTCTTTGTAAATTTGGAGGGCCTCCAGGCCGCGCTGTGTCATAGGTACCGCCCAAACTTGATGCGACTTTAATTGCACATCGCCAGCAGAAGACTTGTCAAAACAGATTCTCGCAACCCATTCGCCTGAGACCGTTTTCTCATTTGCGAGACCCTGAACAGCATTGCCGATGATCAGCAAGTCGTTGGCCTCTGTGTCGAATGCGTAGACACGAATCAGCTTGTGGGTCCTCTTCTTGATTACGACCCAAGCATGCTCGCGAGAGGCTTTGATTGCTACAAAGGACTTCCGTCAGCTACTCTGCCAGCATTGACATGGTCCAAAGACCTATATGGCCCCTCCTTCTCCATACAGGAAGCATTTCAAACTTTCAACATACCCTCTCGCCCTTTGACTAGTCCAGCTGGACCTAACAACCATCCGTCTTCGGTGTATAGCTGGGCGATCTTTTCTCCTGAAGTGGGCTCATTTATATCGAGTAAGCTAAAGTATCGATCAAGAAGTTCTTTTTTGTCTTCGCTAACGACTGTAGCCAATGGCCATTGCGTATCGGCTGTATTGTTCCCCATGGGTAAAGTTTCTCTGATCGATCCCGAGTGCAAGAGATCGCTTGTAAATTCCAGGCTCGACCTACGACTTCAAAGATATATTTGTGTCTTAATATCAGCTACGTCTAAAAGCTACGTCCTCTTTGTCACTAGTACCGTCTTCAGCCCCAGATCCCAAACCTCACATGTACGACGTGTGGACTGGGAGGTCATCGGGGAGTGCTCGCACACTCCATTGTAGTCAGTTTAGATGCCGAGGTTTCCATGGAGCTCGTTATCTTCCCCGGGATTTGAGGTTCATTTTGTTCCCCGGACGCCGAAGACTATACCTCTGTAGTATTCAATGCGTGAGCTCGGGCCCCTCGGGCTGCTCAATTGGTCAATTCGAGTCCCCAGGTGCCATCCACAATTCTTATTACCATCCCTGGGTACTTTTTATCCTGCGCCCTCGGCCTTGTGATTGTGCGTTATCAAGTCATGGATCTTCCAGTGTCATTGCGGTCCATGAATGAGACTTGATATCCAGAGCTGACTCTCATTGTACAAGAACTCAACGTTATAGGGCCCGCAGCAGATGATGTCTTGCAGCATATCCACAATTCCTTTTTTGAGTGTTTCCGGAGAATCGCTACCAAAGCAAGCATTCACTCGCCGTAAATGCGTAGAGTTTTGGCGACTTTCCGCCGTCAAACTGTGCTTAAGCCGACCCCCGAACCAACCGCTCCCGCTGATAAGCCAAGCCCCGAGCCAGCCGATAGTTTGGAGTCTGGGGAGATCTGGGGGGCACGAGGCGGCCCTAAGTAGTAGCTAGTTGTCCCATGCGCAAAACGTGGAGGCAATACACAACTTCATTTTCCAATTATCTTCACAAGTGCTCCATCCCCAGATTGGCCCATATATTTCCATACATCAAACCCACACAGAAACCAAGGAGACGTGTACGTAGTCGTGCCGTGTGGCAATGTGAACAACGAGATCATTCCGAAGGAAAACACCTGGTAGAAGGAATCCCAATGCCGAGAGAGAACTCAGTGGGAACCCCCAGTGGTGTTCGAAAGAATACTCGAACGAAACTCACATTACTTGCTTGTGATAACTGTCGCATCAAGAGAGTACGTCTTTAACAAATGACTCCAATCACCTACCCAATCTCGTCGCTAACCGTATCAGCTGAAATGTACTTATAATGAAAGGCCATGTATGAACTGCAGGCTCTACGAGAAAGAATGCAAACAAACAGGAACTGCAAAGGTCAAGAGTTATGCGCGTAGTGAACAGACGGATGACCGCGTCCTCTCGACAACGCAAGATGTGGCGATAAGCCATAATGGCGACTCGGTCGCTTCTTCCTCTGCTGAATGTCCGTCAGCCCTCCTCAATCCACCTGACACAACCTCAGTGCTGAATGCCAATGAGTTTGCAATCGGTCATCAACCGATGCAGAGCGAGACAATCAGTGGTGAGATACTCACCCACTCTTCACGCCACAGGCCCGCTAATTGCAGCAGAAAACTCAAATGATTGCAATCAGTCTATGCTGCAATTAGAGGAACTTTTTGCGAACGAGTTCCTGAGGTCCAGCATCCCACTCAATGACTTCTCTTCTCTGGGTGATTTCGTCCAGTATACACCTATGCCTCTAGATGGACACTTTCCCGAACCCCCTCCTCTATTATCAGAGACAGGCCTTGATCGAGAGCAAACTGGAACGCCACACTCCAAGCCTACCCCGATTTCACCATACAGCCCGCAGAACGACAAAGTCGGAGGGTTAGGCTCCTTGAGGCCAGATACTGCACTACAACGCCCGGGAAAGCACATTCCGCCAGGTCTTTTCATTGGCATAGACAATTCCCTGACCGGCTTTATAGGTAGGTGCTCCTTGTCACTATGAGACTGACCGACTGACATCTGCGTTGAGGGTTGGCCAGTACCGGGGCAACACTAGCAACGTGTATCGACGAATCAATAAGCAAGCATTCCCACATATCTGATTCCTTGAACTTCGAATGGCTTGTGCAGGCCGGAAAATATATCACCAGGTGCGATACAGGCGAAACTGTAGAACTATCAGCTGCACAATTGCCTCCAAAATCTCTCGCGACCATGTGTATTAATGGTGAGTCTCTTCGAGCACTTCGACCCGGGAGATCGACTCACGTCGCATCACAGCATACTTTAACAATGTCCATATCCACTACCCCATCATTCGGGAACAGCCTTTTCGGACCACCTGGGAGGCTATGTATGACCCGAACCAGAAAGCGCACCGTGTCTCAAACTATATGCTGTTTTGTCTCGTTCTCACGATCGGAGCTGCGAGTGACAAGACGAACTCGGCCACACCAACGCCAATGGACCAGTTCTCCCGTGAGCTCTTCCAGAAGGCTTGTTCTTTGGTGTTCACTCCATTGACTGAGTCGTCCCTCGTCGCATTGCAAGTGATCTTACTTCTTGTAAGCCTATCCCCAGCTCCTATTTGATTGATCTAACCCAGGGAGATCATATTCCTCGAACTCAATGGCCAATACAGCTTGGCTTCGGTCATGTCCGGATTCAGTATTCGCGTATGTCAGGCTCAGGGTCTCCACAGAAAAAGTCCAGAAGACTTTGACCTCGAGCCAGAGGAGACTAAGTTTAGGTCTCAGTTGTGGTGGATATCGTTCCATTTTGAGACGTGAGTTGCAAGAATCTACCAGCAGAAGTAGACATCTAACAGTTTCAGAATCATCGCCATGGCTGAAGGCAGACCCACGGCAGTGCGCGAGCTCACCTACGATGTCGAGGTACTACCGCTCTGTCAAGACCAGCAGATATCGCCACAATTGGAACCCCTTGCCTCGGCGGTTCACGCATGGACTGCCAGGTTGACTGAGCTCCGCAATCGCTTCGTCACTATCACTAGCCTCTGCATCAAGGCGACTGACAGACTAGCTGCATTGTCTGACCTCAATGAGTCCTTAATCAGGTGGAAGGATCAGATACCTGTGGCACATCAGCCGGGCCACGATGTATCAACTGATTCAAGCTCGTGCCTTCTCGTTGCTCCACTCCATCTCGAATACTTCAACTTGTTGAGATCCGTTCACTGGGCTAGTCGCATGACCATCTCAATGCAACCCGATATAACGGCAGATCACGGAGGTCGCTCTGTTCGAGCGCATGATATGGGATGCTTGTCGGCCGCCCGTTCCTTCGTTCAAGCCCTGAACAGGTGTGTCTGCCTTTGCAGAGAGACGACGGATCTGACTGACATTTCCAGCATTACGGACGGTGGGGCAGTGAAGAGCTTATTTCCAAAAAGGTTGCTAGATTTTCCATGCCCTTGTGGCCGTCAAGTTGCTAATATTCGATTCAGTCTCAATACCAACATATATGTCTCCGTCTCGGCGGTGCTTTATCGAGAAATTTGCGAGTCCCCACAACGGATGGCGGCAAAGACTGATTTAGAATGTCTCCGGGCTCTCAAAGTCCACCTCGAACGCGATTCCCTGTCTGGAGAGTGGAATGCCACGTTGCACAACACAATGTCCAAAATGCTTGAGATAGCAGAGCAATTAGTGCGTGGTGAACCCGCTGGCCTCGATATGCCGACGGTAAACACCTATAATGTTTGATAGCCCAATGCTTTACGCGTCTGAGATGGAACCTGAAACGGCGTTGCTGTACAAGTACTTTGTGTACATCACACAATGATCACGTAATTGTATGGGACTGAGCTATGAAACCAAAGCTAAGATGCAGGGGAGATAATTCGCCATTATTCATTGCAGCGATGCTTGGTTTCAGTACATGCCAGCGGAATTTTTCCTATTTCTGTATCGATTTGCAGTATTCATCGATAAGCACAGATACCTCCTGTATACTAGTAACTCTTCCCACAATGTGTTGGTCTGGACGGACAAGGACACCTGCTTCTGTGGTCAAACCAAGGAGATTTGTCCAATTGCCGGGAGAATCAACAAAGTCTCTGTTCAATTGCACCACCGATATTGGAATGCCCTGAGTGACAAGCTTTTTCTCGCTCGTGAATCCAGGTGATGTAAAGAGAACGAAGCTAAATCCGTCGACCAGATCCAAAGTTGACTGCCTGACACCAGCGCTGTTCTCGATCCAATCGTGCGGAAGGCGAGCACCGGGTACACTTTCTTTGACATAATCGGATGGCCCACGAATGTGTTCTCGGCCGTAGACATAACCCAGGACAAGATTGAGGGCATCGAAGTGGTCGCTCTGATGCTGGATGGCACTTTCAATATCTTTCTTCGTGTCTTCATTGGCCATCAGTTCTTCGGGCGTCTGCCCCGGCTTGAACACGGCGCTAACCAGGCGAAAGATGTTTTCTTCGTTGATCTTGCTCTGTTTGGAATTGTCGTTGGCAATCGCTCGTCTTTCGGTGGTTACGGTGTCGAGCAATGAATCGGGTAGCCAACCCTGCTCGACTGCATAGATCTTCCAGGCTAGATTGTGGACATCACCGACGCCGGTGTTCAATCCCAACCCACCGGTGGGCGGGAAAGAATGTGCAGCATCTCCGGCCAGAAATGCACGCGACACGGTTTTTGAGCGGTAGAATTCGGCGAGCTTTGGAGATGTCTTCCATAGCGTAATCCCCAGTTCACGGTAGTCGTCCAATGTCGTTCCCGCCGCCTTCGACGACACTTTGTTAGATACTTGGGGTTTCAGTGCAAGACTTTTGGACTCAGTACGTACCTGGAACACCTTTGCTTTGAGGACCTCTGACGTGAACGTCTCCGGGGGAGTGACAGATGGGTCGTATTGGGTTGAAAACACCCAATTGTTCTTTCGATTGTATGCAATGAAGACGCCCATTCCTACAGGATTGAGGATAAACCATAGCAGGCCTGGTGTATACCTTGTCAGATCCGCGCTGAAGTGGACGGAGATATAATGCAATGCAACCTCTGGTCCATTGTTCAGTGGTTGAAAAGGGATTTGTAGAATCTCTCGTGACCTTGCGTTTGTTCCATCACATGCAATCAAATACTTGCTGCTGATGGTAGACGTAGTCCCAGTCTCACGCAGGAGGACAGTAGAGGTGATCTCTTTGGTTGTCGGATCTTCTGTGCAACTTTTCCATTCATGCATCCGCAGGTAAGTGACTTTTCCAGTCTTGAGTGCGGCTTGCAGCATATGGTCTTCCAAAATCGGCTGCTCGACGTTGAACATGACCTCTGGAGAGGTTGCTTTCGCAGCAGGACTTGTTATCCTAGTCTTGAGCTGTCCAAATTGTACACCGCTCATTGACGACGCAAACAGGACGTTCTCTGCTTCCTCATCGGAAAGCCCTACTTGCCTCAAATAAGACACGTCCAACCCATACTGGCGGAATATCTCCACAGTGCGGCTGTTGGTCACATGGGCCTTGGGCTGTCCGAGTCTCGTGGCGTGCCTCTCCAGGACGACGCAGTCCATTCCATATTTACTCATCGCGAACGCGCTCAATATTCCTACGGGACCGCCGCCCACAATCAACACTGTGGTTGACTTTGGAAGCCGAACAGGTTGCGAAGGTTGTTCCATGCTCGGACCATATGAACCTATGCTGGTCTCATCTGTGGGCGCCATGGTCGTGGAATACTCCAAGCGAGGTGTTGATCAAAGGTATTCAAAATTCAAGAAAGTGTTGGCAGACTGACGCACAGGAGGAAGTTCCGACGCAGCACATCTAGACATACATAGATAATGTTGTAAAACCTAGAAATGTGCATTTGTTGACCCGGGCACAAGCTTGAGAGCATGGAGCGTTCGAATACCACGGCGGGGTTGAAGGGATGCTCCAGAGTCCATGGAATAATGTTACTAGTTGTCATATACTGTATCATCAGATGACTCTCATCCCCCAAGTCTCTTGATCTGCCTTGGCAGGAGGTGATTTTGTGGATGCCACGGGACTCTACATCAGAGGCGACAGACTTCGCAGAATGCCTCCACGAAAAACAGTGCTCAGGGTATACAAGTACCATGGAATCCCCACTAGCGAGGACAGTTCGACGTCCGGGGTCACGGTAGCCGGGGTCTCTAGAAAGCTTAGAGCGCGGGGACCGGCGTATATCTTACCCGATGGAACGATGCACAACAAAGCAGTGGCGATCATAAAAAGGGACGAATATGTCTATAAACTTATTGGACGCCTGATGTACCGAGAAATCAAGGTGCGGACTAGCTAGCTCTCAAACACCATTTGGTTGCTCAATTTACCAATTCCATCGATCTGGACCTCGACGACATCTCCATTCTGGAGGAATGTCGGAGGCTTCATATGAACTGCCACTCCACTAGGTGTGCCAGTCATGATTACCGTGCCAGGTTCGAGTGTATGGCCCCGAGATGCGAATCTTACGATGTTTGGGACATCAAAAATCAGATCGTCGATGCCAGTCCTCTGCCTCTCCTCTCCATTGACCGTCGTGACCATTGTCAAGCTCTCGGGCTTGGGGATTTGTGCTGTCGAACAGATGACGGGTCCGATTGGCGCAAACTTGTCGAAGCTCTTAGCATAGCCTGCCTGCTGGGCACATCTATCTGGAGCCTGCCAATATCGAGACGAGACGTCGTTTCCTATGGTGTATCCAAGCACATAATCTAGCGGATCTTCATCCTCTGAAAGGTTTTTGCAAGTTTTTCCGATAATCGCGCAGAATTCCCCCTGAATATCACTCGTCAGCTGCTGAGCAAAAGCTCGGTCTCAGAGACCTACTTCGTAGTCGAGCCCATGAGCATCTTTGTGGATTGGAATATCGTCGAATGGTCCAGCAAGACAACCTTGACAGTGTGAGCCCCTTCCATCAGCGAATTAATGTGACCCATTACATACTCGAGGGTTTGTTGAACAGAGCTGGATACTCTGGGGTTGTTAACTGGTATATCTAAGTCAGCTTTGGAAGACGTTCCACAAGTGGGGCTTCACCTTTGTCTCTATGACATGGGCTTTGTAATTCAAACCGACGCAAATGAAAATGGGTACTAGGGGCAGAGGCGCAAGAACCTAATCAATTTGGTTAGCAAGTCCGGGTTGAGCATTGTAGGAACCCTGGCTGACCTTGCGAATAATATCCGTCTTGCCAGTTTTAGAAAACCCAGGGCCCCATGGTACTTGGCCATCGTATACCTCAACAGACGATCCTTCGAGAGAAACGAGACTGTCTGAGGGTGCTTCACCGTACTTGACTTCGCCTTGGTCGTTTTCAAACCGTACAAGCCGACCAAAATTGGAAAAACCGACCATTGTGCAACACTAGAAAGAGAATGAATGTGTGGCCCACGTCTTCTAATATGAGATGGCAGGTACAATAACTAACAGGCTATAGATCCTAGATACCGGCGTTACGATGGCTGTGAGTTACACTGTAAGGTATTTGACTCCGGAAAACGTCCCCCCCGGACCCCACAATTGCATTTTCCACCGTTTGCTACCACGAGCGCGGAGTGCGACAAGAAACACCGAGTTCATCGTAGTGAAAACGGTGTCGGCTCTCTTCCGGGTTACTTGATGACCCTTACGCCCAAAAAGATTGGTCAAGTGGCGAAGTCGATCATCTGAACGTGATCCTTTCGAGTTGTGTCGTGTCATCTTGATTCTTCCGTGCCTCGGAGTGGGGATCATAAATTGAAACCGTATAAAGCTCTGATTGGCTAAATTCTTGAAGATGTCCACGGAGAGTCCCCCGCGTAAAGGTCACCGGATTTCTCTCTCTTCCCGGGGCCCCACAGACATTGAATACCTAGGGATGCTTCTGGTATTTTTACGGGCAAATTTGATAGATCTACGTGGAATGCTACATAGGTGGGCAAAAGTTATACCACTGCACTGCTGTGTTTTAAAGCACAGGTTTCTGTTCACAGTAGAGGGCAGACACTTTTCCATATTGACCATCTATACCGCAATCGTTGTATCCTTGAGAAAAACAATCCTGACACCTTCCACGATGGCTGTTGATTATGAAAATGTCGGGAAGGTTGTGAAAAGTCCATCATATTTGGCACACGTGGTCCTGCGCACGGCCAATCTAAAGCCTATGGTTGACTTTTACAAGACATTCCTCGGAGCACATGTCTCGTTCGAGAACGACTTCATCTCCTTCCTCACCTACGACGAGGAACATCACCGAATCGCCATGGTCGCGATCCCTGGAACGGCACCGAAGAACCCTCAGTCTTGTGGCCTGGAACACATCGCCTTCACGTACGACAACCTGGAGGATCTCGGACTATCATATCTCCAACGGAAGGCCAACGGCATCCTACCTGTCTGGTGTGTCAATCATGGCCCCACGACCTCCTTGTACTATAAGGACCCCGACGGAAACCAATTGGAGACCCAGGTCGACAATTTCGACAATGATGAGCAGGTTGCCAAGTTCCTGACATCTAAAGAGTTTGCGGAGAACCCAATTGGCTCGGATTTTGATCCAGAGGACATGGTCAAGAGAATCAAGTCGGGCGAGTCCCATGAGTCAATCAAGAAGCGGATTGAGATAGGGCCGAGAATAACAGTCTGAGGTGGACGTCAATGGAACGGTCTCATTCAGGTTCTAGAGTTGCATAAAGTACACATTAGTCATGTTAATGTTACCGGAATTGTTGGTTGTATTCACGTTTTTGGATTAAGGTGAAATTTCGGCCTGATCTTGTTGAAAAGAGAGATAGCGTTTCAAGAATTTCGTCTTGTCAAATTCTAGAACTGGTAAAGTTCGCCCAAGTAACTCGAGAATATTCGTTAGGTCGTGAATATTTGCTTCGTAATTGCTCGTTGCTGTCTGGACCCTGTCACAAATTCAGCTCCAATCTGACCTGCCGAGGATGGCTTCCTAAGACCCCAGCAAAGCTTTCCCCGGATGCTGATCCCCATGGGCCCTCGGTACGTCTTATCCGGCCTGGGGAAAGATCTAAGTTAGATGCCCGATTTGGATAGCACACTCGATGACTGGAAAGTGTATTGTCGGTGTTCGGTAGCAGGAATAGTCTCCGGGGAGTCTACCTATTGCAACACGCACGGTTTGTGATGGAATATTGGTTCTCTTTCCCTGGGGAATTGGTTTTCGTTCCAAAACACTACGATGATACACTCCTTTCTCGGTGTTCGGTGGCATGTGCGACCCCGGCGATCGGTCAGTAGTTTGAGATATATGTTGTGGTGGAACCCTCGTTTTCCTTCCCCAGAGCTCCATAATTCATTCCCACCTAGCAGAGAGGACTGTTGAACTCAAGGCACGATGGCTAGCAGTCATTTCGAAGACATGGCAGAAGTTGGAGCGGACAAGGTGCATGTACATGCCAGAACACTTGTCGTGGTGGCGGTAAGTCGGTCAGGGTTGCCAGCAGATACATCAGGCTGATATTCTTTTGTTCCAGGCGATGAATTCATTGGTCATAGCCCAGATGTTCTCCGTGCTGGGATCTGGTATCCTGGCACGAGCGATAGTCGGGCTCTTGGGGGAACCTACTCTTGCTGTGTGGCCATCAACAATTCTCACCATTGGAGCGGCGGCGTTGAATCCGACATTGAGCCAAGGAGCCGACTATTGGGGTCGTCGATGGATTCTGGTGGTGACAACTGGCTCAGGCTTGGTTGGGGCGATCATGATCAGTCGAGCTCAGAACATTGCCACGGTATTTGCCGGTTTCTCCTTCATGTCGGTCATGTTTGGTGGCCAGGCAGCGTCATTTGCCGTGGTGTCAGAGATTCTTCCGCGAAAGTATCGCGCTATTGGACAAGCATCGCTGAATGTGTCACAAGGTGTGGCTGGTATGGCTGGTGTGCTCTTCTGCGGCGCTCTTCTGCAGAATGGAGGAAGCGAAGGCTACCGGATTTATTTCTATGTCGTGGCAGGTCTGTTCGCTGTAGCGACGGCTTCGATTGCGTTCTTTTACGACCCACCTCCACGAGAATTGCAGAAGTCGTTGACCCATCTCGACAAGTTGAAGAGTCTCGACCTAGTCGGCATGGGAACATTCACTGCGGGTGCGATCCTCTTCAGCGTCGGGTTGGTGTGGGCCAACAGTCCGTATCCATGGACCAATGCTCGAATTCTGGGTACCTTCATCATTGGCTCCTTGCTCCTCCTGGCCTTTTTAGGATATGAATGGCTGGTCAAAAAGGATGGGATTGCTCACCATGGTCTGTTCAAAGACAAAAATTATATTGTCGCCTTGACGACGGCGTTCCAGGAAGGTCTTGCTGTGTTTACACTCAACTATTTTCTTACCATGGAAGGGATCGCATTGTTTGGCTTGGGAGTCTTCCAAGCCTCGACACGATACGCCATGGTGTATGTATACGCGATCATATTGAGTTTTGCATCGGCATGGTACATGACGCGGTTCAAGGCTCTCAAGGGGCCGATGTTGGTGTCACAGGTGCTTCTCCTGATCATGTTCATTCTGATGGCAACGGTGACGCCTGGTACGCCAGCGGCGGTCCTCTGGGGTTACCCTTTGCTGGGTGGCTTGGCTCTGGGCGCCGTGACGACTGCGATTTTTGTGACGGCTCAGTTGAGTATCACGGGGGAGTTGATCGCAGTAGGCACAGCTCTCGTGGCAGCAGCGAGAGCACTGGGTGGGATGATTGGACTGGTGGTCAACAATGCCATTTTCAACGCGGCGGCCAAGAGCAATATCCCAACGAAGATAGCTGAGGCGGTGTTACCGATGGGCTTTGACCCGTCACATCTTGAGACCCTCATCACGGGTCTCATGGCTGAGAATGTGGAGGTAGTCGCAGCCATTCCTGGTATCACTCCAGAAATCATCGGTGCCGCCGTAGGAGGACTGCGATCAGGCTATTCGATCGCGCTGCGCAATGTCTGGATAGCTGCAGCATGTTTCACGGTTCCAGGAGTTATCAGTAAGTCGACGGTGGTTGATGACATTGGTTTGGAATATATGAAACTAACAGATGACAGTTGCGTGCTTCCTTCGAAATCCCATCGAAGCCTTTAATGCGCATATTGATGCTCCATTCGAGGAAGAATTGGTCAAATTGCAAGACGAGGTCGAGGGCCGAGTTGAGCATGGGAACCCAGGCACACCGACTGAAAAAGGCGTCAACGTTGACATAAGCAGATGAAAGCCAGGAAGGAGGACCCTGTACATAATTATGTAGATAATTACTAGTTATTTTGAGGCAACGTTCGTCTAATCCTCGTCAGCACATCCGCTTATATTACCGTAGCTACCGTATCTCTTGCTGGCTGCAACATGAAGATGACATTCAGCAAGGCGCATGATGTCAGCAGTAATCGTTGTGTCATGCATACAGTGTTTTCATGGGTAAATATCAGACCGGAGATCTACACAGAAAGATAAAGTATGTTGTAGAGGGCGGTGTTAGATTACTATTATTGTAGGTATACATGATGATGGTGGCATGGGTGGTAGCAGTGGTACCTACGGAGTATAGATGCGTGCGTAAGCTATCACTGGTGCAGTAGGTACCTACGGAGTCGATGTAGCATAATTTCTCCTCTCTGTGGCCCGTAAGCCTGAGCAGCAGTGGCACCGGAGACCACTACCGCTGCCTAGAAGAGGCCTGGGACGGGTTCCTGCATGGGTGGGTTTCTAACGGGTCCAGGGCGGGGAGATTTAAGCGAATCAAAAGGGTTGGCCAAGGACACGGACTGCGAGAAGACGTGTTTGAGGAAAAGCCATACACGCCAAATGGGATAGGTAGTGAGCAGGGGCAACCGCAAGTCTGGGTGCAAGCACGGTCTGGTAAGGGGCGGCACTGGCGGCTGGAGCCTTCGGTGGGCCACGCCGGTACCCGCCAGAGCCACCCTAGGCCTAGCGTTGTTTGAGATTCGCGGCCTCCCAAACATTGCACAAATGAGACGCGAGTCCAGCCAAACTCCTTCCACCTGTACTCCGTATGCTGATCGACTGCGATTACGAGTCCAAGAATGGAATTGAGCTGTTGTTCTTGAGACGAGTCTTGTGACTATCATCAGTACTCCGTAGGCGTTGCAGTAGCAGTTGTCGTGTTGTTGATTGTTGCTTATCATTATCCGTAGATGTGGGCATAGGCATAGGCACAGGCAGGCATAGGGCATAACTTCCAGGTTGTCTCCTCGTACTCCTCCTCCCTGTTCAGTTGCAACCTCCAGACTCGCACCTGCTCGCCTTCAGATTCTCCCCCAACTTGACCTTTCTTGGCCTCTTTTCTTCTCGCTACCTCCACCTCTCCTCCTATTCATCCATCACATTCAACTCCTTCTCTTGACGTTTCTTGTGTCAGGTTTCGTGCATTCTACTCTGCACATTCACTCTCTTTGTCTTGTTTTGTCTTTCATTGCCATTGTTCGGCCTCGTTCTCTACCAAAGACGATCATCGTCCAGTCTGCACGGCCCCTACCTTCGCCTGTGCCTCTTTCCAGCCACACCGCGTCCTTGTCTCGAACATCCTCAGGGCCGCCTGCGCTTTGGCCCCCTACATTGAACGACACCCTTTTGACGCCTGTCGACTGCATGCAACTGTTTCCTTCGCCCTTCGAGCAACTCTCGCGCTTTCTAACGAATTCACTCCCTATCCGTTGATAACCCTTCTTATCTCGCCTCTCTTTCAACAGAGTTGTTCGTTCTGAGCAAGAATGAAATAAATCCTATACGATTCACCTCGTCGAGCCATCTTAGATACAATCGAGCTGGGCTCTTGTCGTGGATCTGAGGGTTGACCAACGGTTGAGCCGTGCCCGTCAACACCAGCCACTTTCACCACCGACGAAAACATAAGCCTTCTCGCACTGTGCCTCGTCTCTCACCTTTGTCCTCCATCATTCAAACGACTGCCAGGTTGCAGTCGTCTTCTCTCAACATCCTCTCCATCCTCATACCCTCGCACCCTAATCATGGGTTGCTGCGGCGGCGATCGAGAAAAGTATGGCCGTCTCGATGCCGAGCAGAAATGGGAGTACATTGTGAGTCACCCAGAAGCCTCCCCAGAGACCCCCGATCTAACATCCCGTGCAGAATCTCGATGACTTCAAATCGACTTCGTGCTGGACACCTTTTGCCTATGGCTACTTGCTCGTAATGTTTCTCGTTTCACTTTCCGTCTACGCCGTCGACACCTTTACCGCCATTCAACTTCTCATCTTCGACAAATGGGCTGGTCAGATCCAGCCCGCCATCCCCCTCAACATCTCCCGATGGATATTTGCTGGCTGTATCATCCTATCATTCGTCCTCCTATTCTATCGTTGGCTTCGCGCCATAAGAGTAATGAGACAAGGCGGAGTGGCTAAAAGTTACCTCGATCCGCTCGCCGTCAGGATCCAGAGTATTCGATGGGGCAAGGCACGAGGCTGGAAACGATTTCTCGTCTTTGCCGAATTGACAAAAAGCCGGAAAGGAGCAGATTACGTCGCCCTCTTCGCATATTTCTCTTTTGAAGCTTGGCTACGGATTGTCTTTGCAGAAGGTCCAAGACAGGTTGTCAATGCCCTCACACTCTACTCAGTCATGAGACTAAATCTCATCCCTGAGGGCGAGCACGCGGCTCGTGAAGGTAACTCCCCTGTCGGCCAGTTCTTTGTCAACATTGGTGTGCTTGCCGGCAAGAATCACCTTCAGGCCGTCATTCTCTTTGGTATGCTCTGGACATTGATCATCTGGGTCCTCTCGGTCCTGAGTCTGATCATTTCCATCATACTCTACCTCGTCTTTCTCTGGCACCACATTCCATCCGATGCCGGTGGCCTCAGCGGTTACTGTCGCCAGAAGATCAACCGAAGAATGGAAAGAGTCGTCAAGACCAAGGTCGACAAAGCCTTGCGAAAAGAAAATGAACTGCGAGCCCGAGCCGAGGCTCGAGCTGCGCGGGAGGGCAACGACATCAAGAAACAACCTACTCTCCCCAATTTGGGGGACAGCTCATCCGATTTGGGCGATTTCCCTGGCCTGTCACGACAGACCACCATGACCACTTTGCCCGAATATTCCTCCCGACCAGGGACAAGCACAAATCCTTCCAATGCCTCGTTACCAACCTTACCTGACCTCAGCGAGCGACCTCAAATGCCACAACGGGTTGTCACTCAGGGCTCGGAGAACTCGTGGACCAGTTATAGTTCCAACGCACCATTGCTCAGTGGAGCGAGCGAAATGGGATATGCCCCCGAGCGTCCTCTATTTTCGGCTGCCGAAGGCAATCCAGCCTGGGGATCGAGACCCGCACCGACCAGAAACTTCACAGGCATGTCACAGGCTTCACAAAGATCCTACAGCCCTGCACCTCCTCGGACTGGAACCGCCCAGGGAAATCGCCCCGGGCCTGCATATCCTATGGACCCTCTACCACGACCCGGTACAGGCATGTCAGATCGTTCGCGTCGTCAACCCTCAGACTCAAATGGTGCCCTGCTATATTCAGACGATCGAAGCTCGACATCATCAGGCAAGCCACCCTCGTGGCAAGGTCCGAACTTTGATAGCCCGTCTGAATCGCTGGGACGGCGTACCCCTGCATCTGGCCCTGCTCCAAGTTTCCCCATGATTCCAGAAGAACGAGGTAGAATGTCACCTTTGCCCGGTCCGCAGTTCCGAGCACAAACCCCAACCTATGGACTTGTTGAGAGATCAATCACGCCTCATGGCATCCCACCAACCCGTACCATGACACCAACAGGGCTGTCGACACAAATTCGGCCACCAATCTCACCACCAGCAGGCGGATATATTCCATACTCGGCCGAACCCAGATCTACGACACCAGCATCCACGATTCCTCCCAATGGAGTGATGCGATCAGTGACTGAACCGCCAAGAAGTTATACTCCCCTTGGCCAGGGAGGACTTCCATCAGGTCCAGCTCCCCATCAACAGGGAAGAAGACCATTGCCGCCACAGAGACAGGACAGTGGATTGGATGATATCTTGGACCATTACTGAGTGAAGAATGGTGGAGTTACTCTGGTGTAGGAGTTTGATGACGACGGTACGACCATCAATGATGCTAGTATATCAGCTAGATTTTGCATCCAAGGGTTCACATAAAACACACCCTTTCTGTGAGCGACCAATGGCCGTGGGCGGCATTTTCGTAATAATGAATTGCTTTGAATTTACGATTGCAGGTCTTTTAATTATTTAAATTGAATATTGAATGGTGGTGTGATCAAAAGGTGGTACGAGGACTGTCAAGTCAGATCCAATCTCGGCGCTCTTATTGGTTGGAATATTCGGTCACTACTTTGTCCGACCATCAAAGTCTCTGGGATAATTATAATGATGAATTGTCCACGGTGAGATTCTTTTCACCCACAACCTGCACCGTGTTGCATGACAATCTCCTTGACAGCATGTTCTCGAGATCGTCATCGTCAGGTTTCGGTCGAAGCTTGAGTGAAGCTGCACCGGGTCTGTCGCGACGATTCTTTAACTGTCAAAACCGCAACAAACCTCCCCACAACCTGCGATACTTCTCCTCCTCACGACCGACACCTGGAAGCAGGGATCCAAGAGTCCAGATCAGACCTATCGGAACACTGTCGGACATTGCAGCCTCGAGGACATGGACTGTGAAGTTGTCAAAGTCTGCCTCTAGCCCCTTCACGCAGAGCCGTATTACCTGTGGGCGCAGCGAGTCTTGGAGCTCGAGGCCACCACCCGGCGCAAACTCCTCAAACCTCCGTTGTATAAGATCCTTCTCTGTCTCGACAAGGTCAAGAACTCAGGCCACCCTCGCCCAAGAAATAAACACTGCAGAAGGATCAAAGAGTGAGAAAAAAGGGTTCTACCCCAAGCATTCTACAAATGCCGTGGCATACTGGCTCCTTGCCAGCGCCGCTAGTGTCTTTGGAATCGTCATCTTTGGGGGGCTGACGAGGTTGACAGAGTCGGGGTATGTCAGTTTGTTTCAGAAGAATACTTAGATGGACTACTAACGTTATTCTTTTCTCCGGTAGTCTCAGCATCACAGAATGGCGTCCTGTCACGGGCTCGGTGCCTCCACGAAATCAAGCTGACTGGGAAGCTGAGTTCGAGAAGTATCGAGCGTCACCAGAATTCAAGGTTCTCAATTCGCGAATGACCCTGGAAGAGTTCAAGAGCATCTACTGGATGGAGTGGATTCACCGGCTGTGGGGACGATTTGTCGGTTTGAGCTTCGTCGTACCGGCTGTCTACTTTGTGGCTACAAAACGAGTTTCGAGATCCATGTCCGCACGTCTGCTAGGGATTGCCAGCTTGATCGGCTTCCAGGGATTTCTCGGATGGTGGATGGTCAAATCGGGGCTGAAAGATGATCTTTTGGCGCCTGGGTCGACGCCTCGAGTCAGCCAATATCGATTGACTGCCCACCTAGGCGCTGCCTTTGTCTGCTACCTGGCCATGCTGTGGAACGGTCTCGACATCCTCCGTGGCAACAAGTTGCTCTCATCCCCACCAGCCACCGCATCCTCGACCCTGGCAGCCCTCCGACATCCAGGCCTGAGAACATTCCGTCTGGCTGTGACCGCTCTGTCGGCCCTCGTCTTTGTGACCGCCATGTCAGGTGGTCTTGTCGCAGGACTCGACGCCGGCCTGATCTACAACGAATTCCCATACATGGGAAATGGACTGACCCCACCCAAGTCAGAGTTGTTTGACCCATTCTATAGCCATACGCCAGATCACTCCGACTTGGTGTGGCGCAACTTTCTGGAAAACCCGTCTCTTGTTCAATTAGACCATCGCATTCTGGCCACTACAACATTCTCTGCCATCATGGCCCTGTGGGCATGGACACGCTATTCCAAGTCTCTCACCAGCTTACTGCCACGTGCTGCGAAACGAGGTGTTCATGGAGTGGTAGGCTTTGCCTTCCTTCAAGTCACCTTGGGCATATGTACACTTCTGTATCTGGTTCCAACACACCTGGCATCGTCTCATCAAGCTGGCGCATTGGCGTTGCTAACATGGACCTTTGTGTTGGGCAGTCGCACATGGTTGCCCAGTCGAGCGGTGCAAAAGCTGGTCATGGAGCGAGTTGGCGCCCCAACGTTGGGCGGGAATGCTGCTGCGGCAGCCAAGTTAAGAGATGCTGCTACCGCCTCGGCAGCCTCGGCAGCGACTCCCATGAGTGCCACTTCGCTAGCTTCTCTGGGAGGAGCGACCTTGTTGCCATTGTTGGGGTTGGGACTTGGTCGTGGTGGTAGTGGTGGGGTCACGAACAAGGAGACACTCGGCCATGAGGATGTTGCTCCGGCAGGTAAGATGCTGGTGGTCCAGAAGGATCAATTTCTCGCCAGACAGCGAGGCATCAAGAGCTCATGAGACCAATTCCGACCAGTACCGACCAGTACCGAGTATGGACTCATTTCATGAGTATTGTACAAGTATACAAAAATGTAGTAATATCAACTGGAAGGAGGCTTGGCCGGGAATGGTCAAAAGGTCAAGGCATTGTACCTACAGGATCACGTGTGTGATAAGGCTGTTAGAATCCACTCTAAGACAAGATACCAATATAATTGATTGAATAGAAAGCATAGATTATGTCTGACAGTACTATTGAGTTTTTGACCAGATACTATGCATTTGTTGAACTAGGGCTTGCAAGGCCGGTCGATCGTTTGAAGTGGTTGACACTTTGAAGATCCCACAGTAAAAATATCTACAACTGATTACTGCAGACTTCTGTATCAGGCGAGTCGATGATGAGTGGTGATACGCTGTAAGAATTGGTTAGTCAACAACCAAGCCGTGCGAGGCGCTTCTTTTTGCCCCTCGATGTCTGAGAGAGAAACACTCCCATTATTTACAATATGTACTTTAGACTTGGTGGGGTTCCTCATAATAAAAGTTGACAACACAATACAATCATATGTGGTATACCTTAAAGTAAGTAGTGATGGTGCAAATATTTTCACTACAGGTTCCATTCAACCATTCTCTTTAGTTTATTTAGTAAAAGAATCTCTGAAAGCTTGAAAAGAGAAGAATGAGCAATCAATCAATCACGCCAACCCACGAACCCGCTTCTAACCGGCGTATCGCGGAGCTTTTTTCCCACAAATCCCCGCCGCGCTCGACAGCGAACATGATCAAAGACCAATAATAATGAAGTAACAATATGTAGTCTTGGGTAATAGTCTAGTTGAAGAGATGATTGTCCAACCTCTTCTTGGGATCAAATCTCTTGTTCTCTTGTGTGCGCAAAGTCCCATAGTCCCAACTCGGGTAACTGTATTCATCCTCCTCCCACTTTCTGACTTGCTGGTTCCGACCTCGGGGTCTGGACTCGGTCATCTGTGTCTCTAACCTTTCAAGTCAAGACTCAAGTGGAGTTCTTACCACTGTTGGCATTTGTATTCTTTCCCTTGTCCACGGACTATCTTTCCGATCGCTGGGAATTTTCTTCTTCTTCTATCTTTCGCCTATTCAAAAGCCACTCTCCCTGGCGATGACTCTGGTATAAGTCACTATCTCGAGGGACTGTACATACTTTGATATACACTTAACTTGTGATTGACTTTGCTCCACACATAAAATCCCCGCTCACGGCCATTGGGGGAGAAATCCGTCGATCATGGGTAAACAAGGTATGGTTTTGGCCTCCTCCACACCACCACCCTTACCTAGACTCCTATCTCTTTGGTCAACGGTATACTGATAATTGTAATTCCAATAGACAGCAGAGATTTGGCGGCCTCGCTGGTGCCTGAATATGCTCAGCCATGGGACAAGGAGGTCGAACGACGAGTGGTTCGCAAGACTGACCTCTTCCTCATACCCTTGATGTGGTTTGGCTATGGACTGGTCTATTACGACAAGGTACTGTGAAACTCCTGTTTGGACACTTTCCTCCAAGTTGTAATCGCATCGGCATCAAAACTAACGGGTTCATTCTACAGGCCATCTTGGGTGGCGCCGCCGTCTTTGGCATGACCACCGATTTACAACTCAGAATCGTAGTAGACCCAACCACAACCCCGCCAACCGTATCGACTACTCGTCTCAGTTGGGCCACTTCGCTCTTCTATTTCGGCATGCTTGCCGGAGTTGGTCCCTTGACTTATCTCTTCCAAAGACTGCATCTTGGTCGAACCATTGGCGTAGCCATCATCATCTGGGGCGCCATCGCAATGTCCACCGCCGGCGTCACCAACTATCAAGGCCTTTACGCCCAGCGGTTTTTCTTGGGCTTCTCCGAGTCAATAGTCCCAACCGCTTTCATGGTCATCATCTCCGGCTTCTACACCCAGGCTGAACAGACCTGGCGACAGTGTCTTTGGTACTCGGCCACTGGTGGTTGGACCATCATTGGAGCAGCCATCAACTACGGCTTTGCGCACATTACCGGCGGTGACTTGAAGAAATGGCAGTACTTGTACCTCATGGCGGGTTCGCTGACCGTCTTGTACGGTGCAGTGTTTTTCTTTTTCCCCAACTCGCCCGCACAGGCCTGGTGGTTCACTGAAGAGGAGAAAAGAGTCGCTATCGAAAGACTTCGCATGGGCCAAATGGGTGTCCGGTGCCAGAAGATCAAATGGGCTCAAATTCGAGAAGCGCTCCTGGACGTCAAGGTCTGGATCATCTCAATCATGATGGGTGCCGCCTATTCCGTCAACGGAGCCGTCTCAGGCTTCGGTCCTCTGATCGTCTCGACTTTTGGCTGGAGCTCATACGATGCCCTGCTGTGGCAGATGCCTTTGGGAGCTGTCTGTTTCGTCGGCATTCTTGCTGCGGGTTACCTCAGTCTCAAAGTCCCCAACATTCGCTTGATCATGATTATTGTTTGCTGCCTTCCCACCATTGCCGGGTGTGCCATGATCTGGAAGTGTGACTGGTATTACCGTGCCCCAGGCCCTATCGCGGGCTACACCATCATTGGATTCTTCGCTCCAGTCACGAGTCTGATTGTCAGTGTGGGAATGGTCAATGTCGCAGGCAACAGCAAGAAGAGCTTCCAGGCCGCTGCCATTTTTTACTTCTACAACGTCGGCAACATTGTGGGTCCCCAGTGGGTGAGATCTGAACAAATCGCGGACCATTATCCTCGACTCTGGCAGGGTGTCATTGGATGTTATGTCTTGGTCGTCGTCCTTGCCGCCACTCTGTACGTGATGCTGGCCAGAGAAAACAGAGCCCGAGACAAAATGAATCTGGACGAGAAGGAGGCCGAGAGAGTGGCTTTTGATGATTTGACTGACAAACAGAACAAGTATTTCCGCTACGCATATTAATGATGTCGTGGAGGTAATGGAGATGGGGGATATTGGTTAGAAGGACAACTTTAATGACAAGATAGAGATTATATCAGCACACACTAGCACACACTAACACATACCCACCTTGAATAGATTGACCATTTGAGCTAATTCAACAAGATTGATATATAGATATATATAGATATTATAGCTGAAGATCATGGTGTCTCATCACGTGACTCTTCTTCTCAATACTTTCTTTGTGACCGAATGATCCGCCGTGGACGAAAAAGCCACTAGTGCCAGTATCTTGGTCTAACTGTTTCGGGACAAGCGTATCTTCTGTTCTCCTCGCCTCGAAACTTTTTTGATTCTCGTTGATCCAAAGCAAAGGTTCAATTCTACTCTTTCAGGTGAAAAGCATTGATTGAAAACTCCCAACAGCTACACTCCCTCCATCAAGCTTGTTCTTCCATATCAATTGCCACCGTCTCTACCATTCAATCCACCTTCTCACCAAAATGTACGTGCATCTCCCATTCTCGTCTTGCGCTCCCATCATCTGATAATCCTCCTAGGTATGCTCTTCGTCGTTCGGCCGCGCGCCTCCTCACTGCGCGACCTTCTACCTATCTCCCCACCTCTCGGTCGTTCATCTCAGTAGTTGCTCCTCCCACAAGAGCTATCAAGCCATATCCTACTCAACTGTTGGCCCGGCGATGGAATACCACCGACAGTCAAGTTGAAGAACAAGCCCCTAGGCCTACCGAAACTTCCGAGGTCGAGAACGAGGCACAATCATCGAGCGAAACTCCTTCGGAACCTTCCCCAGCTATCGCCGAGTCTGCCAACTTGACGGAAGCAACTGAGGAATACAATTCTGCGGCCGAGACAGGCGAGCGACCTTCCCCAACCCAAGGGATCGTCGCTGATGGTACATTCACATCTCCGAGCCCACAGGATGCGAAGCCTGGCCTTTTCGCCCCCAAACCCACCATTTACATTGGCAACCTCTTCTTCGACGTCACTGAATCAGATCTCGTCAAAGAATTCACACGATTTGGTACTGTCTCAGGGGCCAAAATTATTCGAGACAGTCGAGGTCTAAGTAAAGGGTACGCTATCTTGTGACGCTTTACACCACTTAGACCACCAACTGACATGCTGTAGATTCGCATACCTTGACTTTGTCGATGTCAATGCCGCCCAGGAAGCCGTTACGAACATGAACATGCAGCTTTACGAAGGTCGACGCATGACCGTGCAATTTGCCGCCCGACCTTCGCAGGGAAACAGACCCGGCCGCTCGTCTGAGTCCAAGCCACTTAACCCTCCCTCCAAGACCCTCTTCATTGGCAACATGTCTTTTGAAATGACCGATCGCGACCTGAGCAACTTGTTCCGTGGCATCAGAAACGTGGTCGACGTCAGAGTTGCCATTGATCGACGCACCGGACAACCTCGTGGTTTTGCCCATGCCGACTTTATCGATGTCAAGAGTGCTATGGAAGGCATGAAGGTTCTTGAACAGAAGGAAACCTACGGCCGGAAATTAAGACTCGACTTCTCCTACAGCTCCAACCAGGCCCCGAAAAACAATCCTTCGGGCCAGGTTTCGAACCAGGGCCCATCCAATGACCTGTAAATCATCTCCGAGCCTCTGTTCTACTTGTATAGCCTCAGCCCACGGGGATTATAATGTTCCAGGACTCTTTGCACGACCTTTCGAGATGAGCGAGGAACAGCCTTCACCTCGATCATATGTACACTACTAGACGTGCAGCACAGGTGATGTACCTGCCTCTCACCCGGCTTGGTGTGGCATGTCTTCTCGTTCTGGCAAGATGTCCGTTGCAAACGTCGAGTGAAGTCGATTTCATGTGTACAATATTTGTTCACACACTGCATTGGGCGAAGGCGTTGTTGACAGGACATGGGACGCTCATCAGTGATTGTGGCAAAAGCTGTACGGCCAACGACGCGAAGTGGTTGGGATAAAAGTTGGGTATTGCTCAGGTTGCTGCTGAGGCTGAGCTCGAGGAGAGGGAGGGTTGACTCTGTGGCTTCGCAGAGCAGAGCGTCTCTATCCATTGTAACAGAAAGTTCAACGGCGTATCGCGTGCGTTGCAAAGTGTTTGCCTATTGGATCACATCTAGACCGATCCATCTTCATTGTTGTGTATGAAAATATCTCCATTCTTGTCATCAATTCACATAAAGTAACTTGATGCGTTAATTCTAAAGCTTCCTACCTTGATACGTGTATGTGACATTCATTTGCCCGACTTAGGTACCTTATGTATGACAAACCCATCCGGGCATTTATTCGATCTGAGCTTACAAATACTTCCTTTCCTCACCACGGGACCGACAGTTCAGTTTACTCAATTTTGGGCCACGCCGTCCGAGGCGTCAACTTGATCAACATTTCTTCCACGGTATAGACCATAGTGACCCTATTGACTTTGAGGGGCTCTTCGGGATGTTTCAATTCAATCTGCAACAGAGAGCGTCAGTCGATACGCAACGCACAGAAATCCTTAGAAATGAGAGGGAGATTGAAGGGAAAACAACAGTCCACCAACGCCCAAACCCCTGAACTTACGTCAAAACGGCCCAGAAGCTCCGGCAGGTATTTCTTCATTTCGATCCAGGCGATGTGCTGACCAATACAGAGACGACGCCCAGCAGAGAAATACAAATTCGACCGTTCCATCAGCGCCAACTGTGCAGGCTCTGCCTCGAGCCAACGCTCAGGCCGGAATACATCCACGTCAGCACCCCAGATATTAGGGTCACGGTTCAATGCATGGACGTTCATGGCCACAATCGTCCCACCGGGGACGTATGTCCCGGCAATCTCCATTCCGCCAGCTGGCACCTCGCGCTCTACAGGTCCGATGAGGAGTGGTGAGATGCGTCCAGATTCTTTGATGACGGCTTCGAGGTAGGGGAGGTTCTTCACCTCCGTCCATAACGGTGGCGACGATAATTTTGTGGCGTCAAGCTCCGCGCGCAGGGAAGCCATGACTCGACGGTGATGAAGCAGATGGAAGAGGGTGATGGTCAGAGAGTGGGCGGTGGTTTCGGCGCCGGCGTGAATAGTCGACAGGGCCAGGCCGATGATGGTGGGAGGGGTGAAGAGTTGTGGGTTCTTGGTCCCAGCTTGAAGATATCGGTCGAGTAGGTCGTGGTGACTACCAACACCGCCATCCTCGGTCCGTTTCATCAGTCTGGCTGTCGCCATCTGACCAAGTGGTGAGGTTCCCGTCTTCCAGGTCACCATCTTGTTTTTGAATATCAGTCTTTCTAACCCAGGCAGAGATAGCCATGTATACCAGTGCTCGAAACGGTCTCTGCCGGCTTTGAAGAGCTGTGAGGCCTCTTTGTGGGCATCAAGTACACCTTGATCTTCGCTGAAGGCTACCCGACAAATGGTGTCGTATGAGTATGCACTGTTCCATTGGGAAATGTCCACTTCATCGCCAGCGCTGGACAAGTGTTTCATCAGACGTTGGATGTTGATGTCGATGTGGTGTTCGTAGTCTAGGATGGCGGTAGTCGTGAAAGCTGATATGATATGCTTCTTCATGGCTGTGACGCGAGCTTCGTCGCGGAGTGCGACGATGGTGTGAATCACCTTGCCTTTGACAGCCTGAGATGTTGTTTCATATGATTCGCCCTGGTCAAAAAGGCGTTAATGTGGCATCATCGATGGAGGATAAAAGTAGGGGGCTTCGACCTAGTCAGAACATACCTTGCGGAGTGGATTCTTGGTGTTGAAGATGATAGGGATAGCACTTGGATCACTGAAAAGAACTCGTCTCGGTCCATACAAGACCACGGGCCCATACTTGTCATGAAGTTCCAGGTGCAGGTCGATAGGACTGTGATTAGTCCAGGTCTTGAGCGCAAGATACAGGTCGGTGAATCTTGCCACAAATGGACCAGGAATATGTCGGAGGCCCCTATACCTGAGATGAAGTTGCACGCTTATGAAGAAGATAGAAAGGCACAGGAAGAGTAGCACAGTAGCCCCAGCATAGTTGTTTTCGGCTAGTATGAACGACATTTTCATGAAACAAGGTCAAGATACCAAGTCCCAGGGTCAAGAAAGTGAGGACTTGAGAGAAAACCAAGAAAACCAAGAGGTGATAACGGACAATATTCATAAATAAGCATTCTCACCTACTAGTAGCAGGAGCAGAAGCCTGATCTGATGTATGTACCCAGAATGGCAAAAATGACGAAAAACGTCTTTGGCCAACATGCGATATGGAATGGTCAGGCCAGATTTGGCTCGCACACATCAAGACCTGATGCTTGAGCGAATCAAGGCCAAAGTATATAGAAGCCACCCCGGGTATTAAGCTTCAGAGCGAGGATGGCACATCCCAATTCGTGCTGGGGACAAAAGATGACGACGATTAGCTTACCAGGTCTCCACAGACATCATCCAAAAGACTGGACAGCTTGCTTCCAGAGTTCTTTTGACAGTCTGACAACCAGTAAACGACCGATCATTTTGGTCAGAAAAGACGTAGCTGTGGCCAGAATACTGGGGGGTGAGACGATGAACAAACAAAGTTCAGGGACATGAGAACCTTTGATGGTGGACCTTTCACATACACATCATTGACTGGGTGGCCTCAATTTAGCTGACTCAGACTGAGGAACGACCCTGGTGAGATAGTCGATATTGAGAAGCTGACAGGATGTCAGGTTACTCTATATGTACATATTGTAGTAGTTGAAAATCCAGGGTCTTCAAGATGATATCAGAAACGATTACACCCCGTGACGCCGTCCTTCCTAATGCCAAGTGCCAAGTGCCAAGTGGCCCATTGCACGTGACATCCCCGGATATTTTCTCGGGAGGGCAATTGTGGAAGTCACGACCGGCACAGTTTCTCCGCTCCAACCTCGGTCCGTTGGCAGGTGCGAATGAAATGGTGCCATTGCGACTGCCACTGCCTGATTAACCATCTGCGTCCATCCAACGACAGATTGCCGAAACTGCTGACTTATTCTCTCCATTCAACATCTTCATGTCTGCGGTTGCTTGCCTAGGCTGGCTTCTTCCCAATATCCTCGAATCATCCATCCCATCTTCATCACCATTTCCTTTGCAATAGACCTTATCTTTACAACATGTCTTTTCTCGGTGGCGCAGAATGCTCGACCGCAGGCAACCCGCTGACTCAGTTCACCAAACATGTACAGAATGACAACACACTCCAGAGAGACCGTTTGGTGGGACGGGGCCCCGGAGGCCTTGAAGAGACCATGCGTTCTCGAATGGCTTCTCCAGGCTCTGATCAGGTCTGTAAAGACTCATTGACCTCTTCCTACCTCAACTAACCCCGCCATTAGATGATGAACGAATTTATGCAGCAACCCAACCAACTCCCCCAGCCCTTTGCCATGGAACAAATGAGACAAGATCTACCCAATCTTCAGGGCATGACTCGGAGGTCACCGTCCCCAGGATGGGCATCTGATTTCGATCCAGGTGAACAAGCACGCATGGAGGCGGCCTTTGCGAATTCTCAAATGTCCCCCCAACAACGCCACAACGGCTTCTCCCCACAAGACTTTGCCCGATTCCAACATAACACTGCTGCACAACGGACTGCAAGTCCCGTCACACAAAATCCCTCCATGATGAATATGAGTAGCTACCAAAGGCCGGCAATGGGTATGGGATACATGTCAGGCATGAACATGGGAATGAATTATGGGGCAATGCATATGCAACAACAACCGGACCAGAGCATGGACAAGGGAAAAGGGAAAATGGTCGAGCTTGATGACGCCAACTGGGAGGCACAATTCAAAGAGCTGGAGCAACAGGACAATGTGTCTGAAGAAGCCAACCAAGCTATTGAAAAGGAGCTCGAGGAGATCGACAGGTCAGTAGATCCTGCGGAAATTTTTGATGAATTCGAGGCTGTGTGGCGTGGGATTCAAGCTGAACATGATTCCAGGCAAATGACCGAAGATACGACCGATTTTGACAATGCCTTTTCAAGTGAGGATTTCGCCGCATGGGATCAATTTGACTCAACCATGGGCTTAAACACTCATAACCCATTTGAGCGGGAGCCAATGCTCGGCGATTACATGTTTGAATCACAGAATCCATATCTGGAGAATGCCTCGGCATCAAGATCTGCATTTGAGCAGGGTAAAGAAATCTTGGAAACCCACGGCAATCTATCTCTTGCCGCCCTGGCTTTCGAAGCAGCTGTACAGCAAGATCCCAACCATGTCGAAGCGTGGGTCTTACTCGGATCAGCACAAGCACAAAACGAGAAAGAGGCCCCTGCGATTCGAGCCCTGGAAAAAGCCCTGCAGCTAGATCCCGGAAATCTCGATGCCTTGATGGGTCTCGCCGTCTCATATACCAACGAGGGCTACGATAGCACAGCATATCGAACCTTGGAGCGCTGGCTGAGTGCCAAGTACCCCCAGATCCATCCCTCCGCCAACCTTTCTGACCCTGCCGACGTTGGCTTTACAGACCGTGCCATCCTTCATGAGCGAGTCGTGGACCTCTTCATCAAGGCCGCCCAGCTGTCACCCACGGGCGAACAGATGGACCCTGATGTTCAGGTTGGCTTGGGGGTACTTTTCTACGGCAACGAAGATTTTGAAAAGGCAGTGGATTGTTTCAAGGCAGCTCTAGCCTCGACGGAGCAAGGACTGGTCAATCGAGAAAGCCAACTTCATTTACTCTGGAACCGCCTGGGAGCGACATTGGCAAATTCAGGACGGTCCGAAGATGCCATTGATGCATATTGCAAGGCGCTTGAAGTCAACCCCAATTTTGTGCGAGCACGATATAATTTGGGGGTTTCGTGTATCAATATCGGCTGCTACCCCGAGGCAGCTGGACACCTCCTTGGAGCGTTGAACCTACATCGGGCAGTTGGGGAGCAGGGGTTGGACCAAGCACGAGAGATTGTTAGCGACGGCAATGGGGGCCACATCGAAACAGCCGAGTTAGAGCGGATGATTCAACAAAATGAGAGCTCGAATCTGTACGATACACTCCGAAGAGCATTCACAGGTATGGGAAGACGAGATTTGCATGAACGGGTTGGAACAGGCATGAACCTGGACCAGTTCCGCGGAGAGTTTGAATTTTAAAACTATATAGATGCAGATAGGTACTAAACGGGATGGATCTCAACGAGATGCGACCGATGATTGTAGACCATCTAGCTTTGAGGTCGGAAGATGCTGCAAGTTATCACTCTGCACAACAAAGCTTCCCCGTCAAGAGGCTCAGGTACCAGGGTTGATTGGCAAAAAGCGTTGATACCACACAAAGACTTTTAATGAAAATGGTGGGAATTGACAAGATGTTCAAGATGCCTCTTCTGTGTCCAGATATGGCTGAAGAATCTCATATGCATGGTCCCAGACTTTAGACCGAGCTTTCTCCCGGAGGAGTGGAATGACTTTTGCATTGGGAGTACAGTCGCATTTGAGATTGACGAGAAACAGGCCTTCGGTTTGTTTCTCTCGCGAATTAAGTCCTGGCTTGCCTTTCCAAGGAGTTCCATGGCCACCATAGGCAGCACTGGTACATTGGTACAAATGACGTTGACCCGACTCCGTATCGCTGAAGGAGAACAGGGCGATTAGAGGTTCCAGCGTGAAGCTGACAATCCAAGCCTTGATGGAACTTGGCTTCAAGCCTCGGCGCACATTACCAGTGTTAACCCAACCAGGCCAAGAGTGGATGAAGGTGACTCCGGGATTGTCATCGGCCAGCTTTTCCATGGCGATTGTGTTCAGGGTGCCCCACTGAGGCTGGGCTTTGACCAGACCGAAATTGCCAGGCTTCTTCAGATCTATGTCGTCCAAATCAATCTTGAGGCTCTCGAGGCCACCGGCTAGGACGCTGACTACTCGGCCGGCTTTTGCCTTGTTGAGAAGAGGGAGAAGGTGCAGAATAAAGAGGATTCGAGAGTAGTACTCGAGGCTCTGCGTGATTTCCAGCCCCTCGGAGGTCTCGCTGCGCTCATGAAAGGGGGCATAGCCGGCGGTCAGGAACAGGAGATCGATTTGAGACTCTTTTGACTTGATCTCGTCGCAGACTCTTTTTGATTCTGCCAACAGTGAGATTTCGCCTTGGGTCCAGATGATTTTGGCCTTGGGATTGACGGCTTCCAATTCCTGGATGAAGGCCTTGGTGCGTTCTTCGGAACTCTTGCGGCCCACTAAGTAGATCTTGACGCTGGCTCCGGTTGCCACCAAGGCTCGAACCGTCAGTTGTCCGATGCCCGAAGTGCCGCCAGCAAAGACAGAGATGCGTGGCGCTGTGTCATCGTCGATGGAGGCATTTGAGGCCTGAATGTCCTTGTATGTCACCATTGCAGAGGCGCCAACATGTGTAACAAGACGTGCTGTGATCCTTCTGACGGTCAATCAAGCATTCATATCGACCTCACACAATTCCACCTTAGCCCCTCGGCCTCTTTTAATTGGTGTCACCAGCAAATAAATATGGCTGCCTGGCTCTGTCTGCATGCCGGAAGGGGTTCGTGTTTACACACTAGCGAGGACTGATCCAGAAAATCCGTCCAAGCTCGGAAATCAGTGAACGACGGCACGCAGCCTAATGGGCGATGGTGATTTTGGGCATTGTTCTTGAATACCGTAAAGGTATGTTCAGGTGGCTCACTAGGATGGTTGTCATGTTGATGAGGTTGAATTATGATCACGTGGTGTGAATCGTGGCATGCTTACCTACCTCGATACCGTGGAGACACCCCTGATGACCAGCCTCTACCTAGGTACTCTTGTATAAGATAATTACACCCATGACACAATACTTCGATACCTAATCATGGATTCTATAATCTTAAGCTAGGCAGAGATACAATATATCGATTATTCAAACGGTCGAGGATCCAAGCTCATGCCTATGGAGTAGACATGGTGTAATACATATACGTATAGTAAGGAGGCTGTTGATTGGGCAACATCTCAATAGTTCGCCAAGACCGCGTCACATCATTCGCTCCTTCCTTGGTCCCTCCAAGCCGTCGTCACTGCCGTCTACAATGACCACTGCCTGCCTCAATACAACATCTTGATAGTTCCTTCCTCGCTTCATTAGCAACGCGTTGGGATTTGTTGTCGGCGTCGTCCATCTCTCACTCCCTCTCACTCAACCTCGACCTCTACATTTCCCATTTCCATTTCCTTCAACCATACAAGCTAAGGAATCATCTCCCTCCACTCTTCGCATCCTCGCATCCTTCGACCCGATAACTCCCTCCACCCCACGATCCTCCTACCTCCTACCTCTCCCGCCGCCGCGCATACAAGCAATCACGTCCTCGTCCACCTCGACTCTGCCCGCGGGCAGCTTGAATCGTCATCATGGACGATCACGGCGACTTCGATAGTGTTTCGTGGCAAAGAGATGATGCCCAGGATGCCGCATCTTCGTCCCCTTTCCACCAACAATCACTTCCAGAACGACGTGCGTCGGGCCGCCGGAGCAGCAGCATATCAAATGAGGCCCAAGCAGGCGAAAACGCCGACGAGATCGATTTGGCAGGTATCGGTCGTGACGGCATACTCGACGTGACTGTCGATACACCCCTCAAAGAAAATGATGGAACTAAGGATGCTTACGTGTCCTACCTTGTCACAACTCACGTAAGAAATGTCATCCTCTCTGCTATTTCGTTCTAACCATTGCCATAGACAGATTTCAAGTCTTTCCAGCGATCCGACTTCTCCGTCCGACGACGTTTCACCGACTTTGTCTTCCTGCGACAGTCCTTGCACCGAGAATACCAAGCTTGCGCTATTCCACCCCTTCCAGAAAAGAACAATATGGCCTATGTCAGGGGCGACCGCTTTAGCACCGACTTTACCCAACGCCGAGCCTGGTCGTTGCACCGCTTTATCAAACGTTGTACCCTGCATCCAGTCCTCCGGAGATCTGCCATCCTCATCCTCTTCCTCGAAACCGCAGACTGGAACGCCCAGATGAAGATGAGGCCTTCTCGGAGTAACACCGTAGGCGAAAGCAACAACAACGCCTCAGCTCCAACAGGATTCTTCGATAACGTCGCAGACACCATGTTGAATGCATTCTCCAAAGTCCACAAACCTGACAAACGCTTTATCGAAGTGACGGAACGAGCCAACAAGCTAGATGAAGATTTGTCCCACGTAGAAAAGATCATCGCAAGGGTGGCCAGGCGAGAGGGTGATTTGGAAACTGACTATGCCGACTTAGCCACCAACATGCGGAAATTGACTCCCTTGGAACCCGAGATCGAGGCGCAATTACAAACATTCGCCGGCTGTGTCGAGGAATCGTCTCGCGGGTGGAAGTCGCTCAAAGACCATACCGACCAAAATTATTTGGGTAGCCTCCGCGATATGGAGGCTTATATTGCCTCAGTGAAGGCCCTCCTCAAGACCCGAGAGCAGAAGCAGCTCGACTTCGAGGGGCTGACAGACTATCTGCAAAAGGCTACATCGGAACGAGACATGCTTGCTTCTAGCAATCCATACTCACACGGGTCTAATTTGAACCCGGCGAACTTCATCCGCAACAAGGTGGAAGACATGCGAGGGGTTGACCACGAGACAGCACGACGAGATCGTGCCCGCAAATTGGAACTCAAGATTGCCGAGCTCAACCGAGAGGTGGACAGCGCCAAAGGTACAAGTGAAATGTTTGATGAACAGGTAGTGCGTGAGGTTGCCGACTTTGAAAGGATCAAAGGTGCAGAATTTCGGGACAGTCTTGGTGCTCTGGCCGTCCAACACATGGAATTTTACCAAAGTGTCATCTCCACCTGGGAACGCTTTCTCGTGGACAATGATGCGGACAAGTATGTGCACAAAGACAAGGGTCGAGCGACTTGATATGTCGGCCCCTTGACCACCGGCTCCTTGTTTTAATGCAGCTATGACGGACGAGATGGTTCCTGTCACCGCAGACGATGGCACGTCCAATTATGATGGCAACTAATATAATCTATATTCACTTGGATCCAACTCTACCTGTAACAACCTTTTTGATCCCTCCAGAATTAGTGGGCTCTCGCAGGAGGGGAAAAAATATATAAAGACTCGGTCAGGGGACCATGTTCCCCCATTTTCTCCCACAAACCTCGTCAATGTCTGCTCCAAGTACTTTTCCAATCCTTCCCCATCATCCACCGGCCATGCCACCGACGACTTCAGGCAGTGCTGACAGCGGCCTGACTAGTTCACAGGAAGGTCTCGTTAGCAAAAAACGACGACGGGATGAAGACGACTCAGACGACTCAGACTCGGATGAATCAGACACAGACATGGCAACCTTTCGGGATTACTGCACGGTGTTCGAGCAAACTTCGTCGCCTCCGAGGGGTCAGTTGAAATGTCCTTCTCCTTTCACATGTCGAGTTGTCTATATGACTAAAACTCTCAGACTTCGATGGCGTTGACAAGTCCCGCTCCCCACCGGTGTACAGATTGAGAATCTATTGCGATGAAGTCCTACTCCTAAAAAATGGGCTAGGCAAGTACAAAACTTCGCCTGAGACCGAGAGACGCCAAAACACTGCATCGTATCAATCAGCCGTCGTTGAGAGTGCCCATACCCCGACAAAGGCCTCGAAAACTAGTTTAGGCGCCAACTTACAGGCTGACAATCAGCCGAACCAAGACGAAGAACCTGCCAAAGACCAGGAGGCCAAACCAAAGGTGGTGCGCTTTGCTAGTGTAGAGATGCCTGAGGAGGAGCGGAATGAAGGATTGGACGAGGCCAAGTGAAGGACGGACATGTTGACGATGCAAACTCTGCTTCAAAGGTTGGGGAATCTGGTGGCGCGTGATATGGACTTCGGACTCTGAGGGCCTATTGGTACTTCTAGGGGTATCCAAGAGTATTGGCCGCATGTAGCAGACACTCTAGATAGCACCATTTAATTGTCATCTCCTTCAACGCGGCGTTGAAGGCAGCCTTGATGTCCCAGTTAGCTACTTCTTTCACACGTGTTTATAGCATTCATTAAGCGACTCGTTTTAGGCACTGTTAGTGAACTTATTTCACAATAGTTTTGTGCCTGAATTTCACCTCCTTTCTAATTTCACCGTGAATACCCTCACATGACCATCCTTCCCAGGTTACTGTGACGATCGACAGAAGTACGGGGGGCGCAGGGCTGAGAGTTCGCAATATCCGCGGACTAAGTTCCGGCTGTGGATCGATAAACATGTGGGCACGATCTCACCGTTGACCCCTTTTTCCGATCTAGGACAACCTCTCCACCCTCAGCCATCCCTCATGGCAACAAGTACTATCACACGAGTCATAGGCCAATCAGGTTGTCGGTATCTTATTGAGCGCATTCTCGAAGAGAAACCAGGTCCGCTTAGACATGTCTATCTTGCTTCGTAGGTCTGCCCGCTATTGGAACTCTACAGTCTACTTACTTCAATAGAGCTGGCCATCAAAAATATGTCTTGAAATGTGTTTCAGAGAAGGATTTCAAGTATTTTCAATCGATGTCCAGCGATCTTCAAACATCTCCCAACGTCCGCGTGGCAGATGATGCAATTCCCGAGCAATCCATGTTTGCCTACAACTACTTCAAGGACCATCTCCTTTCGTTCGCGCAGAAAGACATACCTCTCAAATTGGTAAAGCGAGTATTGAAGGACTCACTTAAAGGCATTGCGGCATTACACGAGAAAGATGTCGTGCATACGGAGATCAAGGCAGATAACACTCTGATCAACTGGAGCGAAACAGACGGCAATACTACTATTCATCAGGTCCAGATTGCCGATATTGAAGATGCTGCTTATGTACCTCCCGATTCTGCTATCGTTGGAAGGCAGGTTGGCAATTGGATGTGACGAAGCCTTGAGGCCCACGCGTCTGGTCTGGTTCACAAGTCATCTGATATATTCTCGTTTGGGATTGTGGTAGGCTTTTTTTTTGACAGCGAGACCAGAGATTCAAAGATAGATCCTTGCAGAGCTAACTTGCTGGCATATACGGTAGTGCATCTATGCTCTGACGAAACGAGTCATTTTCGCCGTCACCGACGAAGAGCTCAAGGAAGGTGAGGAGAGGCTTGCGATTGTCCTCGAACGGCAATTGTCCTATTTCTCGGATCTAGAGCGTTTAGGCGGTCTGCTCCAGTATCTGGGAGATAGCCCTTGGGTTCAAATATTCACCGTGATTGCAGAGGGTGTCGACAAGAAACATCCTAGAGCGCCGTTCGCGCTGTGGAAAGATGTTGACCCAGAATTCAAGGATCTAGTTGGAAAGATGACGAGCGGTGATCCGAGGAGGCGAATCACTGCACACGAAGCCTTGTCACATCAGTGGTTTGCAGACTTGGTGTGAAAATGAACAGACAGTTTGGTTTTGGAGTGAATGGTTTAGAATATGACGAAGATCAACTGGGGATGCTCATCCCTCGCAAGGACCAGCATACCAGCCATGAGTGGACATCTTCACCGTTCAATGTTGCAGCGCAGCCAAAGTGCCGTTCAATTTGGAAATTCCCCGTGTCCACTGTTCTGCCCCTTCATCCTCCACGGAGCGAAGTGAGCATATATGTTCGCTAGAAGACCGGGGTACAATACCAGGCAGGAGCAGTCAGAACGACCTTCATGGAACACTGTCCTGGAAGAAGCCCCTCTGATAGTGATCCAGACTCTCGGCTTATAGCACAGCTCCCGTGACCCAAGATCCTCTGGCGTAACCACGTTGAAAGCAGCCCGTCCCCCGACGTCGAACAGGCGTGCTACTTAAGTATCACGTGAACACAGAGACTGTCACAATGGGTTTGATGGCCGCACGAGCACCCCTCTGATAGCATAGCCATTGCTCTTCCGACCAAGTCGGGCTTTTACTTTCTGGCGAGTGAACAAACGATGAAGCAACCAAGACTGCAAAGAAACACAGGACGTTCAATCACGACTTGATTGGTGTCATCTCAGGGTCAAGCTTTCATAGAACATGGTTGGTCAATGGCCAAGCTCGCCGAGTCAACAGCTGACAGAGTCGAGAAAAAGCAAGGATGCAAACAAAACCTCGACTGTGCCTTTCCAAGCTACTTCCGCAACGGTGGTAAAGTCTACCTTGGGTTACCTCCAGCTGCTACACAAATAGACTGGGACATTTAGGACACTACTAGGATACACCATTTCACACACCAGTATCTCGTGACTCCGTCATTTCGTCGAACAGATAAACACGAGCACCACGAGCCAACCATAATCGACAAAAGCCGAATATCCTGAGAAGGTTGAATCTCTTGCTGTTTCAAGGACTGAGGGGCCGAAAATAAAACAGAGTTTGGCGTCCACGAGCTCCAAGCTTTGATGAGCGGGGGGCCACAACACGACGGGAGCAGCACAGCCTTCACCCAAGCCTCAAAAGTCTCCACTGGTGTTAATTGTTTACATCATCATGCATGGGCCAACGAGAGTGGAAGGGTGAAAAGGCTTTGAAGGAGGGAAATGGAGGGGAAACATGGAGGGGGCACGGTTACAGTTACGTCGACGAAGTATGGTGACTTTTGTTCAAAAAAAGGTCCAGCCTCAGCCTCAGCGTCTCTGACTCGTTGAAGGCAGCGTTACACTTCGCATGGTTGTCTACAAAGTGTACCTGACTAATTGCAACATGGCGCGCTCTCTCTGCCCAGAGATGCATCCATGATCCGTCTTCTTCGTATGACCTACTTACAGTACTCGTAGGCAGGTACTGACAGGGCACAACAACGGAAATAAGGCCCTCCTCATGCCCGCCTTACGACACCTACTGTCCTTCGTACGCACGAGAAGATTGTCTTCATGTCATTGGACACGGGTTTATGGATGTTTATGGACACGAGAGGACAAGGTCCTTTGGACATAATAGATAATCAAGTCCGCGCAGTGACTGTCGACCGATCAAGCCACACAAGGCAGAAACGGTTCAGAGAGGAGAATTAGAATCTTTCAGCTGACCAAAGATGAATTGAATGCATCTCATTTCGTTTGCCTCGACACACTGCGCGATTAAAATTCGATACGAAAGGGAGGGAGGTTGCGAGCGAGCGAGCGTGTGAAGGAAGGGATGGTCGTCGACAGACAACTCGTTTAGACATACGCGAATGATGATCTTTAGGTCGCTGGCTAGGAGGAGCAGTCTGGGTCGCGTAGATCACAAGCCTCACCTTCAAGTGAAATGATATGGTGATGAATAATTACAGAAGTTGGGCTCGTAGCTGGCCTTGTCGCCGTCGATCAACCCTTCGTCGCGTAGGAGCCCGTGCAGTGCAGTGCAGCCTTGCCACAATGGTGGCACTCAAGCACACGCAGGGACTACCTATTTGGTTCCGATTGACGGTTGTCAGGTGGTAAGCCATGTTCCCATGGTGTATAGATGCAGTGTGACAAGAATATCCATGTCGAATGAACATGATGCAACTGGATCAAGCTTCAGGGACAAGCCGGGACGATGCGTGGTGGGTGGGTGTCCTGCCGAAAACCGACGGCACGGGACCAACCATTCATCCCATCGCTTAGACCAACTCCATTCTAGGCGTGCTTGAGTTGGCCTCGGGCATCTGTGGCCAACAATTCAGGATGTACTGTACGGAGTTAGTTGAATTTACTAGACGGATCGACAGTGACTGGAACGTGGAACACTACCTACATACCTACATACCTACTCACGTACTGTACTTACTGTACATAAGTGTCGTGATGTTCAGTTCTGAAGATAGATACTGATCGGCTGATCGACCGATCGACGGACCGCGTGACTGAGTGACTGCCTTTGAGGCCTGATGAACTCTTGCAGGTATAACAAATGAAGAAATCAGGGTGTAGCGACTCACCAGGCGAGCCAGGGTATCTACACTCATACTGCATGCCAATTATCCTTATCAGTGGCAAGACCATTGATCCCTGGACACCTGCTGTACTGAAGTAATTTACATACGCACCTACGTAGTAAAGAGACACATTCATTCACTACTTACAGTTGGGACGATCCTTGGAAAGCTGAGACCAGCATGATCATTTCTAGGCAAAAAAGGCAAACACAGTCAACTCTATCGTCACACTCGGGGGAACTCACTGACACTTAACACATGGCCCCCATAAGTTAATCATTAGGCATCACTTGGCCAAATAGACGAGAACATGAAGCATGGCGGGCGGGCACACAGGCAGACAGGCAGAAATGCCTAGACAGCTGAAAGCAAGGAACAACCATGTTTGTATGAGGAAAGTATCGGAGACACGAGATACGGAAATACGCCATCACCCCTCACCAGCTGAAAACAAAACCTCCGGTGTTTACTAACATACAGTACTCGTATGTAGGTGCTGTTCTGTACATGCGTGCATCCATAGACACCTATATTTTGCCGTGCACTTGATTTGAAATTGATGGGGCCTATGAGGATTTGGAATTTTTTTTCCCATCTGCCGACTACGTTGTTCTACCGACTCTACTAATTCAAGGAAATCAAGGAAATGGGTGTGGTGGGAAACCAGGACAACGAGGATGAGGATTGCGTATACCCCGTCTGCGACTGGTTCGTATTGTAAAAGTAAACTCTACCTATTTCGAGAACAATTTCGTCAGATTGTTGTACAGGCGAGTTCCAAACACCAAAACCCATGGGCTCAATGCGGAATTCGTGGACATGGGATGTGGCCTTAGGTGTGGCGTCAACATGCCATGCCTCCTTCTAGGCGTCCCGGCTTTCATTTCAAGTCTGAGGCCTCGACTCGCGACCGCCAGGCAAACGTGTTTGATCATAGCCGTATTTGGGAATCCAGTCGGGTGTCCCTCCTCTCTTCCCCCTCCAGATTTGATTTTCCTGGGATTCTTCGCATGCGAGAAGGTGGGGTAGATTACATGTCGACTGACACACTGGCACGTCGGTTGGACGAGTCACGCCAGGGCAACACCTGCAGGACGGGCATGAGTACATATTACTCATATTCCTCAAACGTTGATTGGGGGCTGATTCCTGCAGTCCTGTCCATTTCCGGTCTTCGTCTACGGATAGCTGTTCCATCTCACGCGGCAATGCCTCTCTGGCTCAGCTGTCGTTGGTCGTTGGTCACTGAATGCATGCCGTATTCGAAGGCTATGACATGCGTCGCCACAATGGCGGGTAAGCTGGTGGTGGTACAAGTCTTTTGTTTTCGTGTCGCAAGATGCAGGAACAGACCATGCGAGGCAGAACTTGGGAGTTTTCAACTTGGTTTCAACAATGAGCGATTATGATTCTTGTCCTTCCGACTACCTGATTAGTCTATTGATAGGTTGAAAAAACACATCAAAAAAGAGAATCTGTCAACAAGGTGAACAATATTGCCACCATGGCCTCAATAATCGCACAAGACAATCTCAATCGAGTGGGAGTGGCCTCTGGCTCCTATGGGTCGCCAATGTGCCCAGACGTCTGTCTGTCCCTCCGTCTGTCATGCTGCTCGAGCATCGCTGGATTGCTTCGAGCCGGGCTCCCCTTTCCGTTGGTTCATCGCCGGACCATCCAGCAGGGTGGTCGTCGCTCTAGGCTTGGACTAAACCTCACAAGCCGAGCATAGATAACAGGCAACGCGGTGCCTTCCACCGACAGTGGTGTCGTGATCAATGTCTATCTTTTTGTTGATGTTGTTGGTGATACAGCCGGTCTTGTGACCGCCAAAGTGTAAAAGAGTGGCTCTTGAAGAGCTCTTGCCGTAATCCATTAATTCAAAAAACGCCGTGAAATGTACCGGTGGGCTCTGGGTTCTGCGACAATGACAATAGGCTCTCGCTCATACTGCCGCCATTGTCTCTTGTTTTCTTCGTCTCGCAGGTACAGGCTTCCTCGTCTCTCGTCGGGATAGATGGCCGACACTGGCCTTTCCCTCCGTTCGTACCGTGATCGATCACCCACACGATCACTGTGATAAACTTGCTCGTTGTGTTCCCGCCGCCGCGGGGCTCTCTCGATCACTTCGACAGGTCCGTCCTGAAATCGTCTCAGCTCAGTAGTCTCCTTGGGTTTGGGCGACCTGAGAGCGGGCTCTAGGCGTGGTGACTGGTAAGGTGAGCGGTCAATCTTGTCAGCTTCGGACTTCTTGGCCACCACAATGGCAGTTTTCTTCTGGAGAACCATGCCACGGTCAATGGCTTTGATTAGGAGCGAGACGGCCTCCATGCCAACTGGAACCTGGACCTGAACACGGTCTCCTGATGATCTGCGATCAACAACAGAAAAGGGCTTTCCACCCTTGGCGTACAGGTAATTGCAAACATCTCTGGCCAAGCTGATGCCTCGGTCGCATAGACTCTTTTCTCTAATGTGTGTGGCATAAGGGTCATGGCAGTGAGGGCATCGATCAGCGTGTTTGGCAAAGTGGGACATGACCGAGAACTCATCATCGCGAGGCTCACGGATGGATTGCACCTCCCTAGCAAAGCCCACAATGCGCTGGGAGCTGGTGGGGCCACGAGCCATGGTGATGTTAGGTGTGGAGGGAGATCTGCTGAGTGGTGTGGATGTGTGTGAATGGACCAGTGGTGGTGTCGACGACGGCGAATGTGTCTGGCTTGACGGACGCCGAGTGACACTGATGTACTCGTAGGCGTTGCCGCCTATATCACCATATGATTGCTTTGGATAGATATAGTAGGTTGTAATGCGTGAGGGCGACAGCGTGACTGTTGACGACGATGTTTGGGGGATTGGTTGTGAGCAGCGTGGTTTGCTGCGTTGAGCTTGGATTGATGTTACAAGGAGTGATGTCCAGACTTGAGATGTCTTGATAGTGCGATTGTTTGATACAGGTGAATGGATAGATGAGAGGTTCGAGTAGCTCGAGGGAGGGGGATCCAAGGAAAGATATATAGCCTTGGGGAGGATGTAGTCCAATAGTATACACACTGGTGTGCGATTGGAAGTGGTTCGAGTGCGCGACCCACTTACATGGGCCCTTTTGCGAACTTTGGTTGGAAGCCTAGTGAAGACTTACCGGATTGAGACAGACAAGGCCAGGCATCAGGTGTGGCCGGATGGATTGGGGCCTTCAAGGCCTTGGACCAGAATTGTCGAGGACACAGTCACATTAACATCAAAGGTAACTCACCATTGGCTTGACTTGAGACAAACAGGCACCGCCCAGTCAGGTGGACCCATTGACCCATGGCCGGCGATAACGGGCCACGGTTCAGGAGCTCGTGATCGTGGTCGTAGTTGTTTAAAGCATCGTGTTCAAGGTGGTCATGGTAGAGGTTGAAGTTGTGGTTGACGTCGTGTTGAAACAAGCTCAAGCAAAAGTGCAAGGGCAGAAGGGGAAGGGGCAGGTGCGATGGGCAGTGCTTGCACATTGTGGCAGTTGTAACCTCCGGTTTGGCAACTGCGCCGCCTCCACAAGCTTACTGTGTTTGCGCCTAGAAGCCCTCCCTGCCGCTCCTGCCCCTCTTCCATGCTCCGAGCGCCGAGGGGAGCAGAGCAGCCACCAAGGAAAGCCTGAATTGGCCCCCAGATAGCCACAACCCACCTAACTGCGCCGCAGCCACTAGGCGGAGATGCGGCACAACATCACAGATTTTGGCATGGGATTGTGTCCTCCACCACCCATGACACCCCCCTCACCCCTCCTGCTCACCGTCCCCCCGGCGCCTGGAGCCTCCGTCCAAAGGCCCTGTGGCCCTCAATGTCAGCGGTGAAACGCCAAGAGGGGGAAAGAGAAAACAAAACTCGCGGCACTTTAACCATCATTCTAACCATATTCATCTCACCGGTTCACGCTATTCTGAAGCTTGCATTCCAATGACGAGTCACAACGCCATGTGATCAAACTTGTCTAATGCCACCAACCTGCAGGTTGGAGTCATCTTGCGCGCCTAGACCTACTCGAATGTCCCTAGGAGTCATGTTTCGTCAACCTGCATTCCTTGAAATTCTCGTCACCCCGCGCATCCCTTGTTGATCTCGTGTCGGATGCCAATTCAACTTATCGTCATCGTTCTTAGTGCCTCCAAAAGTCCCACGCAAAGTGCCCTCGAGCGTCTCCGTACCAAGATGATCCTCCTTTACCCGAGAGACTAGCTTGTTAAGTTGCCTGCTCAGGCTACCTCACTTTGTAGGACCCTGCATGACTATTAATTATTTTTCTGAGCTGTCATGGACGTGACATTCCACTCCATGGAGGAAGTACAATTAGCGAGTCGACGGCTGTATAATAAGATAGGTACATATGTAGAGACCACGAGTCAAGCACCAAGTGCCAAGACAAGACATAATCACTGAGTCGTAGACAGGCCTCGCTTGTGTACCTTGACCCATATAGAGACACATACGGAGTATACGTACATCCAGTAGGTAATTATTCGCGGCCTCGGCAATTGGTGACCTGGTGTCATCATCGAGAGTTCAGGCACCAGGCGACCGATAGGCACATTACTACGTAGTGCATGGGTCCACTTGAGAGAGGTCGGTTAACTAGGGAGATCTACGAGTAGGTACTCCGTGGGTGAAGGACACTCGGTTCCAAGTCTACGACCTCGACGACGAACTCTGGTAGCGTCGTCACTATTCTAGGCAGGTTTCAGAAAAGCTTGAGCTGCCATGACCACAAACGTGTCTCTTGGAGAATTATGTCATTGCAGTTCTATCCTTAACACCTTGTGTCGTCGACTGTGCACTGTAACACAGAGTTTGCCACTGGCTTGAAACATTGGACTGATATGTTTCATTGCTAACTTGCTGGATGACATTCTGCCGCGTTCTTAGGCGTTGTTACCACCTTGGAGGCCACTCTGGAAAGCAAAATTGCCAGTATTATGGCGTCATTTCTAGTCGCAGGGACTACCATGCGAGTACGGGCTTGATCACCTAGTGTCAAGTCAGTGTGAGAAATATTGATTTTTCAGAGCATTCTTACTGAGCCAGATTTCATGTCTTTGATCGCCTGGTCGATCTCCGCAGGGGCGTACGTCTTGCACAAGCCAGATATGGGAAATGCCCCATTTTGGAACATAGTTACAAGGCGAGGGATGAGCTGATCAAATGTTAGCAGACGGTCTGCAAAGAGCGAGAACCTTACCTCCTGCGGGTTGGCGTATGCCCCCGTAACCCCTATGATTCTCTTGCAGTGGATGAGCATATCCATTGCGTCGACGCTGAGATGTTCTCCTGGCTTAGGTGTTCCAACTATTGCCAGCAAGCCCTCTTGTGCCAATGCCTTGATCCCACTGTTGAGCATGCTGGTCAAGCCGGTGGTATCAAACACAAAATCAACACCTCGTTCAGAAACCGACCGGACTGCAGCTTCGACGTCCTTGTGTCTCCGACCATCTAGAGTATGCGTTGCTCCGAAAGACTTTGCCAGTTCCAGTCTGGATTCAACAATGTCGATGGCCAATATCTCGCCAACATTCAGGCTCTTGGCCGCCATCAGCGCACACAGGCCCACAGCTCCAAGTCCTAGGATCGCGATACTATTATTCGGCTTGGGCTTCAGGACATCCAGCACCGTTCCCGCACCGGTCATGAACCCGCAGCCGAGGGGGGCCATGAAAGCCAAATCCTCCACAGGACCAGGATGTTTGATCACCGCCCTAGCATCACAAATGGCTAATTGAGAGAAAGACGACTGGCCAAAGAATGGACCTCTGATGAAATCCCCAGTGGGTCGTCGGATGGTTGTGTCGTTGAGACCGCGGGTGCCTCCAAAATTGGTGAGTGCAATGTTGGCACAAGCTCCCTTGCGGCCTTCTAGGCATCCTGCGCAATCCATGCATGACGCATAACCCAAGATCACTCGATCACCAACACTCAACCCAGAGTTCCCAAGACCACTACCCAGTTTGACAATGATACCAGCTCCTTCATGACCAGCCACCACGGGGAAGCCACCAATTGGCATATGCCCTGCTTGGACAACTAGATCCTGGAAGGAGAAGTCTTAGAACGCAGTCATATGGACTGGAGCCTTTGGTTGCTGACTCACCGTATGGCAAATTCCAGAGTATTTGATTTCGACCAGGACCTCCTTTTCACGGACTTCATCTAGAACAACATCCTCAAGGACAAACGGTGCTCCAGCCTTGTCAACGACCAGCGCTTTGGTCGGAATGTTCTTGTCGGGTAGAGAGCTCATGGTGGAAGATTGGGCAGTATGAACTCTTGACAATTCTCAGCCCCCTATAATCGGGGTGTGCCCGACAGGATTTTGTGAGTAAATGATCTATAATCTTAATCACATCTGATGTCCTGGGTAGCGCCGAGCATATTTCCTACCAAGGAGTGGCTCTCCCACCGTCGGAACGAGCAACGGAAGGCGGATCCCCAAGTTGGAGATCCAGCTACGTGAAGTCATTTATACTTTGAAACTTCATCTCCTGGATGATTAGTATCTACCCCATGATGATCTGCGGGTCGCTCAGGAATGGTAACAATTCTACAGCTGACATACCCGTCGCGAAACATAGCGGATCGTGACGGTCCATTGTTCAGCCTAAGTAATTCGTCTGACCATTCTAAAAGTCTCAGATCTCTAAGTTTGTGATGAAGGAAGTATAGCAAAATAAGAGGTTTGTTTCAATGCAGTGTCTCTATCTCTATAGCGTCCATACGCAAAGGAGGGTCTTTATAATGAGATGAACACGCTTTTCAACTCAGTCCAGTAATCTGTGCAGTGCCTGGAGAGCTCTCGACCATCACCACTTTGTTTCCACCCTCCAAAAGGCATATCAGCCTGCATGCCGGGCGACGAGCAGTTGACGCCGATGCTACCAGCTTCGAGAGATTTGGCTATCCTTAACGCGCGAGAGATATCCTGAGTGAACACACTTGCGTAGAGGCCGTATTCGGTGTTGTTGGCAAGCTTGAGAACATCCTTCTCATCAGTGAATGTGTTGATACACACAACAGGACCAAAAATTTCCTCTCTCATCACCCTCGAGTCCTCTGGGGCGTTTGCAATGATCGTCGGCTCAACGAAGTAACCTGTCGTTCCTTGACGACCACCTCCCAAAGGAATGCTTAATTTGTTCTCCTTTGCATACTCAAGGTAGGACATGACGTTGTTGAATTGGACTTTATCAGCCTGAGGCCCACGTCCTGTGCCAGGCAAAAGGGGATCTGCTGCCGGGAAGAGATTTACCATGGCAACCTTCATCTTCTCGGTGAATTGCGCGGCAATCGCCTCGTGCACGTACATGCGCGAGCTAGCAACGCATGACTGCCCACTGTTCAGCATGATACTCATGGCAGAAGCGTGGACTGCTTTATCCAGGTTTGCATCGTCGAAGACAATGAGGGGAGACTTTCCACCAAGCTCGAGCGTGACATTCTTCATGTTGGAGTCGGCAGCAGCCTTCTTGATGGCGCGTCCGGCTCTCAGGCTACCTGTAAAGCTAACCTTGCGAATTTCCATGTGCTTGGCAATCGCTTCGCCGCAGACAGGACCACCTGATAGAATGTTGAGAACTCCGTCAGGCAGTCCAATCTCCTGTGCCAGTCGCCCGACAACCAGTGATGATAGAGGCGACTTTTCAGAAGACTTGAGGATCAAAGTATTACCCGAAGCTAGAGCTGGGCCAACCTTGAAAACCAGCATGAGGAGTGGAACATTCCAAGGAGTGATAGCACCACAGACTCCAAATGGCTGTCGAAATGTCAAGTTGACGAAGCCTGGGGAGTGGAGACTGGTATCGCCGGCTACATCATATGCCTTGCCCGAGAAGTATCTCAGAAATTGGGCCGCCAGATGAATTGAAACTGTCAATGTCAGTAACGGGTTGATTCCATGAACATGCCGTGACTTACAATCATGCACAGATGGCTTGCCCATAGTGATAGCCTCAAGGTACGAGAGCTCTTGTCCATTTCGTTCGATGGCGTCGGCAAGTTTGTGAAGATAGCCAGCTCGATCTGCGGACGAGAGAGCAGACCAGGCCGGAAACGCCGCACTTGCTGCCTGGACGGCACGGTCGACGTCCTCTGGGCCAGCTTCATATACTGAAGCTGCAAGTTCCTCCGTCGTCGGATTATAGATATCGAACTTCTTGCCAGCACTGGGGAGTACGAATTGTCCATTGATGAATAGTTTATCCTCGATATGGCCAGGCTTGTAAGCCGGCGCATTGGAAGCAGATTCATCACTAGTAGAGATTGCCATAACTCCCGCAGATCAATATGTGAAGTTGTTACTGAAAGTTGTCAGACATGAATGTCGTCTTGATAATAGAGGTTTGGAGGCCGGAACGCCCAGAACTCAGCCTCGTGGGGTAGGATGTTGTCTCACTAATGAATTTGGCCGCCCTCAGATCATTGGCACAATCAGTCCAGTGATGACACTTTTAAATCTGCGTGTAGACTCCGTGAAGGCTTTCACGGTCTGAATCGACGCTTGGGGTTCATATGGTCCACTAAGGGAATCAGGGCAGGCGTCGTCAAATTGCAATAGCAATGCCTCATTCCGTGCCATGTTCCGCCTTCAGCCCCAGCTTCCCACCACATTCTCCACTCTCCGCATTTCGTCTGCTCGGATGAAGTGGAGGTTGTTCATAAAGTAATGTCATTCAATTCTATGCAAGTTATCATCTTCGAGGCGAGTGATGGGGTCGCGAACGTTGGACTACTGTCGAGAGCCAGCCCTCTTGCAAGTACGCACGTGATGGATGTGCTCTTACTCCCATTAGAGCTACCACGGAACATGAGGCATATGACAAGAAGAAACCATTTGTGACTCGGGTCTTAGTGCTAATAAAAGTCCTATTGCTTGGAATCTATCCTACCAGATGACGCCACTCTCCTATCTTAGATCGTAGTACTATGACCCGATCTCTCCGTAAACAAATGAAGGACGGACCAGCAACTTCTCATCCCAAGGTGAACAGACACCTCGATCCCTTTGCTGCATCATTGCGTTCGTCATGCTTGGATCGATATCAATGTCGTAAAGTTGGTATATCCGCACAAGCGTTAGATGAAGACCAATGTCGGCAAGATGCTTCCCAATACAGTTCCTCGGGCCATAGCTAAAGGGCCTGGACATGTTTCTCATATCCGACGTAGCATCCAGCCATCTTTCTGGGATATACTCTGATGGGTTGGGAAAGAACTTTGGATCTCGAGCAGTCACGTATGCTGGTGTTGCGACTTGGACTCCTTTGGGGATATAGTGATCACCGATCATTTTGCCCGGTGACACACGAGGGAATCCGGCACTGAGTGGTCCCCAAAGTCTGAGGGCTTCCTCGATACAAGCATTCATATATGTCTATGGAATGGGACCGTTAGTTTCGAAATTGTGAGGATTTTTGTGAAGTCGACATGAAAGGAAACAGACTCACCATTTTTGTAGTCTCCTCATATGTTGGCTGGTGTCTAGGGTCAGGAAAAGCAGTACGAATTTCTTCGATCAGCTTCTTCTTGACTTCTGGTCTCCTGCTAACTTCCCAAATTGTATAGATGGTGGTCACTGCAGTGGTGTCGCTTCCAGCAACTAGGAAAAGAATGGTATTTTCGACTAGTTCGGGGAATGTGAGCTTGCTACCAGTCTCTGTGTCGACAGCATCGAACAAATTCCTTAAGAAGGTACCGCGCGCGAAGTTGTCTGGATCTCGTTCGATCTTGGAGTGAAAGTCTTGGACAGATTTTTCGGCAAAATTGATCAGCCTCGCCAATCCCTTGTAGCCTTCCTGAATCTTTTTGATGGGAACATAACGTAACTGTGGGAAGAAAGCCTGCGTAGGCACCACGACCATGAAGGAGTCGAGATCACCATGATTCAATGTACCTTTGCCGGAGACACAGTCGAACGACTTTCCAAAGCTCAGGTACGTTGTGATGTCGAGGTAATGATCCATCATTTTAGAGAAGATGTCGACTGACGTTTTCTCGAAAGCCGCAGGAGTGAAAACCACGTCCAATAGCGTCCTAACCTTGTCATGAATCATGGGCTCATCTTGGAGAAGTCCCTTCAAAGAAAAGGCATGAGAGACCAGACGCCTCAGACGGGCGTGAGCGGCTTTGTTTCTCTCGTTCAAGATGCTCACTGCACCAGTTGCAGTAAACATGTCATAGAAGACCTTTTCTTTAGCACATGGATTCGAAGATTGTCCGTAGATATCTTGCCATGACTTCATGTCTGAAAAGAAGAGCTCATTAGTCCCTACTCGAACGGGACTACCATATTGCTGGAGCATTTGATGCTGCCAACGGACTCGATTCTGGCGAAACATGGCCAGCATCGGGTATATGGGCGTGAACTTTGCGAGAAACGGACCAGGATATTTGGCCAGGGGGTGGAAAAAGATGTTGTAGACCACTTTCACAACAGCATACACCAATGGAATGACCCACATGGCTGTATACCACGGGAATGCGTGTAATTGAGTCATGATGAGCGAGGAGGGAGCCATGATGAATTCTGGAGGTGAATATGCCTGGCGTTTGAGACTTCTTCCTTGAAGTTGTCAAGAAGGATGAATATTTCGAGTTGGAAAAAGGGATAGCTTCTAAGTTGTTGAAATCATACTTGCTTCAGCCGATCAAGAAGTTCTCGGCAATGATAGGAAAGTCTGGGGTAAGCGATGATGATCACAGCTGGGGTAATGGGGGGCGACTGTGGATACCATTTACGGAATGCGGTAACACCTTTCCGAAGCAACAATGTATCCGAGGGTTGTAGTATTTTCTTAACATGTCTCTATCCCCCGACAAGAGCTAAATACCTGATTGAACTCTCGATGTTTCTGTCCATTCTCCAAAGACTCGAAAGCCTCGAGCGTGTTCTTTATCACAGCTTAATGTCTAGCGACAAATGAAAGAAGTTAAGCCCACATAAGATGTGACCAGCGAGTTCCCCTCGTCCCTATGCTAACTCGCCCAAGTATGAATATTTGACTAATTAGAAGCACTCTAGCGAGTTATAAACCCCAAGAGCCTCATTGCAGCACCTCTTGACTCTTAACACCCATGAAAATCAAGGGACAGGTCACATAGATTGCACACGATCACTGTTGGTGGGAATGTACACTTTCAGACAGCGGCAACAATGCAAACGCTCTTCACCATGCCAGGTGATGCACTCCCAAGCTTAAAACCCCAAAAAGCATGGTTAGAAAATGCCTCGACATCATCTGAGACCTTTTGACCGAATTGAAACTTGTTCGCTAATATCCACGACTCCCAGAAATGCAACTTATGATTCCTCGCTCACTTGAATGACAATCTTTCCAGTAGTCCTGTGACTCTTGAGAGTGGTAAAGGCTTTGACCGCGTCCTCAAAGGGCACGACTTCGTTGTTGTGGATCGGGGTTTGGACTTTGCCTTGTTGCAACCAATTGCCCATCTCGGTGAGTCGGTCCGCCTGGGTGGTGACGGAAAGGAACTGGAACTTTCGTTTGCCTCCACCCAAGAACTTGGGCCAGACCAACTTCATGATGAGACCCCAGGTTGCAGAAACTGATGGTTCGGCACCAATTTGTATATACCGACCTATCTTTGACAGGTAGTGATGTGACTGCCAATACAGCTGACCCTGGGTTCCAACGTTGTCGACAACGAGGTCAAACTGGTGGCCTTGTTTAGACTCATCGGCCATGGCTTTCAAAGATTTGACGACATCGGTGGTGCGGTAATCAATGACTTCATCAGCACCCAAATTCTTGCAGAATTGTGCATTGGCTCCAGAACAGGTCGTGACGACATGGCAGCCAAGGACCTTTGCGATCTGGATAGACCAGACACCGGTTCCGCCACTACCACCGTTGATGAAGATACGAGCCCCTGTCCCAGGCTTGACATTTGGCACAATGGTCTGATACGCAGTCAGCCCGGCAGTACCCACGCCAGCTGCCTGTTCGGCCTTGACACCGTCAGGAATCAACGCCACTCCAGTTCGGTCCACAGCCACATACTCGGCCAGGGATCCTCCTTCGTTGATTCCGTGCATACGGCCAAACACTCTTTGACCTTCCTTGAAAGCACTGCTGCTATCACCGGGGTCGGCCACAACACCTGCAAAATCCATGCCTGGAGTCGAATTCTTGGGGAATATGAAACGGCCAACGATGGGCATCTCCGCAACCTTGTAGTCCGCAGGGTTGATACCGGCGGCTAGCACTCTGACGAGAACTTTTTGTCCTCCATGGTTAGGTACGGGGACAGCATCATTCAGTTTTAAATTCTTTTCGAGCCCTCCACGTGTCGAGGAGAACTGCCATGCTCGCATGGTCTTTGGGATCTTTGGCGGGTTGTCCGACATGAGATGCTTTCCGATGCTTTGAAATTTCTTGTTGGTTGGGAAGCACGGGGTTTTTTGTGATTCTTTGTATTCTCTGTAGTTTATGAATAGTAAACCTAAGGCAAGGATAATTCCGGGGTATTCTACCTACACCTACTCATACCTAAATACTTACCCCAGTCCCTTACACGTCAATGGTGGCCACCTGAAATACCAAGTCCGCCAAGCAATGTGGTGTGAGGATTCCGCCGTCCGGACGAATGATCTTAACGCTAGACGATTGGCCTCGGTCTCGGCAGATGAGACAATAATAACAATATAACGTATGAAGGTGCTCGTGACCGAGGTACTTGGGCTCGTAGTCCGCTCTGTTTTGGGCTGGTCTCATGAGTTCGAAACTTCTAGCCTATCAAGCCCCGTGCCATTATGTGTTACCTGCCCTCCAGAAATGCACCGTCCATTTTCCCATTGAGCAGTGCCTCGACGTCGACCGCACCACCCGCCAAATATCTCTCACTGACGCCTAAATTGACTCTTTTACTCAAGAGACTCTGCAGCTCAGCACGCCATTGTTGCACCTTTTCCTTTGCGACCGCGCCGCTCTCCTTCTCCTTCTTGGCTTTCCCTCCTCCTCGCCCTCTGCGGCCTTTGTGACCTTGGCTCTCAAACTCGTCGCTATCGTAGTCGACGCCCAACTCATCTGCCGCCGTCTTGAGCCAGTCGTCCTTGCTGGCAGTCTTCTCGCGCGCGATATTGGTCTCGGTGATCTTCTGTGCGAGAACCACACGTTGTTCTAACCGGTCCAGGACCCTCCGGTTGACTTCCATAGTTTCTGGGGCTTTATCTGATTTGTGCACTTCGGCCACAAGTCGTGTTACCCCAACGACTTCATCTGGCGAGCAGATGAGGATTGATCGTCCAGATTGCTCGGCTCGAGCGGTACGTCCCGCCCGGTGGACATACATATCTGCGGTGCGGGGGACGTGATAATGGATCACGAGATCCACGCCCTTGATGTCGAGTCCTCGAGCTGCAACGTCCGTGGCCACGAGGATCATTCTTTGAGAGGAGAACTTCTCTAGAGAACGGAGACGTGATTTCTGGGGCATGGTCGAGTGCAAGGCCACGGCAGGCTGGTTGAGTTGCTGTAAAAGCTGAGTTATTCGTTTGACAGCGGATATGCTGTTGGTAAAGACCAAGGTCTTTGACTGCGTATTTTGCATCAAGAGTAAGTAGAGATGAAGATCTTTCTTCATCGCGGCACACTCCACGATCGATTCGTTGAGAGCTTGAGCCATTTGCGAGGTGGGGTTGACGTCGATGAATGTCGGTTTGGTTTCGCGGAACGAGAGCTTCTTGAGAAGATATTCCATTGATTTGTGATTGTCCATAAGCTCGGTCTTGACATGGTTACCAGGCTTTCGCTTGCCAGCCAATTTCTGCTGCAACTCCTTGTGGAATGTTGCGGAGAAGACGAGTGTCTGGCGATCTGGTTTTGACGAAACCGTAGGCCGCTCTTGGTCATCATTCTCCTCGTCCACAACCTCTCGATCCAGTGTATCGAGAATATCCTCTACCTCCTTGAAGTGCCCCTCGCTGAGTAATCGATCGGCTTCATCGACGACCAAAAACTGTATTTGCTTGAATCGGTTGAGGAGTTCATCCGTATCGAATTTGGAAGAACTGTCGTTGAGAACTTCCCATAACCGACCAGAAGTAGCAACCACGATCTCTGCGCTCTCGAGTAGTCTTTGCTGTTTGTAGATAGACAGGCCACCGGTAACAGCAGTGATGTTGGGATGATTGTCCAGGTCGAGGCATAGCTGAGTCAGGTGCTTGTTCAGTTGAAGAGCCAGTTCGCGGGTTGGCGCGAGAATCAAGGCCAGGATTGGTGGTTTGACTTTTGCAGGACCTTTGAATTCGGGTTGATCACCGAGCAGCCACTGCTCAAATATCGGGATCCCAAAGGCAAGAGTTTTCCCGGACCCAGTCACAGCTTTGCCTATCACATCGTGGCCTTGTTTGATAGCGGGGATTGCCGCTGCCTGGATCGGCGTCGGTTTTGAGAACCCCAGCAGGGACAACTGTGAAAGGGTTGTCGGAGTTAAATCAAGATCGTTCCATGCAGAAACATCGCATCTAGGCTCATCGACTCGCGGGGGCAAATGTTGGAAATGTACATCAGCATCGACTTCCACAGTAGTGGTTGATTTGAGTGACTTGGTCTTTTCGACTTTTGGCTTTGAATCTTTTTCATCTAATGTTGCCGTCAAATTGAGGCCTTTGGATTTCTTGGTCGACTGATTCTTTGGCGCATCATCATCGTCGAACCCAGACCAGTCGCTGTTGACGGAATCTTGGGCAGCTTCGTCGCCGTCAACTAGTGCGTCCGACTTTGGTTGGAACATGACCTGACGGCCATCTTCTGCCCGGACAACTTCCACATCATCGATTTCCTCTAGTCCATAGAAACCCTCAGCATCTTCCATGCGTGATGGAAGTGGTACCGTCTTCCATTTGAGTGCGTTGTGACGAACCACGGTTCTACCCGCATTGTCGGCCGTGACGGGTTTGGAGGGTTTAATTTTCTTCTTAGGCGGCTCAGCCATCGAGTCTGCCTTTCCCTTTCGTTTCGGAGACTTGGACATGCTGGGCAAGGCATGAACCAGAGTCAATTGTTGTTTGTATCCCTCTTCAGACTGGTACAAAACATCTCAAAGGGAAAAAAAGTGATGGACGTCGGCGAAAAGTGACGCCGATGGTCGATATTCTTGGCACGCTAAGATAAGATAAGAAGACTTTGATCAAACCTCATGCCACAAAAATCCACCAGCACCAGACATTCTGTGGTGAGCCTTTTCTACCCCCGCCGATTTCTCCCGCTAACTACAAGTTGCCACTTGTGGACCAATGATCTAGAAGGAAAAGTGGCAGAGCGCGAAGCAAGAAAACAAATTTCCAGACTTTGTTGACCTTTTTGACAGTTGTGAGTTGTTAAATCACCTTTGACCCAAAACCAAAGCAAAAAGACCGACCATTTGGTACCAGTCTTCAAAATGTCTTCCTACGATTCATGGCAGAATCCGCTGCAGGCTCGCTATGCGAGCAAAGAGATGTTGACGCTGTTCTCAGCCCGGACGAGAGCATCGACCTGGCGTCAGCTGTGGATCTGGCTAGCTGAGGCGGAGAGAGAATTGGGCTTGGACATTTCAGAGGAAGCGATCAAGGAGCTCGAAGCTGCCAAGGTTATGTCGGATGAAGATTTTCAGATTGCGGCTGTTGAGGAAAAGAGACGTCGTCACGATGTCATGGCCCATGTGCATGCTTTTGGCCAACGAGCTCCTGCGGCAGCGGGAAAGATCCATTTGGGTGCGACATCTTGCTATGTTACTGACAATGCCGACCTGATCTTCCTCCGTGACGGTCTATCCCTCCTCCTGCCAAAACTTGCCAAGTGCATCAAGAAGCTATCCGACTTTGCATCCGAATACAAGTCGCTACCGTGTCTGGGATTCACCCATGGTCAACCTGCCCAGTGTATCACCGTCGGCAGACGTGCCACCCAGTGGATCGAGTCGCTTCTCATGGACCTCCGAAACCTCGAACGCGCAAAGGCTGATCTACGTTTCCGAGGTGTCAAGGGTACTACAGGAACTCAGGCATCTTTCCTCGAACTCTTCCATGGAGACCATGAAAAGGTCAAGAAACTCGATGAGCTTGTCACGAAGAAGGCCGGCTTCGAAAAACGAACCATTGTCTCGGTACAAACTTACAATCGCAAAGTTGATTTTGATGTTGCCAATGCTCTGGCTTCTTTTGGTACTACAATTGAGCATATCGGAGGAGACATTCGTCATCTGGCCATGCTGAAAGAACTCGAAGAACCTTTTGAGAAGGATCAGATCGGCTCATCCGCCATGGCTTACAAACGCAACCCCATGAGGTCGGAGCGAATGTGCTCTCTTGGCCGAAAACTCACTTTCCTCCCCCTCGGATTTGGAGCTACATATGCTCACCAGTGGTTTGAACGCTCTCTGGACGACTCTGCGATTCGACGAATTGATATCCCCGAGATGTTCCTCATTGCAGATGCCCTCCTAATCCTCCTCGAAAACGTTTCTTCTGGCTTGGTGGTCTACCCTGCCGTCATCAACAGTCGACTGCAGCAAGAATTGCCTTTCATGGCCACAGAGACCATGATTATGCGTTTGACCGAGAAAGGCGCAAGTCGGCAAGAGGCCCACGAACAAATCCGGGTCTTGTCGCATCAAGCTGGAGCGGTTGTCAAGCAAGAAGGCAAGCAAAATGATCTGGTGGATCGTGTGCGGAAAGAAAAGTTCTTTGAGCCGATCTGGAATGAGTTGACCGAGGAAGACATCCTCAACCCTGCCAAGTTCACCGGAAGATCTGCTGAACAGGTGGACGAGTTTGTCGCGGAGGAAGTCGAACCAGCGTTGGCTCCCTACAAAGATCAGATTGCCAGTGGTGCGGCTGCGGAGATCCATGTATAATCATCGACGATGAAGCTCGGTGGAATATGGCAGACATGAACCCATACAATCCACCCGAGAGCGGATGAACCACCGGGTATATCGCGTTAGCTGGTCAGGCGGTCGAGCCGCACGATCAGGTTAAAATTCAAATCATATGTTCTTGATGTCTTCCCATAATTTTTGCTGTAGGGTGATCTTGTCTTCCTTGTCACCCAACGGCTTCACGGTATCGGTTCGAGTACTGTCACTTGTTGCAACATCAGCTGACGGAAGAGTGGCCACCTGGTCTAGGAATGTTTGTATTCTGCCCTTCATGGCTTCGCATTCGTCGATCTCTCGTTGACCGTCCTCCAAGATTTCCTGCAGGAGATCCTTGGTGCTTTCTCGAGACTGATGAGGCCGGTACATGTTGATTACCACGTGGACATTTAGGAACAGCCGCCTGATATCGTCCATCTTATCGGCGTGTTGGGAGGGGTCTAACGCAAGAGTCGAGGTCAATTCTAGAAAATTGAGAAGGATAGATTTATTCAGTTTCCGTAGCAGGAAGGCGTGGTCAAGATGGGGGTCGTTGGGGTCGAAGAGTAGTTGGTCAAGGGGGAGGGAGGAGAGCTGCGAGGGGTCTATGACCTGGTCCTGGCCAAAGGTCGTATATGTTTCGGCGGAGGCAGCAGGCGGCGGTGGAGGTCGCAGGTATGCGAGCGGAAGGGGGAGTTTCGCGTCTGAGTTCCCAGACTGGTCGATCTGCTTCAGCTTTTCCTCGTTGGCAAGAGTAAAGTGTTTCCAGAACGGAGGTGGAGCAGGAAAGGGCGCCTCAGGCAACTGTGGAGGTTGCTCTGGTTCAGCCATGGTATCGTCACCGGACAGGCGGACTATTGTTGTTGTCGTTGTTTTCGAAGACCCGTCCCTTGGCTGAATCGAGGGTCCGACTGAAGGTTGATAGCATCGCGGACTCTCGCTGGAGGCCTCGCGTGACTCAAGGACTCAGTTTGTGACTCTGTGGAGACGCGTTCTCGTTCTCATCGTGAGGTGATTGAGGTTCTCCAGGTGAAATCAACTGGATGGAATCTTGGAGAGAATCTTGGGGCTTCATTGAAATCACGTGATTCTATGGCGGAACACAGAGCGCGTATGGTGATTTGACCGAGTGTCTATTGCTCGCGCAGCTGCATAAGAGTAGGGGTACTCTCGGGTCTATTCCGGGCATTCAGTCATCCTGCGAACACCTGGAATGTGCCCAGAACCCACAAAGTTCTGGGCGGGAGAGGCCCGCCTCGGCCGAGTGCTAAGCCTGCTCACCCCTGCAATCCTTAATCCTTAGAGCTTCTACGGCTTGGCCCTCAACTATCAATCCAGATCATCATTTGTTTGAATCCTTTCCATTCCATCAACACTCTTCATAGTCTTGTTATTTTCCATCATGCCCAAAGAGCCCTTTCAGCAGTAAGGCATCACACCTGATCCAGAACTCACTAGCATGAGGGTGTCGGCCAGTGAGAAGCCTGGTGTTTTGGGTGCCGTAAAGCGGTTCTGGCAGAGATCGTACGCGGCCGACTATGTTGGCTTCACGCTCCTAGTGACTGGATACGTGCTGGTTAGTAACTTCGAAGAGATGCCACTAGTTGGAGACTTGATTAATGCTTTCAGGTTCAATTCTTGGAGCCATTCCACCGCATGTTTTCCTTGGACGATCATGCTAAACAATATCCTCACGCTCTGGTTCAGAGAGTGTCGGCAGGGCAGAATATCTTATATGCGGGCGTCGGCCCACTCTCAATCCTTCTGCTGTGGGCAGTGATAATCCGACCTGGATTCCACAAAGCCCACGTGACCATATTTGGCCTATTCATCAGCTTGTTCTTGACGTCGCTCCTGACCGACATTATTAAAAACGCCGTGGGCAGGCCACGACCAGACCTGATTGCGAGGTGTAAACCGAAACCCGGCACGCCAGAACACGAACTGGTCACCATCTTGGCTTGCACTGAAACCGACCACCATATCTTACACGATGGGTGGAGGAGCTTTCCCAGCGGTAACAGCAGCTGGGCATTCGCCGGTCTGGGGTATTTTGCTCTGTTTCTCGCCGGTCAATTTCACATTTTCCGACCACGGACGGATCTGGCGAGAGTTCTCATCACCCTCACGCCATTGGTTGGCGCCGGGCTCATTGCCATGTCAAGACTGGCCGACTATAGGCATGATGTGTTTGATGTGACTGTGGGCAGTATTCTGGGCATGTTGGTGGCTTGGTTTTCGTATCGACGCTACTACCGACCATTGAAACATCCCCAGTGTCATGAACCATATCCCAGCCCATGGGAGTACGCCAATGGCGGGGGAACGAAAAGATCCAAGGATATTGAGACACAGGCGGAGGATCACTTTTCCCTCGACGACCTCTCCGAGGATGAAGCTCAATCGTATCCTCTGACACAACAAACCACTGAGAGGGTTGGGACGAATTCAAATACTCGACAGAGCCATCCACCATAGTATGGGTTCAAAGGTCGATTGCTTGCTAATTGGAACGCTCAAATGGATGCCATATCAAATACAGTATGACAATGTGACAGGGTTTTTCATATCCAGGGATCTTCTGTGGCCCTATCACGCTTCCTACCCAGCCAGCGCCTTGAAGAGAAATCATTCCATATATTCAATCCTCATTCGCAGTCATGATTCATATATCTTGCTCCATTCCACATATGGATTCCACATACCCTGAGCGTTATCTTCACATGACAGTGCAAGGTATGATGCAACAATCGCACTCATAGTCGCCACAGTCGCAAGGAATACATGGCTTAGTTGGGCCCTTGATACCTTTGGTGGTGATGCTCGACGTACCCGAAGAGGTAGAGGAGGGAGGCATCGTCAGAGCGGCGATGGGACGTGCGGTGTTGGTGGAGTTGATAATGACGCCTAGAGGAAGGCCAGTCGCAGGCTGTAAGCACTATAAATTAGCTTATGTCGAGACTTGGACATCAGAGTGTCAACTCACATATACTCGGGAATATTTGGTGCTATTTCTCTTGCTGCAAATGGCAGATGATCTAGGCTGTTAGATATTCTCATTTGATGTGAACTGAAGTGCAATATCAAACAGATGTTTCATGTCGGTCGGTGTCTTTCAAGATTTGTGGCTGAGGCACCCGACCAGCCACTGTCTCTGACGTAACGGCCCTGATGAACCGATGACGAGTTCAATAGGTTTCAACCAGCCTATCTTCCTGGACGACACTGGCTCCAAACTTGTCGTAGATGGCGCAAATGACTGGATCAGTACTATAGTCATCCTACTTGGGCTAAGAATCCACGAGGCATTCTAGTAGTGATCATACTGGCCATCCTACAGTAGAAGGGCGATGAGATAGTCACGTGAATATGTGTTCCAGACCCGACGTCCTTGGTCTTTATGCTTCTACGTATCAAACCACTTTACGCGTGTGAACGCGTTCATGAATTCGTGACGTGTGAGCGAGCATTTCGAAGTCCAACCTCCAACATAAAGTGACTTCATTCCATGCACACCTGAGTACATGCGTACACGCGCATGGTCTTGAGCTGTTGTTAATAAAATCTCTAGTTTCTTGACGTCTATCGCCGCCATAGGCATATTCTCTCTCCTCTCATATCCCAGTCATGGCTCGTGGCCCCGTACCAAAGGCGGAACCCTCAGATTTCGAGAAACAGCGACTAGCCAACATCGCCGAACGAGATGCCCTACTCAAAAAGTTGACCCAAGAGGCCGCATCCGCTGGCCTGTATTCAGCCAGCCCCAAAGGAAATGCCCCCAATGGCACAAAACGATCTGCAAAACCCAAGCAGCCTCCTGCGAAACGAGTCAAGAAAGAAGTCGACAATACCCCGCGTCGCACATCATCCAGGATTGCAGGCATTCAAGCCGACAGTGAGGTGGCACAGGAAAAGGCCGAGAAAGAATATCAGGCGGCTAGAGAATTGGATCGACAGAAACGCCAAAGGCAGACGGGTGACCTGAGTTTCAATGATGGTTCTAGCTTGATCGGCACCGATGTTATCCTTAAGGGCGTGGCAACGCCGTACCAGCGGACCTTCGATGAAGACGACGTCAAGGCTACCACTGACAAGGACCTCAAGAAACTGCGAGAACGCATGAGCTCGCTAGAACTATGGGATGCTTGGGACCCAAGTCGCATTAAGATTACCCCGGAGCGCATCTACACTATGGCATTCCACCCCACCACCACCAAACCCATTGTATTCGCCGCCGACAAACTGGGAAATCTAGGCATCGTCGACGCGTCTCAAACCTCTCCTCCATCATTGAAGGCCGAGAATGACGAGGATGATCCCGAAGAAGATGAGGCCGACCCCGAGGTCACACACATAAAACCCCACACGCGCACAATTTCTTCAATACATACGCACGCCAACAAGCCTGAGACCGTTTACACAGCGGCTTACGACTCATCCATCCGAGCTACAGATCTACAGAAAGGTGTCGCTGTGGAAGTGTACGGACCTGAAGACAAGGAAGAAGACGAGCCGATTTCAGGACTAGATATGTCCGCATCAGATCCGAATGTCGTGTATTTCACCACTCTCAATGGCAGCTTTGGACGATATGACCTGCGACAATCCCCCAGCACCGTGGAATTATATCAACTTTCGGAGAAGAAAATCGGCGGGTTCTCGCTAAATCCCGTCGCGCCGCACTACGTTGCAACAGCGTCACTAGATCGTTTCATGCGATTGTGGGATTTACGGAAAATCACTAAGAAATTGCCCGCGCTTGTTGGTGAGCATGAATCACGACTGAGTGTCAGCCATGCGGCTTTCAACACCGCTGGTCAAGTTGCCACCACTAGTTACGACGATACGATTAAAATCCATTCATTTGGCGTGGGGACTAGGTCTGGTGCAGATGCACTTGAAAACATGCATACGTGGAAGGCTGGAACGACCCTGGATTCGGACGTCATGAAGCCGGAGGTTGTTGTTAGGCATAACAACCAGACGTGAGTTTACCCATTCTTACTCATCATATGGTTTATCGAGTTGATGGACGGATACTGACTACATATGATAACAGAGGACGATGGGTCACCATTCTTCGACCCATATGGCAACGCTACCCAGAAGACAATATCCAGAAGCTCGTCGTGGGTAACATGAACCGGTAGGTGACGATCCATGTCTTTGCGAAGGACCAAGGCTTACTTTTCTTTCTTCTCCCTCACAAGCTTCGTCGACATTTTCTCCGCAGATGGAACTCAACTGGCCCAGCTCGGTGGTGAGGGAATTACAGCCGTACCGGCCGTGGCTGTTTTCCATCCCAATAAAGATTGGGTCGCTGCGGGCACTGCCTCGGGCAAATTATGTCTATGGATGTGAAACCTTTGATCAAGTCACTACTGAGTCCACAGTTTTGCGAGCAACAAATCTGTTGCTGACCAACATCACAACAAACAATCCGAGACCTCTGGTTCGTTGAAAATTTGTTCAATCTACTAATCATAGCATCTTCAAAACGCGGATGCATCCTATATCCAGAAAGATACGCTGCAATCTATAAACATACATCCAATGTCCTTAAAAACCGGTCTGGGAATCAGAGAATTTGCGATCATGCCCCTGGGGCCTCGAAGTAGCCACTTGAAAGCGACCTCCGTCAATGTTCAGATATTTCGTATTCATTCAGTCGTTTCGACTACCCAGGGTAACCACCACCCAAGTTACCTCGCCGGCGTCGTCTTTCAAAGGCGTCCAGTGAGACACGAATTTCTCGTAGCCCGCAAGGCGTCTGGTGGACAATGTTATCTCCATACTGATCGCATTCCCAGCCACGGTGGCAGACTTGATGCGTGTCTTGAAGTCTCCAGTGACTTTGTTGGGCGAGTAAGCAGACAGGAAATGGAAGACATCTGTTCCAACAATGGCGGGAACACCCTTGACCTGGTCAGACCCAAGCGGCTGGAGCATTGTGGTCATTTGTCTGGAATGAAACGAGATGCAGAAAGTCGTCATGTTTACCACGACAAACTTAAACGCAAAAGTTAGCTCTGGCTGCGGGATGATTCGTGTGGGAATCTATCATACCCTTGAGTACGCTGTATAAAGGGTGTCCTTTTGCATTTGGAGATTCATCTTGTCTGTCTCAATCTTGCTGAGAATCTCATCCTCCATGCCGGGCAATCGTAGACGACATTCCCGTTGGGGCTTGCCCCTCAAGGACGCAAACAACCGTTCCGTCCGTGTCTTCTGCTTCTGTGGCTCCTCAACGACCTGGGTTTCAACAGTGTCCGCATCTGAGTCGCCTGAAAGGGCCAGAATTCGCATCGCATCAGACGTGTGGTGGATTGTGGTCGAGCAATTGATCTGTCCGCCGAGAAAGAAGACAGCTTTCCCTGTGGCGTCAAGTAATGGGGTCATGTACAATAGATTCCAGAATGGCTCGCCGGATTTCTTCTGATTGAGGAGCAACTCGACCACTTCTTCACGGCCTTGAATTGCTCGACGCAGCCGCTCAACCGCCGCCGGATCCGTGCTACGACACTGCAAGAAGCGACAGTTGCGAGGAATGATGTCGTTGCGCGAATAGCCCGTTACCTTGATGAAGCCGTCTGAAGGGTAGACAATCGGGTTGTCGGCCCTGTTTGGACTTGTCAATACAAAACAATCTCCCAGCCCGGCATATTTGCTTTGATTGTCATTGCCCGCGCGTGTCTGTGCAAGTGCTTTACTCGCTGCGATGGTCATCTGGTGCCGTACAAACCTAGGATAGATGTCATCCGCGACAAGTCGTTCAATCGACCCTCGGCATTCGTCGAAAACTGACTCCAGTGTCGGCAATGCCGTTGTCAAAGCCGATTGCACGTCGCGATTGACCTTGCACAGCATGCTCTCTGGAATGTTGATCTGATCATCTGCACTCGTCGAGATGTATGCCCGCTGGATCTCAGACATGGCCTTTGCAACTTCTTTCAATAGGCCATTGTACCGATCGACTTGTTCTAGAAACTCCAAGTTTTCGCCACATAATCTGCTTTTGCTGAACCTGTATAATTGATGAGAGATGGTTGGGTCATGCAGTACCATTTGCAAAACATCGGTACCGAAAAAGTCTGCTAGTCTTGGGGTCGAGTGTGCCGTTGTCGAAGGATGATTGGAACCGCGTGAAACAGAGCTAGAGGATGTTGAGGGTGCATATGAAACACGCTTTAATTCGACTCCGTGGAGGGTGGAATCACTCTTTCCAATGTTCTTAAGAACTTCTTCGACGTTCTTCGTGTGTCTGCCTTGAAACTCCATGTTATTGTGTCCATTCACCTAATATTTGCCCGTCAAGTACTGTCGACCGTTGATTGTATGATTGTATGACTGTATGTTGATCAGGGAAGTCAGGTCGACTTTTGTCGCTGTCCAATGAGACCCTGGTTCACATCTGTGGGGTTGGGTTGAATCTGATCTGATCCGACATTTTTGGACCCCATCTGTGCACGTTGATCGAAACCGAGATCTTCGTAGGAACAGTTAGTAGCTCCATCCAATAAAATAAAGTATATTGTAACTAGCGAAACATTACTCTGTACTTTCATCGTTCCAAAGGCGGTCAGAGCGCGCCTCTGCCACCGGTGTGACCTTTTGTTGGCCTGTGCCACAAGAATCTATCAGATTTCCACAAGGTTGTGACGTATGGTTGATCAACATTTTTTGCGGACAGTGACAGTCTTCGGGGTCCTTGGGGCATGCAAAATGTTAACGGTTGCGGGTCCGCTCTTCTGATTGTGGCTTCTGAAAAATGCTTATTGCAACTCAATTCCATGCTTACTGATAGTGAACCAGACATGAAGGTTTGTAGAGCTCAAAACTGTAACTGAGGGTCAGGAAAGGAGGAAAGCATGGGTGCGAGACGGGTGTGGATGCAATGTATGCTGAGAGAGGCTGTTGTCCAGCGTTCATGAGTAAAGAGAGCAAGAAAAGATGATCTCCAGGATGCATCTCGACGCTGCCGCAACGGCTGTCAAACAAAGTCAATCACTGTGAGATGTGAGATGGAAAGTTTGATAGATCGGTGGGTATTGTCATGCTATGTGGTCAATATTATACCCAGATGTGATAATTCCGCACAGAGAATCACACACGCCAACGCTTGCAATTCCCAGACACGGTATTTGATGCCAGACAACTGCGACTAGGGGTGTTAAGAAGTCACCCCGCGTCCTTTGCCTCGAGACGCCTTAGGCTGTCTCTTGAACCACGGTGGGTCCGTGAATAGGAATATCCTCTGAAGTCTTACGATCTGGCCCTTAATCCAATCAAGCTGACCTTCGCGCAAGAAGAACGGAACTGCGTCGTCCTCGGGCTCGGCCAAGCGGTAGAGGGCCACGAGCTTTGGATATATAAACCAGCCTGATGTCGCCGCGGCCATTGAAGCGTGATCAGACATGAGACTTGGCAGTTTCACATTCAATCCCGTCTCGGGGTCGCTCTTGAAACTGAATGGATAGTTGATCCGGTCGCAGTCGAGCGGGTTGGTGAGAACCACTGTATCACCTAGATGAAAAGGCACTGAGCTGACCACCTTGTCGGCAAAATCTTGGATCTTGATGTCGGTCTCGGTGAGAAGCGTCCGGTATTTGGATTCTAGTAATAATGTAGGCTCGTCGGCGAGTGCCTGCCGGATCAGCTGTAATGCGCAGATGTTGCGGACTGCATACGTGTTCGACAGATTGCCCAACACGAGATTGTCCCAGACGGAGCAGTGATCCCCATACAAGCCAGCGGATACGATCGATGGCAACACCGATTGCCGTGGAACATGGAGCTCTCGTAATCCTGACCTGGCCGAATGCGAGCTCCAACTCTCAAAGATTTCGAGAACATGCACGGCCTTCGCGATGGTTTGTTCGTAAAATGCTCTTCGTTGTAGTGTGGTACGTCGGTATCTCTTCTCTCGAAAAGTCCAGAGATCGCCTTGTACTTGGACTAGCGGCAATGATGCCATGTCAAGACTTCCGGCTGGGGCAGAGGAGGTTTCAGCGCGTTCGAGGATATGGACTTCGGCTGGCGAGAAGGATAGCCTTCGAGTCAGATAATGATTCAGCAGAGAATTGCGCACTGTGTCGAGCAGAGAGCTGGCCTGGAGGCTCTGATGGTTCACCGAGCCTCGGTGGTTGACCAGGGCAAGAGCCCCGCGCTTGTGTGTGCCGTGGCTATATGTACCTGATCCGTAATGCAGAAGAAGATCATCGTAAAGGTCGAAGACGAGGATGGTCATGAGAAGTTCGTCGGACAGACTTTCCACGGGATCGACCACGGCATGACGGGTTGCGGCGATGGCTTGTAGGAACAAGCTCCGAGGGAGTTGAGTATCGCAACCCTGATAACTCCACATCATGCTAATGTTGACACTCACAGCCGCAGTGGCCAGTCGCAATGGAGAGTCTTCCATCGAATTGTGATATGAGGGCTGCCATGTTTGATTGAAACCCAGTCGACTGGGCGCGCCGGTTTTTCTTCCAACATAATGACGAAAGAAGAAGCCGACTGCTGCGTCGCAACCATTCGGTTGAATGTGGACAGGGATGAGATACGGCGTAACTTCAAAGGCACTCGCTATTGTCGTCATTCTTGATTCTGGTTCAAGTGAACTGTTTGAGCCAGGCGTCTGTTCACGCGATGCGCGATCATCTCGGCTAGTTTTTACTGTGTAGGGTATCCACTGAAGCTGGTTGCCGGTGAACGTATGAGTAGCGGCAGGTGAAGAATTGCTAGTCGCGGACGACGAATCTACGCTCGAGGGAGATCTGGCTCTGAGTGTTAGGGCGGTCAGTGTTGGTGGATTAGACGTTGACTTGGTCCGCTCGGTCGATTCATCTGTATCGGGACTACTTGGGTCGGAGCGCGTCTTCCGTGACGATTCCCGGACCACTCGCTTGCCTTTTCCTGCTTTCCTAAGGACTATTTCATTCTGTGACCTGTGAGCGCCGTCGAAGACGTCGGCGTACCCTGGACACTCTTGTCGCCGTCTGGTGCAGTTGTTACAAGCAGGCTTGGTTTGGTCACACTGTGCACAGTTAAAAGGATGACCTATACAAAGTTGACTTGGGAGCGCAAATATTACTTTAACTCTTCGTGTTCGACACGACCTACAACCTAGACTAGGCCCGTTGTAGACCATGTTTCGAAGTTGCGATTTGATTCTGGCTCGGTGGAATCTGCGTCTGAGCTGCATCTGCGTCGCCGACCATGTTTGACTTCCATATCATCACATCGTGATATATAATTCAGGCCAATTCAGGCAGCGGCATTCTGAGACGCTATGTATGATATTCAATGCCTCAGCCTGAAGAGCGATGTCGTGGCCGTGTGAGGGTCTCACCTTGATCTGGCCGGATTTGTAATGGCGCGAAGGACGCCAAGGCAACAAGAGGACGCCTCGGGGCCGAGATAGATAGACATTCCTTAGCATGAGTAGAAGCAATGTCAAAGTTCGGCCGTGACGGGGCCTGAAAAGATAGACCGAAGCTTCCCCATGTCATCATGGAACTTGGGTTGGGGAAGGGCCCTTTGGGTAGAAAGTCACAGCCTCACAGCGTCATAGCCATAATATACGTGCATGGTAATCGAGCATCATACAGCAGGATGCAGTCACTATCTTGTACTGTACATGGAAGAAAGCAGCCTGCGGCCGGATGGCGTGGACGGCCAGGGGTCTCACTCTCCCCTCTCTTCAAACAAGTCCACGGATACGCAATGAAAAAAATGTCAGAGCGTTGTCCCCATGGAATCAATTTGTGGTGGACTCTGTCGCAAGAAGGTATTGAAAGAGGTTTAGCGGGTGGACGGCTAGTCTGGTGCTGCGCCTCTTAGGGTCGTGTGCGTACGGAGTAGTCTCCTTGTACCCGCCGCCAACATGTACTTATGACGATGCATTGGTCAATTTTATCATGATCGAGACAGGCAAATTCCGGAATTGGCCCACCAAAGCGATAGTGCGGCGTTGCACGTGTTAAAACATGAGTATTGGGAACTCTTATGCCTCTAGCAGTGGGAAAAAATAACCCCAGGACGTGGATAAGTGGTGGACTGGCGGCTCAGGCAACCAAGATACCGAACAATGATATTGGCTCCTACCCGACACGCCCGAAAGAGTGGATTCATATGACGCTAGCGCAATATCTAACTGTGTTAATACTAGCCTATTAACCTTATCATACTCTATTTCCTTTCTTGGCTCGCAACACGTTACAATATACGATTTACGAAAAGTCGAGGACCACGCCACACACAGACCTCTGGTCTCTGCATGCCCCTGGACTTTCCATGGCTCCCCTATTTAAATGATGCATAAAAATGATGGTGCCTACAAAAGCCAAGACAAGCCTTGATGTTTTGACTCCCCTGAGCGTTTCGCGCTCGCGCATCACACCAAAGATGCGGCCCACACAGCCCACAGGCCGTTGAAATTCATCTCGGGCCAGCCTCGTGAAAGGCCTTCCGGGAAATGATTGGGCCTGCTTAGAAGGCTTTGGAATTCTTGGTGCCTGACTTCTGCACCAACATGGAGTGTTTTCTCGATTCGGGGTGTGACGCGATTCGTCAACCTCTGGCCTGTCCGTTCAAATCTGGAGTGTTTTGCGACATCATGGAAGGCTGAGCCCATCTGGTTGATCCTTGCGATCCAGTTTGACTGCCCCAGACCTGATATGCTCTTTTCATAGCAACGGAGGGATGGAGCTCCATCGACTATTAATGACGGCTAGACTCCTTCATCTTTGCCCAGACTGATATCTTTGTTCTCTCACTTTCCGACACAACAGAGTCATCCAATTTGGTCATTTGGTATCATTGTTTTCGCCTTTTGCTGTTCTATTGTGTTCCCTTGTACAACCTTGAGCCGTTCTTCCCAACACCCCAGACAATTATACGCCCAGCGCACCACTCCATTCTATCAACATGTCTCAAGCAAATTGCACCGAGCTCACCGACGTGTGTACTTTCGAAGTTTCCGTGTACGGCTACCAACCAAGTCTCCCAGCCAATGCGGCTCTTCTTGCAATATTTGCACTGTTCGCGATCGCCAATGTTGTACTGGGGATTCGATACAAGACATGGACGTATATGATTGCGGTCAGCCTGGGGTGTCTGGCGGAAGCCATCGGATACGTTGGCCGGCTGATCATGCGAGACAACCCATTTGCCGATGGCGGCTTCATCACCCAGATCTGTTGCTTGATCATCGCCCCCGCCTTTAACTCGGCCGCCATATATTTGGTCTTGAAGCACGTGGTCTTGTGCTTTGGCGAGTCTGCATCATACATCAGGGCTCGATTTTACACATACATCTTCATCGCCTTTGACATCCTTTCCCTCGTCCTACAGGGTGCTGGAGGTGGCATCGCATCGACGGCAGACGACGAGGCATTTCGAGATATTGGAGATGGACTTATCATGGCTGGCATTGCTTGGCAGGTGGCTGCGCTGTCCATGTTCGCCATTGCAGCAGGAGTGTACGTCTTGCGTCGAAAGAGGGCCATCCCTAGAGAGCCCCTTAGCGAAGAGGCCGTGGCCACTCTGAACGATACCAAGTTCCGACTTTTCATTGCAGGCGTTTTCACGGCTTGGTTCACCATCTATATCAGATGCGTCTACCGAATCGTCGAGATGGCAGGAGGGTGGGGAAATTCCGTTATGCGACACGAGAGTTCATTTATCGTTCTCGAAGGAGTGTGAGTTCTGCTAAAACATAAGATGGTATACAAGATAACTGATGCCTCTCTCTAGGATGATTGTCATTGCGGCAGGTTGTCAAACGATCCTCCACCCCGGCTGGGGATTCCCTCGTCTTTCTGGATGGGGTGACAATCGCGCCACCACCTATATCAAATCAAGCGAGGAAACATCTATGGAAGAGCTGAGGGCCAGATAGAGGATGACCGTTTGAATAAGCCATACTGTCGACAGGTCACCAAAAGATGATGGGAATTTATAGGTCACAATGTGGGTGTCTCATCATAGCTCAGAATATAGAAATGGAGGACGGAGTCGTGACGAATTTGCTTGTGAGGACATGTACATGGGTGGGAAGGGCTTCTGGCTCAGTGGTGTATAGCGATGGTAGGCGCCTGGGCGTCCTAAAAGAAAGTAGGGCTGGATATTTAATTGCTTTATATAGATAGTGTCTGTCTTGATACAGAGCAGATATGGAATTTGAATTTCAGATTGATTTGGAACAGGAATATGGTCGTATAAGAGTTGAATTCACATGCACACCTGATACAGATTGCTCGTCGCTGGCACTTGATCGGGGGTACTTGTCACCAGGGAATGAGACCTTCTAGAACCTACACATGGAGAGCCGGAGAGCCTGGAGCAATATTAATAAGAGTCTAGATACGTGTATTCTGGGAACACTCATCAACACACAACAGAACATTTGGTCCAAGAGATTTGGCGGGCGGCGCAATGAAAGCTCCCTCGATTAGCTCGCCAAGGTGCCGAATAGCCAATGGAGTAGCTTAGTTTTGGCCTTGGCTTTACCGGCTGTCTACCGACTCTCGGTAAGTAAGTAGTACCTAATAACTGGGCTAAGTAGATTTACTTAGGTGGCCGAGGGGCTAGCTACCTTAACCAAGTCATAGGCATACATGCATGTGAGGGCGACCCCCCCGGCCCAAGGAACCTGGTGAGTATGCTTGGAGGGGGACATTGGGCGGCAGCCAGCCAGTGTAGCAGCCCAAGACGCCCATTTCCGAGGAATGTGACACGCCACCATACCTAAGTAGTACCCATGCCCAACAGTCACCACTCCAATAATAATTCCAAGTAAAAGTAAAGAGGGACAAAGGGACATCAACCCCACCATGACATGATCAACCATAGCCGTGAAGAACCAACCAAGATCATCACCACCATCACAATAACCACAACCACAAACACTCACTCGCTTCTGTTGTTGCTCGCCCCAATTCATCCAACTTTTGACAACACAAACCCACCAGAGTCCTTGATCTTTTTGTCCATCCTGACTCAACTCATCTCCACGCTTGTCAACGTGCATCGTGCATCGTGCATCGGTCACCTTACCCTCTCCTTACACTCCCCACGATCAGATCACATCTTTTGCACCTACGGATCTCTTCCTCCTCTGACTTCAACCACCACCACTTTTCGCCGCGCACCTCATCACCTACCTGTGTAGGTCAGCCTCATCACCTCTTCACATCCAACATCATGTCTTGGCAAGGTAAGTGATAATGACACCCGTCAGAATCTCTGTCGCTGACCATCACGTCCTTTAGCATACATCGATACGAGGTACATCCCATCCCGCCTTCCTTTCACCCCGCAACCAACACTCTCACCTCACCTCATCCGCGAGTCACATTGCACAAAGCGCTAACTGATTCCTCAGTCTTATCGGCTCTGGAGATGTCGATCAGGCTGCCATCTTCAACAGCGAAGGCACCTCGGTATGGGCGACCTCGCCAGGATTCAGCCTGAGCCCCACGGAGCTGCAAGAAGTTGTTGGCGCCTACAAGGACACATCGGAGCCCAAGAAGGTACAATCCACGGGCTTGCACATTGCAGGCCAGAAGTACATTGTCATCAAGGCGGACGATACTAGTCTCTATGGAAAGAAGGTGTGTCTATTCACAACATCCACATACGTGCATCAAGCGCCCTCCCTCGGAAATACCACCGACACCCTCAATTATGTTGAATTCCAAATACCAAGAGCTAACCGGTGATAATTTGATGTCTAGGGCCGATCAGGCGTCGTCATTGTCAAGACAAAGCAAGCCCTTCTCATCGCCCACTACCCAGAGACAGTACAACCCGGTTCTGCTGCCAACACGGTCGAGAAGCTTGGGGCCTATCTCGTGAGCGTGGGCTATTGATTTCAAGTTCGAGCATGGGTTGTGACATGGTCGCCCTCGTCCTGGCCATGCACCCCACATTTACGCAGTCATGTCAAGTAGAAACAACCCCCAATATGAACAAGTGAACCAACAAAAAAAGATTTCAATTTCAAACACACACAATGGAGTGGGTTTTGGTCTGGTGCCAGAAATTGATAGATGGAATAAACTGGTACACATGATACTCCTGAAGTTGCTGGGCCTCTTCCTTCCCACACTCTTGTTCTATCTTGTGAAAATTCTACGACTGACGACATAACTGGAATCGACGTCACATGCTGAAATTTGACATTGACATTGCTCTTTGAAATCTGTCTGAACTCCGAAACCTGTTTTTGCGATGACCACGGCCACCACCACTAACACCAGCTATCACCTCGTCAAGCCCACAGTCCCCATCATTATCATCACCATCATCGTTATCAGGCCCAGAGGAGGGGATGGAAATGTTTGATTGAAGTTTCCTAGTCCATCCCATCGAGCCGAATGTCTTTGTGATGGCGATTGTTTCCTCCTTTCATAGAGTAGTATTGCTGTTTGCCTAGAGTCGATCCAATCTGATCACTCAACATAGAGTCACCTCACGTCAACTATCAGGCAGGGGAGGCAGGCCAGGTAGACAAGGGGAAAGATAAAAGTGGCCTCAAGAAGATGGTGTTGGAATCGAGTCACACAGACCATTGCCCCGTGCCCTAGTCTGCATCTGCTCGGTCTAGCCTGTGTGTATGTGTCACCGCCAATTCTCCCGTCCTTTCTCGAACGCGCCGAGCTATCTCCTGGATCAAGAACCGCCCCCATGAAAGCCGTAATCCCATGCAGTGTCTTGAAAATCCTCTCTTTATGGATTGCATGACGTCTGACTGATTGAACGACATGCGACATGCTTTGGTTCCGCGCAAAACGTTCATTAGTATATGCCACGACGAGAAGAAAACATCGAAGCCTCGTCGTCGAGGTTTAAAAAAGATTTGTGCTCCTGCCTTCCCTTGACTTGATCGCAAAAAAGGAACCAATTCAACGTCTTCGACTTTAACAGCACTTTCCACCAGTGCCGGCTCCCGAACCCTGGGCGACGTTAACGCCGCCGGCCCCTGCACCGCCGCCAGTGCTGGCACCAGCCTCTTTCGAACTGTCAATTAGACGCTTCTTGATGTCGCTGGCTAATGAGTAAAAAGCCTTTTCAATGTTGATGTTGGACTTGGCCGAAACCTCGAGGAAGGGAATGCCCAATTCGTCCGCCAGCGCTTGTCCTTGTTCTGTTGATACCGCTCGCTTTTCTGCCCAGTCGCATTTGTTGCCAATCAGAATCTTGTTGACGCCTTCGCTTGCGTGTTGTTCGACATTGGAGAACCATGTCCGAATATCTGTTCCACGGCAGTTAGTGGCGCTAGTCTCTCAGTCTTTCATGGGGTTGTCAGATCATACTGTTGAAGCTCTTTTCATCCGTCACATCGTACACCAGAAGAATACCCATCGCGCCCCGGTAGTAGGCCGTGGTGATTGTCCGGAAACGTTCTTGTCCAGCAGTATCCCATATCTGCAGCTTCACTCGTTTACCATCCAGGTCGATGGTTCGTATCTTGAAATCGATGCCGATCGTCGTGATGAAACTTGGGGTAAAGCTGTCTTCGGAAAAGCGTAGTAAACAGCATGACTTGCCAACACCCGAGTCACCAATGAGGAGAAGTTTTATCTGCGACACAGAAATTGGTTAATGATTTGCCATGGAAAGACGACGAAGCGAAAGGAGGAAGACGACGAGCTGGTAGTGGCGGTGGCGGGACCCCGGCAAGGAGGGTAACTCACGAGGAAGTCGTAGTTCCGTGTGCCTGCCATTGCGAGAAACTTGGATTGCGCAGGCAAATATGCAGGCGACCAAGACCAAAGTCACAGATAGTCGATTTACAGAGACTCAGATGTGTGTCTGACGTCTGTCGTTACACTGTCCTGGGTTGGACTTCTTTGAGGGTGTGGGTAGTTTGGACGTAGTAGGCGGAGTGGAAGATGAAATCGGCGGCTAAGGGATCGAGGGGATATCACTATACGGTGATGTTTTATGCAGGTGAGGATGAGGACGGAGATACTTAAAGAAGATGCTGAACGTTGAGAGGGAAGTGTGGGATGATGAAGAGGGTTACCTGCGGCTCTCAGGTTTGAAAGATGTTGGTAGATTAATCACGGGGCAGAAAAGACGGTTTCTTGGATGGTGGCTCAGTCGATACCTAAAGTCACAAAGGCTACCTATGATCTAGGTTAGGAGGCACGGGAGGGCAGTTGGTTAGGTACCTAGGCAGGCAGGAGATGATGATGTTTGATGCGCTGGTGGCGGTCTAACCACCTAAGTAGTAATAATGACGGTCTACTTAGTGGGTGATTTGATAGGCGGACAAGTCCCTAGCCAGGGTTGGGCTTCACGGAGATAGTGGTCATTCTTCAGGCTTCTTAGGCGGCAGCGAACAATTCCAGGCACACCTATGGGACGCAACCGGGAACCGAGGTCGACTGAGCTTCCTCTGCCAGGCCAAAAACTATAGGACTTGTTGGATGGAGGGGATACATGATGGCTGGGGTTTGGCCAGGACCTTCTGACCTCCCATCTTTGTCACCTAATCTATTCCATCATAACTTGTTGACCGCCGTTAGATCCTAGCGGCGGGCAGTTGACTTTTGACAGTACTTGTTGGTGGCGCCGAATAGCCGTGCTTGTTTGGGGGAAGTGGCTGGTAGTGCACCATGGCAAATAATCATTCCCCCTACAACTTTTGTTCGGAAGACCATAGCTTCTTATGACGCATTCTCGACGTCATTGTCTTCAACAACAATTCTTCCACTTCTCCCACGCCAGGACCAAAGTGTTCCTCCAAGAACCTGTTACGCCTGTGTAATTTTGACGCAAGCTCTAGGTCCATTCGTTCTTTGTCTTGGACATGCTCTTCTTTCTCCCCTGCATCTCCTAGCCCCCTTCGCTTAGCTAGCCCCTGCCTTTAACCCTCCCCTCTTCATCAACATCCGACTCGACCATGTTCTTTCGACAAGGCTAGGTTGAAGTCGCCGTCAAGAGCCTCATCTCCTCCTCAGACGCCGTGAGACTTTGGCCCTACGCCCATCTGTCGAAATGTCCTTCATTGACGAGTAATACGATTCATCCATATAGACACAGGAAATTAGGCCTCTAACATAGTTTCAATAGTGATGTTCGACGTGTCGATGCCATCTTGGACAAGTTCCAACTGAATGAAGCCCAAGAACGGTCCGTCTCAGCCGGTGCTCTGGCCGTGGACACTCCGGCTCCTCCCCAAGAAGATGCTCGAACCCTCCAGTTGAAAGCAGTTATTAGAGCCCTCTCCACCACCTCAAGTTCAAGACCCTTATTGCGCCGCTCAAAGGTTCGCGAGTTTCTGGTGCAGGTTGCTAAGAAGAAGGGACAATTGTCGACGGAAGAAGTGTCAGTGGACACCTCCAACCTAGAATGGATAGCTGTAGGCAAGGCCACCATTCAGGTTTATGGCTCGATCCTCAATTCCCTGTTGGACCGCACAATTCCCTTGAGTGAGTCTATCTGGTACTGGGATGACGTACTGTCCTCATATACAAATACCGCACTCTACACCTTTCAGATGTCCCCCATACGGCTGTGGAAACAGTCCAAGGAAGTGTACGCCGACGCTCGGCAACGCTTTAGCTCTGGGTCGAACTTGAGGGCGTCCGCACAACAAGCCACTTGGTCTATCTCGCAAAGTTGGCAGGAGTTTTATAGACTCGTCAGACGCAGCATCAAGGAACGATCTCTTGCTCATGCTCAAAGCCGAATTCTCTCTCCATTCTCCATTGCTCGAATTCAGATCCGACAGAATTTGAACCAAATTACCACTCTACGCAAGACAAGTGCTTGTTCCATTGGCCAATTGGTGCGTGAATGTCTGGTATTTGATGGTGCGCCAGAAGATCGCAAACACGGCGCCTTGCCCCAGTATTCAGCTGCGGAAGAAGAAGACTGGCAAACAACCATTGCCAAGACCGTAAATCTTCTCGCAAATGCGACGAGAGGCGAAGAAGAACACCGAGGTCATGATTCATTAGACCCCAATACTGCCTCGAGTGTCGAAGTTGCTCACGCTCTCATCAAAATCCTTGACACCCACCTTCCTCAGCAAGAGCATAACGCCAATCTCAGGAGAGAACAATACGGCAAGCCTTCAAGATTGATTCGGTACTGGATCCCCGCCGTTGGACTGCTCCTATCTGGGAGCACAATCCTAAGGATATTATCCAACAGGAGAGCGGAAATTGCGCAATGGTTCCGAGATCTAGGCCAGACAGCAATCGACTTTTGGGCCAACTGGGTGGTGGAGCCTGTCACCAGACTGATTGGAACCATTCGGCACGATGAGACTAGTGAAATAGCCATCCAGAGCAGAGACAGTTTACAGGCCGATCGGGACAGTCTGGAACGCATGGTGGTTGACTTTGCGGTACAACATCCCGAGAATGGAACAGCTTTCACTGCGTCTCAAATCAACGAGATTCGCGCCAAAGTGAAGCAAGGTGATCTAACCCCTGTGCTCAAAGCATACGAACGGGAGATGCAGAGCCCTATCAAGAACGCCGTGGCAGGCAATCTGATCCGAACTCTTTTGATCCAGGTTCAGAAAACCAAGGTTGATGTCGAGGTTGCCATTGGTGGAATCGACTCTCTTTTGAAAAGTCAAGAACTCTTATTCGGATTCGTGGGCATTGCACCAGGTGTCGTGATCTCTTGGGCCTTGTTTTCCTGGGTGGCAAACACATTCGGTGGTCGAAGAGGCCTCAAGCAAGGACAGAAGAAAGGCGAGGCACTTCGATTGATTCGGTACATACCTTTCTTCTTCTTTTGAGTCTTTTCCAGACCCCAGCAAACTAACATAAGAACAGCAACATTGACCGGACCCTGACCAACTCCGACCTCGACGATGAAGCCATAATCTCCGAGGAGAACCATGGATTACTTTTATGTGAAACACATCTTTTACGACAGCGGGCTGCTCTCGTCTTGCCAAAAACCGTCCGGAGAGAGTTTCTGGAAGATTTGGATGATCTACTCGATGTCAAGGGTGGAGTTCATCGACAGATCAATACACTTCGCAGGATAGAATGGGCGTATGCTAAGTGGCTGCAATGAGTAATGAGCATAGAGCCACCTTGATACTACCTAGGTCTATACGAATACGCTTTGAAACTAGATCTCCCTTCCAAGCGTGATCTCTTCTGAGCAATTGTGTTTGATATCTGAGAGCTTGGAGCAGATATAGAGTAGAATCTAGACCATGTAGTCTGAATTACAAGATAGTGTTTACATCATGATGCTACAAACAAATAGCCTCGGCCACCACAATTTCTCCTCACGGCGGCCGTCAGAATAGCCGGCAGGACCAAATACATACGGAGTAGTATAGTCTAAGTAATTTGATTGATATCAGGCTTCAAGGACCAGTCAAGTGACCAGGTGATATACAACCAGCTCATTGAAAGAATACGAAACCATCTCACCCAAGTAAGTCGCCACCAGGGAATCAGCATCAATCATCAATCATCAATCATGTCAGTCGATTCCGAGGACGCAAAACCACCGAGAATGAAACTCATTTACCACCCTCGTTCACCATTTGCACGGATGGCCTACATCATGGCAATCGAACGGCACATGTCGGAACTCGTCTCGTTCCAAAAAGTCGTTGTCGCACCCGTCCAGTACGAAGGCTGGAGCACACACAATGAACTAGTTGGCAAATACAATCCTAGCAACAAGATTCCCTGCCTGATTCTAAACCCAAACTCGGGCAATAACGACAGTACCAGCGACATCTCCACCGAACAAGCCATCTTCGACAGTCGCGTCATCTGCGAATACTTTGATTCTTTCAGTCCAGAATACTCCCTCTCCCAAACTAATCACGCATCTTTCTTCAGCGACAAAACCCTCCTCGCCGCCGTGAATGGCGGCATCGATGCCGAGATCCTCGTCGTTTACGAAGAGAGACTTCGTGCCGAGAAAGGAATCCTCTATCCTGAATGGGTCACCGGTATGAGACAGAAAGTCTTCCGTGCGGTCGACTATCTCGTCCGTGCGGTTCAGACTGGACGGTTGAGGGTTCGAGGACAGAATCAATCGGTTAGTACCGGTGAGGTTGGAGCGGCTGTTTTCCTGGCATTTCTTGATGCGAGAGGGTTGGAGTGGAGGAAGAGGAGAGATGGGTTAGGGACTTGGTTTGATGAGACTTGGGTTAGGAGGGTGAGTTTTGTGAATACAGATCCTGGTGCTGATGATTGGGTGTCTGGCGTGCCTGGGCCGCTGGGGAGGAGTCATCTATAGGACTTGATGGTGTAGAAGTTGGCAAGTACTTACTGTAGATCAGTTCGGTTTATGAATGGATGAAGAAGGGATCTCTGGCAGCTCGGTAGGCAATGATAGCGGCAGAGGAAGGAGATCACCCATGTGAATGGTACAGCCTTGCAGACAACAGCACTCTAAACCAGATGTTGTCAATTCCGAAGTAAGATACCTATCTTCCCGTTCGAATGATCAGTTCCATGTGCTCAAGTCCTAAACCCACATCAGATTCAAGTCCTGTGAGCAACGATGGTCAGCAGACCGCCCATTCATGTGCATGCATGAGACTTCGAGATAGAACCCCCGTAGTTGTTGTAGTCGTAGTACCCGCCTCTCTCATGAGGTCACTTCGACATCCTTCTTGGGTATTTTCAGCCCTAGCATCTTACTTTATTCCTCAGTGAGTCTCCAATTTTGCCGCGTCCGCAAGCTGTTCCAAGGACCCTTCCTTTAGCGCTTCCTTAGGTGTATAAGGAGATGGTTCCAAAACCTCCCAGGGAGGGAGACAAGGAATACCACAAGCAAGGCCTTCCTTGTCTTCTTCCTTCGGTGCATGCTTGTGCTCTTCCTTATCTTCTTCCTTGGGCGCCAGCTTATGCTCTTCCTTGTCTTCTTCTTTGGACGCTTCTTTGGATAGATCAGGAGTAAGACCAGCGGGTCCCAAAGAAAAATGGCAACCAATACCAAAGCCAGACACTTTCTTGTCTTTCTCCTGAGGAGCTTTCGTATCTTCTTTCTTGGCCGCTTGCTTCAGTTCTTCCCCAGGACTTTCCATTTCCGCAACTTGTTCCTTCAAGTCAATAATCCCCTCATGAGCCTCCGTACTGACTGGAATATCCTTGTCGCTCGAATGATCATCCACTTGACTTTGCTGGCTTTGGAGTAATTGTTCACTTTCCTCATCGAAATTTGGAATTTGAGGATCCAGGACTTCCACGTATTTTTCTGGACATTTCTCCGTGACCATATTGAGAAAGTCGTACACGTCCTGCTGAGCTGTCCCGGGTGGTGGAAGGAATTTGGTGCTCGACAAGACCTTCCATCCTGGAGGAACATCAATTTTGGACAGGATGTCCTTCAAAGCTTCAGCTTCCATAGTAGCTTGCAAGTCCGCATGCCACTGTTTGAGGAAAGATTTCAAACGCCCGTTAGAGGCACCCTCGGAGCTTCTCACTCCGGTGAGCGCTGCAAATAGATGGAAATACGCTGCCTGGTCCTCATTGCTTCGATCAGGATGAGCACTACACATAAACTCCTCTGCGTCGTCTCGAAGCTTGCGGAGATTTTCTTTGTCTTTAATCAATTCCATGTCATTGAGCACTGTCACCAGACCACCTCGTTCTTCGGCTTCTTGGTTAAACGTGTCCGCTGTCATGGTCCGAACATTTACGCCCTCTTGGTTGAGCTTTTCAAACAAGGCTGCGACGTCTTTGCCAATGAAGGTGCACATTCTGAATATGTTGTTGCCAAGATCAATCAAGATCCAACCTCCGTAGGACTTTTCGCAGTAAGTGTTATTCTTTTCTGGCGGAAACGGCATGATCGCCCTCCCTGAGTCCGGCAGACGCCCGATGGCTGCGTAGGCCACCAGTAGCTCCATATCAATTGCAAAGAATCTCAAATTGCGGACCGAGACCTGCGAATGATTAACGAAAATGATGGGTTTACGATCGTGAAGAGCACACTGAAGAACATAGTCTGGACTGAAAGGCGCAACCTTGATATAAGCAGTGTACGGAGCAGGCGGGGGCTTATTGGTTTCGAGAGGGCTCTGGAGAGATTCGCAGTCTCGATAATGCAGCCGATACCTGGAGAACATGGGTTCTCTGCACATTGGGCATGTAATGGCAAGAGGTCCACGACATCCTCTTGTGCCTTTGTTCAAATGAAACTCCAGTTCCAACCACTGGAGAAAGCAGGACGCAGGCCAAGCGTTGTTACATGAGCCGTTGGCGTGGACAATAATTTCACCGTCTTCGCCCATGTCACCGTAACACCATATACAACGTGAATGCTCACGTGGTCCACGGCCCCGTTGGAGTTTCCACGAGGTCGAAAGGAGGTTGATGAGGCGGATGAGGTTCATAGCCTTGGATCGGTCGAAGCCGGCGTGCTCAGGAGGCTCGTCCGTGATGGGAGGCGTAAGTAGGTTGGTATCCATGGCTAGATTTAGGATTTGGGCACAATTGAAGATTGCTAGTCGGAGGCGATTATCAGGTGTCTGTTGGCAGAAACAAGTCTTCCGTCTCAGGACGGACCAAAGATGGGTAATGCGAGCAAGAGAGAGAGGTATTGCCGACCTTCAAGAGTAGATGAAGTTGAGATCTGAGATGGTGATAGAAGGAGGTGGAAGAAGCGAGTGAAGGTGTTACATGGATAAGAGGTTGTTATAATAAGTGGTTGAATGAACAGGAGACTCTGATGTCCACGTGGGAGCAGCAAAGGTCGATTTGTTTTGTACAACCCACCTTGAAAGGGAAGGAACAGCCCACTTTGACGATCTGGCAACAACCCCTGACGATTGGGAGGCGCCTGCTTCCTGAATTTCTTCTGAGAAACCTGATTTATTGGTCAACACTTGACGAGTAAACACGGAGAAACAAAAACACAATAGATAGATGGGTGCTAGGAGGCTATTTTGCTGCTAATCCATGTTACTCAGAGACCAATGGAGAACAACCTAAATTAACTCGAGCGGTCTGGGCAACCAGATACTGCAGATGGCGTGAGTGCTGGCCATCGTCCAAAAAGTCAAACCGCCCCAACGCCTGCCTCATTTGCTGAGTCCAGAGTCTGCGAAATATGCCACGCTGCTCCAATCATTGAAAATGCAGTGCTGAAACTCATTAGACGAACTGCAAAGCAAGCCTCTTAACTCATGCCTCCTGTGGCTTCCATGATTCAACGAATGAGATCAGAACCTTGAACCCATGCCAGCAATGCTGCCATACCTTCAATGTAACCACCTCACCACCACTTGCAGCTCAATACTTCCCCGGCGTATCAATACCCATGCATGCTGCCCGGTTAGCAAGGCATTGAGACCTAGTGGTCATCAAGAAGAGGAGCGCGTTCACGGTCCTCACCGACAACAGCACCTTCTTGGCGTGCTTCCCTGCCTTGGCCAAACCATTGTGGGGCTCCAATGAAGAGAGAACCGAAGAAGAGTAGTACAGCAATAATAAAGGCAAAGATCCATTGGAATGCAATCACATGCGTCTCCAGCTGGGCAATGGCAAGAGCTGTGCACTGGCATCAGCATGGTTTCGACGAGAGGTAGTGATCGGTGGCTTACCTAGCGCGAGGATTGACAGCTCGATGCCAATAGTATAGTCCTTGTATGTGAGTAGGAAAAATGCCCCCAAGACGAGGATGCCCCAGATGAAGATATTGGCCACAATTCTCGCAGGGAGACTCCTTGCATTGACTGCTGCAGCCCCGTTCCAAAGAATGGCAATATAAGTCCAAGCAAGAGGTGCCGAGACGATAGGGATATGAACAAAGCGTGGAGTGGTGGGATGGCGGAAGTAGAGGAGGGTCAGGTTGAAAAGGTTGACAATGAGGAGGATTTCACCCTGCCAGAAAAAGCCGCGGACCCAGAGAAGAATGAAACCGAAGCTGAGGAGATTGTGCTAGAAACAATGGTCAGAATTTTGGTGACGATGGCATGTCAGGGTATAGCTATGAAAACCTACCAGGATAAAGTGGCTTCCCACGTTGGCTGCACTAGTGACAAATGTCTGGTCGGCAGAGTAGAGATATCTGACATAGTGTGCCTGCAAGATCAAGACCACGACCCAGTAAATGCTGACCACGATTGAATTCAAGCTGAAGGGGGTAGCTCGGTGGTTGTTCTGGCCCCAGATGGTGTGGTAGTTATGGTGGTGGTGGTGATCTTCAGGGCGTCTAAAGGTGTAGTAGACACCGGCAATAACGAGGAGTAGCCATGAGACCACAGTGAGGATCTTGTAGGCGATGAGGTTTCGGCTTGAGAATTCCTCTCGTTTGGCAAAGGGGTTGTCTAGAGGCGACATCAGTGGAAATTTGGGAATGAAATGGGAGGGGGGAAGCGAGCGCTGATGTCACATACAATTTCTGGCCGGCATCTTGGGAAGCCAGTACTCAGGCAGCAGTCTACAGAGATTTGACTCTGGTTGCCGTACGTATAGAAGGTGTAGATAGCTCTCTGTCTGCTAGAAGAGTGACCTTGAGAAGGTGGCGAAGAATGAATAGTTGGAGAGGAAAGTCGAAACGCTTGCCTCGGGTAGACAGTGGGAGGATGTTGTCAGTAGAAGAGGCTGGGTCCGGTGTCGTCTTTCAACGATAATGAAAACGCAATTTGTTCTCGTGATGCCTGGACAGTACGTAGTAGTGAAGAATTGAAGGACAGATCAAGGCCCAAGCTATTGTCAAAAAGGACTGGTGGCTCAAAGTGTGGAGGAGGTCAAGTCGAGATGAGTGGTTCGCAGGTGAAGAGTGTCTTGTTTGCTGCATCAATCCCAGCAGCTCTGGCATGGCGGTGCAGGAGGAAGGTGCTCAAGCTTATTGCAGCCATTGGCTCCTTCTCAGTTCCCCTTTGTCCTCACTCCACCACAGGCCCAGAAACAGCTGTTTAGTGGAAGGCACGCACGGTGGCTCGTTATCTCCTGTGAGGGAATCGCGGGGAAGGATGACGTCACTTGTGCACACGGCGCCACGACTGCCAGCCGCTTGTTGCATCTCTTGATTGGCACCTTCCAGGCCCAGCTTCGGATCGGATTATTTATGCGGACAGGATACAGTACTCCGTATATACAGTACATACCCATGCTTATACAGTACTCCGTAGATCAAAGTCCGCCGCAGGAAGATGACTAAGAAATGATCAAAGCAAATCACAGAGTCGCTGGATATATATTCAGAACAGAGATCCAAAACTATTTACCTGGCACCATCTAATCATAGTTTGGCAAATGCTGCCTCATAGGCAAATCCCAGCGTCATCTTTGCATGTTGCAACATATGATCAAAGCTCAGATACTTGATGACATCGTCGGTGGTGTGGATCTTCTTGTCCGAATATTCAAAATCCGACTCGATGACAAACGCTGACGGGAATCCGTACTTGCTAGCCGAGGCATGGTCGGAGCAGGCGTAGCCACATTTGGTCAGGGTGTAAGGGATGTCGCAGTAGGTGGTGATGATCTCCTTGATGAACTCGGTCAACTCGGGACTCACAAAGTCAGTGATGACTCCAACAGACTCGGGCTTGCCGTGAGCCAATGTCTGCTCGACGTAGCCTGTCATGTCTTGTTGTATCATAGCTTTGACCTCCTTTCCGCTTTCGAAGTACGATTTGAAGATGGCCTGACTTCCCAAGAGGCCTCCTTCTTCCGCCGAATACCAGTGGAACTCGATCGTGTTCTCTGCCTGGCCTGTGACAATGTCATCGCTATGGAGGAGTGCAGTCAGTGCCTCGAGGATGGTGACTGTCCCGCTGCCGTCGTCATCGGCTCCAGGAGCGGCAAGAATGGAGGGGAGGAACATGTTGATGCTGTCAAGATGGGCACCGATGACCACGGTGTGATTTGTCTTGCCGGGGAAGCGTGCGATTATGCTGAATTGACCCCACGGGTGGTGAAAGTGATGCAGACTGGCGTTGTGTTGAAATGCCCCCGAAGCATTGACCACATCGTGAATTGTGTCAAACAGCCATTGCGCAGCATCAATTCCGTATTGACTCTTGTAGTAGCGGGTGTGGAATGAAGTCAGTCCTTCCAAGTGTTTTTGTAGGCTCTTCTTATCCAGGTGTTCACTCAGGGCTCTGACCGTCTTGTTGTGGGCAGTTTTGGAGGGGTATTTCACCGAAGCTTTAGACTGCATGTCAACGAAAGGATATGTATGTCCGGACTCAGTGATGTCCATGAACTTTCGACCGTCCTAAGAGGGGAGTTAGGTTGACAATCCTAGAGAGTCTCTGGAGTTCAACACCTACCCTCAACAATGCCCATTTATCGTCCTCAGTTATCCACCGAGTCTCACCAGGAGACAATTCGACCAAGTATCGGTCCGAAATGAGTGGCTCTTCATGTTTGAGAGGGCTCTGCTTGTGGAACGGGGAAGTGATTGACAGCGCCGAGGTGAGCGTCGCCAGACTCAAGCACAGCTGGATGAAGTATTTCATAATGAGCGAATCATTAACTTTACGAAGAACCTCAGATATCACCTGGGATTGTCAGGGTGGATTGAGAAGTAAGGAAGTTAAAGGATGGAAAGGCTGAAGTGTGTATTCCGTAAACAACGCAGACAGAAGGATGAAGTTTACAACTGCTTAAGACGATTGATCTCAGGCGAGGATGTCATGGGCTGCAAGTGGCTGGGGCTCCAGCCTGTGTGCCTCTTTATGGTTTGGTGGGGTTCGAAGTTTCACAAGGTGCTCTTCTGCCCCCTCGGCCTCGTTAGTGGCACCAGGAACCGGAGTTTTAGGAGGCACAAGCGCCTAATCTGTGGGGGACCAACCAACTATTGTAAGCTTTGACACTTGCAGTCAATAATGGAACTCGCGTGTTTGCCATGCGATAACGACGATAACGAGTCGACAGCACTGGGAGCCAGCTCCTGGCATGAGTCACTCATCAAGAGTGAGTATACAGATGCCTCTCTCCATGACAATCACGATAGAAGAGCAAGCCATCAAATTCCCTCCCTATATCATTATGCAAAATTGCTCCCAGTGATGTTCCAGTTTCTTATTTCAGACGTGTCTTGACTCACTCATGGGCCAAACTCTTGCTATCATTCGCCGGGTTCAGAAGAGGCCCAGAGTCATGACTCCAACAGCAAATGTCGATTATCTTGTAGGGTTGGAGAGCCGCCGATCGGCCCACAATGCCGGCCGAGTTGCACCCTCTTTGACCCTCCAGCAGTGAAATCCCCAAGAAAGGCGCCCCGAGTCCCTCCTCACGCATATCAGACGAACAGCTGCTATCTTGTCACCATCTCCATCTACCCGGCTTTCGACATCTTCTCATCTCATTCCATTTGCCTTCTGGGTTGTCTCCTTTCTATATAGATTTCTTCTTTCTTTTCTGCCAAGGTTTCAGTCCCTGGTGTTTGCATTTCGGTGAGCAAAGGAGATCGCAGCTGCATCAAACGCCGTCCTTATCGACTCGCCACCCACGGACGCGACAACTACTCATCTTAGCACCTTCCAACCGTCCAACATGCCTATCGTTCCCATAATGATTCCGGCAGCATCTGAGCCTCCCCAGGCCAGCAGCCCGCCCTCGATGGGGGATCTTCCCACCGCGATGGGAGATGTCTCATTGCAGCGGACGTCGCCTCCTCGACCCGTCATGGGCACATCGATACGCATCTCTGTTCCTCTCGACTCGACTCCAACAAAGTCGATCCGCGGGGTCCAGAACTCTCTTTCTGCAGATCGCAAGATCATGCGCCGCGACAGCATGGACCGACGCGAGGCTCTGCTCAAAGGCAAGGAAGGTTCACGTCAGCGACGACGATGGGAGAATGGTATTGATGCGAAGTATATCTACCCTCCGAGTGCACTCATCTAATCGTCCGTGTTTGCAGATCGTCTGTTGTCCAATCCCTGGGCACAACCACCGCTACCTAGCGACTGGGAAGTGCGTCCGACGTATCCGCAACGCACGGTGCCCTACTATCTAGCACCATTGTGGGACGCGGCCGAATTCCAACGGGCAGTGGAATCGAACCTCAAAGGCCGCAAGAACAGCACACGCAACCGCGGCAAGCGGACCGGAGTTCACAAGGGGATGAATCCAATGGAAGAGGCAGCGGCCAACATTCCCAAGGAAGTGCGGGCTCGACTGAAGCGAGCCAAAGCTGCCAAAGGTCTGCTGCAGGATCTGGAAGAAGACGTGCGGTCTTTTGTGCAAAGATGGAATGCCCGCGAGACTCGACTGCGTGAGCAAGGCTTGCAGGACATCCCATTGGCCAGTGACAGCGAAGAGGACGACGAGATTGTCTTCATCGGTCGAAACGGTGCCATGCACGACTCTCCAGGACGTAAGCAGAGGGAGGGGTTGGACGGCGGATGGGATCAAGACGGTACCATCAGCAAAGAGAAGATGATCTTTGATGGCCTGGACAATGACAAAGGAGCCGCGTTTGCCCGCTGGCTCGTCCACTGTGTGGGCAGCTACTACGGCCTGAGGACGTGGAGTGTGACTCGCGAGGTTCAAGGCGCGGAGAAACGGAGAGAAGCGTACGTCGGAGTCGACACACGCGCACGAGGTTTCATGGGCCGCGCTGTCGAAGTTGGCCGCGAAGTCGAGCTTCCGCGTCCTCTCTGGGGAATGGTCTAGGCAGCGACCATTCTTACCCGGCTTCTATCCACGGCTTCTTTAGTTCTTCTTCTCCTTGTCTTGCTCCATTCCCCCTTTACCCTATAGAATCACTGCATCTCTGCAGAGTTTCGCATCAGGCTACCAGAGACCCGGCACAGCATAGCATCGGTCCATCACTTGTCGACCGTGTCACACAACCCCGGATTTTGCACAGTCTGATAATCGTACAACATCGAAACTACTCCGTGCCATGTCGTGTTTGCTTTCCTGGTACTACTGTATCCCTCGATAAAACCTAAACATGTACTTGGCAATGTGACCTCGTGATACGACGAGCACGGCTTGAGATCTCACTCATGCCACCGGCTCCTCTTTATACTGACTCTGGTCTCACACCATCATGATGGAGGATGCAACGAGTAACGACTCATGAGATAGACTTCAAGAGCACACCATCATCGACTCTGGACTACAGAAGAGGCTGTATTAATTTCTGCGACCAAATGTGTTCGGTGCTACTCATGTTCACCATGCACCTTTGATCACGGCCTGTTGGTCAATCTCCTCTTACCAAGGGACACACTGCCCGGACCTCAAACCCTGAAACTTACTCTCATATGACTAGGCCCCCGAGCTATGGTGAACTCTATCAAAATATGCCGGATCATATCGCCACCAATGACAAATTTTCATTGCTGTTGAATTTTGATAAAGACGCCCCCAACGGCGGGCCGAGCGAATCAAGACATTGCTTGATCACAGGATATGCCAAATAGTGTGGGATCTAGACTGTCTCCGTTGGAGCGCATGCGTTTCTTTTGAATATCTTGGTTCTCGTGGGGTTGGCCGCCACATCTGGCCCGAAAAAATGTGTACATCCGCATTGTCACATGGGCACAATGTCGAGGAGGCCACGCTCACAAGCTAAGTTTCGCAACGGCCGAGTTTTTCATTTGACACCAATGCACAGTGAGGATCGATGGGTATGGTTTGCTGGTTAATCTGGCAGCTAGGGGGTCGAAGCCTGTGGCCGAACTTCCAAGGACCAGGGTTTTGTGGAGAAAGCTCACTGTGAGATGCGATTAGGGACAAGTCAACATGTCGGAGCTGTCTGGGGTAACCTATGGTGTTCCTAGTTGCTATCTCACGAATAGGAACGGCGTTCAGAGGTGATGCTCGAGTTTTTGGTGTAGGTGGAAGAATTGGGTTTGTACAGGTTGTTTTGTCGTGGAGCCCAAGTTAAGGCGACGGGAGCCAGAGCGAGCCGATCAAGGGCCGGCCCTTGCTAGAAGCTCCGGGCCCCAGTTGGCGCATTGACGATCGTGTCTTGAAATGTGTTTAGTGCGTCAAACTCGGGTGGCACCAATGTGGCTTCCACAGGGCCTGAGAGAATTCCACCACTGAGGTTTTCTAAGGGCTGCTTGGGTATCTGCGCAGGAACTCTCATGCAAACCAGAGCGTGGCAAGTGCTTGACCTAGACATGGGAAAGTTGGTCGGGGAATGACAGAGGACGGCTCGAGCCGCAGTTCAGACGAGGGATGTCTGTTGCTGATCGAGATGGCGCGAGCTAATTCTGATGTAAGGGGACGACAATTCTGCCGAGGCTCGAGCGATTCGTTGAATGATAATGCCTCATGCCTGCTGATTATGATTGTAGCAATGTCTGACTGAGCGAGGTCAAAGCATTTGCCATGACACATCGGCTACAGCACAACTCGACGAGGACTTACTGTAGGGTCAGTCGTATGCTGCCCAAGCGGCCCCAAGGTCCAGTGGCACCGAACTCGGTTCATGGGCGGGTGCGACTCGAACTCTCGAACACGGCCGTTTGGCCTTATTGGTATTCAAGCCTAGAGGAAGGCGGCGGCGGCTTACGCTTTGGATAGCCCAAGGATTGAGAAGCACGAACTCATGTTCATCACTCAAGGTGAGACACGGATTGGAGGTAGGGACGTGCAGAGATGCATAAATCAGTGCGACGTATAGGAGATTAAGAAGAAATTGATGCTGGGAAGAGAGACGAATAGTGAATTGCCACGCATGCAGGCAGAAGAGTACGAGGAGGGGTCGAGTAAGATGTGGGTGGAAGAAGAGGGTCGAGACGGCGACTGACAGGAGGGCCTACTTCTAAAAACGGTGGTCTGACAAGTCCATGTTAAAAGCGCATTTCTGGAGCGTGGGGAGTAACAACCCCCAACTCATGAAGCCAGTTCGTTGATAAGCAAGTGTCTGACATCACAAAAAGCGCCCTGAGGCCTCTCTGGGCCCCTCGTGACCCCCCGTGACCCCTCTTCATTGATGCCCAAAGCCACACAAATTCCTCATCTGGCAGCACAAGTGCAGGGCCGCAACTGCCTCAGATTCCAACACGATGAGCCAATAACAGTCACTTTTTCATCTTGAGAACTTTTCATCAACCCTGCCTTGGTTTTTCGCCTGCTAGACTTTACATCTGGTTCCTTTGATTTGCTCGCCATTCCAATGGCAAACCAAGTGTGGGAGGAAGACGAAGACGGCGTGGGTCACTCAGATGGTGCATTTGCTTGCTCACTGCTCCGAGATGCTCACGCGATGGGTGGCATGGTGTTCTCATCCACCAGTCCCAAGGCCTTTTCGCTCGCTTACTAAAGACAGCTCGCGCCGTGCCAGTCCGCTTCCCCGAGCAGCAATCGGCTGAGATGACCTTGTCTTTTTAGTCTGGCTCGCAGAAACGCCGTGGCCCCTTCCCGAAGCCATGCGCCCCAGGGACGCGGGTGTCTCCGGCCGGGTCCATGGTAGTCTCTCCTTCTGTCTGCGTACGAAAGGCAACGAACAGAGGGTTTCAAGGTAGGGCCTTCGAACACCATTGCTGCGCCATCATCCATTCACCACGCAGGTCACCTCCCATGGCCACCCAACGGAGAATGTCCCCCATGCATCGGCTTGGACACAATTCCAACTTGTCGTGGAGTGACTGTATCATTTGTTTTTGGCCTCGACACCAATCGATATGAAATCCTCGACCATTTGCTTCTGTTATACTTTGCAGATAACCTCGTTCTCCCCTTGCACAGGTTTTCATTCCATTTTTTGGTCCTAATTTGATCATTTAAACACCCCATCTCCATCCTGTTGTATAACATTATTCTGCTTGACATCTCCAATACTTCTTCCCCACCATCATCTTCCAAGGTACCATGCCTGAAGTGCAACACGTTAAGCGAGTCTGGCATAAAGGATCTACCACATCTTCGAGCTCCACTTCATCCACCCCCAGCCACAGATCTGGCAGCTCTCGCCATTCTCAATACACAGCAAACACCTCTTACAGCGACTTCAAAGCCGAAGCCAAGTATTCGAAAGGCTCACCAACCCAGAAATACAACCCACAGCCTGAGGTCAATCCTCGGAGCTCATGCGAAACATATGCCTCCACCACGGTGGATGAATGCGAGGACAGCTACCATCAAGTTGGAATCTGCCCACCGTTGCGGGCTCGATGTTACAAGCCCGATGCGGTGGCAGCGACATCTTGCGAATTCAGCCAACTCTTTCCATCAACACGAAGGCTGCTAATCCAACATGACGATACCAGCCTCGACGGCAACCTCAACTTGAGAGTGGACACCGAGGTGCCTGCGGGAAGGGGACACATGATGAAGGTGACTTTGTTCCATCTGAAGATGAACGACTTGAGTGAACGCCAATTCTCTCTACGTCGATATCAGCGTGCATCAGGTCGGGAAGTCTGCAACTCCAAACGGAAATATCTGAAGCCTGCCACCAGGCCATCGATATCACCCAGAAAGCTATCGTTGACGAATGTTCTAACCAAGATGAGCCTCAAGTCACTGGCGGTGAAGCCTCGCGCCAAGGTGGTGCACGAACCTTGTGACAGTGAGTCCGAGGACGAGTTTGACTTTTCTTCGGCCGAGGTCAAGGCAACTATCCCAACCAAGGTGATCAGACTGGAGTTTTCGAATTATGCTCAGGTGGAGTTGGAGAGAAATGAGAGAAGCGAACGGTCAATGTATGACTTTGAGTACTGGGGAGAGCAGTTTTCGTGGAGGCGGAATATGATCGAGGACGACGAGGACGACGAGGCCGTCTTCTCGTTGGACCTGGTCAATGTGGCGACCGGAGCGTGCATTGCACACATCATTCCGGACAAGATTTCAAGGGCACAAGAGCGAGAGGAGGCGCGTCAAGGAAGCTGGGTGCCTCCATGCAGCATGAGGATTACAGAAAAGAGGATGCCGAGTGACCTGGGAGATGTCATTGTGGCAACGGGGCTACTGGCATTGACAGACGACTGTATTCGGGGTCGTTGGCGGGAAGCTCACCGCTTGTAAAAAGAAAGGGATTATGGGACGAAGGCATGAAACACATCATTTTTCATGGGCGGCGTTGGACCAGCGGATTGGGGACAAGTTTGCCTGTTCAAGGCGTAACACAGGAAGTGGGCGGTGTGTCTGAAGGACGATGCTTCAAGGCATCGCTGCATCGATTGAGGATAATTTTGTATAGAATCGATCAAAGGATGCTGCACCTATGTTTCCCTTCCTATTCTGGGAGAAGTCATGTCGGACATGGCGGATGCACCTAGAGTCATACCACGGGAGTCATGCCTAGAACAAGGGTCGAGCATTACTCTAACCAGAGAGAGAGCTCTGACTCGTGCTTGTAGTCCGAAGCTAGATAGACTGGGCGTGCTTGACTTGATATGGAACGAGTTAACCCGTAACATACCATGGTTGCACTGGTGCTTTGGATACTAGTCCTTTTGGGGGCTGTTCAGGCCACATTAATGTGGACACGATGCCGTCCTCATGCCTGGTGAGCTTCCGTGAAATAGACCGGCATGGCCGCGGCTTACAGATCTCACTTGGCCCGTCCAGTGGGTGTCCCCCACCACAAGGGACTATGGATATGTACTGCGACTTACCTTTGAGGTACTTTGTCACCCCAATAAGGACGACGGTTGTCACTTGGAAATGCACCATGGCTTCCGGTTGCTTTTGCTGCCCAACAAACGAAAGGATTGTAAGATACTAACATATTTCCATACATAATAGAGCTACCAATCAGCCTACGAGTGGTCAGACCCGGCGATTGTCATCCGTCCATGTTTTGAAGGAGGCAAGAAAAGGAAAACAAGGGACCATCGGGGAATGGGATGGGATGGCATGAGATGGCATGGCATGGCATGGCTACAGGTTAGAGGCCGTATGAGAATGGATCTAGTCAAGGCGACTCCTGCCACCGGCAATATCCACAGGCGAACGTACGCACTTGCCAGAATTGGTTCACAGACGATTCGAGAGGAAGGAACTTTACGGCAACGCAGGCACACAGGCAGATCTCGAGGCAAGAGCGAAGGTGAAAGATGCAGGTGCAAGTGTAGGTGCTGAGGTGCAGAATACAAGGCAGGAAGGAGCAGACCACGAACCAACCGAGGGGAAGGAGGGGGAAACAGGCCAAAGGGAAAGAGCCAACGACTCCTTCGGTCGCCTCAAGTCGGATATTTTCCCATCACCAACTTGTCCGTCTTGACATGGCACGCGTGGTCTGGTCCAGCATTAGACACGAATGACTAGGTTCAAGTTCGTCCAGCGACGTCAACAACAAGCATTACACTACTACATCAAGTGGGCAGAACAAACGATGAGTTATTTGTATAGTCATTCATTCGTACAATCGTACACTCCCGTTTTCTCACACCATTTCGAGATCGTCACCAGTGGAGGGCACGCTTCAATCTGTCCATTCTGACCCCAAGAACAGACAGTAAAAGCTACATGTCATAACAAATCATCTGTGCCAGCGAAGAGACCTCCAATGGCCAACTAGTCCTTTGGCCCACTGGACGTGGCTACCTGCGGCATGGACATAATTTTTCTGCCCCCACCTCACAGTTGGTACCCGGTCCTTGACGTCTTTGAGGCGTGTGTCCACCCGTGTGCGCCTCGGCCGGCAAAGGACATTTGCCAGGGTGCAAAGTCGAGACTAGAAGACGTCTACCTACTAGCTTGACCACAGAATACGCCATTATGCATATCATGTTCTTGGTCTTTGGCAACATGTCTCCACCGTCGCGAACGACCGAAGAGACACGACGGGCCCTTGATGTGCTGGCACCTGCTGGGGAGAGGTGAGGCTGGCCAAACAACCTGTTGCAACCCACGGCCAACGCTTTTTTTTCTTTGGCTTCAAGGCACTGGCAAGCTACTGCTGGCTGGCTTGTCGCCCTGACTTCCCACTCCTACCCACGTCCTGGCTCTTCGGCTACCTACATGGAGATTTTCTGGTGCCGACTTCCCCCTGTAATCTGGCTTGGGCTGCCGCCGTGCGACCTCGCCTTCTCTCTTTCTTTTATATAGACAAACATCAGGGCGGCCAGGTTGATCGATTCTAGGGTGTCGCAAGATCTCCGATCATGTTTCACCACCCCAACTCTTGTATTCACAAGCCATAACGGTCATCTTTCGACGGTGCCTTTTGCTGCCCAAATGAAGCGACTCTGACTTGTTACCAGAGCTGCCAAATTCACTTTCCAACGAATGCCTGTCTTGTTCGATGCATATATCCTTTGATACTCTGGCATCTGGCGCCTTGTTTGGCCACCTGAGCCAACTATCCCCTTGACTCTTGTTGCCGCTGCTGCTGCTCCAAAGTGTATAAGTCATTCGACTTTCTCCTGGTCCTTGCCTTCGTCGCTTCGTCCAAGACGAGTCAGACTTTTCTTGCCTCGCCTATTTGGCTCATCATTCACGCAGTTCGATCGTCATCGACAAATTACCCCATCACCAGAGGCCTGAGTTTGTGCCACCCTGATCAATCAACCTTGCCCATCTACCATGGCTACCAGAACACACAAGACGTGGCAGGAAGAGCTCGCTGGTAAGTATCTGACCAGTGGCTGAATGCAACTTGGCTAGTCGCTGACTTTGGTGTAAAGCGGAATGCCGAAAGCAACGACTAGCCGTTCCAGTATTCAACATTGTTTCTGACCGACGAGGTAAGTGTGCTACCTCAACTGTCCTCAGTCATGGATCAAAAATGCCTAATCTAGTACATCACCAGGTGGACGGACAGCGTGGTCTGCCACCGTCACAGTCCAAGGAAAGAACATTGCGGCCCGGTATTGGTACGATGGCCAATACCTCAACAATGCCCGAGAGGACGCCGCCGAAGTGGCCTGTACAGAGCTCAGAAACCCTTCCATCACCGGACGCGCGAGAGGCGGATATCCTCCCAATTCAGGATACCGCTAGTCAATTGAACCTAGATCCCTGTCCATGGTCTTGGGCTCGACTCGTCATTGACACGAGCAACAAACAAGGATACTGGGCCGGGAAAAGCAATGGCTCAAGTAGGCATCTGTGCAACTTGGGTAATCCTGTCTTAACAAGGTGCTCTCCCAAATTCCTCCTTCTGCTTTGGGCAACAGACATGACCGTATCGCACGGCGGGGGCATAGCGATGGCGTTCAAGGCGACAACACAGACAATCTCCCAAACAGAGGGACAGACGGACAGAAAGGGGCCGAGTGGCTTGTATTGTTGGGTTCTTGTTCTTGGGCAATGTCGGGCCAGCTCGGCTTTGATTTATCTTCTTCCCCTTTTTTTCCTTTTGATTCTTACACACAGCAATGCTGCTGTGCTTGTGGTTGAGTTGTTTGGAGGGCCATTCATGGATAGGTACCGATTAGACCCATGAATTTCGAATTCACGCATCGACGAGGAGACTCACACTGTACCTGTCATATCGCCTTGGTGCGGTGGAGAAGGCCTCAACCTTCGTTGAGCTTCCAAGCTTAGAGTGATTGACCGCTCATTAGTCCCGTGGAGAATTGATTGACGCTGAAAATGAAGCCGAAACCGGAATACAACCCCCTTGGTTGTCGAGGCTGTTTCGGTGGACTTTTGGATTTTCCTTGTGGACAAAAGAATCCTCGCTCACAGACTTTGTGTTCCCTGACCTGTTGTGTCACTGAGATCTGCGCACGCAATAATGCATCTGTGTACGGTTCGTGTTGCCTGGACACAAATCCGGGAAGCCGGTCGGCCCAGAGTGCTGGACAACAAATCAAGAGGCGGTCAGGGTAGGCAAGTCGATTTGGTGTGACATGATCAGCGACTTAGAAGTACTCCGTACCTCAGATTAAGTATCTTACCCAGGGTAGATGTACCTGAAGTACCTTGCTGCTATCCCCTGGTACGTCCATGTGCCCCCAAAAAGATCCCCAAGGTTGTTGATTAGGTACCTCGAATAAGGCATGACTAAGGACCCAAGTACCTGTCATGGGGCACAAGTGTGATCTGTCTGGTGCTGCTGGGTACCTACTTAGGTACCTTTAATGAAGGGCTCTAATAGAGCAAACTCCCCGAGGTGGAAGGTTTCAGCAGGCCAATGCAATTTGAAAGATGTATTTATGCAATTACCTTTTTCTTTAATGACGATAGTGATGGTGAAGGTGATGATTTCATCAAATCTAAATTAATTTCCCTGGTAGATCATCATGCGTATCGTCCTTCGTGGCTTGAATTCAAGGTCTCAGGCCGAGGGGCCCCTGTCTTGCTTACAGTAGCATAGCAGCCTCTGCCTATGCCTAGGCATGCCTAGATTGTAGCTGCTTCTCGGGCCCTAACTCGACCCGAAGCCTTAGTCTCCCGGGCGGGTTCCTTGCTAACTCGGGTACCGAGATTCGACACTTAAACCCTGAAGCTTTTATTCTCCGGCTTGGAGTTTGGCTGGAAGAGGGTGTCTGAAGAAAATGAGATTAGCGAGGTTCTTCCCTCCCGCATCCATCGATAAACTGGGCGACTGGCCGACGAGGTACTTACGAATTACTCGTCTGGGGACCCAGACATCAGACTTGGTCTGTGCGTCATTTCCACCCCATCATCAACTCCAACGACGCCAATCTTCTTCGGCGACATAATTAATTTTCCTACTCGACATCAGCAAATGCATACCACAATTAATTGTAGGGATACACCTGACAACCTACGGACAAACAAACCCTAGTATCTTCCACCACTTGAGACCTCACTTGAGACCTCAATTCTGACGGGCTTTGACAACTAAAATCCAACGTTCGCGAGACCTGCGCCTGTGGAAGGGCTGACTGGTTCAACTAAACGTGGAGACTCTCATCCCAATTCAACCCACCTTACCCAGACAATTCGGCTTGTTGCAGTAGGGGAGGGGTCGAAGACTTGCAGACTACACTGCAGACTGACGCTCTTACCATCGTCTATCTCACCGACTGCATATGCGCTTGACCAGCGGTGCGATCAACGTTCGAGCCAACATCTTCCACACCGCTAAAGCCATCACCACCCGGCCCCATCTCGCCAGACCATATGCATTCCCAGTGTCGATCAGATACACTAGCACCATGTCCACCATGTCCTCTTCTTCAGTCACCGAACCGCACACACGTCAACCCTCAGCCCTAACGTTTGACCTTCATGGTCGCTGTTCTGTACGTACCAACATCTTGTCTTCTCCCTTTTCCCTCCTTCCGCAGACTCCTTCGATGACTGACCTCTATCCAGGCATCCAAAGCCCGTGCCTCTACCCTCCATCTTCCCCATGGCTCTGTGCAACTCCCGATTTTCATGCCTGTCGCCACCCAGGCATCGCTCAAAGGCCTCACCCCAGAACAGTTGGAAGATACAAGTTGCAAATTATGCTTGAATAATACCTATCATCTGGGTCTCAAGCCAGGACAGAATGTTCTGGACCTGGTTGGAGGGGCCCACAAGCTCCAGGGTTGGAATTACAACATCCTGACCGACAGTGGTGGGTTGGTGCTACAATCCCCTCCAGCAACATGGTCCACCTCCGGCTGACACTCTCTGGCTAGTTTCCAAATGGTGTCGTTGCTCAAACTGGCAAGAGTTACAGAAGAAGGTGTCCGCTTCTTGAGTCCCCATGATGGATCTCCCATGTGAGTATCTTCTTTACAACCCGACTGACTGGACCCTTGCCAACCTCGGGGTTTTCTGCAGGCTTCTCACCCCGGAACACTCCATGTCCCTCCAGAATTCAATCGGTTCCGACATCATGATGCAACTCGACGATGTCATTCAAACCACCTCTCCTGACCATGCCCGCATGAAAGAAGCCATGGAACGCTCTGTCCGTTGGCTCGACAGATGCATCGTCGCCCACAAGAAACCCGAGACCCAGAATCTCTTCTGCATCATCCAGGGCGGGCTGGACCTTGACTTGCGACGGCAATGTACCGTTGAAATGCTCCAACGAGATACACCAGGTATCGCCATTGGAGGTCTGTCTGGCGGCGAGGCCAAGGCAGACTTTTGTAAAGTGTGAGTGCACCGTGAGCCACTGCAAATGTGTCTATCTCGACTGACGAATGGTTTCCTAACAATAGGGTTGATACCTGTACTGACCTCCTGCCGGAGAACAAACCCAGATATGTCATGGGAATTGTGAGTGTTGAGTGTGTCGAATAGATCGGAGTATCAGCCACTGACGTTATCAAACAATAGGGCTATCCAGAAGACATTGTCGTCGCAGTCGCGCTAGGAGCCGACATGTTCGATTGTGTGTGGCCAACAAGAACAGCAGTGAGTGAACAACTTATCCACCAAACCCCCTACCACCATTATTGACACTCATTAACTCTCCTCTCTTCCCATCCTCTAGCGCTTCGGCAATGCCATCACTGCCAATGGCGTCCTCAACCTCAAACACTCACGCTACGCCGAATCCTTCTCTCCCATCGAGCCCGACTGTACATGTACATGCTGTCGTCCGCAAGAGTCCGGCGGACTGGGTATCACGCGTGCCTATATCTACCATCTGGCCGCCAAAGAGACCGTCGGCGCTCACCTCCTCACCATGCACAACGTCCACCACATGCTTAACCTTATGAACCGCGTAAGGACGGCCATCATCGAAGATCGCTACCCGCAGTTTGTCAAGACCTTCTTCGACTCATACTTTAATGGCCAGAGACCGCCAGACTGGGCTAGAGAAGCGTTGAAGGGTGTCAACATTGAGATATAGACATCGATCTGGGTTTAGACTTAGATTTCTAAAATCTAGATACATAGAGAGGTCAAATCAACCCTATCACCGTTCCCTGTCTCTTCTAGACACGTCATCTAATGCCTTGACCAAAGAATAAACAAGCCTAAGCAGCGGAGTATGGACATTATTACGTTGAGCAATTCGAAGGGCATTGCCCACAATAGCCTCAACCTCCATATTTCTCCCAGCCGCAACATCAGCCAGCATACTAGGCTCCACACCCGGCAAAGGTCTCGCCTTTGCCCGTGAGATCTGATGGTCGACTTGATCGGGGCCTAGGTCGGCATAGCCGATAGCATTGGCAATGGAGGCAACCTCGAGCATCAGCTGACGGATCACCTCTGCCCCATCGTCCGGTGTCGAAGCCATGAATGCGGCATCTCGTGATCGTGACAGTGCACAGACGGGATTCCATGCCGCATTGACAAGAAGTTTTCGCCATCGTTCTCGTTGCACGTCTGCGTGTAATGTCGCGGTTGCACCGGATGCGGTGAGCAGTTGTGTAAATGCTTCGGCGTGAAGTTGGTCTCGGTGGAGTTTTCGGGTTTGGCCTGACGTTGAGGTTGGGGATGAAACTGAAGTGGGAGATGTAGCAGGATATGTTCCGAGATGGAGGTACTCTATCTCTCGATGTGTAATCACACCTGGTGAAGTCTGCGTGGCAGGCAAATATATGACACAAGATAGGATTGTCGAGTCTGGGAATTCTTGTGCATATATCGGCTCAATGTCGATTCCATTCTGAATCAGTACGATGGTCGTGTCTGCGCCGACGGCTGGTCGGATCAAGGTTGGGATCGATGGTGTCGATTCGATTGATTTGGCTGTCACAATCACATAGTCGAATGGTTCGGATGGTGATGAGGCTACTGCAGACGATACTGAATCCACTACTTGTGGGTGCACGTGGAGGTTGTCGCCCCAGATGGTCGAGTTGATCGTAAAACCGTGCTCTCTGGCGTGGGCATAGTTGGATCGGCAGACGGTGTAGATGCTGTTGGCGGGGATTGTTCGGGATAATAGGTATGCGTAGACGCTGCCGATGGCGCCGGTACCGAAGAAGAGGACTCGTGGTGATTTTGAGGGAGAAGGAGATGAGGTTGACATTTCGCGATTGAGCTGTCGATGCTGTTGTTGACTGTTGGGTGATATTGTATTAGTTGAGACTGTCATGGGGGTAGTATAGTGGGAGGGTATATTTGGAGTCTGAAGACTTCGTTGATATGTCTTGTTCCAGCTTGGAGGCATTCGATATGGTTCATTGATTTCCGCATCATTGCGATCTGGGGGTCTGCGAGGAACAATTGATGACCTACCTCGTATACAATGCTGGACCAGCTGCGAAGGGACATTGCCCTCGGTTCAATGCTGCTAGTCGCGGCACTCTAGAAGATTGCGATAATTGGGATATAGCTCGGCATTGTGGATATCTTGGATATGGTCTGGCGAGATTGTTGGCATACTGGATGCATTTCCAACCCGTTACCGTCAAACGAGACCTCATTGCAGCGACTGAATATATGTTGTTGAAACCATTGAAAGCTCAATGTGTTGCTGCCTAGCAGTGCCAGATGCTGAATTTAGGGTCTAGGTCTGTTGTACGTATTTCCCACTGCCTACCTCGAATGGTTCGTCGGTCTTTACGGTATCTGGTGTCTTTTTTGAGGCAGAAGAGGTGATGTTGGTAGTTGTCATCTCTCTAGATTGATGATGGATGCGATGAGTAGAGATATTGATCTAACCTAAAATGGACTAGCATTGTACGGTGAACTCTTACTTCACGAATCCCCTCTACGTCGGATCATACATGCGCGTCTAACACCCAACACCAAAACGCGCCACGCAAACTGCAACTCCAACTCCACCTCCTCCACCTCCACATCCAATTCCACGCCAATTGCAGATGCTGCCACTGTGCCAACTCTCCAATAGCGTCGGTCAAGAATCTCACAAGCACAATGACGTTGTGTTGAACAAAGCCCAAGCCCAAGCACAAGCCTTCGTCAATTGTCGATTTGTATTGACATCCGCAACACGCTTTCTTCAACCACCAAAGTCACTGTCCTTTGACCGTCTTCTTGCTCTTCACCTCTCACAGCCAAACACGCGCAGTAACGTGTGCAATCAACATGGATCCTGATATACCTGCTCCCTCCATTGAGTACGACGACCACCAGAATCGATATGATAAACCCCCAAAAGTCGAAGCAACCTCCACCACAACTCCAAGACGATCTCATCAATTCACTCCAGCCTCAATCCCACTTCCTCCTTCCTCTCCAATGCGCTCCGCATACAACACTCCTGCTCCCAAAAACAAGCCCATGTCCTCATCCGTCTCCCCTCGCCCTCCCTCGAGATCCCCCTCTGTCGCAAGTTCGTATCGTGGAGATCGACAGCAGACCCCTAATCTTAACACCAAGAGGTCATCCTCCAGCCTCAGCACGGCCAGAGGGTCTGCGACCACTCCTTCTCGCCCCTTGCCACATCTACAATACCGTCGTTCGTCTTCCAATCTCAACCCTTCATCCCCCGCCACAAATGGAAAATCCTTGGGCATGAGTTTGCCAGAACGACCGGTCCTCACTGCCAATTCTGTCGCAAAGGAGTATTTCGCCAAAGAGTTGGAAGCTCACTCCACTCTCGATTCTCCTGTGGCGGTCATCGTCCATGACGCCTGTTATGGCCATCGCTTCTCTCGTCCCAGATCAACCAAAAATGCCCTGGCCACCATTGTGGAACGACCAGAAAGAATTCACGCAACCTTACTAGGTGCAGCCACCGCATATGTGAGACTCGGGGGCCGTCACCAAGATGGTCCGTATATGCCTGCGCCGGGTCATGAGCCCTCCAAGGTCAGAGACGCTCCATTTCGGATCCGCAAAACCGACAGATCCATTCCTCTCAACCACCCTGCCGTCACTTATGTTCACGGGACAAAATGGATGGACGAGCTGCAGATCATGTGCGACGCCGCTGAGGCCAAATTGACCATGAACGGAAAAGAGTTGGTCAGACCAATTGGCTACGGTAAGGATGAAAATGGAAATGCCTTGCCCAAATTACACGAAGGCGATCTCTACCTCTGCTCAGAGTCCCTGGCTGCGTTGCAAGGATGTCTTGGTGGTGTTTGTGACGCTGTGGACACTGTCTTTTCCCCCGGTCCGACAGAACGTGCCTTTGTCTGCATTCGCCCCCCTGGTCACCACTGCTCCTCGAACTATCCCTCAGGCTTCTGCTGGCTCAACAATGTGCATGTTGGTATCTCATACGCCGCCATGAATCATGGTCTGACACATGCTGCCATTATCGACTTCGACTTACATCACGGTGATGGTTCTCAGAACATTGCCTGGGACCATAACCAGAAAGTCCATACCGCTGCCAAGAATGCCGCTGCTCATAAGAAGACTCCTATCGGGTACTACAGCCTGCATGACATCAATTCGTATCCTTGCGAGTGGGGTGACGAAGAGAAGGTCCGCAATGCAAGCCTATGCATCGAAAACGCTCATGGCCAATCCATTTGGAACGTACATCTAGAAGCATGGAAATCTCACCAAGATTTCTGGAGGCTGTACGAGGCAAAGTATAAGGTACTAATTGAGAAGGCCCGGAATTTTCTCAAACTGCACTCAGACAGATTGGTTGCTGCTGGCCAACAACCCAAAGCTGCCATCTTCATCTCTGCTGGTTTTGATGCAAGTGAATGGGAGGGTGCTGGAATGCAGCGGCATAGTGTCAATGTTCCCACGGAATTCTATGCGAAGATCACCGCAGATCTGGTTGCTCTAGCTCAAGAAAACGGGGTTGGTGTCAATGGTCGACTCATCAGTGTCCTCGAGGGCGGCTATAGTGATCGTGCTTTGACTTCAGGTGTCTTGAGCCATCTTTGCGGTATGGCAGGAGGTGCATCTGAGTTAGGATCATCACTTTCCGAGGCAGACTTTCAAAAGGCCCCAGCCACCATCAACAATTGGTTACCAGATCCACTCGAATCACAAAATAGATTCTCGCCGTCCTACCAGCCAGACTGGTGGAGGTTGGACAATCTTGAAGACCTCGAAGCGGCAGTATCCGGTCGCCAACCTCACGACGCCAGATCCGTACCGGACAAAACTGGAAATTTTTCATCGCCAACTCAGGCTTCTACCGCCAAGATGACAGAGAATGCTCGTGAGAGACATTCCTTATCTGCACTTCAAGCAAGAATGTCTCTGGAAGCGCAATACGTCCCGCCCCCGCCCGATGTGGATTGGGCTATTGCGTCTTACGAACTATCTCGTGTCATGATTCCAAGCGAACGACAAACGCTCAGCTGTACTTATGAAGAACTTAATACTGAAGCTGTGAAAGCTCGGCGCGAAAGACAATCTAATATCGGAGCTGCCGTACCGACTGATGAACGAATGCAATTGCGCGATCGCCGAAGCAAAGCCCAACCACAGGCCGTCAATGGCTCGAAGCTGTCCTCCCGCAATGAAAACCGAAGAACGACGATTGCGGCTATCAGCGAACTACCTGATCCTAATGTGCCGCCCCTTCCCTACCTGAATGGTCGGCCTCGTCGACGCTCGAGTGATGCCTCGAGCATATTATCCAGTTTCCAGGGCATGAATCTATCCGACAATCGCGACGACAACTCGTCAGTTCCCTCAGGGCAGTTGGCGCCCGCCAGTTCCCGCGAAGCCTCAGTTGTCCCAGATAAGAATGGAAAGGCTGTTGCAGTGAAGAAAACTAGGGCTCCTGCTACTACCAAAGCTGCCCCGAAACCTAGGACGAGTCCTCGAAAAACAAAACCGACAAGTCAGCCACTCGTCGGTAAATCTTCGTTCGCAAAGCCCGGGCTGCCTGCCAGTGCAAGTGCTCCGAGACCAGGAAATACGAGCGAGACTAGACAAGTATCCAATTCCTCACAAGATTCAGGAGCTCTTACGCGAAATTCCGATGACATGGACAACCTCACAAATGGGTTGAAAAAGATCAGCATCAAATTGAACGTTTCATCAGCAGAAGATCACGTGGCTAAGGAACAGAAACAGCTTGATGAGAAGCAAAAGAAGCCTCGAGCACCGAGGAAGCCTCTTCTCCCGAAGACCATTAAGATTGAACGGCCAGGTGCTGCTGCAACAACAAGCAAAACTTCAGATCTCACACAAATGATGGGGCCTAAACCAGTGACACCTGTTGGGCAGCAGATAACATCCATCGAGCCTGTCAAGCCATCTCCGGGCATAATCCCGACATGGACTCCAGATGAGGTCAAACCAGCTACAAGCCCTGTCATCAAACATGACCCGGACTTGTACAGAAGCGAGATGGTACTTCACAGTGAACGCCAACAGCAGCCTCAGACTGTGGAAGCACCCTTCGCCGAGTCGCACAATATCGCCCAATCGAATATATTCCGCACCGAGCCCGTTCCAGCCGCCACCACGTTCTCGACTGAACAGGTGCCGCCACAGCGCGTCGCGAACTCGAATAATGTCACGAGCACCAACATCGACACACAAGCTGATAGACCAACTTCTACTCTTTCACAGAGACCCTCATCGTCTGATGCTTTCAGACCAATGTCTGCTGGAAGTAGCACCCCGACCAGACGATCCAAGGCTGACCTCCCTGTATTCACTTCGACATCGTCGATTCCGTTTGGTTCTGCATACCCACTGCAAGACGAGCAAGCAAAGCCTTCTGAGCAGCCGTCAATTTGGGACATTCCAGACACCCCCAAGCATAAATGATGTGGCTCTAGTCTCCACCAAATTCCTACTGCGTTCGTCGGTCTTTTGTTTTCTTTGTTGTGTTTCAAGGGGACGGCAGATGTAATGATCATGGCTCAATTCGCGTCGGCGTTAGGGATACCACGGTGAAGAGATGGTTTCTCGAGTTGGCCTTTAGGGATAAGGCTAGGTTCAGGATGGGTGATATGGAATCGGCTTCTGGCTCGTGATTTCAAGGATACCCCTCGTAGCGCTGAAGGATTGGCGCACTGGAAGTTGGCTTTGCCGATGGTAATGGACTATTGGGTAGAAAGAGACTAGATCTACGTACGAATGACTAGTGTCGTTCCAATTAGACATTGATGATGAAATAGACACAAGATGATTGTGATTTCCACAACTAGTTCAAATGGCCTTGTATCTTACATCGCGTGTGCAATCCGCTATCAAACACAAAGTCAAGTCCAATCTAACTACATGATTTCACAGGTTCCTTTCTTACCACTTCCGCGCCCGCCGCGTCCATGTTGTTTCGTTGGAGGAACCCTCTTATTATTCACATACACAGGCGCCCGAGGAGGAGGCTGTGGTGGTCTCATAGGTCGAGTATTTGATCGTGGTGGAGGAGGTGGCGGTGGCGGCGGATTACCTCGGTAAGGACTCTTGTTCACAGGTGGTGCTTGAACTCGGTTAGTCGAGGGGAATAGTCGATACTGTCCCAGTTTACCTTCCTTTCCATTCTCAATATTCTGATTCTTGTTGTTAGGTTGTCGTACTTGAGGTTGAGGTTGAGGTTGATGTTGATGTTGGGCTCGAAGCCGGGCGTTAGTGGCTGCAGCGAGGGTACGCGGACTAATTGGACCTGTCGCAGGTCGTTGTTGTTTCCGAACCCCTGCATATGTAGGAGATGTTTTGTTGGTGTTGGCGCGACTCCGGGTGTTGTAGTGTGAGGTTGAGGGTTTGGCGACATTGGCGGTGTTGATTGGTGCAGGAGGTCCAGATGGGCGATTGAAGGTCTTTGTCGTCGTCGTCGCGGTGTTAGTTGTAGGTTGTGCGAATGACGACACGTAGTATTCCGGTTTAAAGGCCGTCATGGGGTCTGTCAATGGGAAATTCGGTCGTTGACCGGGAAAACTAGGAGTTTCCCTCGTTGTGATAATGGGTTGTCGAGTCTCAGTCTTTGTTGCACGAGTGGCCTTGTCTCCTCCTCCAGCTTTGGCCTTCCCATTTCCTTCGATCGCCGCTTGTCTTGCTTTCCGTGCCCCGCGACGAGCGATCGTGGGACTCTTGGGCATGGGGTGATCAAACTCGAAGACGTGGTCTGGGATCGTCGGCACATCCACGGGGCCTATGGTCCTCCCTCGTAGACCGAGACTGGATCTTGACCCGCTTAGGTCTAAGCCTGGTTGATTGATCGAGGCGAGGTCGTTGACTGCGTTGCCAATCCGATAAGTCATTTTCGATACCCGTTGGCCATCCTTGCGGCGCCGCAGCGGATCGGCAATGCCATCGGTGGCAGGGGTTTTTGCGTTTCCTGCCTTGTTGACCGGGGATTGAGCTGTGCGACTTCGTTCAGCAAATAAAGGGCCATTGTTGCGATTGGATTGGGGTGCGACAGTGGCTGTCTTTGTCGCTTTGCTCGGGCCACCACGAGATGTCGCTTGACGAGTTGATGTGGGAACTGGAAATGTAGGTAAATCACGAAGAGAAATCGGTGAGACAGGTGAGTTCAAGTCATATTCTGGACCGAAGTCGGGGCTGATCATTCCCTCGCCACCAGTATTGGTGGGATACCCTCCAGGAAATCCCTTGCTCGGGTTGTACGCAGCTGAGGCGTTGGCGTTTTTTCCTGGAAGTGGATCGAGGTCCATGCGATCGCTGTGGCCGCTGTGACGGTAGCAGAACTCCCTTGACATATTGACAACTTCATGTGCCAGCTTCTCATTACATGCTGGCCCAGGTTGATGGCAGTTGGCCTTTTCACGCTCCTTGCATTTGCAGGCATAGATAGTGACCTTGGAGTAACACATGGCGTGGTGATCTGTAGATTAGTTTGAAGCGGATACTAAGATGTTATTGAGGTAACATGAGACGAACAAGGCTACAAGAAGGATAATAACAGATAAAAGCTACTTTGCAACGATCTCTGCTCGAGGTAGACTCGATGATGGCGCTTTGTTAGGTATCGCCGGAAGCGGTGGATGGATATCGAATGCAGAATCCACAGGGCGTATTCTTTGTCTGACCTGGAGTGTGACATTCTCGAACTCTACCTTACCATTGACAACTTACTAAAGAAGCCCAAGGGCAATGAACAAAAGACTCGTGGTCGGATAGGGTGTTCATGGATAGCAAGAACGTGATGCTTGACGCTCCCAGTGCATTGCTGTGGTTGGGTGTGTTTTTTGCGGATAACATGTTGCAGGTCGTGGTGTACAGTTCTCATCCGGAGTTAAACAGCTTGTTCGATAATGGAGCAGACGTTCAAAGTCATGCTTCGTGTTCTGGAAGATGCCGTGATGGAGAGAATCATGTGCAACACTCATTTAAACAAGTTGAAGCTCCAAATAAAAGTATGATGCCAAGGCGCTATTCGGTGCTTGGCGCATGGTTGCTCTGCCAACTTTATTTTCATGTCCAAAGTGGAGATTCCACAACATCCGTCGTATCTCCCTCCAAGCATGCGTCAATGTCAAATCCTATTCGGCCAGGAATTCTCCGCAAGACCCTTGCTCACAGGAAAATCCAAAGTCCCGCACTGTTTCCATTGCTTATATCGCACTCGACAGCGCATGGACACATTTCTGGTCTGATCACTACAACTGCATCTGCCTATTGGTAAACAACGCTGGTCGTTTTCTTCAAGATGGACCGACCTCCATCTCCTACACGTCTTCCTCCGAGCTATGCTGATGGACCACCATCCTACAACAACACTGCGACTCCCGAGGACGACAATATGAGTACCCCAGGAAATAACTCGTCGTTGAGATTGCTTCCGCTTGGACAAGAGGATTATCGATCGTATGTGGCAGGCCCTGATGTTTCTACCCCGAGCAATGTACCCAGTTCACCCCAGCGGAAACCGGTCCCATCGCCAAAGCTATCGCACGTTACGTGGGAAGATTCTTCGCCTCGTTCAAAACCACAACATGCCAGAGTCGATTCACAAGTATCGTCACTAATAGCTGAGGTTGAGGACAATCTTGAACGTACCCGCGATACATGTACCTTTATTGGCCGGGCCCCTACCTTGAAAGCTACCGTCACCCTGAGAAAGACCCAAAGTACTGACAGATGTCCCCCTTATAGCTCTACTTCAAGTCGAACTTCACCCGATCGATATCACCGCCCAGGTGTGTCAACCGCATACAGCTCTCGACCTGGATCGAGCCTAGGTCGAGCACCTTCAATTCCGCTACCCACAGCAAACCCTCGATCGCCCATCCGACCCTCCACTCCTTCGAGAGCGCCGACGGACTGGGGAAGACCGTCCAGTGTCAATTACGAACCCGCCGATCTGAATGGTAGCCCGCGGCCCGGCACCCCGTCTTCACAATATGGAGGCAGTCCTCGAAGGCCGCTTCCACCAGCACCGCTCTTCTCTGCAAAAGGTGCTCCTTCAGAGACAGCTATTCCAATTGATCCTGAATCTGAGAATGATGTCTTTGTCAATGGCCGTGAGATCCGCCCCGACCATGACCCTAGGTCAAGTTTGAAATCAGCACATTCTTACCTGACCGACTCGACCTTCACCGAAGAGGATGATGAAGAAGACGCGAAATATGGTGGTTATGAGCCTGCACCTGAAGGCAAACAAGACAGACGAGGTTTACGAGATGCCATGATGACCAAAAAGGAAGTGCGATTGATTAATGGAGAGTTGATCTTGGAGTGCAAAATTCCGACCATTCTACACAGCTTCCTGCCCAGAAGAGACGAGAGAGAATTCACACACATGCGGTACACAGCAGTGACGTGTGACCCTGATGATTTTGTGGTCAACGGATATAAGCTCAGGCAAAACTTCGCACCCACACTCCGCGAGACTGAGCTTTTCATCTGCGTGACCATGTATAATGAGGGCGAGATCGAGTTTACCCGGACAATGCACGGGATTATGCGCAACATCTCTCACTTCTGCTCAAGGACAAAATCAAGAACATGGGGCAAGGACGGGTGGCAGAAAATCGTGGTCTGTGTTATTGCAGACGGCCGCCAAAAAGTCCATCCTCGCACATTGAACGCTCTCGCCGCGATGGGTGTGTACCAAGACGGCATTGCCAAAAACGTGGTCAACAAGAAAGAAGTGACTGCTCATGTGTATGAGTACACCACCCAAGTTTCATTGGACGAAGGCTTGAAGTTCAAAGGGGCTGAGAAAGGCATCGTTCCTTGTCAGATGATTTTCTGCCTCAAGGAGAAGAACAAGAAGAAACTCAACTCACATCGATGGTTCTTCAATGCATTCGGCCGCGCTCTGACTCCCAACGTCTGTGTGCTCCTCGATGTTGGAACAAAGCCTGACTCTAAAGCCCTATACCATCTCTGGAAAGCATTCGACCAAGATTCTAACGTTGCTGGAGCTGCCGGAGAGATCAAAGCTGACAAGGGCAAAGGCTGGATGGGATTACTCAACCCTCTGGTTGCGTCTCAAAACTTTGAGTACAAGATGAGTAACATTCTGGACAAGCCTCTGGAATCCGTCTTCGGCTACATTACCGTCTTGCCTGGCGCCCTTTCAGCGTATCGATATTACGCTCTCCAGAATGATCCCAGTGGCCATGGTCCTCTCAGCCAATATTTCAAGGGAGAAACACTTCATGGCCGTGATGCCGATGTTTTCACAGCAAACATGTACCTGGCCGAAGATCGAATTCTTTGCTGGGAGCTGGTGGCCAAGCGCGGTGAACAATGGGTCCTGAAATTCGTCAAAAGTGCATATGGAGAGACGGATGTTCCAGGTAAGACGGTCCAGTCTATATGCAGATCGTATAAGCTAATCAAAGTCCAGATACTGTCCCCGAATTCATCTCACAGAGACGAAGATGGCTCAATGGTGCTTTCTTCGCCGCTGTATACTCTCTTGTCCACTTCAAGCAAATCTGGCGGACTGATCACACTCTCGCCCGCAAGATTTTGTTGCACATTGAATTTCTCTACCAGCTACTCTCCCTCCTATTCACCTTTTTCTCCCTCGCAAACTTCTACCTCACCTTCTACTTCATTGCAGGATCTCTTGCGGATCCGCAACTTGACCCTTTCGGCCACAACATTGGAAAATACATTTTCAATATCTTGCGCTACATCACGGTTCTGTCGATATGCCTCCAGTTCATCGTCAGTCTGGGCAACCGGCCTCAGGGTGCCAAGAGGCTGTTCCTCGGAACCATGATTACTTACTCGATCATCATGGCCTATACAACTTTCGCATCCCTCTATATCGTGATAAAACAGCTCACTCAACATACTTTGGAGCCAGTCGATCCTGACGACCCCTACAGACTTGGCAACAACATCTTGACTAACCTGATTGTGAGCACTCTCAGCACAATCGGACTCTACTTCCTCATGTCATTCCTGTACCTAGACCCATGGCATATGTTCACCAGTTCAGCCCAGTATTTCGCACTTCTTCCGTCTTACATCTGCACACTCCAGGTGTATGCCTTCTGCAACACTCACGATGTCACCTGGGGCACGAAAGGTGATAACGTTCTGCACACGGATCTTGGCACCGCCAAAGCCACCGGATCGGGCAATACGGTTGAAGTCGAGATGCCTTCAGAACAGCTCGACATCGACTCTGGGTATGATGTAGCTTTGCGGAATCTCCGAGACCGAGTCGAAGTGCCCAAGCCTCCCGTCAGTGAGTCTCAAATGCAGGAAGACTACTACAAGTCCGTCAGAACCTACATGGTGGCGACTTGGCTAGTGTGCAATGCCATTCTTGCCATGGCGGTTTCAGAAGCATATCCCGTCGGTCACAGCATCGGTACCAATGTCTACCTGATCTTTCTCTTGTGGGCCGTGGCGGCACTGGCCATCTTCCGTGCTATTGGGTCTAGTGCTTTTGGCATCATCAACATCATCAGTGCCATCGCAGAAGGCAGGATCCAGGCAAAGTTCGAAAGAATTTTTGGTGGCGGTGACGAGAATGGTCGACATCGTAAGGGGTTGGGAAGTGGAATTAGTGAGAGTGGCAAAACAGGAATGACTTCTTCCAGTGGCGGCATGAGTCTGAGCGATATTGGCAGTCGCATCAGCGAGAAGTTGAGCTCGCGAAAGTAGTGCTTTGTAAGAACAAATGACTGGTAATGTGTTGACAAGAGTTGGAATGAAATGGCCCAGTCTCATGGCGTCTTTGGGACCTAGAGTGTTTGCAACAGGTGTTTGATGCTATCATGTGGTTTGCCATGAGGAAATGGGATTCGGGAATTGTGATGATAAAGAGTTCAAGGCTTCCCCCGGTATTAAGACGGCGTGTTTTATTGATCTGAGCCGGATCATTTTTCTACTTATCTGGACTTCGTCTTGGGAGGACAGTAATACTTTAAAAGTTGTTAGCTTCGTCCTGGAGTTTCTCCTTGCCCTGAATAGGCCTTCAAGGACGTCATTATGAACATGGCACGGCGGTGACCCAACTCCCTCATGTGCCTAGATGAAATTATAAGTTAGTCGAGGAGCAGGGGCATGCGAGCAAACATGTCACGCTAGCCTTCAACTATTTATGGTTGTGAAATATTGAGGAATCAAGACATTTTATGCGGGTTTTGACTGAAGACAGAAGCATTTTTGGTTACCACACCGGTGTTTTTCTATTTTTCTGACTATAACTTTGCGCCTATTACTTTTCTTTCACTTACCGTTTAGACCCTCTCCTGCAGCGTTCTTCGCCGTTGCGTAAATACTGCCAAAGAATGAGACCTACCTTTTCGTGTCGCCTGGATTGACTGTGCTCCTCACTTACCTTGCCATGGAGATTCTGATAGCCCTGTGCTCGATCAGATCTGTGTGGCTTGACGCCATTGTTTGTTATGGGCATTCAGTCGTTCGCGAGCTTCGACATGACGTACCTGAGGCAGGCGGTGTGCTGGGCGCCCTTTCTTGGTCGATGGAACCAGAACCAGCCATGCCGCTGATGCACCAGCCGAGAAACCGGCAGCATAGTTAAGAGACAGATGGTTCGGGACCAGGACTGGGACAACAGGATGGGAGGTGACGGGAGTCAATAGAGTCTCGTCATAGCTGCTCCCCGGACTGGCTGATCGATATCGGTCTTGTCGTGCTCGTCGTCGTCGTCTCTCCTCTTTAGCTCGTCGTTCCAGTCGTCTATTTTCGTAGAAGGCAACATCATGGGCAAGCATGATACGCTCTTCTTCTTCTTGCCGGGCTGGATCAGGAACTGGATTCAAACCTGCTCGCATACGTCGGATTTTCTCCTTGAGCTTACGCTTCTCCACCATCTCTGCCTCCTGTGCTGGACTCAAGATCGCAGCAGGATTGATGCTACCATACTCGGCAGAAAGACTGCTGAGGGGTTGAAAAGACTTCAAAACATCAGCAGGTTCCGACGCGTCGGTACCATCGATAAAGTCAACTGGGTTGAAGTTGAAATCTGGCAGAGAGAATGTTGGGGCTGGCATGGAGGAGGAGGATACAGGCTGAGTCACTGCCGCTGGAAGAGGATACGCTTGATTGGGCGTCGCATACAAGGGCATAGGAGCCAATTTGGTGTCGTATTGCTCTGGAGTCACCCCGTTGTTCTGAAGGGATCTCGGAGGTCCTGAAAATAGAGGCGCAGGACACCACATGAGCGAGTAACCAGGGGGAGGATACTGCGGAGCCCCGTGGACTGGGACAGCGCCGTTAAATAGAGGAGATGAGGCAGCTGAAGCTCCGAACAAAGGTGCTGGGATCAAGTCAGACATGGCAGCAGGCTGATAGGGTTCAGAATATACCATGTTGTTGTCAGCTGATGGAACTCCTTCACCATTGTCATTCTCCTGCAAGAAAGCTGTCAATGTTTCGAGCATCTGAGTGTCGGATGTATACGACTCTGGCGCTAACAGCGCTGTGTCAACCTGGTTGTCAACCTGTGGCACAGGTGCAACAGTATCGAACGAAGGCAATCCGGCGCTTGAGTCGAACTGGGAAAAGTCATACTCAAAGTCCCCATTGAAGATGGAATCAGATGTGAACATGAGATCTTCGTCGGCGAACGTGGTATCAACTACCGAATTAGAGGACTCGATGGAGATGTGTTCTGTCATTCTGAAGGTCAAGGGTCAGCGCTTCCTTTTTCTCTGGCTTCAAGGAGACTCGATTTGTCTAGATTTTGCGTGTATTTGTTTAGATGCTGTGTGTAATAGTGACTGTTTTCACGGCTGACTGTCAAAATTCCAGAAAGTGTGCTCGAAGTAAACTCTGGATAACAATCAACCGTGTTAAATTGTTTTGTTGTGTGGTGAGGGAGAGAAGTGTTCTGGGTCTCGAGTCATCCCGCAGAATAAGTAGGATTGAGATTCGGGCTGGGTGGTTAGACATGAAAACAATGGCCGATTGAGGGCACAATGATATGATTCATTCTCAGTCACACCTTTTCTTATGAACAAGATGAATGCCATTGTGCTTTGTTCGTGAATAAGGTGACTGCCATGGTCCGAAGCCCCAGTTTATGGATCGGCTTTGATCTGTCGTAAAGGATCCTTAGTGTTGCAAGACTGAAAGAGACTTGCTTTCAATTTCGTTGGTCTTTGTGTTCGTGAATCAAACTAGACAGGCCCGTGAAGCTTTTACAAGACATGTCTCGTCCATGAGAATCCGCGCCGCGGAGTCACACTGTTTAGTTGTAACGTCTTTCGACAAACAGCGTTGATCAAACACAAAGCCCTTTTGATTTCTTAAGATCGACCCTTTCCTTCAAATCAACTACCCACCTAAGTCCTTTAACATTAATTGTAGACCATACTTTCAAGATGGGGACTGACTACGCCGGTCTCGTTGGCATCATCCTAGCCGCTCTTTCCCTATGCGCAATCTTCGGATACATTATATACAGAGTGCATACATACTCTGGCACCGGGGAGCGAGCTAAGGTGGAACAGATGTGCCATAAATCCTGGTACCCGGATGTTGAGCGGCAAGAAAAACCACGCGGTCGTTCTCCACCACCAGTGAGCCCTCGTCAAAAGGCCGAACTTACCCGCCAACCCCATAAGCTATACCATCCACGAACCGGATTTGGGGCAGATCGAGGTTTTCAGCTATCAAGCCAATGGCAAGGCTCCTCTTCAGGGGGAACAGAGCGTGGTAGGTCACCACCCGCCGTTCCCTTACCGCAACCATTACTAATTAAAAATAGGAGCAACGACCGTGGCCCGGCCCTTCGAGCGACGCAACGCAATTTCTCACGTGGACCTTACGCTGCCCTTGATAAAACCGGCTTGAAGGAGGTTGCACCCGCCCCACCGCCGAAGGACAAGCCTACGAGCCCACAAGATGACCTAGGAGAAATCAACCCTTACAAGATCAAAGAAAGCGTGTCGCTAGTCTCTTTATCAACCTATGTTTCCAGGCCTCAACATGTGTCCAATGATGACATTCTTTTTGCACCAAGGACCAGTCCGAAGGCTGCGGGGAAGAATTGGATCTGACGAGCTAAGAGCAGGGGTATTGAACAGTTTAAGAAGACGCAAAGCGTGAAACAACGGCATGGAGGTTCTTCGATTGAAGGCTTCTTACTTGAGGAAAATCTTTACAAACAAAAAAAGTGTAGACATGTTTCAAAGCTTCTTAGGAAGACAGCATCAACCTCATATTATACATTAACATTGTCATCCAAAAGAAATCTTATTCTAGTCAAGGTCGTTCAAAGGTATATACATGAATAGCCAAGTGGCGTTTCGGCGTCATCTGCTCAAGGACCGCTTGACGGTGCTCCGTTGAGCTTGAAGTAACCGGGCTGCAGATTCTGGTAGACACCCGTGGGATCATACTTGGTTGAAATCTGCTTCAGTTTCTGTTGATTTGATGATCCATAGCTTGGAATCACGGCCTGGAACTGACTGGCGTAGTTCATGTACAAGTAGTCCTCGTACAGATTGCGCTGCTTGGCCAAGGCGTCTGAGCGCTTGACAATGTTGGAATTAGCCTTCAAGATACGGCTATCGTCAGCCGAGTCGGTCCACATCATGTTCAAGTTGACTAGGAGGAATGGACCGGCGGAGGCAGGCAGGCCAAGCGGGTTTCCTCCATTCTTGCTCATAGCATTCAATTGGCCCATTGTGATGACCTGGAGTGTCAAAGCAGGGACAATGCCGTTGGCATTTCTGATGGCGTTCAACTCATCAAAGAAAATATCTTTGATTGAGGTAACGAGAGCATTGTCCAATTTGTAGGTGGCAGTCCAGTATGTCTGGCGCAATCCGTTGGGGTTGCTGGCGCTAAATTGCTCAGTCAAATCGGTGAGAGTGCGGACTTGGGTATTGTCCACGATAGGTGTCAGGGCAAAGAACTCATTGAATATGGGAGCGTTGGCGATTGGTTTGGCATAAACCAGATCGGCTGCGACAAGGTCCATGCCAACGGATTGTGCATAGGCAAAGGACACAATCTGAGATGCACTTGTGTCTGTTGGACTGTTCACCCCCAGGTTGACAAAGGCCGAGATGACGGCGTCGAATTGGTCCGGGGTATGGACACGAGAGCCACCCCAGATTTGGTGACCCGGCAGAGAGAAAGCGTTGAGCGTGAATTTGGTCACGATGCCAAAGTTGTTGCCACCGCCTCGTAATGCCCAGTAGAGGTCCTTGAAGGACGACGGAGTTGCAGTAACTTTCAAGCCGCTGGCTGTCACCACATCGAAGCTGGCAACATTGTCGGCGGCAAACCCATAGATGTTGGAAAAGAATGAGATGCCGCCACCTAGGGTAAGGCCACCGACACCAATATCGGCGACGCGTCCACCGATGACAGCGATGTTGGATGACTGAAGGGTGCTGTAGACATCGTGCCAGACGTTACCAGGACCAATGGCAACAGTCTTCTTGTCACTGGAAATGGTGATCTGATTGAGGCGTTGGAGAGAGATCGTGATGCCGCCATCGATGCTCGAAGCACCAGCAAAAGCAGCATGACCACCAGACTTGACGGCGAAAGGGCACCTAGTCAGTCGTGATATCAAGACTGCTACCGAGACATCGGCGTCCGATCCGGGCTTGAAGATGCAGAATGGGTCGACACTGGCCTGTTGCACCGACCAGTAGGAATCGGTGAAGGTTTGGTACGGAGAGGAGCCCTGGCGGAGGACATTGGAGCCATACAGCAGCTTCAGCGATTCACAGGCAATGGTACAGCCGACAGTGGATGATCGCTCTTCAAGAGCTGCAAGTTCAGGCAATGCGGATACATTGACGCCTTGAAGCTCCAACGCTTCTGTGATGTTGAAGTCGATTGGTTCAAAATTGTCTTGGGCGACCACCGAACACGTGGTTGTGGCTACAAGTAGCCAAAGGGACGAAGTGAAACGCATCCTGCAGGTAGGGTTGCTTAGAGGGTTTAGATGTCTTGGATTAAGCAGACAACAAGAAGAAAAAGAATAGCGTGATAGGTTTAGTTTTGTACTTTCTCAGTACGTCCGCCTCTCAAGGGGAATTGTTACAAGGGAGAATAAGTGTACAACAAGTAGTGTTTGTCGAAATGCTGCAAGGGACCATGGATCCCCCGTGTCATCATTAATATCCCTAATGCAGGTACCTGGTGCGCCAATGCTCGCCTGGTGAGTTGAGCTATTGAGACTGGCTCGTGGACGATGTGGAACAATCCACGGCGAGAGATTACACTTTCTATTCCAACCCTTCAGAAAGTCAGTCACTTTAGTCAGGAGAGCAGTGCCACGTTGGCGGAGATGTCTACGGAGGTAAGGAATACAAGATAACCAGACTCATTAACCTGATCTGGGAACCACGTTGTCTTGTCATAGTGAAGGATCCATAAAGAGTACACTTCAAAAAACCACTAGTCATTCAGCTAACGCTTTCGAAGTCGCATTTCTCATGATCTAGACAAATTGATGTATAGACTATGTTAAATCAAGTCCTCATATCTACTGTCGGAGGATGTTCAGAGAATGTTTCGGAACGGGGCGTTCTCGCAAATACGTGCATATGAATAGTTCCTACGAGTACTCGCGGGTGGCTGAATTGCCTCGAAACGAACGCCCAATTATCGGCCCGCCGCGGTTGGCTGTTGCCAACTCCGCAAACAACAGATGTTGGATCCGAACTCGCCTGAATCTTACCTATCGACGCCGAGGCAAAGGGGCGTGCAAGGTTATCAAACGCCCAGAAGACGAAATTGCGCCAGTCCTATGGGCCCCGCCCACTCAGGCCTTATGCCAGAGCGATACCTAAATGCGACAGCTAACTGATATAGTGCCTCTTGGAAATTTCTTCTATTCGTGCAGCAATCCTCAGGGATGGATGGGATGGATTCCTCAGACACGGGATGACTTTAGTGAGGATACTGTTATCCAGGTCTGGTAAGGTACCGAATGGCAGTGCAGAAATTGCTATTCACCATGAAAGTAATTCTTCACCCTCTTGATTGCCCCTCGATTCACTCGAGTTAATCCAGAATCCCACAATTGCGGAGACAATGCCCAAAGTTACACTAGCCACGCCGTTGTGCGTGAGGCCTCCCAACTTCTCAACACGCAGATCTCGGATAGGTACTCAGTAATACAGTAGCCAGACTCCGCAATTGTCTCGACCCTTGTGCGACACGTTGTTACCAGGTGACTGACAAGATCATCCTTGTGCGAGGTCAAAATCTCGGCCCCTGATTAATAAAAAGTCATTGCATCGCGTGGGTTCTGACAGGTGTGGCGAAGAGGGTTTTTCTCTGACAGGTACTCCTCACGAACCGTTGGGTTTCGGGAGCATCTGGGATGATCCTGAGGTCAATCCTTACTCCGTAGGTGCAGCTGTAGTTCCAACGCTGATGAGCATGGCGCAAGGCAGCGGGACACCTTTTGATCAACCCACCCGCACAATCCGCACTAATCATTCTCAAAAGTCTTCACCTGCGCCAGATGCTGGACGTGCAGAAAGAGCTTGCCCCACCTGGAAAGGCCCGTGGCCATCAAAGTTTAGGTCGACCTCGACACTAAACGGCTTCTGGTGTCTTGGGAGCTCGCAATGTTTTTGCACAGAGCCAACAAAAGCTACTCCATACTGTCCTCACCCAGGCTGGAAAAGCAGCGAAGGACCTGGCCTTGGTTACACCTTTTTCACGTGACAGGTTTTTTCTTTTTCTTTTCAAAAAGATGAGCAACATCCCCGTACTCAAATCCTGATGCTCGGCGTGCTTGGAAGCGATGCATGAGCCCAGAGACTCGGGTAAAGACCCAGCAGGCCCAAGTGGCATGCAGACCTGCAAGCTACAAATAAACGACCAAGATGACAGACTGCACGAGGACAGGGCTCGAGGTTAGCTCGCCGGTCGCCACCAACAAGATGGATCTTCAAAGTGGGGTCGGTTTTTCCCAGTCCTTCTTGTCCGCATATCTCTCAATCGAAGGCCATAGCACCATTCACCCCACCTCGGGCACCATGCTTGTCCTCTCAGGCTCCAGGCACAGTCTCGGTACTACTGTACGAGTGCCTGGGAGACCAAGACGCCTCGAACCCAATCCAAAGGGACCACAGTATGAAATATGTCCGGCATCGGGTGATCGCTAGCACTATCCTCACATCCGTAAAAAAAGGCAACTTGGCTAACACGGATCAAGGGTTCGCTCGAAACAACTCTAGTGGAATCGCATAGTGGCACAATTTTTCTTGTGTCGACGATATGCAGTTGTAACACCGGACCTAGGTCGAGTCTCTAGTCCTTAGGTCTGAACGGAAAGACTGTTCCTGAAAATCCCCTGCCTTCCTATGTTGTTATCGACAGGGACATATGCATGCTCTTGTTCAAGACGTTCCCTCCGAACCACGATTGACGCCCTTCTGAGCATTAGCTTCATTCCTTGCCCTTGGACCCCGGACAGCCGAAGGCTTGGAAAATCGATCGGTGTTCCAGTCTTCCAAGTTCAACTTCTAGCCTCAACATTTGCATACCTGACAGAAAACCCATATCACCAGCGCTTCCTCTGATAATGCTGTCTCGTCTCCTTGAGCGAGCTGCAAGCACCGCTGTGATTTCACATCTCGAATTCGCATACTCGTCCTGATTGCTGACCTGCCGACGTCGGTGAGAGTGGTCCACCGTCGCAAACATGTCTTCCTCTCAGAACTATGTCACCGAGGCCATGCTTCTCAGGACGTCCTACGCCATGATCGCCACCACCTCCTTCGTCTTCCTCCTCAGAGCAGCAGCAAGGATCTGGCAGCCTAAGCGTCTCGGGGCTGAAGATTATATCCTTTTGCTGGCATATCTTTTCTTCCTCACAACCGCCATACTGTACGTGGTGGTGACGCCGGCGATGTATCGGGTCACCAATGCAACCACGGGTATAATCCCCATGTATGCCACCATCTTGGAAGATAGCATGCTGCTCATCAGAATCTTTTTCGCCAACACAATGATCTTCTGGTTCACTCTATGGTATGTATAGGGGCTATCCTCTTCTCTCCACAAATGCTCACTTTATCCAGGACCGTCAAGTTCGCTTTCCTCGCACTCTACTATCGATTGATGACAGGAATTAAGAGATACATGCAGCTGTGGTGGGCTGTTCTAATTTTCTGCGTCGTGGTATGTCGTCTGATGGCCCCAAACCCCGATCCATCCTGCTGATTGACTCGTTTCAGACTCTTATTGGCTGCGTAGTCACCAATTTGACCTCTTGCTCCAGTATGCATGCATGGTTTACCCCTGGAGAGTGTACCACTCCTCGCGATGTCCGGGCCCAAATCGCCTCGCTGTACTATGCCTATGCTGTCGATGTCATTACTGATCTTATGATCATGTTCCTTCCTATCGGGTTGATCTGGAAGCTCCAGCGGCCCAAGCTTCAGAAGATTGGCATGGGTGTATTGTTTGGCATCGGTTGGATTTGCATTGCTATGGCCACTGTCCGCGTCGTTCAGATCGGTTCCAGAGCCGGCAACAACTCGACGCCATCGTCGTCCTGGTTGGCACTCTGGGCCATCATCGAGTGTGCCATTGCTGTCATTGTCGGTTGTGGACCAGGTCTATACTCAACGGCCAAAGATGTCAAGACCACTCGTGCCCAGACATATGGAAGTGGTCGGAACGGTTACGCCGGCCGTTACACTTGGCAGAGTGAAGGGTATCAAAGGCAAAAGAGTGCATCCCGCAGAGATGTGGAGATGGTGGGCATGTCAAGCAACATTTCGGAGGAAGGCTATGCGAAACGTGACCGCAAGAGCATCGACGCCCTGGACTACCACGGCGACCCTGAAACGAGCAGCCGCGAAGGGTTGACAGTCGACGCCGGCACGATTCAAGTCAAGCAGACGGTCGAAGTCAGCGAAGTCGACACCACAGGAGGCAATAAAGGCCGCGGTTATGGGTGGTGATTGCACTTGCAATGACTGAGGCGAGTGCTTGATAGCCCCTTGTACATTTCTTGCTATCAATGCGGATCTCGGCCCTCCCCTCTCGTGCAGGCATGTACAATGAAGCTGATGACCTGACGTGTGCGACGTACACTACTGTCAAAAACACACAAAATTGTTTAAACGCATTAAATGAGGAGTTTATAAGGAAAAATTTGTTCTGCCGTGGCTCCTTTCTCGTCAGGAGGGAAGCTTGATTTTGGAATGAATAGCTCTAGCGAGGGAGGTGTCTTGAGCTGTCAAAGCGAGTGCCACATTATTAAATAGACAGTTTTCTCCGCGTCAATTTTACATCATGCTACACACGTACTCGGGTCTTCTCATCTTGGTCTTGAGTTCTGGCCAGGGCATATGACTTGAACTTCCTTGCTGGCACTTGTTTGATGAACAACTCGTCGAGCATCTCGTAGGAGAGGCCGGAGGATTCCGGCTGGAAGTACCAAAGATAGCCAATGGAGAAGACGGAGATACCGCCAAAGATGAAGGTGACTTTAGCTCCAAGGTTTGCTTTGTTAGGGTTGAAGAGGTAAGGTAGAACAAAGCCCCACATGGTCTGTGTTAGCGGTCAGTAAGTAAGGGACTTTGCGAACAGCCAACATGGCACCTCTGTGAACTCACAAACAACGAGCTCTGGAGAGCAATAGAGATGGATGCTGTCTTGGCTCGGAGTCGCGGAGTGGCTATCTCGGTGAGGATAGAGAAAGCTGTGGCGCCGATGGTGGCATTGTAAATAAAACAATAGAGCAGCAGCAGGGCGATTGTGCCTTTGATAGCCCCTGGTGTCGCAGCTATAGCCAAGCCTATATTTCAAAGTTAGTACGTGCGGCAGATCATCGAATGATAAGCGTCGACAGTGTGCCACATGTTGGCTGGGGCGTCGAAGAGGGCGTGAGGGAGTTAACTACGCACCGCCAGTCACCATAAGGAGGGTCGTAAGGATGATCATCCCCCAGAACGTTAGCGGTCGCCTGCCGAGGCGGTCCACCAGAAACCAAGAACAAACATTGCCAGAGCCAGACAGCACTTGCTGAGCAATGAAAAGCCGAAAGCTCGCTGCTGTGCTATAGCCTGCAAGCTGTTGGTAGTAGGTGCTATAAGAAGCCACAAACGCAACACCAGAAAAGGTCTGAATAGTCAAAGGCATGGCTGACACCACAGTCCGCCGCAAATTCGAACGCTGGAAACATTCTGCATAGGTCGCTCCAGAGGTCTCCTCTTTGGTTTTTGCCAATACTCTTCTGATCTCCGATGCACGTGCTTCAGCATCTACGACATAACCTAGCCGGGACAATGCGTGAATTGCTCGGTCGTTCTGGTCTTGGTTGATCAACCACCAAGGAGATTCCGGCATGAAAGGGAGAAATATCAATGCAACGGCAACAAAGCCATAACTCGATATGAATGCCGTGCGGTACGCCCACCGAGTGGACTGATCTCCCGTGTAGGCCACCATGATCGCGGCCGAGAACGAGCCCAGGATAAGCGCGATTGGAGCGGCAGCGGTCAAGATACCGCGAAGTCGTAACGGTGTGATTTCGCCAATATACGTCATGCACAACGTGTTCACAGCCCCAGTAGAAAACCCTCCCACGAGTCTTCCGCCAAAGAACACCGGATTCGTGGTCGCCACGGTTTCCAGAGTAATGGACAGGATCCTGAAGCTGAGGACAAGTCCTAGGGCAGGTCGACGGCCGATCTTGTCAGCGGTCCATGCGACAGATATCGCGCCCATAACTGCGCTGCATCGCATCGGCTGCTTTAGTATTTCATCAGATGAATCATTGCCAGTACTTACGCTGCTTGTGGAGCGCCATAGTATGCAGCCTGCCAGTACGCTGGCAATACGTATTTGCCGTCAAAAGGGTCCCCGAAATCGTGCCTAAACTGCGGAATGCCGAGCACAGAGCTTCCCGTCGTCTTACCATAATTGTTGGCGAGGGTACACCAGAGCGCGTAGATACACCAAACTACTGCCCAGGTGTGCTTGTGTTTACGTTTGCCCAGCACCCTGAACATCGATTTCGAATCTGATGACGTCTTCGCCGGTGTCGTGGACACAACCTCGACCGTGATTTTTGGCTTGTCCATGTCGATTTTATTGCTGATGAAGCGCTTGACAAGGAGAAGAGCTTGAAAGAGAGCTGGGGCAGCTGCTCATAGCATACATCGATCGGGATCTTCATTACTGATCGCACATGGATCTTCTACTCTACGCTAATGCAAAAAAGAACTTGGTGATTAATCATCCTCTTGTTTCCGCTGGTTGGCTGGCATAGGCAAGGAGCCAATCCCTGAACGACCAACCACGGGCTATCTACAACAATTCCTTGATGGGAAATCAGGTAATAACTCTGTTCTCCACGGACGACAGGCAAATGAAACCGCATGTAGAAAGATGTTCGAGATTGCGCTAGTGGCTGCTTCACGATTGCTTAAGCGATATGCTCTTCCAACCATTAAGCTGTGGGCGAACAAAGTTGTCCGCGACTAATGACCCGTAACTCTGCCTGGCCGTTACGTCGATTTCCATTTCTAGTACAGGGCCTAGAATCGGTTCTAGTGGATGAGAGCCGAGATGCCTTAGCGATGCTTGGCTAGAGGACAAGCCAGGTAAGCTCAAGTCGGTGCCACTACTTAGAGATGGGGCGGGACAAGTCATCAGAGTTTGAGGAGGGGCACCAACCAGCTGAAACAGCGATTGTACCCATTGAAGACCGAGTCGACAATGCCGATATAAATGCGCATCAGCGCTGTCTCAGTTTCGTGACCGTTTGGCGACATCCTGGGACACGATGTCGCCCAAACGTGCGCGTCCACCACTCTTGTTCATTACCCAGGGTCCCAACACCTTTGGAGCCCAGCCCACGTCGGACGACGCTTTTGCCATAGCGTCTCATATTACCTCTCGTTACAACCGTTGGAGCAAGGTGAACCGCAAATCGCTGTCGCTTGACTCCACCACCAGGGCCATCTTAAGCAGAGAGACCTCCTTCAGTCATCCCATCCAACCTGGCCGATCTAAAGAGCCTCAAATCAAAGACGAAGACGACCAAGGGACAGTCTCAATTATCAATGATATCAATGTGGTCCAGTGGCACGGCTCTGTAAAGGAAGACGAAGAAGATGGCCAAACGGTATGTAAACCGTGGACGATAGCAAGGAGAGAGTTTGAACAGTGGGTTAATGCTCGTCTTGTGGAACCGGGAACTCAATTCTTGGACCCCTTTTCCAACAGCAATTACGATAGTGAAGTTAGGGCAAGTTTGTACTTCTATCTCAAAGTCATCCAACCATTTGCGACGCACTTGATCCCGGATTGGCAGTGGATAGACAATTTACCCCAGATTCAATCCTCTCCTCTGCTTGCCTATGCATTGGCTACCTATACGACGGTTTTCAAATCGGGAATGCTCAAAGGGTGAGTCATGACTCCAATGAGGAGCACTGCGACCCACATTCTGGAAGCGCTCAACGTGCTGACACACCACCTTTCCTGAACAGGGGCCCTGGTGTTGTGATTCCTCCGCTGCCAGCCAGAGGGTCACCGTCGGTCTGGCCTATTCCTCCGTGGCTACGTTTGCACACTAGATGCCTTGCGGAGCTGAACGCGCTCTTGAGCCGCAACGCAAGCATCGTCGACGACTCGTGCTACCAAGCTATTTTATTTCTGTACAGACTTTCAGTGAGTATGCTCTTCATCGTTGCAATCGGATTTTGAGTTGGCGTTACATGTTTTGGGGCGGTCAGTTGATTGCGATAGGTCCTCCTGGCAGATGGAGAGACTGGCAGGATGCATTATCAAGCTTTGAGACAAATAACAGCACTCAAAGGCATTGATGAGAGGGTCTTGGAGAAGGAAATGACAGTGCAAGTGCACCACAAGCAACAAGCATCGAGATTGGGACTGACCTCCGGCCAGGTCGAGAGTCAACATCATAGGATCATTTCTCCATCACGATTCGGTCTTTTTCGTCCGCTATACGAACGACAATGACCCAGGACAGTCAAAGGAGGTTGTCGAGCTGGACAGAAAGCTGTGGTCATGCGATCGTGAATGGTATAGTCACCGTGCATGTCTGGCCGGGCGAGAGCTCGCATGGCGTGCTGAAAGTCCGAGCGCCAATCTCCTTTCCCACAGCGCCATCGCGATTCACCGTATGGACCCCGGAAGTTGGGAACTAACCGAGACCGAATTTTCAGAGATCAGGCGTTGTTATCAGATCGCCATCTTCTTCTGGGTTTATCTTAATGCCATCAGCTTCAACACGAGTGCTCCGGTTATTCGCACAAACGTGGTCGAATTGAAGGATCGACTGTGTAATATGAATCTCCAAATGATGAGCTCGCGTTGCTATACGACATTGTTGAATGTCTTGATCGTGGGTACCAATGCATCTCGAGGTCAGCCAGATCGTTGGTGGTTCATAGACCAAATCATCAAGCTATATCCACAACTGGAGCACCTCGACAACATATTTCAGTCCTTGGCAGAGTTTTATGACCCGCTTTCGGTCAACTTTAATGTTCTCGAGGACATCTGGGACGACATATGCCGAGCGAAAAGACGTTCACGGCTCGAGAACACGGTCGATCACAAATTTCAAGTACAAGCCACTCGACCAATCATGCATACTCGTCCCACAACATATAGACCTGATCTCACAAAGCGATACGTCAGGGTCGAAATCCATGACGACGGCACCAATTCAGCAGAGGAAATGCTTTATTTAGGGTTTGAAGATGTTAAAAAAGATGCCCATCTAGGCGTGTGACCCAAGTCAGATTTGAGCAGAGTAATCTGTGTTCCAAAAGTCGACGACGTCAAAATCGAAGAGTGTCTCAGAAAACGGATTGAATGTTTGCTGGGCCATGAATGCTTCCAAGTCGGGTACGGGTGGCTCTGGATTCATGTTCATCCTTGGTGGAGGCATCGAGTGGTCGGGCTTGGAAGAAGTTTCTGGAGTGTCGACCATCGACTCGGGAGTCAGCTGAATGACTTGTCCCAACATCAGATTCTCGTGTAGTCTCGCAATCCGATCAGCAGTTTGCTGTGCCAAAACCTCTGTCGATGGCGATTCCGGCAAGACTTTGCGTGCGAGGCCGGCGGCACTTGACCCAATCCAAAATTCATAGAAACCTTGCCCCAGCCTTCCTATTCGAGACTCTAGAACCCCTAACCCTTCCATCGTAAGTTCTAAGGCCTTTTCCGGGTCCAGATTCAAGCTGGTGTGGCTAGAATGAGAGATGCAGACGCAGTGGGATGCGGCCAAACACGCACGGAACAAGACTTCTGAGAAGTTGCAGAAGGCCAATGCGCGGTTCAGAGGCATGCGGACGTACATCTTCAGTGTTGTCAATGCGGCGTCCTGTCGTGCGGCATGTGAGTAGAAGTTTCTTGCAGGTGTGTCGTTGGAATGCCTATCAAAACCCTGATGGATGAGCATGATGTACTCATAAAGTATCAATTTGGACAGGTCTTGTGCAACGACAGCAGACGACTTGTCTTTCCATAAAGGGAGTCGTTGGAGGGCTTCTCTTAGTCTCTGGTCGTAGTCCAAGGCCATCTCAATGTCTAGACCAAACCGTACGCTGTTGATGCGTGTCAATATCTCTATACGAAGTGGCAGTGTCTGCTGAGCTAGATATAAAAAGGAAGTCCTGGTGGGGTCAGTCAACTCTCTGGGTGCTGGTAGTTCTTGCATATCAGGATCGAGGTCCTCATCGTGGATGTTGATTGGCGGCAAGCAGTCCCACTCATATGGTTGTACCCCTGGACATAGGCCACGATCGAGCGAAGCTTGTAATTCAACCTCGACAATGGTGTACCACAAGCGCCGGCGCATCTCTTGGTCAAAGACCGAAATGGAGGCACGTTGGAAACTAGGTTCACGATGCAGTCCAGCCGCCATGGCTGATCGCAAGACTTGTCCTGCCAATGTCCATTCTCGCTTGACTTTGACACGGTTCAACCGTTTGGCGATGAGAAGTAACACCCACACCTGGAAATTGTCCAAAGTCACGTGCTTGTGGCTTTGTTGCTCATGCCACAGCCCACAGATGTCAATCCATTCCACAGCGGCATGATGAGCAGCAGAGCTGCGTCCGATGAAGCCTGAAGGGCCACCGGGGACAACAGAGTTGACACAGGCACATACAAGGAGCAACTGGACCAAAAAGGAGGGAGAGGTGCTTTCAGGAGATTTCCAGAATTCCTTGTAACGTTGGAAGAAGGTGGGACTATGGAGGACGCGGTAAGTTGTCTCAAAATTGGAAAAGTATTCCTGGACGAGAGCATCGCACCGAGTAGGTTCGGGCACCAGTCTCAGTAACGCAGCTAGGTCAGGGAGGGTTGGATGGTGGTTCTGGGAATGTCTTTTCTTTTTCCAGACCGCTCTTGATTTCTCCAGGGCAGGAACCCGGGTCAGGACTTCTTTGGCAAAATTAGATAGCTGGTCGGAATGCGAAAGGATATTGGCGGCATGACTAGGACCATAGTATTTGGTTTTGAGGCCCTTTCCCCGGAATAAGATTGGCTTTTGGTCTGGCGAAAATGCGACAGGCAAAGAGGTCCTAGCAAGTCGAGGAAAGTCTGGCTCGGAAGTGAGGTGAGCTGGCGGCAATCGTCCTGTAGGTGAACTTCGCACGCAGTTCTCCAGCCATTCTATTCGCTTCTGTAACTGCAGCGCAGACTGAGCTGGTGAACGCGCAGCTGATGGTGCTATAACGGCGCCAGTTTGCTGCACTGGCGCTGGGGTTTGCTGAGCAGCATCCTTAGACTGAGCATGCCAAGCAGTAGCTTCGTCTGTCCACGAAGAGACTGATTGCTCTCGAGGGCGACTTTGACTTGCATCTGAGGGAGTGGGGAGTGTATCTGTTGATTTGGTGACGCCAGTATATGGCACATAGTCACAAGCAACTTCGCCTTTCTGACATCGGACACAGGTTGGAAAGGTTCGATCACACCGGACCTTGCGACGACGACAGGCGACACATGACAAGGCTAGGCGGCGGCGTTTCGCTCCCATAATGACAAAGCCAAGATATATGGCTGTACCCTATTTGACTCCCGGATGCACTCTCGTACGGGATCCAGCTTGGTGAGGGTCGTGGACACCAGCAACGGACAGAAGAACTCTTTAGTCCTGCGTGATACAGGCATCCAGAAGACTGTAACGTTCGCTGTAGAGTTTTCCCCCGTCTGAGATCACAGGTCAGATATTCAAGCGATTTTGATGTGCATACGTGAAACTCGACAAACCCACCAAGAATACGGTCTGGATTCGTAGGTACTCCGTAGGAAGACGCTGATGCCTGGCAGACTGTTGATCCTCCTCGGGCTCGGTCGTATCTGTCGGCTTTATTCAGTACGAGCGAGATTCGACGTCATTGAACGCCGGGAGGAGAGTGGATTAGAAAGGACTCTCGGTATACCTGCCTTTAGTGTCAGATCACGTGGAACTGGTCGCGCCTTCCTTGTCGATTTGGTGCATTCAGTCTTGGCATTAGGCTGCTCCTGCGGCAAATTCAGTCTCTGCAGAACCTTCTCTGCCGCTCCAAAATTTCACCCTCTCTTCTGCCGTCTTCGCCTCTTTGCCTCTTCACCATCCTCTCCATCTCGCTTTTCTCATCACCTTCCATCATTTCTGAAGGGTTTCATCCTCGCCGCTCTCTCTACCATCCTTTACTTCTCGAATACTCGGGCTCGTCGATTCTTCAGACCTCTGAACAACGTCTTCTCTTTTCTCTTTGTTTTCTTCTTAATCCAATCTCTCTCTAACCCGCCAAACTGGCTCCAGACATGTCTTACGGCGGTGGCTACGGAGGTAGCTACGGTGGCTCGCGCGGCGGCGACTACGGAAATTCTAACGGGTAAGTTCTCTAGAATGATCGTGCTGCAATGTTGACCTATCTCCACCTTTTTTCTCTTCGTCACCCCCGGGGTCTTCCCGACCCATCATCTCCTATCAGAATAGCACCTAATCAGTCTTATAGATACTACAATGGTCACTCCAATTCCCACGGCGGCGGCTATGGCGGCGGTTACGGCGGCTCGAATGGCTACTCTGGCGGCGGTGGTGACAAAATGTCTCAACTGGGCGCAGGGCTTAGGACTCAAACTTGGGATCTCGCCACACTTCCCAAATTTGAGAAGTCTTTCTACAAGGAAGATCCTGCTGTCACTGCTCGGTCGCAGCGTGAGGTCGACGAGTTCCGCAAGGCCAAAGAAATCACAGTCCAAGGTCGCAACGTTCCTCGCCCTGTCGAAACATTCGACGAGGCCGCTTTTCCAGGATATGTGATGTCTGAGGTCAAAGCCCAGGGATTCCCCAACCCTACCGCTATTCAGTCCCAAGGCTGGCCCATGGCTTTGTCAGGACGTGATGTGGTCGGAATTGCAGAAACTGGGTCCGGCAAGACTCTCACCTACTGCCTTCCTGCAATTGTTCACATCAATGCTCAACCACTACTCGCTCCTGGCGATGGCCCCATCGTCCTTGTACTCGCCCCTACTCGAGAACTCGCTGTCCAGATCCAGCAAGAGATTACAAAATTCGGCAAGTCATCCCGCATTCGAAATACCTGTGTCTACGGTGGTGTTCCCAAGGGCGGTCAAATCAGAGACCTTGCCCGCGGTGTCGAAGTGTGCATCGCAACTCCAGGACGTCTCATCGACATGCTGGAAGCCGGCAAGACCAATCTGCGACGTGTAACATATCTGGTTCTTGACGAGGCTGACCGCATGTTGGACATGGGTTTTGAGCCTCAGATTCGCAAAATCATTGGTCAAATTCGCCCAGACCGTCAGACTTGTATGTGGTCTGCAACATGGCCCAAAGAAGTGCGACAACTTGCATCCGACTTCCTCAACGATTTCATCCAGGTCAATATCGGATCTATGGATCTCTCTGCTAACCATCGCATCACCCAAATTGTGGAGGTTGTGTCTGAGTTTGAGAAGAGAGACCGTATGACCAAGCATCTCGAACAGATCATGGAAGACCGCAACAATAAGGTGCTCATATTTACTGGCACCAAGCGTGTAGCGGACGACATTACTCGATTCCTTCGCCAAGATGGTTGGCCCGCGCTTTGTAAGTCCTCAGTCCACCATAAATCATCGAAGTATTACTAATTCGGACCTCAGCTATTCACGGTGACAAGCAACAAAATGAACGAGATTGGGTCCTCAACGAGTTCAAGACTGGCAAGAGCCCAGTCATGGTTGCTACGGATGTCGCATCCCGTGGTATTGGTATGATTGAAAAACCACTCCCCTCTCCCCCTTCCCACCCCTCTAAATGTGTTATGTTACATGTTTTACCATTGCCGTCGTGTGATTTGAACCGCGCTCTTCTCTCGTTACGCTTCGATACTGCGTAATCTGTCCAGGCTCTGCGTTCTCATAGGTCCTGACCTAGGAAATCTCGATTGGCGTTTGCAGTTTGCCAGGACACAGCATATTTGACCACCACCTTGCATAGCATTTGCGAGTAGGTTGTGGGATCCTTACTTGACCATTCAAGCTGCAAATCCAGGATTTTCTCCCCAGGACCGTAGACAATTGCCAACTTTCCCCGGACATGGACATGGACATTGGCCATCTCAAAAGGATAATGCTCCGAGTACCTGAGAGAGAGATTGCTTCTCCGCTCACACGACCACACATGGTCCCCAACGACTCGTAAGATTCCATAGGCTTTGTCATGCTAACCCTTACTTCAAGATGTTCGAGACATTACTCATGTTTTCAACTATGATTATCCCAACAACTCGGAAGATTATGTTCACCGTATCGGTCGAACTGGCCGAGCTGGACGAAAAGGAACGGCTATCACCTTGTTCACCACTGACAGTAAGTCCTCTCTCTCCAGCTCTTGTATGTACCGAGACTAATCCAAGCAATAGATGCCAAGCAAGCCCGGGACCTCGTTTCCATCTTGCAAGAGTCCAAGCAGAACATCGACCCCCGTCTCGCAGAGATGGCTCGATACTCTGGTGGTGGCGGCGGCCGTGGCTACGGAGGCCGCGGTGGTTATCGTGGCCGCGGCGGCGGTGGTGGCTTCACCTCGTCCAACTCTGCACCTCTCGGACGAAGCCGCTGGTAAACGTGCCCTCAGTACACTTGCTACCGTTAACCTGCCCCTGGCGACTCGTGTTATCCTGATTTTGCCACATCTCTTTGCTGCAAGATATCACAATAGACTTTTGCATTGTCTTTACCGGTTGGGGCGTTTTAGGGGGGAAATGACAGAAAGATAGAGGTCGGTTTTTGGTCCGGACGGATTGTACATCGAGCTGTGAGCTCGCGAGGGTGTACACCGTTTCGGAAGCTCTTGATGTTGGTCCGGTGTGGACGTGAGCATCCACGCGAACGCGTGTCGGGAGAGATGCCTTGATACTGAACGCATGAAGACAGGAGCGTATCATACAACAATAGACACAGAAGCTCATTGTGCTTCGAATGAGTTCCAGCAATGCTTGATGAAAAATCATACAACCTGAATCGCTCGCTCGCCCCACACCTCCACAATAGAGGCAACATGGTGCCTTTTTCCTCTCCGTTGTGACATGTGCTAGATGTGATGGAGTGTCATTAGCTGAGGAGATAGCTTGCAAGAAAGAGGTAAATGAAATGATAGATTGGGCTTAGTAACGGGTGGTCAGGTTCTATCAGACTTGATTAAAATCACCGTCCTAAGAAGTTGGTTTCTGTTGGATGTATAGACTGGCAGTCCCAATATGTATTTGACCAAGAATCAATTCGATAATGGCTTTTTATGATGTGATGCCGTAGACTAAAGTATCCCAGCCCTTATACGTTAGCTTTCAAGCATGTGCCGAACTAATGACCTCTGCTCAGTATCTAGCCATTTGGTGGCATGTCATCGGCTGTGACACTCTAGAAGCTGTTTTGAAGCTGTTTTAAAGCTGTTGTGGATTAAAACCCTGTGGCCTTGCCTGCGCCCTCCTAACTCTACTACGCTGGAGATGATATGTTGACGAGCCCACGTATACTGTGATGAAGGAGAGCCAAAGCAACTTGGTTGGAGCCTTAGTCCAAGACGCGTTTAGGGCTGTCTTGGATGAAAAATATTTAGTATAGATGAGTCTATCGCCGCGCACAACGAGACCTAAAGTCTCAGTGTCTGAGGTGAACTATACCTTTGAGGCGTCGTACTTGTGATATCCTTGTTAATAAAAGCTCGTAGACTCTGTTGGCGCAGATATCGAAGTAGCAGAGCATGTTGACGTCTAATGTCAAGACCAGTGTGTCTGTCGTCTTGGTCAGATATTTGCGCTCTTCTGAAGACACAGCTCGTAGCCAGTCCGTCTCTGTCCCTCCTTCTCTCCGATTAGCTTATACTTCAGTAGGTGGTTCGATTTGGTTTCTTCTTGTTTCAACGTGATGTCAGTGGAATCGATCAAGAATAGTCTGGACCTTCCTTGAGTATAGTAGTTATACATTTGACAGGAGATGGCCCATCATAGCCCATATTTCCTCACTATTGTAGCCTGATTGCTATGCCTAGTCTTTACAGACAGTTTTCGTTGAGCTGACTCAAGCCAGGAGATCTGTTTACTGATTCCATTTAACGTCACGCGTGTTGTTTCTTCATTTTTGGCCTCGAATGCCTGCAAGTTGACCTGTCCACCCTTGTAAAACCCTCCAAAATCATCAAGACCTTTGTTTTCCGAAAGATTTCCGGGAGTGAGGATTCTGGACTGTTCCTGTCTTAACGAGATCTCGGCCTTTACTTGTATAGGTGGTGTCTTGGTCCTGAGCCGGGATTTCTCGTCGGAGGGCCTCTGGGGTCTTCCGAACAAGACGCAAGTCATACCCTCCAGGCTCTTCCAGCATTGTGACCGTCATTCATGTTCATGGTGGAGGCGGTGGAAAGGGGCTCGGGTAGAAGGGGTTGGAAGATGTTGAATAGCTCTTGATCGTAACTTGGCAGTAATGAAACCCGGGAATCGAGTGCGTGCGCTACTGTCTCCCTTCAGTGTCTTATTGTAGAGTTAGTTGCGACGGATGAAGCAGGAATGGTTTTGGGAGAGGGAGGTGATCTGTTGACCCTTGGTCTACACTACGGTCAAGAAAAGCTTCGACGGGGATCTATCCTCTCATGGCAGGCTTCGAGCATGACCTCATTCAGTTGTCGGTTGTGTAAATAGGCGGCATGGACATCTAACGACTGAGATCGAGATTTCCAGCAAGGGTGATGCACAGATTCCCTGCCATGTTCGTCGAGATCGGCTCCCTTGGACGTGGAGGATGGAGATCTTCAGCTGACTGGATGGGAATGGGACGAGACACTGTCGTTGGCTAAACCCCACTGCTGTGGACAGCCTGGGGCGTGATCATCATGTTAAAAAACAGGTTCAGCAAAATAAACATCAGAGAATCATGTCGATAGGGGGTGTAGGCACCTGCTTGTGGGCAATGTATAGAGGGCGCAGTTGTGTACGCATACAACAGAGTCAAGTGAGCCGCACGCCGATGACAACGCGAACCTGCCGACGACAACAATTTAGCTGCAGCTTTTAATTGCTTACAGGTTTTAACTCTGTCTAGCAGGGCTTGCTCCTGAATCACTAAAATCCAAGTGACGCCGTCTGGAACCTTAGAGTGTATCCACTAGTTAGTGCTGGACAGGATTTAAACAGCGTCGCTCCAAAATCATCATTGTCATCACTCTCGTCATTCATCATCCTCACAAAGAAAACCTGAACTGTGTTCTGTTCGCCTTCTTCCAATATACCGACGCCCAGGCTTCACCATCACAGGACATAAGAGGATCGCTGCATCTTCGACATCTCGGGGCGGGTTGGAACACCGAAAACCGCGCGGGATGAAACGAAACCAAGAACAATCTTTGTGACGTGTAGTCTTGTATTAATTAGATGGATCCAATACTGACTTTGCAAGCTTGTGGCCATGAGGGCCGCCCATGGAGAACCTTGGGGGACTTTGTGAGCTTGTTACCAAGAATTTGTTGAACGTCTGGTACTCGTCTAGTCGCCTGCGGCCCTCAGACCACCGTTGTACCATATACCATCATTATACTTTTAACTTTGTTAGCTACTCTGGGAGGAAAAGGAAAAGGCACGGGGGCTTAGTGCCACTGCCTCGACCGTCAACTGCGCTTCGACTTGGGGGCACTGTGGCCCTGTGGCCCTGTAGCCCGTGACGAGCTAATCTTGTCTTGTCGGTTCGCCTTTCTTTTATGGTTTGCAAACCGGAATCATCGTCCAATGATTTGTGGGATATACAGTAGTCGTTCTCCGGCGGATGTAGTAGGTGTGATGCCTGACTGAAATCATCACCATCGTTGGAGGTCACTACTGAAAAGGCACACCGGTTGAATACAGGCTTCGCTGGGACTTACCTTACTTACAAAACCAAGAGTATGTCCCTCGTTACTCGTCAGAGTCGGGGAAGACGCGCTCGTAGTCCAGTAGCTCTGCGGTGGCTGGATAACCTTGATCCGTAAACATGGCTTTAAACCTGCTTTCTGTATGGAGATAGCACCGTCGTAGTGCATTGCATGCACTCCGTTAAGGACACACGCAGCAACATGCGTAGGCATGAAAGCCTAATCACCAGACAACCTGCAGAAACTCTTGGAGTCTTGGTCTCTTGCTTGTCTGGTGGGTGGGCTCTCACACAGGACCAGTCATTCATGGCGAGAGGTGTTGACTGGACATGCCGCGAAATGGGACTGCATCATGACACCGACACATGAAAACTCTATTCTTTGTTTTCTACTGGAATGCAAAGGGCGACGATGGTGATCGGTGATGAACAAAGAGACTCAGAGCACTTGTGGGTATTTCCCCAAGGGCACGGATACTTGCGGTTCTACTTACTTTGACTTGTCTAGTAAAAAGCTGTCAAGAGTACCGAGTACATCATGTTTGGGTATGTGGATGCGCCAATATACGGAATAGACCAGAGGAACCGCAATGGAGACTCTGACAACTTGACTTTTGCAACTAAAAAGCATACTTGGTCTTTGCCAATTCATGCGACTCGGAGGTTTCCTGCTAGCATTGGTGGGAATTGGAAAGCTTCCTCCATTTTGCTTGCAATTTTGGATCTCGGTTGACGATTGGGTTAGGCATTTTGAGGCAACAAGCTCTATCCTGCAGGCCGCCCAGTGTGTGACAATTTCCATTATCATTATTATTCTTGAAGCTTGTGGAGGCGTCCAAGGTGATTATTGTTGGTGTCGACGGCCTGCATTACTGGCCGAAACTCCATTATTGGACTGCCAGAATACCTCCAACATATTGGGGCATAAATCCGTCGCCGTGTTCCGCTTCCGAAGCAGTAGATGAAATTGTCATTTCGCGGGTGCTCTGGCATTCTTGAAGTTTGATCCTGGTTCTTTTAGCCTCGAGAGTTCCCAGGTCACCATCGAATTCGGTGTGCGTCCGATGGCTGGCACCGCAACCGCGGCGAGAGCAAGAAAAGGACGGCCCGACCGAGGAATACAATGGCCAAGAAAAAGGCCGCGCACTGAAGACGGGTTTACAGGCAATCCAACAAGCTGCTTTGAGGCAAGTCGAACGGTTTGGCCCCACCTTGACCATGCCAGGGTTCGCTTAACCAGAAAGCTTGAGAACGGGGTTTCATGACAATGGAGGATCATCTGCACGGAGCACTGAGGCCCCGCAGGTTCAGCGAAGTTATTTAGCCAAATTCAGCTAGGTGCATCACGCCAGCCATACTCGCCCCCGTTTTGTTATCGGCAGCATGAATAAGATTGCATTTGCTGTTGCAGGAGCCTTAGGTGGAGTTCAGAAGGAGAGAACTTGTTCTCGAGAGCAGATTGTTTGGATCGGGTAACCCATCCCTGGAGACCATGGCTGCACGCACCTCTCCGCTGCTGCTTTGACCCATGGGCCGTGTTGATGTTTCTGGTGGATTGTTAGGCCCGAGTTAATTTGGGATCATGTCTCTCTGCATGCAGTGTTCAGCGTCCGACAGGGGACCCTGGCAAGGTTGACCAGGACATCCCCCACCTTTGGTAAAATCTGAACGCGAGTGGTCGCTTAGCCGTCTGTGGCCATTAGCAGGTTGCACCGAGTTCGTGGGAGTATTGTTTGGCTGGATGCTGTGGGGAGAGTTTCAACTCTCCAGTAGCCATCATTGGGCATCATTGCATGGACTCTTTGCTGTGTCGTTTGATGGGCCAGCAAGTCACGACGAGGCCATAGCGGTGACGCCGCCAGCTTCCTACGGTGGTATCGTCGTCTCGGGGCACAGCCATTCGGAAGATTCCGTGATCATTTCTTTCTCATTCCAATTTTCCGGTCACATGGAAGCAACCGGACCATTTTCATCACTGCTGTCAAGGAGGACACTGACTAGCATGGCAGCTTGAATAATGTGAAGTTGCGCCATCCTCTCGACACGCTGTTACCAGCATTGTGGCCTGCATGCAAGAGGTCCAAACGCGTATGATGTTTCTCCACCGTAGGGCGTGGGGAATAAGAGGCCATAATGGGCGCATTGTGGTGCTTGATATCATGGGAGCTGATATGTGACACTTAACATTCTAGATCATAGGATGTTTTCAAGGGCCAGATCTTTTTGTTTTGGCTCGAGTGAAGCGCATGGCCGAGCTCCTGGGTTTTACATTGA